AGGAAGCAGATGGGAAGAGGGGGAGTGGGGGGGAGGGGGGAGACAAAGGGCAAAAGAAGATGGGAATAGATATCGTCGGTAGGTGTAAGGTGATAAACCTTTAGAGGCTGCAGAAGCGGCGGGAAGCCGCGAACCCAAAGTAACAGATATGGAATCTGGCCTTTGAATTTGTTTGCGATCAGAGAGGGGGCGGGGGTAAGAGGGAGAGAGAGAGAGAGAGAGAGAGAGAGAGACGCAGATCGGCCAGCAGTGCGAACCAGTCAGACTAGCCAGCGGGGGCTAAGGCAGAATCAGGTAAGATCCATGATGCTCAGCTCCAGCTCATTTCTTATCTGACACAACGAACAACTACGTGTGTTTGTCCCTTTCTTAAAGAGAGCTTTAAAACTCTTATCTCCTGGTCTTCACTCAAGGTTCTTACTTACCTACACTCAACATTCTTTTCCCCTTTCCTTTCCTTTTCTTTTCTTTCTCTCATATTTTTGTTTTTTGGCTGCTTTCCTGCTGACCCGACTCTGTCATCAAAGCCCAGGCATAACTAACTATAGTTAAACATACCTCAGCCAAACCAGAGGGATGCTACCCCATCACTCTACATCAGCTCAGTTCGCATAGCAGAAACTTTTGGCAAGCGTTGCACAGAAAGGCTGTCGCGTGAACATGTATTACTGAATGCTTACGACAAAGGCTTGCGTGAGCCTTCAAAAATTTACTATAATCTTCACCACCTGGCTCTCTCGCTTGCTCCTTCTTCTATTTTCGCTGCACTGATTTACAGTTCTACTAGGCTTTTCCAGCTTTTTTCTCTCTCGCATGTTGTTGCGGTGTGCCCATGTTTTTAATAGCATTTTCACTTATCGCTTCCTTCCCGCGACGTACAATCGATGAAGAACGTACTGGCCGCACTTCAATCGTCGAGGGCAAACTCTACATGTACCGGACATTAGGTCCTGCGAGAGAAGACCGCTGTATTTTAGTCTGGAAAACTGATTCATACAGGGATGGAGCGATATTTGTACTATTGCCTATGATGGGCTTGAAACGAAATAGTAAGGACATGAATGTTAAAAGAAAACAAGCCCATTGGGCCTAATGGTAAGGTATAAGAGGTAAGCATAAAGCGCCAAGGAGGGTGCGGTCGCAAGGACAAGAGCTTCATCAAGGCTGGAATTAGAAGGACGAGGAACAGGGCAAACGAATGGTGCAAACCCGCTTTCAAGATATCGAGAATGTGAGCATTGCAGAGGCTCTGTACGGGCTAAGTTGACGCAAACAAGACTCTGGCATAGCCGAGCCCGAAGAGGTCAGATACCTCTCTACAAATTGACAGTACCCCCTTCAACACAGTTCTGGCCCTTTGCAGTACTTTCCGCGTTGAGTTCGGGATCGGCATGGTCATCTCTCTGGGCCCAGTTAATCAAGTGGCCCTTGACATCACGCATGTCGTGTACCTTCTGCGCCAAGTCCCCCCTCGCTTTGCGTGGCGCGTCGCTGCGTTCGTCCAGGTCCTCTTCGTCTGAACTGGACAAGGAGGATAGAGATGAGCTATTACTTCGCTGAAGAAAAATCATCTGATTTCCTTCGTGCTTCTTGAATTCACGTTGCTCATTCTTCAAGGTTTCCATTCGCGTAGCATCCTTTCTGCAGTCAAGTGTGGTTATGTGAAGACCAACCAGATTAGACGAGATAAACTGTTTAAGAAGAGGAAGATACTCTGCGTTTGGACGATAGGTGCCGCTGTCGTTATCAATAAAAAGCTCGTAGTCGGCCGGGTCGATAGATATCTCCAAATCATGCTGCGACTCATCCGCCGTATAGTTGCAGTTCTCTGAAGGATGCGGAGTATCACCCTGTCGGTGGTGGCGATGCTTACGTCTCCGGAGAAAGAATTCTCCAGAATACGCGATATAAATCGATACATTACTGTGCATGGTGTGTTTGCTTAGAAGATCGATGCCGAACTCCTTCCCCGTCTCAGTGAAGCGAAACTGTCCGTCGAGTGTAATGACATATGTGAAAATTCTCCCACCCTGGGCATAGTGTACAAACTCGAGGAATTTTTGGGTGAGTTCGATACACGGCGATTCGAACTGACCGTTAAGGGTTGTCTTGTCGAAATTATATATACGCTCATGCTGATGATGAAGCGCTCGGTTGAGGATCCTGCCACGAAGACTGTGAGATGTAAACATTCCGGCAACAAATGGCTTGAATTCGACATAGCGATGATAAAGCTCGGCAGGCACAGGGCCTTTGAGCTGTATCTCAACTGCCTGAAAGCTAAGATGTGGACTGTGAGCTTCTCGTGCATCTTTGCTTGAACTGGACCGGTGGACGTACTTGTATCGACTGATTGTCTTTTGGCCATTTTGGCTCTGAACTTCGTCCTTGGTACCTGCTAGTCTTCCAAAAACGGGAGAAAAGTGTTTGAACCAATAATTCGGTCCAACAGTGTACATATGCGCACCTTGATCGCCGGGTGTTTTGCCCAGGCAATCGATACTAATCACCAGATGCGAAGCCACGTCGAGACGCCGTGAAGCCAAGGCGGCAATGCTGCCGAAAAGATATACTCGTTTGCTCCCCAATCGCTTTTTCACGCGATAAGACTGCTCTTTGATAGATGGCCAATTCTCATACATTGTGTCTATCTCGACGTAGGCATTCCCGAGTTTATCGTCATGGTCGGTTGCATCTTCATCGTAGACATGACATTTCAACTGAAAGCCGGAAGCGGGTACATTGGCCACAATCCACTCCTTTTCCCACACTGGATCTCGGTTCTTGCGCACAGTAGGCGTCCGATACGATACAATGGGGTCCTGTTTGTGGCGTTGGGGAAGGTCGACAATCAGTTGAGCATGGACGTAAGGATCCGAGGAGAAGGTACCAAAATCTGCGCACGGAAGATTGACGCCGCGATGGAAAGTAAACTTAACGGTATACCCTGGCGGAGCATAGGGATACGGGGTACTATCGAAACCTCCGGCAGGCTGAGACTGCGATCGTTCATCCCCGTGCAAAGTGGCTTTCATGGCAGCCGCTCTGTCTTGCACGTGCTCTGTCTTGTCGAAGAATCTCGGGCCATACTTATCTACCGGGCGTCGTCGACGTGTGCGCGGTTTCGCTTGTTCCATGAGAGGCGGAGGAGGGGAGGAAATGCCAGATAGTAAACTGAAATACGGTAGCAAATAACCGGGTGGGGTACGTCCACGAGTGCGCGGGGAATCAGCCGCCGGTGCAGGACGATGCAGGAAGAGTCTGTTGTCTGCGAATCTGTCTTCTTTGGTGAAGAAGGTCGGAGAACAGGTTCTCGTCTGTCTTTTCTCTCTCCTCTCTCTCCCTCGCTGTCTCTGTGTATAGTTTTTTCTCTTTTTTTTTTTGTTATGCTGTCGTTCTTTCTTTCCTTATTTTGCGTGGTTTTTTCTTGGTTTTGCCCAGCCCCTTTTTCCCGGAAAGAGGGCGAGACCGGCAATTGAAGGAAGAAAGAGATCTTAACAAGAGATAAGAGAAAATACGTGGTTGGAGATGCAGTCATCCACACCTCGGGGTTGAAGGAACTACCATCATGTGGCTTCTCCACGGGAAGGAGAGGAGCGCTGAGGGAGAAAGAGAGGTAGAGAGAATAATTCCAGTTCTTGGTCTCGGCAAGGCTTCTTTCACGTCGATCGTATCCCCAGCAGGAGTTTTGGGCGATGACGGAAGGACGGGACCGAGACACCCTGTAGGGCGTAGCGTGGACCACCAGTTCCACCACCACTTCGTACCTACTACCTAACTACTGCTAGTATTGCTGATTTGCTCCGAGCTGCGTACTCAGTGCCCATTGTTCCTGCCCCTGTACAGCGCTGGTACAGAATGTTTCATGATAAACAATCACAAATTTAAGATAATATATACGAACAGATTGGGTGTTCGCCATTTAAAACTACATTTGCAAGAAGATGAAAGACGTGGACAACAACCCCCACGAAGAGGAAAAAGGTAGTATTTCTATAAGTAAATCAGACTAGCTGGTCCGAGTTGATAGCTGCAGATGATAGTGACGTCATTCTAGCTACCGCGTCAAGACTTGGTTCGCGCGTCCGGCCAAACATCCCACGGATGATGACCCACGCATGCAACTCATAGCACGCAATGCCTGGCTGGTCTCATGACATTGACCAATAAACAGAAAGACATCATGCCTTGTCCCCAACTAAGATCCTCGGAACAAGAATTGCATATCTTCTGGTGTGAGCTTCTCCAATGCCTCACCCTGATCCTTGTTAAGGGTACCGTTGATAAGGTTGGCTTTCTTCTCTTGCAGCAGAACAATTCGAGATTCAACGGAATCCTCTATGCAGAGTCGAGTGATGACGCAAGGTCGGCGTTGACCGATGCGGTGGCAGCGATCCGCACTCTGCCACTCGGCGGCGGGGTTCCACCATCTAAGGTGATAGTGATACATTAGTGGACAAAGAGTAAGATAAGATCTGCTGTCTCAGGGAAACTTACGGGTCAACAATGAAAACTCTCGATGCCTCAGTCAGGTTCAAAGCCACACCGCCTGCTTTAAGTGAAACGAGAAATACCTCGACATCAACATTGTTCATGAAATACTCAATCGACTTTTGTCGTTGTGCCGGTGTCATTGTACCGTCGAGCATGACCGTGTTGAAGCCGGCTCGGCGCAAGCGCCACTCGACAAGCTGCAGCATGGACGTAAACTGCGAAAACACGATAGATTTGTGCGTCTGTTTCTTGCTTCGAAGCTTGTAGAGCTCATAAACTAGCATCTCGATTTTGGTAGAAGAAGTCCAGTCCTCCATCCGAATGCGATTGATGATGGAAGTCTTCTTGACGTGCTCTGCTTCCTGTTCGATATCAGGCTGCTCAAAATCGATCGACAAAGGAATGTGACATCGAGGGCAGTCAACCACAGACATGATTCCCGAGGACTTAACATAGTCTTTGACACATCTACGGCAAAATTCATGGTGGCAGCGAGATCGAATTGCCTCTTCGGCAGGCTCATCACAGATACTGCAGACGAGAACATTCTGGCCACTCTGAGCGTGTTTTTTCAGAATAAGATCGGGATGGTTCGCCACTTGACGCATCTGCATGATGAGCCCAAAGATATTGGCATAGTTATTCAACATGACACCACGGCTCACGTATGTATCGAATTGGCGGGTTGAATTTGTCATGATGCTGCGAGAAAAATCCCGTTCGATTTCTCCAAAGAATTCATTCCGTATGATAACGCTAAAGGCAGGTCAGCGGCGCCCAGTCAACCTATATTGGCGAACAAACCGCTTGGGTGGAAGCTCCATAGAGGTTGTATGGTCTCGCTTGATACGCCGCAACATAATTCTATCCGTCAAGAGGCGCAGTTTTGCTAGAGCTTCCTTTCTGGCCTGAGCATTGTCTCTCTCCGTTACTGCTCCCGGTCAGCCTAGTCCATGGCAATGGTGATTTGAAGGCTCTTACTAGGATTGAGTATCTCCTGGTTGAAAACAGACACGTGACTAAACCCACTGTACTCGAGGTATTCCAAGTTAGAAGTCAGGAGCGACTCACCAAGAGAAACATGCTAACTTACCTATGCTTGCATGATGTACATCGCTTTTCTGCGTCCTGCGACCAATGAAGTTGTTGACACTTGCATTGCTTGCAGAAATAGCAAGCGAAAGGGCGAACTTCCAGGAAGCGAAGCAGCGAAAAAAACTCACCGATCCTGTTCTGAACCGGCGTTCCCGAGAGACACCACTTGTAGTTTGCTTGTAATGCGAAGCATGCGCGGGCAACACTAGTTGTCCGTTGCTAGCATTGGGCTTGTTTCAGCAATCGAGCTTCAGAGTATGACTATCAAGAGCGACCTTACTTTGATACTATGCGCTTCATCCAAGATCAATCGGTGGTATTTAATGGAATGGATGACGCCTTTGATGTTGATTAACTCAGTTCAAGAAGACTTTATGAGATGCATGACTTACTGTCCTCCTTAACAATCCCATCGTTCCGGTTCCAGCCTTTCCACTCTTTGCGGTGGATGGACTCGAGGCCAGAATCTGGACACATGGTAAGCCTCGTGATGTTCGTCGGACTCTGTCTGGTTATGCGTACATACAAGAAATCATAATCACGTCATACGTTTCCAAATCATTTTTGGAAAGAGTCTTGACCTTGGGATTCGAATTATGATAAACAAGGACCTTCAACTGGCCACTGGTGTATTCCTGGAGGAGAAGAAGTCAGTTATCTTGTGGTCCTGCAATCTGCGAAGGAACAAACCTTGATCTCGGACTGCCATTGCATAAGGGCAACTGGAGGCACTACCACAAGCGATGGCTTACCAGCGGGATAGTCAGACATGATAAGGGAAACAGCCTGTATCGTTTTGCCCATTCCCATTTCATCTCCTAGGAGACCTCCTTTATATTGCGATTGTTCTTGTTGCATCATCCAGTTGAGACCCTCAAGTTGAAATGACTTGAGCGTCCTTGCTATGCCGCTTGGCTGCTCTGCAGCTACCGGCTTGATAGGGGGCGAATTTGCCAAATCATCCCACATTGTAGTAACAGCTGGATGCTGCTTTTCCAATTTCTTCCGTTCTCTAATCGCCTACAAAAAGTTTAGTGAGTCAAGTCAGGACGCTTGGAGCAGAGATCATACACGACGAGTCATCCAAGCCTCCCCTGACCTCTGGGTACTGTTCAAAGCCGATTGAAAACCCCGCCTAGTTCTCATTGATGCTTCATGGTTCCGTGTAATTTGTGGCCTTACAGACTCCTGTGGCTTGTCAGATTCATCCTCGCTGGCCTCAGTCAAAGAATACGCAAGGTCGCTAAGCTCGGATCCACTCGAATAGGTGTCCGATTTATCAGAAATCAACTCATCAGCTATGAATTCGTCAAGGCAAGTGATGTTGGTTGTCCGAGCAGATCGAAGGGGCCGTCTTCTGGAGTCGGGGTGCTGTGTTTGTGAACTCTCCTCATCTGACGCATCCTGTACTAGACCTTCTGAGTTGATAGTGGGAGAGGTTTTGCTTGTGGTGACATGGCGTGCGGATTTTACCAATTTTGATGGCCGTTCCTGATACTCGCGAGCTTGTTGGAGTGCTTCTGCTAATGCAGCATCCGATGCGACGGTCGCAGAAGTCATAGACGCAGCAGACCTCTTTAACGCTCGAGATGTGCTCAAAGACAAAGTGCTCGTACGTAGTTCGCGTGCACGAGCAGAAGCACTAACTCTTTTCTTTGTTCCAGATACATCTGAATCGACCGGCGTAGCAGTAGTACTGGTCGCTGGCGTACTGTAAGTTCGCGTCGAAATTCCGGATGAGTCCTCGTCTAGAGGAGAGTTTTCGGTTTCGGATGACGGTGACGCTCTCTTGGAGGGTATAGCTACTTCAATGGCTATGGGCTTGATGTTGTAACTCCATTTAGCCACCGGGTGAGGGTCGCTATCATTATTCTCTGGCTGGTTGATGTTGGCCGTGCAAGTCGAGGAAACCCGATTTAACCGTGCAGATTTGCGTCTAGGCAGCAACGCGATAGGATCTATACAGAATACATCAGCTAGTTCCGATGTACATTCACACCATCAATGATTTAATTTCTGCTCTCATTGAGGGATGCTGCAACTTGAAAGACATGTTGTAATATGAAGTATAGCGCCTTACCAGTGTTGGACGACTGCTCTTGCTTCACGGTAGAAGAGATTCTTGTCATTACGACGAGTCTTTTTTCTCGGTTCACAAGGTATATAAGACCGACCGATGGCTGATTCGCGAAATATTACTCGCAATTGCTGGAGAGGTGCCTCTATTCAAGGCAGGTGTAAGAAGATGGGTGGCTAATAAGAAGTGGCGGGCGGCTATCGGAGTCTAGCCTCGCGGACAATGTTGCGGGAGGCAAATAAGTCAAGGGTCCACAGAAAGGAGAGATGAGTCAAGGATAAGCAGAGAAGAGGAAGAGTACGACTCGAGTACTCGAGTGAGGAAAAAATCGTATCAGAAGCAATCGAAGGGACTTCCCAAGCTGACTCCGATCCACATGCCACAGTACGAATGGTCTCCCTCTCGGACCTATCTCCTGAAAAGTTCCCCTCTTGGCTATCGGGCCCTCGGTCCTACGTCCCAATTCGCCACTCCGGAGGCGATAAGCAGCCGTCTGGCGAACCTCGCGTTAAGTGGAACGCGAAATCGGCACGGAATCTTGTGACTTGCCAAAACCACCCATATAACCCTGTTGTTCGTTTTTTTTTTTGGCAGTACTTTGACGTTTACCTCTTGTCCCATCGAAACGTTCTTTGTTTTCCGATCAAAATGTATGTCTTGACAGCTTCAACAATTTGCCGTGAATGTACTGACAATGCGAAGGGCCGGCAGAAGGCAGACAAGGAATCAAATCCGAGGCCCGTATGTCTTAAATGATGCTTTTCCGGTCGTTCTCACAATGCAAATGGCTACTAATGGCACATCATAGGCATTCGGCGCTTACCGACTTTCTTGCCGTATGTATACAATCTGCATTTTCTGGCCGCCGTACTATTGTGAACAGGTTACTAAGGCTCTCTTCTTTAGTCAAATAACATCTCCGCCGCTCAAATCCACGAAGACTACCAAAGACGTCTGAGAGATGCGGAACGCCACGTTGATGAAAGTCAAAACAATGATATCCAGGAATTCGAGCATGAAGGCACTGGCGAATCGTTAGAGCAGCAGAAGAAGCGAAAACGGAAGGAGAGTGCTGCTCTGGCCCAAATCAAGCAGAGTAAGGAATTCGCCCGGCGCAAAGCACGACGAACGGGCGAGCCAGATGACGACGATGACTTCATAGCCCGGGAGATGATGTACGAAAGGTCACGCCCCATGCCAGGCCAGCTTGACAATTGCGAGCTATGTGGCAAACGCTTCACTGTTACCCCATACAGCAAGACGGGCCCAAACGACGGTCTTCTTTGTGTCAAGTGCTCAAAGGCACAAACCGACAGCGAGAAGAAAGCCAAGGTCAAGAAACGCGGGTCAAGAATCGGTCGACGCCAAAATCAGAGCAATCTTCTCGATGGACTTGCTGCGCAAGGTGTTTTGAGTTTGGCCGAGATGTGCACGAAGGTACGCCGATGATCACATCCCTGATTCCGCTATGCTACATCTAACACTACCTCTGGCAGAAAGTTGCAGATACTATCAATGATATTGAAGAGTTTGGTGACTTGCCACCCCAGTTACTGCTTCGGTTGAGTCAGATACTCTCCAAAAGGCGGGTAATGACACCTCGGACTCTCAATCTCTTCCTTCGCCCGGACTTCGACCGCATTGATATATTCGATGCCGCTAGTACGTTATCCGCATTTTTCTCGTTTCCCCTCTTGACCTGTAACATTGTTGTTGTCTGTATCACGACATTCAGCTCTCCGGTTTATCGTTCACCTAGGGACGGGACCTAACCGAACACTTTTAGAACTTGAAACACAGGACTTCGAGAAGATATTCGCAATCATGCCTCGCCTGGCTCATGTCAACATCCGCTTTGCGGGGCAAATGAAAGATCAAGTGGTGAAGTACATTTTGAGCCGTGATTTTCGAATTAAAAGTCTACACCTTGATGCTGCAAACTTGCTGTCTGACACCTTATGGCGAGAGCTATTCCAAAGTCTAGGTTTACAGCTAGAGAGCCTCAAGCTGTCTAACCTAGATTGCTCTTTTGATAACGAGACTGTGGAGGTGTTGGCCAGCTGCTGTACCGCACTTCGATCTTTGAAGCTGAAACATTGTTGGAAGCTAGGGAACCGTTCACTTCAAGCCATATCAAAACTGAAAAGCTTGGTGCATTTATCTTTACACTTCTATCAGGATGTAAAGAGTGATACTCTCCTCAGATCCATATCTCAGGTTGGGCCGAATTTACAGACTTTGTCGTTAGAAGGCTTCGCGACTGCGGATGACCATCTACTTGACACGATCCACGACAATTGCAGGTCTTTAAACAAATTGCGCTTCTCTGATAATAGCACATGCACTGACAAGGGATTTGTTCGTCTCTTCACGGACTGGCCGAATCCTGCTCTGGAAGTAGTGGACCTTTCCTCCGTTCGTGATATCGATAATGCCAACCCAGACGGGCCCGCAGAAGCCACAGGCCTCGCATCTCAAGGGTTTGTCACACTGATGAACCATTCGGGCGCCATGATCCGCAAGTTGAATATATCATCCTGTCGTCACATCTCACATGCTGCTTTCGCCGAGGTTTTTTCAGATGGGCGCACATATCCCAATCTGAGGGTGCTCGATGTGTCGTTCCATACGGTCATGGATGATTACCTCGTTGGTCTCATTCTGCAATGTTGCCCGAAAATCCAGAAGTTGATTGCTTTTGCCTGCTTTAATTTGCGAGGTGTCGTCATTCCTTCTGGCGTTGCACTGATAGGTGGCTTGAAGGCACAAGACTCCATCGTTTTGGAAGGAACCCACCAAGCACAGTTGTCGGCATTCGGTGTTTAGCCTACTTACAGATGCTCGTTTCAGCAATACCTCAATTGATGAGAATTCAAGGACCGCTAAGATCATAGAAGCTTACCTTGTTGTCTCCAACCTCACCTTTAAAGACTTGGAAAATTCGCCAAGCCATTTTCTCATAACCACTTTGAGGCTTCGCTTGTGGGCTTACTTCAACCCCAGCTTATACGTAGGCGAGCCTCCGTCCTATCCCAAACCTACCCGTGCACGGAGTAGTCTACTTCTGAAACCTGACTTATGGGAGTGTGGAATAATTGCTTTTATGGGAGTGTGAAATAAATGCTGAGGATTAATTCGGCTGGGCCGACTGTTGCCTACCTCCTCGTCTCCCTATCAAGTGCTGCAACATGAGAAATGGAAGAAAGTACTGGCTTTACTATACCTTCTTTACGCTCCTTTACAGCTAAGTTAAGTGCGGTGAGGCACTAGAACTTGAACCTGGAGCTTGAAGAAGGAGACGGCGATCGATAGTAAACCGTCACCCCAATTTATTGGGTTGCAATTGAACATCTCAAAAGTTTTTGGTAGTTAATGTATCTCTTCATTTGGTGCTGCTGTCACTAGCCCAGCGCCGTGTCACATAGGCGAAGGGCCAGCGGGTACGTACCCGTACATGGAAATGAACTAACAAGATGTGCACGCCACTGTAGGCGCGCCTTTGTCAGCTCCAAGCACAGCACAACTAAAACAGCGCTTACAGTAGAGTCTGTATTCTGGTATAATATTCATAGGATAATCTGCCTCTTGTCCGCTGCGTACATACGATAGAGACACCCAGGATTGTTGCAGCCCACTAAGTTATACCGATCCTCGAGCCTCAGATAAGGTGGAAGTATTTGGAAAATGATACGTAATTGACTATGAACCCTTGCATGCTAGTATCAAGTACGGAGTGCGGAGTACAATGTACACAGTCGATAATAGATCATATAACACACTCGTACAGCGTGCGAATCACTGGTGGTGGTAAAGTACAGCCTGAGTCTGGCGGTCGCCGCCGCCTGTTTCCGCCACTGTCTTCCTGCCGAAGTGATTACTTGACTATATTTATACAGTAACGTTAGTTAAATATGTTCTACAGTACATACATTTGAATTTATCTTTCTCCTAGTCTTATTCCTGGTTTCCTGGTCCCTGTGGTCAGGTCTACTAGACCAGGTACCAGGCACGCTCCATGCTTTTCTTGAACTCATCCAGGCATCTGACTTATCCCTTTGTGGTCGTTAGCGCGTACTCGCTCTTCGGGACCTTCCTGCCACAGAAATATTCTAACCAGCTGTAGAGAGTACATTATGTTCCGCTTGAGTTACTATCTTACTGAGCTTCCCAAATTCTTTCTAGTCCTTGAGAAAAGGGGAATAAGAGGGCGTGGCAGATATTAACGAATAGAAGCGGCAAGAGCAAGAGGTGTCTCTCGGTCACGGGTGGACGCCGCGGATAAAGGGTGCTACTATATTTGGAATCACCGCTCGATTCCCGAGTCCTCTACGAGGCTTAGATATGGGACCATTGCTAACTTAGGTGTGAGTATGGAGTAACTACTCCGTACTTCGTAGGTACACAGTTCATACAGTATTGTTTCGGGCTCCACAATCCACCGTACGACATCCAGGGTCTGTAGGACTTTCCTGGTAAAGATTCGGGTATCTCTCCCTTGGGCCAATCAAACAGCCGGTCAGTAATTACCTATCATTGGCGTAAGGGACTACGGAGCTTGACTGGTACCTATTCATATCATGTAAAACTTTCCAATCTATAACTACCTAGGGTGTACACAGTACTCCGTAAATCTTATTCAATAATGGAATCCGTACGATGAGTGGACTACTACGTAGGTTATTAGTTAACTAGGTAGTTAGTGTACTCCGTATGAACCGATTCTATAACTAAGCTGGCGGATTACTACAATTAGCACGCGCAGACTAGTCTAGCTTGGAACTTACAGTTGGAATTGAAGTGTTTCTCTGTCTGAGTTTGCTCAGCTCAGTGTTCTTGCCGTGTTCAATACACAAGTGGATTTCAAGTTTCACTAAGTAGTCATATACTACGTGGTATCTCAGTCAATAATCTACTGAGCAGACGGACACTCTTAGCCAACTCTTGAAATACTTACTACTAGTAAGATATACAGTAGTTATGACCAAATAGCCAAACCATTAAGGAGTTTGTTTAAAAATACTAATTACTGTATTTAACCACGAATTGTTGCGCTTGCGCTTGTCTTTGTCATCCGAACTTCCATCTCCCTCCCCCACCCGACCCCCTCCTCTCATTCTCTCTTGTCCCCTGGGTAGGTTTGTTTTCATTTTGCCCTTCGAGACCCAGTCTCCCCTCCCCACTCAAAGGAAAAGAAAAACAAGAGACTTATCATTCATTGTTCATAACGTTCTCAACAACCCACTTTCCCCTCTTTTCTCAAAGCACTGATTTTGGAAACTCACATAAGTCAGTTGAAAGACAAACCCACCAAACAGCCAATTTTCAGGACCCGCTAGTGGATTGCGAGGGTCCCAGCCGCTGCTGGTCGACCATTATAGTAGTACGTATACGGTGTATCAGAAAGAAAATTCCCCTTGGGCCACCTCGCCTCTTCAGACCAGATTCTTTGGAGACCCCTGAGTGAGCTCGAAACCTCTAAGCATCCACATCTACCACTGATCTGCCACAACGCTATCTCATTTTCCTTCACGTCATCCACTTCTTTTCTTGAAATATTCTCGTGAGCAGGCACCTCCCGCCCCGCCAGGTTCGAAATCTGTGCGGTTCAGACAAGGCCCAGAATTTGTTCCAAGCACCCTTTTCATAATCACGCCCATCTTCTCTCCCTCTGTACCCGGCCCGTTCCTCAGTCCAATTTCCCCTCCTCCTCCACCACTTCGGCAATCTTTTTATGGGACAACAATAGCGCCAACAGGAAGGGGCTGGAGTTTTGCGGATTCTGGGAGCTGGCGTAGCTTGCTAATCCCATCTGGAAGTGGTTCCGGCTTCGCTAGTGGTTGTTTCGGTCTCAGTCCAGATGCCAATAAAGCTCCCCAAAGGCTTCGCTCGACGAAAATCGTCTGGCAATGCTCTGGAGGAGGTTGAAAATCCTCCTCAGCCATCTTTCAGGGTCTTTGAACGACCATCCACCGACAAGAAATCCTCCAGCGATGGCCAGTTGATGTCGAAGAGGCTGAGCGAAGGCCAACCTCTGTACTCGCCGTCTGAAGACGCAGACAACAACATATTTGCAGTGTCAGAAAATCACCCCTCACGAAGCCTGTACAGTATCCCCTTCTATTGCGATTCTATGCTATGGATGTACTAATGAGCATCATGACAAAGTACCTACGAAGCGAATCCGTCGGCCCACTTATCTCAGTCTACACGCCGTTCAACCGACGGAGAGCCTTCGGTCGACGCCCATTCCCCACATTCACGGAACTTGTATGATATACCAATCCCTCCCATATCTGGTGCACTTCGGGCAGCAGGGAGAACATTCTCCTTTGGTGGGAGGTTTGCGAAGGTTCCAGCTGCGGTTTCGCCATCCCAGCCATCCACGCCTGGTCCCTCCAGGAACCGAGCTATGACTGCCAGCACAGCTAATACCGCAGCTGCACCGAGACTTCCTGAGGCAGATTTGCAATTCGAAAAGATGGAAGATGATTTTCAGAACATGTTCGGCAATTTGGAAAAGCGCTATTATGCTCCCCAGGACTCACCACAAGAGGAGACTATTGATTCGGTAAGGAATTACCCTGCTTCTACCGTCAAGTCAAGTCTCCGACGCCCATGAAGACCTTTATAGGTCGTTGCTGAAACCTTGAATGTACCATTTGATGAGATCTAACATATCTATAGGACGCGCCAAGACCACGCAAATCTCGACCCGACAACACTGGGGGAAAAGTTGAGAAGGCTCCACGCCCGGGACCCATCGACACTAATCGATCGCAGGAAGTTGAGCCATCCCCTTACTCCTGGGATAGCCGACATTCCGAAGACGGGTTACTTGCAGCCATCGATTCCCCTAGGGAACAGCTGGGCGCACCGCATCAATATCCTAAGCTGAGTACAGGGCCTGCGGAAGAACGACCCAAGTCCGCAGCGCTACCCCATGCTGTGTCATCCGCGGCCGCTACCACTTCCCATCGCTCTCTCGAAAAACCTCAGACTGCTGCTGATAAAGGATTGAGGAGAAGCGTGATATATCCAAGCAAACGCGATTCCCCCTCCGTTGACGACGAGGACGCCAAACTAATTATGGAGTCTCTTTATTCGGGCAAGAAAGGCGTACATGTAGCAATCGCATCTGACCAGAAATCCCAAGACGCTGACAATGAGTTCTCGCTCTTCGCGATTGAAAATGGACAACTATCGGCGAGTGCGGCTCAGACTGAGCGTCAAGAGCCCCCGACGTTAATTGGTCCGGCCGAGAACAACAGTCTTGAGGCTTCAATTGCAGCCCATGCTCAACTGGCAGCGCAATACGAAAAGTGCCAGCCTCCATCCGCCTCCTCAACAAACAAGATCATGACTCCCTCTCAATTCGAACACTATCGACGACAGCAAGAGCTCAGAAGATCCAAAAGCGACGCCTCATTAAGTGAGAAGTCCAGCGAAAGCGAATACGAAGAAGAGGACGAAACAGAGAATAACCGTGAGGCTGAAAGACAACGGCGGAAGCAAGAGGCTCATCTCTCTGTCTACCGACAGCAGATGATGAAAGTAACTGGGCAGCAAGCTTCCGCGCCAGCCTTGCAGACCGACGTTGATCGGGCTAGCAAGAGCGCGCCAAATCTATTACAACCAGGCAATCTATCCGGAAGTGGTAAAAGCAGCGATGGAGATGATGACGAAGAAATCCCATTAGGGATTCTCGCAGCACACGGTTTTCCAAACAGAAATCGACCTCCCAGTCACTTGACACCCTCTAATTCTATACCAAACCTTCGAGCATCTTTTCAACAGCCATATATATCGTCGCCAGGTTCGGTCGCAGAACAGGATACTGCGAACCGTAGCAGCTTACCTGTCTTCGCCAGGAATTTGCCTCGAGACCCATACTTTGGCGCAAGCCTGGTTAGCCCCTCTAACCGAGAATCTTTGGCCCTAGGAGGCGGTGCGTCTGTTCATGGTGGCCCATCCCCGGCGCTACCTCCTGGAGGCTTAGTCGGGGTCATTGCTACTGAGGAACGGGCTAGAGCCATGAGGAGGGGAAGTCCTAATACCCAAGCCATGTATGACTACCAGGCGGGTGGAGTTTCAGGGCCAGCGATTTATCCTAGTGGTATACCTAGGCCTTACACGATGATGAATTTGAATTCGACCAATGCAGCTGGCGCGCAGTCGTCGATATCTGCAACGGAGCAGGCACAAATACAACTTTCTCAGCAAATGACTCAGATGGTGCAGATGCAAATGCAATGGATGCAACAGATGATTCAGATTCAGGGTGGTCAGAACGTTCCACAAATTCCACTTCAGGGGATCCCTCTTCAAGGTCCGGGTTCTAGTGTCAATGTGCGGCCATCCTCAATGCCGTCAGCCGGCACCTCCATAGGCGGTCCTTCAGTTCGTCACCAAGAAGAGCACAGGACGCTCAGCATGCTTGATCCTAATGCTTCCTCTCGGTTGAATGCCCCAGCTTTACCATATGTCTCTGGAGTCCACCGGCCTGGCACTCCAGCAGGCCAGAATTATGCGCCCTCTATTGCTCCATCCGAACGTAGCAATGTGGGATTGGCATCCCGCTATAGACCAGTCTCGATGGTGCAGCCAGATCTCGGACCATCGAATATCCACCCCACACCAACCTCGTGGAACGATGAGAACGACAAGCCGCCCGCTGTCGTTCCCGCCGGGTTGCCCATGTCCACTCGTCCGCTTTCTAGCCACAATCACATATCCGCTCACCTCAAGCCAAGTAACGGCGTCGCGGCGGATGACGACGACGATGATGAAGGCTGGGCTGAGATGATGAGAAAGCGAGAAGACAAGAAGAATAATTGGAAAATGAAGAAGGAAACCTCTACTTTTGGGGATCTGCTCAACGCAGTACACTGACATGATTACTCACGCTATGACATGTGACCACACTCCTAGGTGTGGGACCTAATTTGCATGTACACCTTGCGCCGTCACATTTTTTTATCCCCTGAAAGCGCCCCTTTCTCTTCCCCAGCCATTTTTATGTCCAAATTCTTGGGGCATTGCGCGTGGAACTAATTGATCTGCATCTGCGTGCAGTTGTCATAGACCGTTCCTTCTTCTGAGATCCATTTTTTCTCGAATTGCTTCTCACTGTCATTGATCTTATTCCCTACCTTATTTTTTTCCCCTTGTTCTGGATATGATATATCTATTTATCGACTTTGTTAGTATGGCTTGTTTGCACTCGAGGTATGGTTGATAGTGACGCAGTTCACCGGCATTGCCCTTTCTTTGATATTCTCGAGTTGGAGCTGGTTATGGGCTTACTTTTGGCGTTGTGATGGCTTGACGATCTTTAGCCCAGTGCGGGTTGTGATATTCTACATTCACTAAATGTCCCATGTATTTTTCTGACCCTGTACTTAATCATCCATATGTATTTGACATCTATAAATCATAATATACGTCCTCGGATTTTCTATTTGGGCTAAGATCGTAGATTTGAATAGTTTGAAGTTGATACGTATAGAAGGATTTTTGTTCGTCATCTTTATTGACGTAAGACAATTGCCTTTTTGCGGCAAAGTATCTTTTGGCCAGCACCTGTCGATGCCCATAACTTGCAGTATTTGGGAAGCATCATGATAGACACCCTATCACTGTAACTTAAACGAAGAAGCGATTTCGACATACTTATGAGATAGTCAACATCTGCCCAGCTCAAAGCGTGTTTCTCTGTGCCTGTTTATGCGGTCTTGCTTCTAAGTGTGTGCGGAACGAACGGCGGTCGGGGTAGGGGGGAAGCTGATAGCATAGCCAAGCGACTGCCGGTCACGTGCCTTATCCCGGACATTCTTCAACCCGTTATCAGAGCTTCCGAAACTGCTTGCATCTACAACAATCTCTCAAAGCCTACTACTATAGTCTTCGGAGCTCTTCTTCAGCTCAAGCTGCGGGAAGTCCCGAGTTCTAGTAATTGAGAAATCTCGTATCTTTTCTATATATCACTTACTTACGGTACACAATCGCCAACAGTCGCAATTCAACAACGCCCCCTTCTTGAGGGACAAAAAACATAAAGCGAAAGAGGGATACCTTCGGCTTCATCTTTTTGCTTACTTTCTATCATCCGATAGAGTCTCTCCTATAATCCTGTGGAAAAGGTTCTCCTGATTCCTTATATCTCTTTCCTTGGTCTGGAAATTCGAAGTCCAAATACATTATGAACGCCCCGGATCGGTAAGGATCATTCTTAGTTAGAAGCATGGCTTTCTCTTTTTCTTTGTCTTATGAATATTTTCTTTTGGAATCTGAAGAATTGTACATGGATGACCGCATCATGAGCTCTTGCCTCGAATTCCTGCCGGTGGACCTAGAAGTCTGGAGGATGTTGATCTTGCACTGGAGTCGCTCCTGCCCCGGGCGCCTCGTTGCTTTCACCTTTCACTCAAAAGGACCCGCTCATTGGTTTTCGCTGTGACTGTGATTCTTGCCTTGTTCCACGTGAAACATCTATTTGTGCCAAGATCTTTTTGCCTGGTTTACATCATTGTCGCTTTAAATGGCTCTGGCTATGAGGTCGTGCAAGGAATATCTTCTACCACCAGAGACAGCCTATGCGCGCTGGAGACATGGCAACGGCGGGCCTCGAGTAGGTCATCAGTCTACGATCAATGTGTCTCATGACCAGCAGCAAAGGTCGGCTCCGTTCGATCGGAAGTCTCGTTCCCTTTTGTTCCTTTATACTGGCCTCTCCTCGACTACGGTTGATATACATGTACTGACCTACTCCTCAATCAGCTACGAGTCGTTTGTGCTCGCCAGTGGCGAGAACAAAGTCGAGATGGAGATCGATACTCGTGGGTCCCCATTTTTACTAGACTTATTTGGTTGGCCCTACTAACCTTCTCCATTTGACCAGGCATCCCATCCTCCGCCATCTTCACTTTCAACAAAGAGGATCATACTCTGGGGAATCTGATCCGTTCTCGTCTGTTACAGAGCTCCCATGTTAATTTCGCTGCTTACAAGGTCTGTACCTCCACACTTGGTTATGACTGCTGGCGAGGTTAAATGCTGAACTGAAATTCCTAGGTGCCTCACCCTCTTGTTCCGCAGTTCCAATTGCGCGTACAGACAGATGGCGAGATCACCCCAAAAGAAGCTGTCATCACCGCCTGTCATGAGCTTGTTCGAGACCTGGGCATCCTTTCCCGCGAGTTCACCAAAGAATATGAGCTCCGTAAGATGGTGGGAGCCTCTCAGCAGCAGAACGGTGGCCAGGATGCTCTATAATCAGCAGCAGCTGTTTGCAGACCATAGTCGCTGCGAGCTTACTGAAGTGTCGAACTTTTGAACTTGCGCAGCTGGATATGCGTGCTTCTTTCTTACATCATACCCTTCTTCATTAATTTTCACACTGTTCTCAGCTCAGCTCTATTCACACAGATAGATCGAAATGCAGCTGCACCCGTCCGATCCTTGTCAGCAACTGAGAACAACCTTTATCATTGTTTCTACACTTGTGTTATATGTGACTGCTCCCCACTTGCTTGATATTATGCCCCAGGAATTCTGCAGTTCGCTCTTTCTAACACACAAATTCAACTACTCAGTACTGCTCGTGCGCACTGTGTATATTAGTATTGATGATCTCTCGGGTGCTGAATATATCAACCACCTAAGTGAACCGGTAGGCACTAGGCAGTCAACTTGACTAACTAGTTACTGTTCCTGATTATGTAATATGTCAGCCGCAGTCGCGTCACTGGCCGATCCGCCGGCAGCTCCCTTTCCCAGTTGTTCCCTTCGAATTGCCTTCCCCCTCCAACAACCCCCCGACCTGTTGCCTGTCTTGGTCACGCTCCTCAGTTCTGTCAAATTACCTTCTTTTCCACTCCCATTCCGCGGATTTTTGCCATCTTCTACTTTGACTTCGATTTTTCTTTCTTCTCGCCAGTAAATGCAAGCGCGCATTTGGTAATGTATTCCTCGTCGAGCTCCTTTATGGGCGCCAACAGCGCTCGTCCCGGACAACCTCCTTTCGTGCAACAGCCTCCCTACTCGCCATTTCCTCCCGGCCAACCACAGCAACCGCATCAAACTGGCTTTGCTTCTCAACCCACAGGCTATGGGCCTTCTCAAATGGGCGGGCTAGGAGGTTCTCAGTTGCAGCCTCAGGCTACAGGATTTCCCACTGGACAGCTGCAGCCTCAATTCACAGCCTTTCCAGGAGCATTATCCCCATCGCCTCAAAATGGCTACCAGGGCTCGGCTCTGCAGCCACAGTATACAGGCATTTCCCCCCAGTCGCAGACTACACAATTCCAGGTTTCATCAAATACAGGTCTTCCTCTTCGAGCTACTCCTAGGACATCAACTGAAATGGCAGATTCGTTCCAAGGCAGTACTAATTTGGGTCCGCCGCCTCCTAAGTCAGTTGGAAATAAGATACCCAATATCAGATTGTCCTTTATCACTGCGCAAGATCAGGCCAAGTTCGAGCAGCTGTTCAAGTCTGCCGTGGGAAATAGTCATACAATGAGTGGTCAGTGATGTGAATAGACCCCAGGAGGGGCTTCATTCGCATGAATCCTAACAATGCCTTCTCAATAGGAGAAAAAGCCAAGGAGCTACTACTACGGTCGAATCTCTCAGGAAGTGATTTATCCAGGATTTGGTGAGTTACCAACTCTCTTCTGCAAGTATTAGGGGGTTGCTGATGTTCACAGGGTCCTCTCCGATTCGACTAAGTCGGGTCAATTGTTCTTCCCTGAGTTCGCCCTTGCTATGTATCTATGCAACCTCAGGATCACAGGAAGGGATCTCCCGGACACACTTCCAGAGAAGATCAAAAACGAAGTTTCCAGCATGGTTGACATAATCTCTTTCCAAGTCCCGGATACCCAACCGGACCCCGTTGCTAGGACAAATTTTCCGAAATTCGATGGCCCAATGACGGAGAATCAAGCTACTACTTCAGCTCCGAAGCAGCCACAACCTCGACAACCAACTAATGCCCAGCTTTTGACCCAACTCGCGTCGCAGCACACTGGCTTTCCGCAAACGAGCGACTTCCAGCAAAATCAGTCATCATTCTCAGGCCAAAGTGCTCTTCTTCCCCAAGTCACAGGTTTTCCAGGGCAATCTCGGCAGCAAGCTTTTCAGCATCAGTCGACGGGATTCAACCCTCAGCCGACAGGTTTTAGTGGGCCTCGCCCCCCTATTCCACCGATTCCTACCGGTCTCGGGTCCAACCTTAGCCCTGCACAAACTGGAGCGGCCGCTGGATTAGTGGCACAGCCTACTGGCGCCCCTGGACAATGGGGCTTTGTCAATGCTCCGTCCTCGGGCTTGCCCAATATTGAAGCTCTCAAGCAACAACTCATGCCCCAGCCTGGGCGTGAAGGAGGATTTTCCGCCGTTGGCCTTTCCGGCAACGCTCACATTCCATGGGCTATTACTAAAGAGGAAAAGAAAATATATGATGACCTATTTCGCGCATGGGACGGATTTCACAAAGGATTTATTGGCGGCGACACTGCGATCGAGATCATGGGTCAAAGTGGCCTAGATAGGCAAGATTTGGAGCGCATTTGGACGCTGGCTGATCCTCACAATAGAGGCCGTCTCAACATGGACGAATTTGCTGTCGCAATGCATCTGATCTATAGGAAGCTCAATGGGTATCCCGTGCCTAGCCGCCTACCACCGGAGCTTGTTCCACCCTCTACCAGGAATCTGAATGATTCTATCGGCACTATCAAGACCATGCTTTCTCAGGATGCAGAAACCCGTAAGGCCTCGGGCGCGTTTCTGCAACCGCAGAAGACTGGGGTAAGCTACCTTAAAGAGCATTCATTCCGTGGTGGTGCAGCTTCCCCTAGTGCCGGCCGGAAAGATGCTACGCTGTTCAAGAATAATGATGACGCAGCGTCCGGTTATCGCTCCAGCGCTCGTCGTCGTGTAGGTAACAGCGGTAGGACACCGTCTCCCGCTACTTCGCATGCTTCTGAAGAAGAACTTTCTGTCGACCAACTGAAGAAGAAGCTGCGGGAGACACAGATCATGTTAGATGCCGTGGACTTCCAGGACGAGAATCAGGCTGAGGAGGAGGATGCCCTAGATCGAAGAGACCGGAGAGAGGCGGAAAGCTTGATGGACCGCATTCGACGCGTGCAAGACGACATAGACACCCATCCTGATGCTTTCTTACGCAACCTGGATTCTGGTGCAGAGCGACGGTCATTACGCCGTCAGTTACAAGCTTATGAAGACCAGGTTCCGCAAGTTGCATCAGAGGTCAGATGCATCGAACGAGAGATTGCAGAGGCTCGATTAGAATTATTTCGCCTCAAGGATGCCAAAGATCACCCTAACAGCGTCTCCAACATTGTCGGGACAGGGCCTGGAGGTTCTGTGACTGAGGCTGATCGTATCAAGGCACGAGCGCGTGCCAGGATGCAGGCCCGCGCTGCAGAACTAGCTGGACGGCCAATTCCGCCATCTCAGGATGATGACGGAGCTACCGCTCGTCGCCTCGAAACAGAAGCTGCCAAGGTCAAGGCCGAGAGAGAGAAAAATGAGACGATGACTCGCGATGTAGAAGATAGCGTCAAAGATTTCGCTCAAAGTCTGGAAGACAGTCTCAAAGACGGTTGGGAAAATTCTACACGTGAGCACGAAAGAAGACGTTGGGAAGATGCCTTGGGGGTAGAAGATGTGATTCGAGACTTCATTTACGATCTGAAACGTGGTAGTCGCACTGCGCATATTCGCAAGGAAGAGTAAGTTGTTCTCCCTATCTCCTCCATGCTTACAAGATCAGACGTAGCATGAGTAATTCGTGGATGGCATTAGCAGCTGACAGTCACATCTAGGCAATCCAGGGCAGCCCATGCCGATGCTCAGGGGCCCTATCAGGATGAGAAATCGTCCCCCAATACAGCTGTCGCGCGGTCATCCCCCATGTCTACCAGCTCTATGGGATCAATTCCTGGCTCTACCCATGAGGACAGGGTTGCAGCTGCCAGGGAACGTGCACAGAAACGCATCGCTGAGCGAATGGCGGCTGCGGGCTTGAAACCTCAAAACGATGCCATAGAAACCCTTACACAGCGCCAGGATAGAGAGAAGAGGGAACGCGAAGAACGATTGAAGCGAGCCGAAGAGGAAGACGTCAAGCGTGAACAAGAGAGACAGCGACGTCTAGCCGAAGAGCAGCGAGGACCTACGACACCTTCTAAGTTGGCGGGCAAGAAACCTCCTCCGGCACCACCTTCGAGGAGAGTTCGTACCGATAGTGCCGGTCAAGCTGATGCCAAGAAAGCCACAGATGTAGGAGCTGAAACTGAGCAATCTACCCGGGAACTAGCCATCAGAGAGGAGCAGCGTGCACAGGAGGAAGAGACTATGCGCTTAGAGTATGCCCTCATTACGAGCCTTTGCATCAATTCCCTTCGCTAACACGTGTACCACATAGGTCGGAGGCCAGACTCCGCGAGGAACAGTTGAGGAAGGAGAAGGAGGCACAGGAAGCGCGGCTTGCTGCTCTTGAGGAGCAGGTCAGACAAGGTAAGATCAAGAAGCAAGAAGAGAAGCGAAGAAAGGAAGAGGCAGTTCGTGCGGCGAAGGAACAGGAAGCAAAACTAGCTGCCCAGCGTGCCGAGCTTGAAATGGCAAGAGAAAGAGAACGGCAGCTTCAAATGGAGTTGGAAGGCCTTGATCAGGAGAGTTCTTCAGATGAAGATGGCCCTGAAGACGTTGCTCGGGATACGATCCCGACGAACAACCAAGTTCTCTCAGTGTCGACCACTGCGCCTCCTGCCTCGGACCCGGTGCCAACGCTACCGACAGATCCAGTCGTCAGTCCTGGTCACTCCCCTCCTGGTGCTCTCAGCCCCGAAGCCGAATCCAAGAATCCCTACTTCAAGAAGATCGGCCATAATTCAGAAACCCTGGTTGCTACTCAGCCGTCGTCTCATGCTCCTATAACCTTATCTTCAAAAACTGATTCCCAATCGACGAACCCTTTTCATCGATTGGCGCAACAACAAGAGAGTGCTAGGCCGAGTTTCACTGCTCCTGGTCCTCTGGAACGCAAATCGCGTGCTCGCCCTGAGGCAGATGATGACTGGTCAGCAGCCGGATCAGATTTCGATTCCTCTGACGACGACGCCGACGAACGTCCCGGAGGTGGCAGTGCAAAGCAGCTCGCTAGTATCTTGTTTGGTACAATGGCTCCTCCGCGGCCTCTCAGTGCCATGGATGAGAAGTCCCCGTCCAAATCGTCTACTCCTGTCAACGGTAGCCCGGCAGCACCAACAGTGCCATCTACAGAGAAGGAGGAAGCTGTCTCGGGCACTGAGGAAGCGTTCCTGCCACCTCCTCCTCCTCCCCCTCCTCCAGTGCCTAATGTGAGCGTCGAGCCTCCTGCTCCGCCGCCGCCACCGCCGCCTCCTGCTCCCGGTATGGCACCTCCTGCTCCACCTCCGGGTATTCCTCCTCCACCCGCACCATCAGCGGCACCGGCAGGGCCAATGGACCGAGGTGCTTTGTTAGCCTCCATCCAGGCAGGCAAGGGGTTGAGGAAAGTTCAAACCAATGACCGAAGTACAAGCTCTGCTGCAGGTCGTGTTCTAAACTGAGATTGTCGTCTTCATATCCTTGAAATGTTTGTCAAATACCTTGGCCTGTGAAAGAATAAGTCAGATATGTACTTGAATCACTCTGAATTGATGTTCTATAACACCATGGAGAAGGAACACAGGAAAACTTCATTATGACATAGTTAAATTAACAAGGCATTGGTCTGACTAGGATACGGACCCTCTGGATCTGTGACTCCTTAAATATAAAGTGTATATTCCATAGAGCGGGAGAAGAATTTTGCCTTAGCCGACGCATGAAACCCCTTTCCCTATCCTCCAAACCACGAAACGAATAGGTATCTTACCTAGAACAAGTTTGACTAGAAGCCTTCCAAAACGCTCCAACCTTTCAAGCTTCAGCCTTCAACCTTCAACTCAGGATTTCAGCAATAACATTGCCTAGTGTACTGATAAACCATAAGATCACGAGACCCCACCCGATCTTACGGTCCATTCTCCATCCATTCAACGGGACTACAACCAATAACCCAAGCAGAGTGATCAACAAGGTAGCACCACTGATGATAAGCACTTTAGAGACCTCGATTTCGTATGAGCCGCCATGCGCTGCGATAGCTTCGGGCCGCGCATTCACCGTCATATATAGCCCGCCCAAGCCAATTCCGAGAAGAATGTTGAGCATGGGGCCCCCAAAGCAAGCACTCAAAGCCATGACAGGATAGCCCAAGCGCGCAACGGTAATATCTGCAACGAGATCGCCCAAGGAGTTTCCCACTGCAAAAACGGTGAGCCCCAGAAGAGAGTCACTGATGTTTAAAATAACACCCAAGGTCTTGAGAAGATTGACCACTTCGGTGGCGATTGTCGCAATCAAGAAGATGGCAACCACAAACCCGAGAAGCGCTAGAAAGGGCCGCCACTCATCTGGAGGCTGGGAAATTGAGCGGTGTCGCGTGCTGATTATAAGGGCTGTGCTACAGGTCAGAGAGAAGAGGAGTGAAAGCAAGAACGGTAACAGCAGATTACGAATCTCCAGATCGGGATCCATAGCTGTCCATGTGATCAAAGCCACAAATAAAGGGCCGATGAAAAGCTGGACCCAAACTAGCCAAGAGCACCAGTCTTTGGTGGTCATTGAAGTCGAATCCAGGCTTGTCTGGGCGGCCGGAATTTCAGAGTCGAACCGCAATCGTGATGGTGCGCACTGAGATTTCTGACTTGGATGAAAAGTATGCTCAGCCATAGCGTCCTGATCAAGCGCATGCAGGAGCGGGCTGTCCTCTGGTAAAGATACCAAGGGCGCCGGGGCGTTGACAGCATCCGCAGGTGTTATGACGACAGAAACTGCCCCCGCATCAGGGATTGGTGGTGCTGCTTCGATAACAGGGAGCGTGATAGTTAAGAGAAACACACTAGGAGCTGCGACGACTCCTAGAAGTCGTTCCCAAATAGATTTAGATCTCCAGCCAGCAATTGTAGGGAAAAGGGTGAAAATGATCGACTCGAATTTGGACCAAGACGTTGTCAGAGGTATCGCTGGAGCATTAATTCGATTGCCCTCATTGTCAAGGACACTGTCCTGAATCTGCAGTGTTTCCGTAGGGCTTGTAGCAGGCGGTAAGCGTAGGCTGGATGCCCTCGAGGACACAGGATTTATCCCATCTACAAGAAGTGGGAATGGGCTGGTTGGGCTATCTAGAGGAGCATCCGTAGATATAGCCGTCCCCCGCGGGGAAATCGGCAGTGGAGAACAGGGGTGCGAGGTTGATGATTGGTAGGTAGGGAAGCGGAAAGTATCTGGAGGAGCAAGCAAGTTGGGACTCTGGGGTGGGTAGTCAGACTGATGTGCACTAGGCATCGCTTGATGGTCAGTCGAAGGGTGCCTAATAGTTAGTAATGGTTGTCGTGAACAAGAATCTAACAGGGTTGTGTCCAGTTTCAGGTCTACCGCAGCGTTAGCAGACACAGCTCGACCTCGTGTCGGACCACGCGCTTGAATACAATGCAGGCGGTTGTTGGCCAAAGGTTGACTAGCGTGCGGATGAGATGCAACCGACATATTGTCGGAATGCATATATGGCGAGGCCAACTCATCGATATCTGAAGATCGATCAAGATTGACGGGTGGGGCGATTGACTGAAAGTTCCTCGATTTCTCAAGAGAGGCAAGAATGGACTGGAACTCCAGTGCACCCACGAGGCTTGGACGGATTGGATTCATTGTATTTCGTCGGCGAGCAACTGGGCGGAAGACATGCATGTTGCCCCGTATCTCGGCTAAGTAACGGTTGCGGGTGTCGTCGTCTTCCTCTCCTTCCCTCCAGATTGCACCATCGGACCTTTCAAGCGCGTGGAAATCTTCGCCACCGAGGAGACCCGTTGACTCGGAGGCTACCCCGGGATCATCATTGTCCATCTCCTCAATGTCTAGTTCCTGATTATCGGGTATATGGAAGTGTGACCGTGCTGCTAGGTCGCGCTCGTAGGCTCGGCGCCGTCGCAGGAAGTACCAGTGCCATGTTACAACAAGTACCACATAGAAACAGTATAGAGCTACCATTGTGGCTGACTCCCAAACATGTAGGCGTCCGTCACCAAGTAGAAACATACTGAAACTCACAGCCACGACGAAGTAACCTACGTCTCGCAGAAAACTCCTCCGCGCGACCTTGAATGGACGGACCAGCGCCATCGAACCAGCAACCACCGATGTTATGAAGCTTGCTGCGCCGATCAGTTCTCCAATGGCCAGGCTCCCACTGTTTGATCGCATGGCCGCAAATGTGGAGAAAACGTCGGGGCTTCCGTTGCCGAAGGCAAGGAAAGTGACGCCAGTGAGGCTTTCGCTTAAACCGAGAACGCTGGCCAGTGTGCTCAAGTCAATGCAGAGGAAATCACTGGCAGCAATTCCGATGGTACTGAATAGAAGTGACAGCCACAAGATGATAATAATGAGTGCCAGTGGCTTCGCATCTGCTAGGGTGCAGTAATAAAGCTCAAGGTAGGATAAAAGTCCATCTTGATCATCAGCACAATTTGTCCGGATAAAGCTGCACTGATCCTCGGCTTGACGAACCAAGCGACACTGTATCAAAAGAAAGACAGATTAGAGCTCCGCGAAATACCCACAATGGCACAAGATCGCCTAGCTGATTTAAAGGGAGATACCTACCTCGACTGCGTTGTCACGCTGGCGAAGCCGCTGAAGAATGAAATCAACTGGTTCATGTCTCAGCCGCCCCAGAGCCCAGCTAGAAAGTCCAAGTAGGGTCAGAAGTAAGATGGACCAGCAGAATGGCCGAACAGAGTAGCGCTTGAGTCGAGACGCCCGATTGGGGCGAGAAATTAGTCCTGGAAGCATTGTGGGAAACATTGCGGCATCCTGGACGACAGGCCGTCACGATCCGCACGCGCCCCGATAAGCACGTGGCTGCTACGAGCAAAGGGAGCACCATCCAGCTGCGGCAAAGAGGGAAAGAAAATGAATCCAGCCTTACCACACTCTGAAGAAGAGAGTAGAGGACTCTTATGTCGCGCGAGAAGATGGGTCGTGGGTGAGAGTGAAGGGTGAGAACAGGGTTCTGGGAAAAACTACGGAGTAGCAAGCGCTAAGTCAACTACCGAGTATAGAGAGTAAGTGCATCGGCCACTGATGTCACGCTAGGAGGCGGTGCAGTAGTAATCAACTGGTACTGTAACTAATACAACTTAACTAGTTAGTTAACTAACGTAATCAACGGTTGGACGGCCCACACGGTTGGGCGGCCCATCTGGTTATCCATATAAAAGATGCTTATTTGATACTATTATATCTCAACCAATACTGGAGCTAATTAGTTCTAACTTCACGTCTAAATAATAGACATTCTAAAAAATAGTATATGATTTTTTCAAAATTTGAAGAATTTTTCTTATATGAATTATATCAATGTATCAGAATTTCATATAAAATACATATATTATGATATAATAAGATACTATTTCTGTTTATATAAATTCTTGAAAAGTATTAAATGATTATTCATATACTCTATAATCCATTTATGCATTATTAAGCCTTCTAGACTTAGAATGGTTGAGATAACTTGTGTTTGAAAAGAGTCTTTTATATAGTATTACCAGATGGGCCGCCCAACCGTGTGGGCCGTCCAACCGTTGATTACGTTAGTTAGCGCTGCATTGACTCAGCAAGCGGGGAAATTGCGCCAGTGGTTGCTCTGGCGAGACGGATGTTTTGTTGATTGTTTGTTTCGTGCCATAGGGACTGGTAGCAAAACGAACATCAGCACCACCACAACCACTATCGTCACCGTCATACTCTGCGAATACATGGCTTTGCTGCCCATATCCTGTACTCACAGTTTCTGATCACTGTCTTTAACGGATCGCTGCAGTGGCCTGCGCTCATTCTCAATCTGGTCTCACCAGTTGGATCAAGACCCCCTACCCCTCCCTCTCCCCCGAAAGGGACACACCCCTCTGCACAATGCCCCGCGTGGCTAGTTCTAAGCACCGTCGCTCCAACGGCGGCGCATCTACGCCTCTCAAGAACTCTCCCATGAGGTATGGACATTCATATCTTCATCATTCGCTCGGTTGCAAGTGCTGACGGTCTTAGGATTCCACTCAACGACGACATGGGAGAGAAAGCGGCGCGCATGGAGGCGCGCCAAGCTCGACATGACCGCCACATGGACCAGATAAAGGCTGCTGTCAAGACGCCTATGCCACCCCGACGATACACCGGATATGATATTAGTGCCAGTATGAGTCCCGCCACCCCTAGGGGATCAGGGTACCGAGGGCGAGAAAGTGATGTGAGTGGACGCAGGGCCGTAACACCGATGAAGCGCGTACCGATCTTAGCCAATTTCGAAGAGTGGATGAAAATGGCGACTGACAACAAAATCAATGCTAACAACTCCTGGAATTTTGCCCTTATTGACTACTTTCATGATATGTCGCTCCTCAAAGAAGGCGATGGTGTCAACTTTCAGAAGGCTAGTTGCACGCTCGATGGCTGTGTCAAGATCTACACAAGCAGAGTAGATAGTGTGGCGACAGAGACGGGCAAACTTCTAAGTGGCTTAGCCGACAGCCGTGACAAAAGAGCTCGCGAAGCTGGAGCTGAGGGTGGCAATGACGATGGAGCAGAGCATGATGATGATGATGATGATGAAGGCACTTCTAGGAAGTCAAGGAGAAAGGTTTGTGCATATATAGATCTACCCTAGATTGCCATATGTCACTAACCCTGATAAAGGCGCAGCGATCACATGAAGCTACATTAGCACCATCGTTCTCCTCTCTGCAATTGAAAAAATTTGAGCTGGAGTTCTCTGTTGATCCGTTGTTCAAGAAAGCCTCCGCCGACTTTGACGAAGGCGGGGCCAAAGGACTACTTTTAAATCACCTATCGATCGATGGTCAGGGACGTATAGTCTTTGATAGCAGCGATGATGCGGCCGCGGCAGCTGAAGCGAACTCGAAGGAGATGGACAATCAAGGATCCGGGTTTGAAGAACTTGAAACACTGCAGTCACCGTCTTCAACCAAAAAATCAGCAGACAACATGTTTGAGGACAATATGGAAATAGACATGACACCCTTGGCGAGCCGCTTTTTTCCCAGCTTGGACCTCCTCGACAATCAAGACATTTGCCCCTCCCTGAAGAATTTCGACCTCGGCGACCCAAGCGGTTCTTTAGATATTCCCTTCCTGAAGGCCCTCGATGACTGGCGACATGACAGAGCTCAAGAAGACGCAAACGCTGTAAATGATGCATCTGGCATCATGCTGGACGATGACAACGCAGTCGGCTTCGATGACGATGACGATGCAACATTGGCTGGCTTCGATCTGGGCGGAGCTGCTGGCTTCGGTGAGGGGGGTGAGGCCTGGGCCCGTGAAGCTGCTTTGGAGCCCATGCTGAAAGTTCATCGTATTGATCGCGAGGGCGAGGAGAATGCAGACGGCGATGACATGGACCGTGATGACGACGATGCCTATGCTATTTCTCTAACCCATCAACCGGACAACAGGGACCATGAGAATATTCTCAGCTACTTTGACAACGCACTACAGAAGAATTGGGCGGGGCCAGAGCATTGGAAAATACGCCGGATCAAGGAGCATGCCGCTGCAAGCAATGCCAACGTTGCGCCCAAGCAACGTAGAGAGAAGGAACCGTTTGAGATTGATTTCTCTACACCGCTGGACTCTACTATTGGGGAACTGATCTATACTCCTGCGAGTTCAAACACTACAATATCACAACCCAAATCCCAATGGAAAACAAAGGGTCGGAACCTTCTTCCGGACGACAAGCACTTCAATTCACAACAGCTGCTTCGTCTCTTCCTCAAACCAAAAGCCAGAATGGGTTCCAAAAAGCTCGGCGGGTCAAAGCGTTTCAGCGATAGGCTAGATGATCAAAGTCAGGGCAATCGAGAAATGGACGAGGCATTTTGGGCAACCCACAAACCGCAGGATGCTGCGACTTCTGATGAGGGAGCTCGAGGGGCATATGACGCGAATTTCTTTGCAGATGATGATGGCCTTGCATTCCCGAACGGTTTTGACGACGATGACGACGAGAACCTCCCATTCGCTGACGCTAGAGAGATGCTGTCCCCGCCCGCGGATGTTGCTCCAGGTGCATCTCTCGGAGAAGCCGCAGGTACATCAGGCCTACCTGCGCTCCTTAACATGATGGGATCAGCCCCTGGATCCACGTTAACAGTTGGTGCCGGAGGATTCGGTTCTCAATTGGTTACTCAAGGCGGTCGTCGGGCGCGTCCTGAGTATGTCGCCTATGCTAGAGTGGCTAAAAAGGTTGATGTGCGTCGATTGAAGCAAGAAATGTGGAGGGAAATGGGGGAGCGGCTGATAGCATCCTCCCAATTTGATACACCTCATGAGGCAGATACTGCCCCCAATGCAAGCCAGGGAACCTTGCTCCAGAATCCTGAGATCGCGACGCAGTCGGCTCCGACCTCTACAGTCATAGATAAGACACAAAAGGATGATTTTCCGGATGGTACACTTCGATTCACTCATATTATGAACTCGCTAAAAACAGTCTACGCCCCAGAGAAGTTACGCGACATAAGCACGTCGTTCGGTTTCATCTGCCTGCTCCACTTGGCCAATGAACAAGGATTGGTTCTACAAAATGATGATAGCCCTTGTGACTTCAGTGCTGGGAAGCTAGAAGAAATCTTTGTTACCAAAGATGCAAATGCAATTCTTGACGAGGGAGAGGCATGAGTGGACTTTCGCAATTGATGATACTACCACGTGCACAATATTGATTACGACATGAGATGTGCCGATGAGTAAATGACATGCCTGGGTCTTGTGGTCATAGGCGTTTAGGATCGGGGGGCTCTTACATTGGTAAAAGCCAGTGTGGCTTATTGGGTCTTTGTTACAATATTCGACAGAAGATCCAACCTGTATCTTCCATTTGTGTTTATCGACTACGCTGTTTCTCTTACCCCGCTCACATGTCAAATATTTCTGGAACTCCGCGAAATTTGAACAAAACATCTCTTATATGATTATTGTAACACTAACTTTACTGTGGTTCTCCCATCACCCGGTGTACCACGTGACACAGTTAAGCGCAAGAATACCACTGGCTTGCGGAGAGCCAGGATTGCAATTTTAATGGCGCAAGGGGCGACAGACAGATATGATACTATAGGACATGTGTGGTATCATTTCGAAATATGTATCAATAAGAAGGTCCAAGAACAATTGGAATACAGCAAACTGTAAAGAAGCTCGGATAGGAGAAAAGGGAAATGAACTTGAAGGACGATGGCTATTTCCATAAATTCAGCAACTCCAGACAGGGGAGGACCCAGAGATGTCTGAGGCGAGTGGATGGAAGGTCGAATTGCTAGTCACGGCTGGAGCCCTAGTAAGGCTTCCGACCAAAGCATATAATCGACACAACTTATTCATTTTCTCAGATGTGAATAATTTCTTGGACTCCCTCTTCTTCGTTCCTCTTGACTATTGACTCATCCCCGGGGAAATCCTGGGCTCATGGGGCTTTTGTATGCAACGGGAATGGGTACACCCTCGTAGGTACGTTCGCCAGGCGCGGCCCCCATGTGATGACTTGAATTAGTTGGAATTAAAGCGGGTGCACAAAACTCTTCTTGAACTGGCTGAGGAGTCGCATGCTGGACCCGAATAGGTGGCGGCTTGAGTTGGAACGGCGCTTGGGTTCTGTTCTCGGTTGGCTGATAGGCAAACTGAGTGGCATATACCTCACCATTCTCTGCTGCCGAGTAAGAATCCTGCAGAAAGGCATCATGGGGAATGCCAGTGGATACAAAAGGCGCCTTTGTTGTGGGAAACCCAGGAGTGTTCGGTGCGGACTGTCGTAGCTGGGCCATGTACAGATCTGTTCGGGCGCGATCACGGCGGTCCATCGACCTGGCAAGTTTCCTTTTGGTCCAGAAACGGTACGCAACGATCACATATACCAGGAGAACTAGTATTTCCAGGACGATTTCGATCACGGCACACACCAATCCCCAGTCCTGGTAGGTTTATTGTGTGAGCCAGAGAAACGACGAGAGGAGGATGTCGGCTTACCTGTAAACGACAAAGGAGTGCGTAGTCGATTTGATCTTGAAATAATTGCTCTCTTTCATTGTGAACACAAGACCAACCCCACAAATCTTTGTTGTTCCCACTAGACTTAGAGTGCTGAAAAATGGCAGCGGCTACGATCCACATCACCAGATCGAAGACGAAAACGCCAACTGTAATTGACGAGTAGTAGAATGCAAACTTCTCCGCGCGCTTGTGGCCCCCTTTCCAGTAACCCCAAAATACTGCGAGACACGCAAGCAGAGAAAGACACGAGACTCCCAGCAGCAGGTACTGTGGCCAAGGATTTGTGCCTGTCTCCCACGGTGGAAAGGTGTTTCGCTCAGGGATTGACTTGGTCGCATGGAAGACGGTCAGCGTAGTACCAAGAATCGTCAAAACGATCAGACTGCATCCGAAATTGATGAAGCGAAGGAAAACCTTGGCTACACGAACACGCAATTTGATGCGCTACAATGTCATCGTCAGCACTCATAGTTATCAAGACAGTCGATGCTTAAGATTGACTTACAAGGTCTCTGGCATTCTCCTTCTCTGTTACCTTCTCTTGCTTTTCCACGTAGAACTCTTCCCGAAAGGTTGGACTCAACGGGTTGAGTGTGCGCCCTGGAGTTCCGGGAACCTTGAGGGCGCTCCTCAAGCCCGGGGTTGGGAGATCATGGTGCGAGGCATGATGGGCAGGATCGCTTGCAGCGACGTATCCGAAACCCACGTCGGATACATTGGGAGGGGTTTGGGAGTCCTCGGGTGGGTCTGCGAAAGGTGACCGTTCCAGATCCGCGGCAAATGCAGGAGAATGAATGGTTTCTGTCTCTGCAAACCGAGCCACACGAGGACTTTGGAATGAAGATGTTGATGAATCGGGAGAGTCTCGCCTATGATCAGCGACCGTAGGTGTTGACATTGCGCTGGGATTACGCCCACTAACGATATCAATTGGGGATACGGCTTCGTAGGTTCGAGGCGAGCTTTTTTGACTCTCTTCCGACACAGGCATGTGTATAGATGGCCGTTCACAGAGGGTCTGTAAACAGCAAACGCTCGAAGGTATGGAGACCAGCTCTTAACCTTACCTCACTGGACGATCGACAGGTTTGAGCGTCTTAAATAAGTGAACAGATCAATGCATCAAAGAGCATTGGGTTGAAAATAAACCCTTCTCCTGTTTGTTGAGCCTATTGATGGTCAAATTCAAGGCGAGGAGATCCTGCACACAGCGCTGGTGGAGGAAAGGGATACACAAGGAACTATAAGAAAGGGAGGAGGGAAGAGGAAGAAAAGCCGAGTCTGGACAGCATGATCGCATTGCATATCAATTAAGAGGGCCCTGAACCTGGCCTTCTCCATTTGACAGTGGGAAGAGGGGAATGTGTGAACATCATTGCACCAAATGTATGCGAAGAGAAGAATAAGCGCCGAACAAGGTACAGCACTGTCTAGAGTAGATGGTGATTGGGTGAGCAGGGAAGTCAAAAGGCAGAGTGAAAGAGTACAGAAGCCCAATTCAACACGGCGACTGGATGTTGGCTTGGATCACTAAAGCAATCAACCTGGGCTTGTCACAGTGGAGACAAGAGCACGCGATTCGCCTCAAGCAAAGACTCGGAGGGGTTGTCACTTCAGATGGATGCACGTTCCATCACCTGAAGAACGAATCACAAGGGTAGTCTACTTTCCCGAGCGCCAAAATTAAAGTGTCTCGACTCCCTCCTAGTTCCATTATCCACCAACCAGATGGGCTGCAGAACCGCTGGTCATTTTTCTCGTATATCAGTAGGGAAATCTAAGAAGGTGATGAGAAGGGTGATAAGAACTTGAGATGGATGAAATTCGGAAACTACCTATCCTAATCCACTGCACCACTGCATGCAGCTTCAGCTGTACTGACTCACGGAGTACGTACTGAGTTATAGTCTGTACTTCCCTCTTCTTCTTTTCCTTCTCTCTCACTTACTACCTCACACTTGGTTCTCTTCTGTCTTGCCCTTCCCAAGCAGCAGCAGGATCTGTAGACAGTTTCCCATGGGCTATGAGAATAGAAAACTACATGTAACCGGGAAGCTCGAGCCAGTTTCCGGCAGGCGGTCAGAGGACACAGCCACTCCAAGGAAACCTGCCGGCCCCTCAGGGCTACTGAGGCTAACGGAGTAGGCGGTCTGCAGTAACCAGCCACAATAATTCTTGTTTATACGACACAGCCTCATAACTCTGTCTTCAGTTACAGTAACTTACATGTAAGAACTTTTTGTAATCAGCGTTCGATATTCAAACCTCCTGAGGTATTTTTAGACTGTTGACTGTACGGAGTAAAGGTTGGGTCCGGCCAATGGCCCTGAGCCTCACTCCCTCCAAGTTTCCAGCCACACTCCAGCCTGCTCGTGTTTCCCTCCGCTCCCTTTCTTACTCCTCCTCTTTCCCCCCTCCCTCGATCTCTCACTCTCATCCTCTGCCTATCTCTATCTCCCTTGGTCTCCGTCTAGCTTATACCACCTTACTCTCCTCCCTTTTCTCTCTTTATGCTCCTTCGCCTACCGGCTCCCTCTTCTTGACTTTTATGCTCGATCACGAGTACGTACTTTCGATTTGATATTCAATGTTTCATTAGGTATTGATGAGAACCTGGTCTTTTTTTCACCACCACAGCCACTCTCCACATCCGACCTGAACCGCAAGTTCACAACAATAGCAACAAATCCACCTCCAGCCTCCACTTTACTTGCTCTTTGCCTCCTCATCCCGTCCCAATTCTCCCAACTAATCCAAGTGCTCGGTCCTGCATTACCTGTATGTGTTTCGGTCAAGGAACGACGATTTGATACCACCCCCAGTAAGGCAGCTCGACTGCTTTTCCCCTGCTTACTACCGCATTCCCTTGTCTGTGCCATTGTTCTCCGCCTCGTTCACTATCTGCAATCAATCTTTCTTATGGTATGCTCGGCAGGTTCATCCCTCCCCTACCCTTCTCCACAGCACCTTGATTTCAATTGTTTGTTCCGCTCCTGTCAATCACGCTTTCAACGTCTCACTCTCCACCATACGCCGCCCCCCTCCTCATTCTCAACCCTCCTTCGCCCTCCTTGCCTTTACTTGCCTGGCCGCTTCGCTTCCTCTGACATACTGTGGAGGGGCCTACTTGTGCCTGAATCACTCTTTACTAGACCTAGTTTGCATGATCCTTTGCCAACATTCTCGGTTTGACAAGTAGAGGCTTTGATTTCCTTTCTGCAGCCAGTACTATACCCTCCAAGGGCCTCATACTGTCCTTCGCCAGATGGGCTACCATCAGCTCGGCCCGCTTTTTACTCAGATCCGAACGCTAGAATCAGGCATCTTCATCGTCTGAGTGTAACATCGCTCTCTGTTCTGGGCTTCCCTTGCAGGGGCCTCATCCAGTCTCTTTGTCTGATTCTTCCAATACCTTTTTTTTAGTCAAAGAAAAAGAAATCAACATTCAAATCCCTATATGGGCTTCTGGTTTGCGCCTCTCGGTCGTCCCACAGAAATTCGCGCGAAGGCTGAATTGATCGCCTCGTCAGCTTGCGCCACACTCGGTTCAACCAAGGTGAGCGCCCCACGCGACAGCGCCGCCTCCTCCCTCGGGACATCGTGCATTCCTTCGTCGACACTCTTCTATCAGAAACCTGTCTCCCCCTTCGCATACTGCATCACGTTTTGTATTTCTCACTTTATTTTCAATCGCTCGTCTTTTCCAATCCCTCAATGCTTGGTTCCTAAATTCACTGACCACAGTTCTACCGCGTCAGCCTCCCATACTTTTGCCAAATTTCTTAGGCTGGCGAGAAACAAGCATTATCCATGGCGGCGTTGATGCAATCGAATAAAGAACCTGTCTCCATCCCTGCCCCACTGTCCGGATCATCCGCTCCGATCATATCGACCTCGTCGGAGTCGATTGCCTTCTTCAAGCAACCCAGACCCGATTCCAGTCTGACGTCGATTGCTAGTGCTGGGCTGAACGTTTCGCGCTCGAGAGAACTACTACCGCCAATGATGAACGCTAGTCCTGCTACAGGTCCCACGGATCGGCCGCTGGAACAAGGAAAAGAATCAGAGCAGCGCAGTTCGCAAGTCGCGAGGGAGGCACTCGGTGCCAGCGAGAAGCAGCAGAATAGCTCGACACCTGATGGCATGCATCTGTCCTCAGACCAAATGCAGGTTGATCCTCATCCAGCCCCGGCGAACGCATCTGATACCTTCGGCCAAACCGAGAACACTACGACCCTGATGGCTACTTCGACAGTAGCCAGTCCCGGCCCGATCGAAGAGTCAACCTCACATGATGGAGATCACTCTCGTCGTCGAGATGAAGTTTCCCAAGAACCAGGCAATAAGGCGTTCTCTTACCCTATGCCGACGGCCAGTTTAAGCGACCCTCGCCGTGGCCTGAGCCTCCCGAACTCCGGCTTTCAGAAGGGCCAGCGATCACCATCGGCAAAGAAGCACCGGTGTCCTTACTGCTCTACAGAATTCACGCGGCATCATAATCTTAAAAGTCACCTTCTCACACATAGTCAGGAAAAACCATATGTATGCCAGACTTGCCAGTCACGCTTTCGCCGGCTGCACGACTTGAAGAGACACACCAAACTACATACTGGTGAACGGCCACACATTTGTCCCAAATGTGGACGCAGGTTTGCTCGCGGAGACGCTTTAGCTCGCCACAATAAAGGTCAAGGGGGGTGTGCTGGCCGTCGTGCTAGTATGGGAAGCTATGCGGCGGAAGATGAATACGGTGACACTGCAGCTGCAGGTGCGGCGGAGGATGCCATGGACGGGCTTGTTTATGCTGAACCGGAGCGTATGAACGAAGAAGATGAACGGCGACTCAATATGCCTAGTATCAAAAAGCACGAGCTATCGGCGGACTCGACTTCTCGGGCCAATACCGCTCCAAGTTATCAGTCACGACAACCGAGCACTTACCCCCCTGTTGTGTCTGGCAGACCTTCCCCTGGTGGTCTTCTTCCGCCGCCCAGTCACGGTGGCTCTAGCGCGTCGACCTCCCCAATTTCACAATCAGGCAACATGCCATTTCCCCCCTCCGGTCAGCCGTCGAACTCATCTGTATTCCCAACCAATGTTACTGAAAGCCCAAAGCCACTTTCACCCAATGCTTTATCCTCCTGCCAAGTCGGTCATAATCCAGAGAATCATGCTCCACAACATCGGGCTCATTCCCCTGGACTATCGCAAACTCTCCACCAACAAAGCCAACAACCGTACAGCAGGGCTGGCCCCTCAGCGACTCCAGGCTTGGGCTTTCCCCCTTCTCAATCATCAGCCCCCCAGCTGCCTCCACCCCCTGGGTTGAACTCTTCCGATACTCGATTTGCGCTTCACTCGCAGGGAGCTGTCCCCGCGCCTGCCCCGGCTGGCCCGAAACATACCACGTCTCTCAACCATTCTGGCAATCAAAGCGGGCCCTTGTCCTGCAAATCAGGGTCAGAAGCAGCGTTGAATAATGGCAGTCAGCTCTCCAGCTCTCATGAAGCCAGCTATCTTGATCAGAGTCGTGAAGGAGAAGGAAAGCTCTGGGCATACATACGATCTATTCATGACGAGTTAAACGGGTTGAAATCAGAGGTCGCTTCGCTCAGGGTACAATTGGCGTCGGCCAATGTTAATGCATTAGCAACCTCTAGCATGCCGCCAACCCAGCCAGAGTCTGGTAGTGCCGCTGCTGGGCCACGTTGAACGATTTTCTGCACAGCTTCAGTTTGTGTTTCTTCGGTCCCTCCACCTGTCCGATCCCCTACCCGCGGACCGTATCTGTTCTGTCTAGCGCCTAGATCACCGCCGGACCATTATTCTCATCATCTCCACTTGTGTGAGCCGCGTATTTCACGTCGTTCAAGTTTCTCAAAATACCCGGCGATTGTGTTGTCAGTCGATCACCAAGATCTGCATCACAAATTGCCAACCTTCCATGCTCCTTTCGCAGTCTTGCTCCGCTCTGTATCCTCCGTGGTTTCGAAATATGACGCCCTTGATGAGCATTATTCTTTTATCGTATGTAGACAAGGGTTCCCCGTCTGCCCTCCAGCTTGCCATTAGCAGCACGGGGCAACACCGAGCCTTTCTTCGTTCTTGTATCCTTAATAATCAGTCTGTCTGTTCTTCACTTCGTTTAATTACTGTGGTCGCGGAGTGGCGCACTAGTCGCCAGGCTATTGTGGGTAATTGACCGAGTGTGGATCTGCTGCCCACTGCTTATACATGTCGTCCGACTCCTGGTGCTACATACGTTAATTTACCATCATCGTTCCCGGTCCTTCGGGGGCGCTCATTCCTTCTACCTTGTTACATTCAAAATCTGCGAATCCGCGCGTTCCCGGAAAAGTGAGCAGGGCTATCCAAAAGGTCATAGTTACTTGGCAGCTCCCTAAGCCGCAGGCCCTCGGCCATCTGCGATAAACTATAAGAGGTAGAATGAGTATGAGGGCGAATCAATGTAAATGATTGTCATTGGACATGCGTAAATCCCCGGCCTTGCCTTCTGTAGTCTGAACATGGCCCGTTCGTGAACATATCGGCCTTTTATGATCTCTTCCTAGCTATCCACCCAATGAATAGACCAACATCCGCCACGACAGCCTTTGGGGCTCCACCCAGACTCCAGCTTCTTTGCACCCAGCTTGGAATAGCTCCGCCAGCATCGGATGTGGTGGCCATTGTCCAAGTGACTACGTCGGCGTCCATCTCAGAAGGGGTGAGTAGCACCTCTTCGACGCTCGCATAAGTGGCTAGAGTCGCATTTGTGGGCTGTGCAGCCCTGACAGCATGAAGTAGGTCGGGAAGAGTTTCAGCCGGCTCCGCAGACGGAGACAGGGGGATCTGCACGGTCACAAAGCCGCTCTGATCGCCGGGTCGGTCCGCGGAGACGACGAGCACGATGAAGGAGCGCGGGGCAATCAGACGCTTCGGATGGAAAGTATGGATAATAATGTTTACTGGTTATGGTTTTCAGGTGAGCAAGCATATTCAGACAATGGCAATCGGTGTAACAAGTGTTGTTTGCACATAACAGAAGAAGTCACTTAACTCACCATGAACTTCCACCTGCTGCCACCCACCTTCGATCACTGACTGGGAAGGCCACTGCAGCAGAGTCTTGACGGCGGTTACGCTAGGCGTGTACTCCATCTCATTCACAGAATGATTCTCTCTGAGCCCGGCACGAAACTCGGCCCAAGATGCGGTGCCATCGCGGGCCGCATCTTCATGAATGCTCGTCCGACAGATCCAGAAATCAGAGCTGGGTTTCTTTTTGGGGTCAGTGCTAGATGCTGCTTGGGACACCAAGCATGTAGAGAGATGGACAAAGGCAGTAGCTGGGGGGGAGGGGCGTAGTCGACGAGCAGGTTTGAAAGTGGTTGGGATCGCGGTCACGAATGACTGGGCTTCAGTCAAAATATCGTGGAGGAAGTCGTGTAGGGGTGGTCGAGCTGGTGAGTGTGTGAGGGAGGGGTGATCGGGTAAAATGGAAAAGGGATGCGGCTGAAGACGAATGTATGGTGGTGGTGACATGGTGGGAGGGAGTATGTTGTCGAAAGATAAGTAATGCAGTAGAAGCATGTAGTCCCTGAAGAGTGGAAACGGGAGACTAGGGCGAGAAAAGTATGTAAGGGTCACACTAGAAATATGCGCCATATAAACAAACGACTTTCCTTCTCCCATCTTCGTTGGCTGTCTCTTGTTATGGCACACACACTCAAGTATATGTTTATACATTCTACGTCATGTTACTCTAGGCATCTCGGACAGATTAACTGCTCAAGTCGACGCAGACTATACAAGCATCTAAGGGTATCAGGTATACATATATCATCAGACTCCCATCACAGCCTGCGCACTCCCGGACCAACACTGCCCGTCTCAAAGAGTTCAACCAGCCCAGCTCCAAGGGCTTCTTCGAGCGCCCACCGGAAGCTCATCCCGTACAATTGTTTCCATTTCTTTGTGCGGCCAGGCAAAACGCCCGAAATCTCGCCTCTAATCCTCTTAGCTACGTTGAAACTTTGGTCATTCTCAACAGCTCCGTCCCATCGCTCCCGGAGAAGGTGCAACGGAACCTCTCCTGCACCCGACCGGTCCAAGAGCGAAAGAAGATGGGACCGACTGGCATCGAGTAAACGAAGATAAGGCCCGGTATTGGGCAAGGAAAGAAAGAGGGTCGAGGTGTAAAACGAGTTGCTATGGTCGGCTGCGGGAATGTGGTTCCGCGCATCATGCGGGCTCTTTCGACTCGCAGGGGTAGCCACGGCTGTATTGTTTGGCAGCGCGGGAAGTGATGCGATGCTCGATGAACCATGTGCTAACGACGAAGAGGAAACAAGGAACCCGGCGCGAATCAAGGCCATATACTCCGGTACGGTGAAGGCGCTGCCAGAGATGGCAGAAATATTGGCGGTACGTTGTAAGATCTGTTGGAATTTATCTAGTGACAATCACCACAGTCAGCAAAAATCATTTCGTCCTTAGCCTGGTCGGTAAGAGCTGGTGTCAGCCAGTACGTTTTACCGATGCTTCCAGAATACCGTTGTCCTGCACCAGCTGATCCCACTCTTCAGCGAGTACAAGGCAATCGCCCAGGCCCGCGGCATCACTACCTCTTCCTGGCACAAGCAAACGTCGCACGCGGCCCGATGTCACCATCTCCATGATTTCTTTTTCAACCTGCGTTGGGGCATCGAGTACTGTATGTATATGGGCCACGGAGGCAAGCGGGGGCAGCGACCGACGGAGATTCAACACTTCGGCAATTCGTGTGCTATTCATCCCCGCTCGCTGGGGGAGATTCTCGAACATGGTTGTTCGAATGTATCGAATTGCCTGCACCACGTTGGTCAAGGAGGCAGTCTCTGAAATGTATCGCGACAGCCCCAGGTCGGGTAGCTGGTCCTGATCATGGACATCTTTCCAGCTGGACCTAAGAGCGGTTGCCGACGAAGCCGCGGCTTTGCGACGAGGATGTGCGGAGAAGGGAGAGGGTTGCGGCCTGACATGGTTGGATTTTCGATTTTTCTTGATTCCAGCAACAGGGGCAGAAGTAATCCGCAAGGGCATGGCCGTATGAGCGTTTTTCAGGAGAAATAGAAATTGCTAAGGAAAAGAATGGTTCAAGGTGAAGAACAAGGGAAAAAGAAACCGGCAGCAGACCAAAACCTTGCAGCCTTACTCCGTAATTACTCCGCAGGCCGATCCAGGAACTAACGATTATCAATCTGACACGTGATAGAATCAATTGTGAGTGGTTATAAGTTATGATACGCGATGTGATACACAGTACGGAGGACGCAGTACAGAAACCATTCACAATCCCTGCTGATTATGATGAAACTTGTACTGTATCGGCACGTACTGTACCGCCCGACTCTGGAACTGACTGCACAGCCACACCGACTGGAAATATCCAGCCTCAATTCAAATCGCTTGCTTGCATCAGGGCGATGGAAATCAATTGAGGCAAAGATCACACCTCTGAATATCTATATAGATAGAAATGATCAGATACATAGTGTCATTATACCTGGTACTCTTTGAGATACCAGCTCTTCCAAGGTTGTTGCAGCATGTCTAGAACTCTTTGGCCCACCCGCCCGCCTGTTAAGTTATTGCATAACCGTGACATGAACTCTGTTTTTCTTCGTCTTCACATGACGTAGCTATGAGACTTTGAAACCCAATTTCCGGCTTCTTTCATCTTCATCTTCTTCTTACTTCCTTTTGTCTCTCTGTCTCTGGGCCTTAACTTTCCTCTTCTTTTCTTTTCCCTGCCCCTCTCTCTCTATTTCTTCTTCCAGGCTTTGTTCTGGGTCATCTTCTCAAACCTCTCTTGAAATTCCTCCCTCCCTCTCTCATCATTTCTTCTCTTCGGCAAGTTCATCAACCAAGACTCACTCCCCACCGCTCCCTCGCTTCTCCCCCGCTCTATTTTCACAAGTCCGTTTTGGGCATTTCTGCCCCTTCTCTGTCGCCATGACCATCTACATTGCCTCACTGTATGTGGATAATCACGTCTTTTTTTTTTATTTTTTTTTTTTGGCAGCTAGACATCAAGATCAGGTGTCAGTCCCGGTTAACAGTATGTGATACTCCAGGTTTCTCCCTTATACGGTGGACTTCCATGTGAACGAACCGCAAAACCATGACGCCGACGCGACCACCAGCCCACCGTTGACTAACCCCGTTCAAAGCATTGCCGCTACCCCTAACGTGGCTGTGAGCTTGTTTGAGAAAAATAATCCCGATATCAAGCCTGGAGTCACCCCTGGGCCCGCATCGGAGCACGAACAATTCTTCGCCGCGGACATCGCCAAAGCTGAACAGGAGCACTCCGGCTACCCGTTTCCCACTACTGAACGGGAAGCAAACCTTTTGACGGAGAGCGAAGCTCATTCACCTGCATGGGGCTCAACCCTCTCCTTGAATCAGCCTCGACCCCGCGCAGCATTCCCGGCATCACCTTCTATCCTTAAGCACCAAGAACCAATAGCGCCAGGGACGGAGCCTGCAAAGGAGAAAACGCGAACGACTCCGCAGCCACTGACGTCGTATGCTAGCGATCATCGTCGGTCCCAGAGCCGCAAGAGCTCATTCTCTGACGCTGAATGGACCATTCAGACTGCGGAGCAGGGCAATGGAGGGCTGCGCAACGCTGTGCGTTCCGCCACAGATGCTGGCCAGCTAGAGGATAAGGTCTGGGTGGGCACCCTGGGCATGCCTACTGACGCGTTGCCCCAATCCACCAAAGATTCCATTGCTAAGAAGCTCGAGGATGAGTACGGATCCATGACGGTCTATGTCAGCGATGGCGACTTTGATGGTCACTATACCCATTTTTGCAAAACGATTCTCTGGCCGGTTTTCCACTACCAGATTCCTGATAACCCCAAAAGCAAAGCCTACGAAGATCACTCCTGGATCTATTATGTCAAAACCAACCAAGCTTTCGCCGAAAAAATCGCCCAGAAGTGGAAACGTGGCGATTCCATTTGGATCCAGGATTACCATCTGCTCCTTGTTCCGGCCATGTTGAGGAAGCTTTTGCCTGACGCTCAAATCGGTTTCTTTCTGCACATTGCCTTCCCATCTTCCGAGGTGTTTCGTTGTCTGGCCCCTCGTAAGGAGCTACTAGAAGGCATTCTGGGAGCGAATCTGGTTGGATTTCAGACGGACGAATACTGCCGTCACTTCCTTCAGACATGTAGTCGCCTCCTTTGCGTAGAAGCCACCAACGAAGGGCTTCAACTAGAAGATCGCTTCGTGAACGTGGGCAAGTTCTCCATCGGCATTGACCCGACTTCGTGGGACCAGCGGCGTCGAGCAGCCGACGTGGAGCGGTGGATCAAGACTATTGCAGAGCGCTACGAAGGCAAGCGTCTCATTGTATCGCGCGATAAGATTGATCAGGTCCGAGGTATCCGACAGAAGCTTTTGAGTTATGAGCTTTTCCTTAACACATATCCCGAATGGCGCGATCAGGTATGCCCACCAACCAAACCATCTCTCTTTTCTACCATGGAGTATAGATTCTCATCATGGTACAGGTTGTATTGATTCAAGTAGCAACAAGCACGACTGAGCAGCCTGAGCTCGAGGCCACCATTTCTGACATCGCGATGCGCATAAATTCAACACATTCCACGCTGGCCCATCAGCCATTAGTCTTTTTGAAACAGGACCTGGCCTTTCCTCAGTATCTTGCTTTGATCTCCCTCGCCGACGCATTAATCATTACAAGCTTACGCGAAGGAATGAACTTGACAAGTCATGAGTTTGTATACTGCCAAGATGGCAAATGGGGCAATAACAAGAAGTATGGCTCGCTCATTCTGAGCGAATTCACCGGTAGCGCGTCTATCTTCGGCAATCATGCGCTCTTGGTGAACCCTTGGGACTATCGACAATGCGCGGAGGCAATTCACACAGCACTGTCGCGTAGTGAAACAGAGCGCAAGGAGGTATGGACGCAAATGCACCAGGCAGTATTGCAGAACTCGACGGCCAACTGGGTCAAGTCGTTCAGTGAGACCTTGAATCGTGTCTGGAACGAGCAATCCTCGCGTGAGATCATGGCTGTGCCACGTTTGCAATTGAACAAACTAGAGGAACTGTACCAGAAATCGACTCGTCGACTAATTATCGTGGATTATGAAGGCACTCTGGCATCATGGGGATCCCCCAAGAGCATAATCGTGACTACACCTCAGCGAGCTATCACCACACTGGCGGAGCTGACGGATGATCCACGCAACGTGGTGTACGTGATGAGTGCGCGTATGCCAGAAGAGATGGAACGTCTGTTCCGCCTAGTCACTGGCCTGGGCTTGATTGCGGAGAATGGCTGTTTCGTGCGGGAACCGAACTCGGAGACCTGGCTGAAGTTGACGGACAAGACTCAGACGGACGCTTGGAAGACGGCAGTACTCCAGATTTTGGACTACTACCAGGAGCGCGCTGAGGGTAGCTGGATTGAACAGCGACACTGCTCACTCGTCTTCCATTATGGATCCGCGGAAGACCAGGTGGCGGCTGCACGACTAGCTTCGGAGTGTGCGGGACACATCAATGATGCTTGTGCTAACCAGGGTGTTCACGCTATTCCCGTGGAGGGAGCCCTCGTGGTTGAGCCGATGGGCACAAACAAAGCATCAGCGACGGAACTAGTATGGCGATCGTGTCTGAAGCAAAATGAACAAGATGAGAGCGTAGCCCGTCCGGATTTCCTGTTGGCGATCGGAGACAGTCGCGACGACGAGCCTGTGTTCCGGTGGGCTAACAAACTGGAAAGCGCACAAGCGGTTACCCACGCCGTGACGGTGACATTGGGTTCTCGGAGCACAGAAGCCAGGGCCACCTTAACCCAAGGTGTGACAGGTAAGACTGGATGCATTTCAATTGCGCAGGAACTCTGGGTCATTTGGCTGATCCGTTTCGTCAATAGGAGTCTTGTCGTGCTTGGAACGGCTGGCTGAGCACAAGTCATAAATTGATGACTCTGCATGCATCTCTGACGCAAACACGCACACATTCAGAAGCACACGACGATACGATTACAGGACATATATTTCATTTCTACATAGGCATGAATACACGGATACATGCTTACGGGGTGGCCCTCCGCGGATTTAACCCCTGACGTTACCAAGAATCGGGCAATTATGCCGATCTCCTAAGCATACAGGGTACAAGGGCCGAAAAAAAGTATTGAGGGGGTTCAGAATGAGCTAGCACGAGGGACAGCCGGTCAGGTGATGGTAACCTTTGGAGTTATAGTTCTTTGAGTTCATTGTACGAAGTAGACCGACCTTATTCTTAGAGTAGTCAATTCGAGCCACATGAATCTCACAAGAATTGGAGTAATGCGCCGCATGTTAATCGAAAAGCATCCGCTGGTATGTAATCAATCCACACTAACTTAATTTTAACTAGTCCGTACCTTAGTTGCCGTACTTTTCCTCGCCCCACCTTTCGGTTACTGGGCCTGCCTCCTCATCATCTCAACAGCCGAGGCTCATGGCTACCTACGCAAATACCTTCCCTCCCAACATAGGTTCTGGTTTTATTCTTCAATCCATCTCCTCTTCTTGTTTCCAGGAATAAGCCATACAGATTCAAGGTTATATCTACGGTCTGCAGATTAGAGCTTGAACTCCATACGACTAAGATACTTAGTGCGGTCGAACTCAATCAACGACGACATTCTCTTCGCGGATCATCCAAACATGGTGGTGGCGCCTCCGCACGGAGCCGCTTTTGAGGCCGCGATCCAAGTAACCCCCATTGACTCGCACCAATATTCGGCCTATCTTCAGCATGAGTGGTGTATTGGAGCAGGTAGGAACACCCAGCCACTGTTGAAGACTTGTCGACAGGCGACAAACGCTTTGTTGTCGCCTATCCAAAAAAATTGTACGCTAACAAGGAATCACAAACAGTGCCGCATGGAGGCTATAGTAGTGCCATCATCTACCGCCTGGCCTTGACACACTTCGCTCATACGCATCCGCAGCAGTATCGAGACCCAGCCACGCCGATTTCCATGCAATTGACGTTTCTGCGACGGACAGCAGTGGGACCAGCCCTGCTGAACGTGCAGGATGTTAAGATTGGGGCGCGAACGAGTACCATCCACGTGACTTTGTCACAATCCAAGAATTCGAATATGAAGACACAGTCACAGACCGGAGAAGAGGAGCAAGAGGTGAAAATAGCGGGGTATATCACAGTGAGTCCGGCCCATGCGGAAATTGGGTTGACGGCTCCAACGGGGTGGATGCCATTACCGGAGCCGGCACGAGGTTCACAGCCAGACAGGGGAGTGAACCTGGTAGCATTGGGGGAGTACGGCCGCGACGGCGAGTGGAAGCGGATACAGCTGCCGTTTCCCGAGTTTCGGCGTGCGACGCAGCATGTTGACTTGTACGGTCCCCGACAGCCTCAATCCATGGCGGCTGTGGACCAGTGGGCCCGATTTCGGCCGGGGGGTGACCAGATGGCGCGCTGGTCGAATGAAGCGGTGGTGTATTTGACTGATACGTTCCCCCTGGCGTTGTCTGGGCTAGATCGGATGGCCGTAACGGCAGAGGGCGATGGCAAGATCGAGAGTCGGCATTGGTATCCAACGGTGGTTTTGAATATCGATTTCAAGAAGCGGTTACCGGCTACTGGCGAAACTTGGTTATATAGTCGAGTGCAAACGGTCTCGGTGCGGGAAGGTCGGACGGATCTGGGGGTGATCATATTAGACGCAACGGGGCAAGTGGTGGCCATGGCGACGCAAGTGGGTTTGGTGGTAAGTGCCAGTCGCAATCTAGGAAATAGATCAAAGCTGTAGAACTTTCTTCAAGGGGAAGGTACCAGTGCAAGCATGTAAAGAGTATTTCGACTGATGGACATAGTGAGTTTATGCTGACTCAATGGTTAAACAGCGATATACATAATACATATAGCTATATGCAAGAACATAAGCGGCATCATAGTCTGCCGAAAGGCTGTTGAATGCGCGAGAACCTGCTCTCATCTCGGATGCGGCTCCAATTCACAAAGATGCCTTCGTTTGCAGCCAGAAGGCAATTGCATCGGTAGTGACACTGAGCTGGCCCTCAGGCGCTTCGTCTGGCTGCAGAATTTGAGCATGTACCCAGAACTTGCGGCCTACCCGAGCCAGGACTTTGGCTTGAACGAGCGCATAACCTGGTACCGTGACGGGGGCGCGATACCGAATGTCCAGCTGGGCAGTGTATAGCATGCAACGCGGATGGTGGGCGGAGAGAGCCCCAGCGGCGCCTGTTTCAGGAGCATGCAATGCGACGGCATAGGACATGGCCTCGTCGATACAAGTTGCCAAAAGACCGCCATGAGCGGTAGACGGATGCCCAGATACCCCGGGCGTGGCAAGCTGCAGTATTAAGTAGAGATCCGGGTCCTCCATTTGAGATACCGAGGTGGGAGTGGGCCAGCTGGGAGCAGCATCGGGGAGGGATGCGAGCAGCTCCGGCTGACGACGAAGGGTACAGACATGGGGAATTGTCGACGGTGAGGCAAGTGTACTGGCAAAATAGCCATCCTCGCCTGAGTCGGACTTGAAGATACGGGACCAAGTGCGAATGGGAAAGTAATTAGGGTGGTGCAGCAACCGGGTCAGCACCGGGGGAAGGACGGTGCGGAATGGATCGAGAGCGGGGGGATGTGGTTGGTTGAGAATGGAGATCGGAGCAGACATGACGTGTATGACATATATTATGCGAGTTTCAGAAACAGAAAAAAAAGGAGGGAATGAAAAGAAAGGGGAAAATCTGGAAGAGAAGTGCAGAGAGTGAGTAGACAACGGGGAGTAACTTGTACGGAGTACGCAGTACCAAAACAGTGAGTGGGAAAGAGGAAGCCAGAAAAAAAGTGTTCGTTCTACCTACTCCGTATCTGATAAGCAGATCCGCTCTTGGAGTCTTAAGAGTTTCAATCTTCGGTTACGGTATCATTCAGTAAGGTACAGAGTTAATTTTGGTAAGGGAAGAGAAAGGGCATCATATGAGGTACGAAGCAGAGTACAGTACATGTTTATGTTACGTACGTACCTACAATCTGGATTGCTTTTAAATTCTCGGCTTCGGGATCCTCGGGTGATCTACTTCTTACTGAACATCATGGGACTTTCTTTTCCTCTTTCCACTCAAACAATCTGCACGAATTTATTGGGAACTGAGACTGCCTGCATCTTGGAACAGACCCGCATTCTTGAAATGCTTCTACCATGCATAAACCCTACCTGCAGTTGAGTGTACTTAGGAGGTACGGAGTAACTAGAACGGTGCCTGGTCAGCTGTAAGCGCTGCTACTAGTGCCGGCCCTAAACCAAGGCCCCCAAACTCAATTGGGCCTGACGGTTCTCTCTTTTCTTTCTCCGCTTATCAGACCGAGGTGGTTCCACCAGCCACTGCACTGCAACCTCTCATTCCCACTAGGCTGGGCAACATTCTTCGCCCAACCCCAGGGAGACAATCATCAATGGGATCATTAGGACTGTACTCAGGTGGGTACTATATGGTGGACAAGGCTATGGTACGGAGTAGAAATGTCAGAGAAGCTGCCCGCACGATGAAACACGCCTACTTTCCCTGTTGATTCCCCGCAGTTACTGTAGCTGCAGGAGGGAGTCATCCTGCGTCTCGTTTACCGAGCACTCTCTCTTTCATTTCGATTCAGAAGCTCTCCTCGCATCCTAGGATAGTCCCAGCCAATCAAGTCAGGAATTGGAGAGTGTGAAAACAAGGCACCGGCCATAACAATTTCCCGCCGGATAATGGGGGAATCCCGATTGACTAGAAGTCACTCTAGTCATGTTAGACTACTACTCACTAGTTCTCGGAAAGGTTCTCAGTCTTACTGATTGTAGACCAAAATGAGCACTGAAATTTGGAGTAGAATATAGAGAAAGACAAGTGCGCAAAAGGGGGTTGGTATAACCAAATGAGATGAGAGAAAGAAGGGCAGGAAATGTTGAATTCTCCAAAAAAAAGACAACAAACAAACACCTTAAACTAAGGTATGCATGCAGAACAAGAAAGACTGGAGAAGGAACTAATTAAGTTGGTTAGCTAGTAATTAGTCTTACTACTAGGAAGGTAGTCAGCTGTGGCAGCTTCTTTTGGTGAAATCTTGCTTGTTATTACTGGCTTAGCCTCTTTCCTTGAGCTTCTTATTTCTTCCTGCTCCCCCAAGTCTCTCTCTCTTATCATCACTTCTTCTTCTTCTTCTTCTTCTTCTTTCCTCTCTTCATCCCTTTCCCAATAATAGCGCCTTGCACGTCTAGTTACTCTCTACACTCAACTCTTACTACTCTTCTTACCTTGCACATCTCTTTCGTTGCGACTGTGTTAGCCACACACTACTCTTTACCCTTAACCCTGCCACTCATCATGATGTTGGTTTCTTCGCTCGTCGCCCTCGGTCTAGTCGCCTCGGCCACCGCCTCGTCCGGCAACTACACCCTGCCCGACGGGTTCGTCCTGAGCGCCATTTCCTCTACCACTCGCGGTATGCTAGTCGATGATGCGCGTCTTTCGTTCGCGTTTGACTAATTGGTCCTTCCAGCCTCTTGGTGTACTGCGGAGCGCAACTCTTGCCCTGAGATCTGTGGTGGAGTCGCCACCAGCAACTCCTGCGATTCGGTAAGCGCATCTCTGAACTTAATTGAGAAATGGAAAGGCTCATAGCATTGCGACAGAGCACCTTGGACTTTTCTTGCATCTGCTCCAACGGTTCAGCTGCCGACGTGGCGCTTTACGCGCAGACCGTCCCCTCTCTCGTTTGCGAGGCCAACTATGCCCAGTGCATTAGCAACTCGTCTAGCTTGACCGAGGAGGAGCATTGCGAGGACTATGAGAAGACCTGTGGTACCCTTAACGCATCGGCTTCCTCGACTACCTCGTCTACCACCTCGAGTGCCACTAGCCTGACCACGGCCACCAGCACCAGTACCGCCACCGACAAGTCCAGCACGACCACTGGGACCAGCACCTCCAGCAGCACTAGCAGCTCATCCACGGCCAACGCCGCCGTCCGTTTGGCTCAGGAGCACGCGACCGGTCTATTGGCCACAACCCTGTTTCTAGGACTGCGCCTGCTGCTGTGAATGAAGGAACGGTTGAGAGCGAAAATGACTCGAGTCAGAGTGCGTGTAGCTTGCAGACGAGTCAAAGTCAACTGGTCGGGGCCCATTCATCTCGAGTCGCCGTACTGGTAATGTCATGTTTCGGGGGAAGAAGATGGGTTGGGTAGTTGATTGCATCTTCTATGACTTGATGTCAAATACGATTATTCCCCGCTAGGCGCCCAGTAGGAGCGGTCGATCCTGGCGCATTAATTTGATGATTTTTTTTCTCCTTTCATTCTTCAGTTGTGTCTGAGCCGGCTAAAGGTTGTGTGATAACGAGGATTGTTGTAATGACTATTAACTAATGCTCGTGAAGAAGCAACAAACAATCAACAAACGGGGGAGGGAGAGAAGCGGTGCCAAGACTTTTTCCCACAACGGAATTTTCTCCACCGCCCAATTATTCTTGTCTCTTTCTTTCTCACTTTCATCTTCGCTTCTTTCGCTTCTCCGTCTTCTTCGGTTTTGGATCTTGTTTCCTCTGGTGGACCCCTCTCCTTCTCCTCCCCCCTCTTATCTCCTACAATTCAATTTTCTTCCTCGTCTTTGCCTTCAGCCCCTTCCCCCTCTCCTCCTCTTCTCTCTTCCCCTCCGCGCCCCCTCCCCCCCCTTCTCCTCCCCACCCTCTCGATCGGTCTATCAACCTCGAATTCTAATACACTTACCACGATGCCCGCTCCTTCGACCACCCTCCTCATTGAGGGCTCTTTTACCGAGCTCGCCGATGAGTTCGCCCAGTACATCGATGCTCTTCGCAAGCCCGACGCCGCCGCTTCCAGTCTTCAGGCCGACATCGTCCCACTGTTGGAAGCTCTCCGCCAGCAGGAACAGTCAGGTGCTGAACCCGACCGTAAGCAACGCGATGAGATTTTGAAGAAGCTGGTCACCGCCGCTACTGTGTTGAATGCGGCTCCTGAGAAGGGTAAGCAGATCCTTGTTGGTGCTGCACGGGGCACACAGGACACATGGAACACAATTGACGCAAACCAGAGATCATTTCCGCCTATAACCTCCTCGTCCACCTTGTCCACCAGGCTTCTGATCCGGATATGTTCCTGTCTCGCATCTGCTCCTACCTTGCTAAACCTATCACCGCATCTCCCCAGTTTGGTCCCTCTCTCGCGATCTCCATCTTGTCCACCATCTTCAACACCCTCGCTCCCGCCGACTCGAGCCGCTACCATGTTCTCCTGGCCATCGTTGCCGTCATCCGCCAGGCCGGTGCCTCCGTCGCATTCGATGCCCTCAAGCCCCAGCTGACCTCTCAGCTGCCTGCTTGGCTCGCCGCTTGGGAGCTTGAGGCCGAGGAGGCGCAGCGCCTACATCTGGCCATCGCTGATGCCGCCCAGGCTGCTGGAGATGCAGAGCTGTCCCAGTCCCATGTCATTCAGGCCTTGCAGACCATCCCTGCCGCACAGGCCGCCAGCCCCGAAGCCCGCGAGTTGGCTGTTCGCGCCCTAACTTCTGCCCTCACTTCCCCGGCCGTCTTCGACTTCACCCCATTGACCGCCTCCGATGCCGTTCAAACCCTGCGCGCCAGTGACAGCACCCTCTTTGAGCTGCTCGAGATCTTTACTGCCGATACTCTCGACGCCTACGAGGCCCTCGTTGCCGCAACTCCTCTTGCTGGTATCTCTGGTGGTGTGCTGGCTGAGGCCGGCGATGCTCTGCAGACCAAGATGCGTCTGCTTACCCTGGCCTCGCTGGCCGCCGCGACTCCCTCCCGCTCTCTGCCTTACGCTACCATTGCCAGTGCTCTACGGGTCCCGGACGAGGATGTAGAGAAGTGGGTCATTGATACCATCCGTGCTGGACTCGTTGAGGGTAAGCTGTCGCAGCTACGCTCTGAGTTCCTCGTTCACCGCGCCACGTACCGCGTCTTTGGCGAGAAGCAGTGGGCTGAGGTACAAGGTCGCTTGATGGTCTGGCGCCGTAGCTTGGAACGCGTTCTGGGTGTTGTTCGTTCCGAACGTGAGCGCTTCGTGCGTGAGGGGCTGCAGGCGGCCCAGGCAGCCGAGGAGGCTGCTCAGGGCAAGTCCTCTGACAAGGGCAAGTCGAGTGATCGTCGTCGCCAGCAGGGCAACAACAACAACAACCAATCCTCGACCCCGGCTGCTCCTCCCGCCAACGTCCCCGTGAAGGCTGTTGCTGAATAAATGACGAAAGAACGGAAATGCGGGGGAGGATCAATGATTGATGATGAGACCTACATACCTTGTTTTTTGTCTTTTGACCTACTATCTACCAGATACCACACCCTTCACTCCGCACAGACGGAAGTAGGGACGAGCAAGAAAAAAAAGACTTAAAAAGTATCTCTGTGTCATGGCTGGGCAGCGGTGTTGAACGCTAATTCTTCTTGTCTTTGGATTGGGTGTTTGTAACTGATTTCAATGTATTCAATGCTAGAATGTTCTTTTCCACTGTCGTGTTTAGATGGATGGTTCAACCGCTGAGGGTGGCCACCGGGTGAGCTCATGTTAGCATTAGAAGCGAGCCGGGTCTGCTAGCTGGAAATGAGGGGTCAAATCGACTGTGCGACATGATTCCATTGTACACCTGCTTCAAGAGGCAGAGGGACTTCACATGAAAGGGGTTTGCATGTCTCTGTAAAAGCGGCAGCCGGTTGGGTCATGATGGCATGAAGTATAATCCGGATTATTAGACCCAGTAACTTGTCAGCGGGTTGGTTGCCAGCACAGCGACAAGCAGCAGCGAACAGCGTCCACGTGCCCGAGTCGAGCAGCATATCTATATTACCTGAGCAAATCTCCAAAACTATATACATTGCGTATAGACATATATATGTAGATATATATCTGTACCGCAGAACGCTTAAACTAACGACTTTACAGATATCATCACCGGATCAACCCCATCCACAAGCCCTGAAACCGCTATACACACCGTTCAGCCCACTCCAAACCTTACAAGGGATTCAGTCCCTTTTCGCGGAGCCCCACCCGAATCCTTTCGTAGACTTCCCCGACATCGCCGGTGGCTTGTACGGAGACGACTTTACCTTGGCCCTCGAATGCCTCGACAACGGGCATGCTCGTCTCGACAAAGGTGCGGAAGCGCTTGCGAATGCTCTCGGCGTTGTCGTCATCGCGACCGCTGGTCTCGCCCCGCTTGAGGAGGCGGTTCTCCATCACCTCCTCGGGACAGTCCAAAAAGAGAGTCATCTCGGAGGGGCAGACGGTGTCCTCGAAGAAGACAGCCTGGTCCAGCTTGCGGGGGAAACCGTCAATCAGGAAGCGGGGCTTGCTACCGGCGGCGGCGGCCGGATTGGTGCCGGTAGTCAGGGTCTCGGCCATGGCGTCCGACAGCAGCTTGACGGTGATCTCCATGGGCACAATCTTGCCTTCGCGGATGTAGGTACGGATGAGGTCGCCGGCGTGGCTCCCTTCGCGGACCTGCTCGGCGCGGAGCAAGTCGCCAGCCGACAGGTGAGTGAAGCCGTAGTCGCGGACGAGGTTGGCAGATTGCGTGCCTTTACCGCTGCCGGGGCCACCGAGGACGAAAACAACGGTTGTGGTGGTGGGGTTAAAGCGCGGGGTAGACATGTTGACGGCTCGGTTGTTTTTTTTGTCGAACAAGAGATAGAGGGTCTCGAAAGTATTTGTAGTCCTCTTCTGTAAAAGGGTGGGGAGTGTAGAATAGTCAAGAGGATGTGATGTGAGATTTGAGTCCTGGCAGTCCGTAGACGGTAATTGGTTAGCATATCTGGCAAGGCATTGAGGTGAGAAGGAGGGGAGTTAAGGTAGGTATTGTGCAGTAAGTAGTACAATCACTCACTTAAGCAGTCGGCTTGGGTTTCTGAGTTCCGGTACGGGACTTGGAGAGTAGGATGAAAGAACCGGATCCGATACCAATAATGATCAAAAATGGAAGGACTTTGAATTGAGAACGGCTGTATTGGGTGGTTTGAGGGGAAGGATGGGAGGAAGAAGAAGAAGAAGAGGAGGTGGGGGAGGAGGAAGGAGGGGCGTTGGCAGGGGCGGAATAGGGGCGGTGTTGCTGGAAAAGCACCCGAGCAGGAGACGCGGTCACAGTACGAGCAGAAGAGACACACAGCGAGCTCACAAGAGTCCGGATTGGGGCCGACATGAGGCTGAAAAGATATGACGAGGGGTAACAGGGGAATTGAATCGAATCAACTGATTGCTATAGTGCAGTCAGTCAGTTCCTGTCCGCAGCGGGCGAAGTTTGCAGGTGCTGGAAATAACCAACCGTCCGTCGGGGGAACAGGCTGCTGTTTGCGGACTAGCGCCACGTGAGTACTTCTTATGTACTGTACATTACTATATACGGACTATAGTTATGGATTGTACTCAAATAACTACTTTGTAGGTATAATATCTATAATATCTATATTTATATCCGTATATACAATCACTTGTCTTTTGAGAGTGAAGCAGTTCAGTCATTATTGCCTTGGATGATGACCCTCCTCCATGGGAACCTCGTAGTATGCCTGCACACGACGCTGGTGAAGCACCCAGTAAATGCCCGCCAGGAGCCCACCCACGGAGCACACCGCCAAAATGAAAATTAACAGCCCACCCACCCCGTAAATAATTTCATATGCCTTGTTGACAGCTTTGGCCTCTTCCTGAGCTTTTTCATAGGCCTCGTCGACCTCTTGCAAGTCCTCCACCGGCGCCTTTTGCTTCCCATACAGAAGGGCGGGGTCGTTTGGCGTGGGCTTTGAATCACCTTGAAAGCCTGCCAGACGCCAATTCATCGGCGTTTCTGTCCGGTGAATTTCGGACGTGCCCAGAACGTTGCCATTCCGATCGATCGCTTCCACTGAAATCCAGTCCAAATAACCTTCGGCGATATACATGGTCTCGAAATCGAGCTTGGTGGTGTTGCCGATCAGCACCGGAAGACCCTGGCGGTCAACACGTGCATAGAAATTCCAGGAGGCGATATCCGTGGCACCGTTCCAGCTGACATGAAAGATGGTTGCCAAATCCGTTTCATCTGTTCCGTAGACCGACGCCACCACGTCCGGCGGTTGGCTAGGCCGACCCACGAAGGGAAATTTGTACGAGCGGTAAGAGGAGAAGCGCGTGGACGCGAAACTGGCCTGCATCAAGACCTTGCCGTCCGGGCTATGCTCGCTCTGGTATCCCCGCTCGCTCCAGCCGACAAAGACATTGTTGTTGGGCAACCTCTGAACGCTACCACGCAGTCGGGTTAGATCACCATCCGGCCGGTCATACCGATCGAGCAGGCGGGCGGTCATGGTTGTCGTGTCGACCTGCACAAACATCGCCGCCGAAACGGTCTCTTCGTTCTCTGTCTCATCGGACGCATTGTTCAGGAAAGAGAGGGTCGTGTGCGTGGCGTTAGACTCCACGAACCGCGCGTGATGTTGTTTGGAGAAGGTGAAATCTTGGACAAAATCGGAGTACTTGCCGCCCAGGCGCCAGATGATGCGTCCGTCTTCGCCCGATATCAGGTAGATCGTGCTCGTGAACCGGGCAGACAGCAGATAATCGCCTGCCGCATTCTTGTCTGCCGCATTAACATGCACATAATCCCAGCCTGGTTCATTGGATGCCGGCCAGTTAGCGTTGACCTTAACCGACTCGTGAATGGGAATGTATCCTAGGGAGTTCCACTCGAACAAGACCTCGCCTGTTGCTATGTCCAACTCGACAAAACCTCCCGTGACTATCCAACCGTACTCATCCAGCCGACCGAGGTCCCCTAGATCCACGTACTCATTCCGATAGGCGCAAGCTAATGCGGTCTTTCCGCCGTCGAGGACATTGAACTCGTGCATATTGAACGTGCCAAGGTCGTTGGTCACCGCAACCACACTTTCTGGCTCGTAGTTTTGGTTGAGAATGTAGCCGTATCCTTTGTCCGCAGCACCGGCGTTGTAGCCATGCTGGAGGATGAATGAGAGATGGGACTCGTTGTCAATATTGTTCACGGCCTTGAAGTCAAATATGTTGCGGTTGTCGAACATGCAGGATCCGGCCCATATGAGAATCTAATGGTCCACACTCCGTAAGCTTATTACTTCGCGAATTTCGAGTAATTTTAAAGCGACCAATTCGCTTCCCCGTGCGATTTAAACATCGTATGGCAGATAGGCAGAGCCAAAGGGATGATGAGAATCAAGAGTCAGGATTAGGGTAAGTACATACACCATCTGCGTCGTATATGTAAGGTCCAACTTGGCAAGGTTTCCATTGTTTCGTGGGTGCTTCGGGGTCAATCACGCCATATGGCGCAACGAACCAATACCCCGGACTGACAGCCGCGCGATCGTAGTAGGCAATATCGAATTTCAGGGCTCTGATCTCCGGCAGCTGTTGGATTGTTAGAGAGACAGACGATCGATGGGAGGGGGAACTAGTTCTTTCAACCATAACGTACCGTGACAAAAGACATCATGTCACTATCCGAATCACCACTCACAACGACATCTTGAAGAGCAAGCAACGACAAAAACCAAAGAAGAAACATATTGAAGGAGTGGCTAGGAGAGGAAGAATCCCCTCCAACGGCAACATGCAACCAGCAAGAATTGATTTAATAGATGATAGGGCTGGAAGGAGAGAGAAAAGCAGGGAGAAGAAATTGGCGGGCAGACGAATAGATACAACCACATCAACGAGACGCTTGTCACCCGACCTCAAGTCAAGTTCATGTCGATTTCGATAGTGATCATCAGAGGGTCTGCCGAGCTGGAAGGAGAGGACAGTTCCATGTTTGTGGGGGGGTGGAGGGCAGTATGAGCCCAGCGACAGGAGGCACAGAAGCAGTGATGCAGAGAGAAAGAACGGGTTATAGTAGTCGAGGTCAACACTCATTGATAGGCTAAAAAGCCCGCGAAGTAGAAAGGACGCTCCATCAACCTTGCCAGGAACGGCCAGTGGCAACGTAATGGCTGAGATGGACGCTGACGATCAGGCGAGGCGGACACTCTTGGCGGCGTTTCGAAGGGTGGAGCTGAAGCACTCGCGAACCGTTCAGATTCGTGGACGAAGTGTGGATACTCGTTCCATCGATTATATGACTTCCGTGACTAAATTACTACGGGGTCAACCAGAGTACATATACAGCACACACACACACACACACACACACACACACACACATGATGTACTCGGAGTATATACATATTTATATGCATGTGTTAATGAAGATAGCTCGTTTTGCCCCTTGTCTTGTGAAGCTATGGGGAAAAGAGGGGACAGTACGGAGTACATGTAGCGAATAATTGTAGCTTCTATGGTTGAGTTGCGTTCGCGTGGGATTCCTTTCTTTGCTGATTTCGGACATCGGACATCGGTGCTATTACAGATGTACGGAGACACACAGTACGAGTACCGTGACATAAAACACGAGCCTGGAGGTGTGGTCCTTATTCCCCTTGAAGAAATCTAGACCGAAGTCGCTGTCGATTTGGCAACGTTTCAGGTCTTGGCAAGATAGTTCCGGTGGTTCAATTACAGAAAATTCGTCGCTAACCATGAAAAAGGAACTTGCATTCGGTCGGTCCTGGTTTGACTGAAAAGCCACACATGGATAGATGGAACAAATTTGATTGATAGATTGATCCAACAAGCTCCCCGGGCCTCACGGAGACTCCGAGAGAGCATTGATGCGCCGAGATCGGACAGTGTTCTGCAATTTCCCCACCATTAATTAGGCTTTAGTGCCCTATTTTCCAGTTCTACTCCGGATCTTTCCAACTTTCAAGGCAATTGCTAGCAGTAGCAGTTCTTGAAGCACGCATTGATCCACACATAGATGGGAACAGAAACCGAGCCTACTCGAGACGACGCGGCCGGGCCCTAAGGTACCTCACCATCTCGATTGGAGTTGTTGTGTCAGCCGTTTCCATGGAATTGGTGGGATCTACTCCGTATTCAGTACAAATGGAGTGGGAGCATACGAATGCCTTTCTGCCAGCCCACTTGCCTCCCTTGGTGCATCATCTGACATTGATGCGAAAAATTGCGCTTAGATAAGGGGACGGCAACAGCCTAGGGAACTAAGTACTACAGTCAACCCCCGTGAATACGATCACCGGATCAATGATATTACCGTTTTGACAATATCACCACACCCGAAATTCTCTGCCACCATACCAATATCGTTGTTTCTGCGTTATAAAGAAATTTGTCAAACGAGGTCTCTTGTACACATAGATATCTTCATGTTGGATACACTCACATGATTTTAGCTTGGAAGATAGGTATTGGTAATAGAAGTTATATGGTTGGTCACATGATAGTACTATGACTCAAATCCTATCGACTCTGGCTCTCTAACTGGTCATCTAAGAATCACCACCAAGCCGCTGCACCGATAGTCCCCTCCGAACGATACATATACTTAGCCGTGCTGGATTACTTCCTAGTACCGAGGGATCACTGGTAGCCTACCGGTACCAACATGTTAATTAGCGCTTTTCTTCTGGTCTTCGCGCTAGACTCTTCATCGCAACATCTCACCCTTCACATCGCGTATTCTGCAAGATTAGGTTATTGATGACCTTCGGGTTGTACTTGATGAATTCAGCCAGAGCAGTCAGCACCAAGCCCTCCGTGCTCTCCATATCGTTTAGATCCAGTTGAGGTGGGAGCCATTGCTCGCAGACCTTCGTGAGATTGAGCCGAGATGAGTCTCCCGGGCCACCATGCCGAAGCGCATCACAACGACAAGTGCCCATGTTAAAGAACTGTAGAGAACCCCTTCTTGAGTGTAAAATCCGCCACCAGGCCGGTCATGACAGAGGGTCTGGAGATGGTTGTTGGACACATCTGCTATACGGGAGCTCTGCAGAATCCCCGAAGCTTGCTTTCCATTCAGCGGTTGCACAACTTGGTCGTAAGAGGAATAGACAATTGTCGTGGGCACAAAGGCCGAGTCGCCTCCAATACGTCTCGTTGCTTGATTAAAATTAGCATGTCACTCTTGATGCCAGATGACAGGAGTGCAGATAGCATTTGAGAAAATGGGCTAACAAGTGCGGCTTCTATAGTCCCTTGGAAGTCGGCACTAGTCGCGATCAAATCCTTCCCCACAGCGCGCGTGGATGGCCAATATTCGAATGCCCACTGAGTGTTGAGACCTCCTTGAGACCATGCGATAATCGTCAACTTACTTCCCGAAAGAGCTGAGAGATAGTTGATGGCGTACGCAATATATTCCGCGTTGACCTGGGCGTCTCCTACAGTAGCAGAAGGTACATTGACCCTGGCCAGGCTTGCCTCAGGAATGGCCTTCTGCAGTTTTCCAAGTTTGAATTAGAACAATAGGCCACATGGTATGGCAGTTCCAGGAATGAGGAGAGCAGTTTTGACTTCACCTTTTCTCCTGGTCAGGTCGTCTTTGGTGAATATAGCGGCCCGGAGAGTCTCTTCCGTGACTCTGTACGGCAAATCTTCGGCAGGTTTTTTTTTTTTTTTTTTGGATATAGGAGCTAATGTGTTAGCATGGGGTTCTTGTTGCGCAGCGAGTTCAATGGAGAGGTCTGGTGATGATAGAGTCCCACAAGAATGTCTCGTGACAAAATGCCTGAGGTGACAAGCTTGAAGGCATGCAAGACTAGCGTTGAATGCGGAGCACTGGCAAAGATCTCCTCTAGTATCAGCCAGATTAGGGGCAGTAAGCCATCTTCAGTAATCTGATAAGGGTCGTCTTGTGCAAGCCTCAATCACATTGCATGGGCAACGTCTGAGACTCTACCGACCACTCCGGGCTTCATGGCCGAAGCCATCAAGACAGAAAGCAGGGATATGCTGGCCGAAATAGGCGCCAGCGAGCAGACAGCAAAAGCTATCGCGCATAAGGTAACCGCGTTCACGAAGACACCTATGATGAAGCCCCTGTTGAGAGACGTATATAGTCTCATAATGGACGTCACGGAGAAAATGGTTTGGTTTCAGGGATTTTTGCCTGCAGAAAGCAATTCGCGTGAGGACGTACAGCAAGCCTACGGCGGCGAGATGCACCTGTTATAAATGCAATTCATGCGTGAGTTTTCTTTGCCATGTACTTCTCCATCGCGAGGGCCTCAGAGTGACAGTACTCGGAAACGTCCTTAGAGAAGAACCGGAGAAAAACCGAGTATAATGAGGGTGCCAACGGTTGGTAGTCTGAGGGTAGACCCGCGGGGTTGACCGCGGGTAGTTCATATGGTTGGCTAGCTTCTATCTCTGGCGTTGAGCATCCACGAACGTAGACATACGATCGCCCGATATGTACCATACCACCCACAGGAGCTGCTTTCCCGCCGCGATGGCCTTGTAAGCTTGTCGTCCGCTCCGACTCGTGGAGGTACGAGCAACTTGACACCGAGGTTAGAGCCGCGATGGTCAAACGACCATTCATATTGCACTAATGGTTTGTCGCCTATTGATTACAAACGTGCAAGTCACTGCGATGGGCCAGAATACTCCTATGGCTGCGAGATAAGCTCGTATAACCTGTCCGATCAACCAGCCAAAAGAGGGAATTGCAGATGTAGACAAGATTTGACAATGAGACTGGGATACTACTGGGCAGGTACAGTACAGTACATTCATGCATCCATATGGAAAGTGCACACACAGATCAACTGCCGCCGGCTGCCAGTAAGTCGTTGGAGACAATAATCGTTGGGTTGCCCGTTCATGAGAAAGGACATGTAGGTGACTCAGCCGCATCGGGCTAGCATTAAAGGTAACATGCGACACTCGCAAAGATCATGACAAGGGATACACGGACTAAGCATCGACCAACAAATCTTAGCAATAGCGATGGATGTACTCCATAGCTAAGATCTGAGACCAAGTTGGGGGTGGAGCGGCTAAAATCCCGCCCTTGCTACTCCGTACTTGTCAGCTGCATTCAACTCATCCAAGCCCGTCACATAGCTGAGAATTATTTATGTGAGCCGTCAAGTACCCTACTTGCAGGGTTGAGCCCTTTGCAGTACGCATCTCGGTATCTTGGCAGGGCATCCGGAATGCAGGAGAGAAATTGAAGCCATAGGGAGGGAGAGGGGAGTTCGCCACCTTGAACGGAACGATTGAGCGATTGGGCGAATGGTGAGAGATTGTATATTTTTGAGGGAGAAGAAAAAGTAGGACGAAACTGCCGGTCAAGATATAGATACTAGACAGAGAAGGGGCGGGAGATGACTCAGGACTCAGCAGGAGTGATTGATGGATGATAAACAGGGAAACAGACGAACAGTAAGATACTAGTACTGTAGTTAGTACGTTAGTTAAAGTATTATTTAGGTAAAAGGGTTAAGATGATTGGAAAGGGGATAATGGGGAAACCCTCCTTGGCCAGTGTAACTCTACGGGATGAATATTAGCTTGACTACCACCGTTGCACCCACCACAAAAGTAGGTAAAGTAGGAAGTGTCACATACCAATGAGGGGCAAGGGAGAAAAGTGGGAGGAAAAAAGGGAAGCCAAAAGAAGACTTAACTTAGTTTTCAACAAGAACCATAATATCATCAACATCATCATCGTCAACGTCATCATCATCCCTCATCGGCTCGCTCATCGGGTCCCGAGGCAGGGTTTCGGCCTGCCGGAATAGTTATTCAAAGGAATTAGCCATAGTGCAACCTCCATACCATGCAAGAGCCACCGGCGAGAATCTACGGGAGAATGTAAGTATGTGTAGGAGTGCTGGGTGTGTCATCATAATTAACTGTCACTCCATCTGACTGTCTATCAATGTGGTCTCAACGAGGAGAAACATGTCCATGGTATCGGTGATACCAGGACAGCTCTTAACCAGTATAGTTACTATTTACTATTTATGATCGATCCGCAGTAATCCACCTCAGCCAATGCAACATTGCGGCTAATGATCATCTTCATTGCACCTCTGTCCCCACTGATCCACACCCGAATGATGGCTACAGTACGGTGTACGGAGTACAGAGTACTCATACGGATTACAAATTACTTGCTTGTACATTGGGATAAATCGATCGATCCTCTCTACTCCATGAATGGTGGGAGGCTCCAGAAGATTGAAGACAGGAACTGTCCATTCTTCCCCCGATCAACAAGTCGGAGCTCCGTCGATACGACAGGCTCGTGAATGACTGTCCAGTGTCGAGTGTCTACTAGTACTACCAGTTTCGAAAGCATGATAATCAGAGTAAGAGCCAAGCCGGGGCTACCCTGATGATGCGACAGGTAGTGATATACTACCTTAAACTGTTAATTGGATTGATTGTAGTCTAGTGTATGAGTAAGGTAGCAATCTGTTGTCTCCACCGGTGGATGATGGGTCGTGGGTAAATACCATCCATACCATACCTTACCCAACGTCAACTTGGAAAAGTCATTTGCCTGCCTGAACTTCGCCCTTCCATTCCTTCTGCGTTTCCACTTGTCCCGTGTACGCAAACAAGCAAAGCCTTCTTCTTAATGAGTATATAATTTCTATCTTTTGCCCTTAGTACATAAAGGATACTTCAAAGTCAAACATTCTATTTCTCCCTTGTTTTCTTTGGTCTGCTGTCTGCTGTCTTCTTACCAATTTCCCTCTCCTGTCTCGGAATTGAATACGTACCTGAGGAATGATACCTACGCGTTGGTCTCGCATGCCTTAAAAGAGACTAGAAGTGCCGGTACAACTCTCGGATTACCACCGCAGAACCACACACCCTTGACCGCTGCGACTCGGAATGATCAATCAGTCCTACTGCTACTGCTACCACTGATACTACTTCGACTACTACAACCAGAACCACTACAACTACTACAACTACTACCATCACCAAAACCATCTCATCTACAACCACAACTTTCATTCCATTTTCACCTCCAGTCTCCCACCCACCATCTGCCTCCACCACCTCCTCCACCAACAACAACCGACGGACGGACTATTGACTGAATACCACTTCGAGAGAACAGTGAATACCACCTCCCTTCCTTTGCCCCCTCCCTATCCCTCTCCATTCTCCCCCTCCTCAACACAACATCTTTTCCACCCCATCCCTCCACCATCGTCGCCTTTCTCTCCCCTGCGACATCCATTTGAATTCGGCCCGCACTGTCCAGTCGCAGTTAGGAACAAGGTCCAAGCATCAAAGGACATCCCCCCTCCTTCCTATTTTTCTCTCTCTTCTGGAGCGCACAAAATAAAGGCAGAAGACAATAATCAGACCCCGTGGTCGACCGTGGTCTACCTATCACCGAATTATCACTGCAACAGTCAAATCTTACAGTCTGTTTGCACTGCAAGCTGCGCAGGGATTTGTGACTTGCCGTAGTGGTGTGTCACCCTCGGTCTTTACACCTCTGATCCACTCCATTGTTCCAGAGAACATCTGAGAGTCCTGGCTCAATAGTCCGATCAGGTTTGATCTATCCAGTCGTTTTTTTTCTTTTTCTCTCTTTCTCTCTTCTCCAAACATCTACATAAGTGGTCCTTTCCCTATACCCGCGACTGCCTATTCCCGCCGGTCTTTTGCTGTATGAAGACCCGTCGAAGTTGAATCCTCCTGTTTTCATTTCATTCTCTCCCACTCAGAACTTGAATGCCACTCGTCGCTTCTGTTCGGACTTCGAGAGAAAGCCTCCAAATCCTGCACTATGTCGGCTCCTCTTGTCAAGGTTCTTCATAGAATGCAAGAACTCTTCACAAACATTGTTGCAGCCTTGGAGGCAATGCTGCTGTTTCCATCTCTCTTCCGGAACTCGTCCCGTAAGCGGCGGAAAGCGTTCCAGGGAGCATACCGGGGGCGACGGACGCTGGACGATTTTGCGAATGAGATTGATCGTCTGCTAACGACACCCTTGTCTGTGCAAAATATGATTGCAATGTCAGGCAAAATTCGCGCCCAGTTCACGTCCTGTCTCCAAGCAAGCCCCGTATGCATGTTACCATCCTATAATCACGCTCTCCCTTCAGGGGCAGAAAAAGGAACGTACTTGGCGCTAGATGTGGGAGGCTCCACGCTCCGCGTAGCCTTGGTGGAACTGCGTGGCCACGGGGAGATGCGTGTTCTTCATATGTCTTCCTCGTCAATTGACAATGATATCAAATTGCTGGAGGGCACCCTGTTCTTCGACTGGATGGCGACAAAAATCGACTCCATGTTACAAGAAGTAAGCTCAAATTATGGCCGGGAGGATTCTCCACTTTCCATGGGTTTGTCCTGGTCGTTTCCCATTGAACAGACATCAATAAACAGTGGCTTGGTAATACACATGGGCAAGGGGTTTCATTGCTCCAATGGCACGGTTGGGCAAGAGCTCGGCAACCTAATTGTCCAGTCCTGCAGGACGCGCGGTTTGAATGTCGAGGTGGATGCTATCGTCAACGACAGTTCCGCAACTCTTCTATCTCACGCCTATCTCGATCCAGCAGCTCGCATGTCCCTCATTCTGGGAACTGGGACCAATGTGGCGATTCATTTTCCAGTGCATCAGGTTGGATTGACCAAGTTCGGCACCAGACCCCCAGGTTGGTTTGATTATGCCAAACACGTTATCATCAATAGCGAGATGAGCATGTTTGGTGGTGGTGTTTTGCCTATGTCGCGATGGGATGAAATCCTCAACAGCACCCATCTTCGGCCTGACTATCAGCCTCTGGAGTATATGATCACTGGCCGTTACCTCGGCGAGATCGTTCGGCTTATCATTGTCGAAGCGGTGGAGACAGCGCAACTATTCGGAGGCAATCTTCCTCACTCGATGCGAGATGCCTATTCCTTTGATACCAGTATCATTGCTTACATAGAGGCTGATGGATCAACGAGCTTAACTCCATCGGCTACCCTTCTGCAGAAGGAACATACTTTCGGCGCACCGCCTTCAGTGGAGGACTTGCAGTTTCTTCGGCGCGTCTGCCAGGTTGTCTCCAATCGAGCCGCAGGTTACCTTGCGACAGCGATTTATAGCATGTGGTGTTTGCGCAATGAGGCAGAATATCCCGAACTTAAAGACCCAGCCACCGCTTCGCTGAAAGAGATGCAAGAGGTGACCGTGATCGAAAGCGAGATCAGCCCACTTAGTTTGTCAATTGCCTGCGATGGCAGTGTTATCAACAAGTATCCTGGATTTAGAGATCGTTGTCAGGGCTATTTGGACGACCTTGTCAAGGAGACCAACCATTTGCAGCCATTATCCACTTCGTCGGCCGCACCTTACATTCGCCTTGACCCTGCTCCGGACAGTGCTATCGCTGGAGCCGCAGTTGCTGTAGCAGTGGCACTTGTGGAGAAGAAAAATGAGTAGGCATGGCGAGATCAACCTGGTTCAGTGAGCGATCGTGCTTGCCAAACACATTCCAGATTGCTCAGTTCGTCCAAATAAACGACAGACTTCATGCCAGCATTCTTGCATCGAAAGGTGTTTCCAATTCAGTTCGTGGATTATCGCGTTCTTTCATAAACATATGCAGGCAATTGGGCGGTTATTTGCTTCAGTCCCTGCTCTTCTCCCGAGACGGTGTTCTGCTCGTGCCGTCATCTGGGTTGTATCTGTATCTGGGATTCCTTTCCATTGCATATACGGGTTTAATGATCATGCGCAGCATTTGAATACCAAGTGGCGAAACGGATAGACAATTGAGGCTTCCATCCATACATTTTGTGTACATAATCATAATCAGCGGTACAAAAACCGTCTGACCTCTGCCCTCGGATATTTTCAAGCACTTGGCTTGCCCGATTAAAACATTGCCGACTAAGTGTTTTTGCGTTCAGAATCCAGGTTCTCATACGAGAAGTGGCCACAGTGAACCATATGATTGGCAATAAAGCACGCATCTATCACAAGGTGTCCGATGTTTCCAGCGGGCATCTCTGAGAAATTAACAGCTTACTGCTCCCCACAAAGATCCAGCAACAGCTCCAGCATGCGCCGTTGCAATTTAACCAGATCTTGCTTGGTAATGAGCGTCTCTTTCTGCCTAAAGGGATTCACTATGCCGGATTTAGCATCAGTGGCGAGTATTAAACTATCTCTGATACTGAAAAAGGGGATTCCTAAGCCCCGCAGCTCCGAGATTATCGCACCGGCCATTTGTCTCGAAGCTTTGTAGACCTTCACATCGTAGTTAAGCAATTCGGCCTGATCTTCCTCGGCCGTCTGTTGATCAAATGCCACAAGGGCTCGTTAGTCTAGTCAGGTAAACCCAGGAGTAATCGCCTATCCGCGAATATCCTTCGTCGGCACAATACCACCAGCGCAGTACATACCGAGATTGGTTTCTTATCATCAACTGGTGCACCAACCGAGCGTCTAAAGAGTCGGACGTCAGAGAAAGCTGAACTCATGAGGAATTCTGAGACTCTTCTTGGTGGAAGCGAAATGCAATTCTCGCATTCGCCACGGACCATAGAGAGACAAGACTCGCAAGAATGGTCAAAGCCTACTCACAGCACAGCATCGAGTTCTTTTTTTTTCTCTATTCGCGCTCGTTGTTTCTTTACAAGAGCTTCCCGACCCTGCCACCACTGCTTTTCGTGGTCGTGCTGGCGGCGGATCAACCATCGGATCCGGCTTTGGAGGTTTTCATTCTGGGCAACTGTACGCATGACGTGGCGAAGAGCGGTGTTCCATGTGGTAATGGATGCAGGGTCAATTGCTGTGCCATTTTGAATTGTCTGGACTCGGGGAGGGTGGGCGTTAGTAGGCGTTGGGGGTAGTATGCGCGTCTGCTGCTGCGACGGTTGCTGGCAAGTCACAGGGACCGAGGGAATATGGTCCGATGGTTCGTATAAATCGTTATCTTCGGAGTCTGCGGGGTTTTGTGTTTGGGCAGAGAAAGCTGGGGGTTGTTGATTGGATAGCGCAGAGAGCGTTCGCAGCACCGACGTTAGATCTGCTGGTTCGTAATTCATTATGTTGTATAGACTTTGGCAGGGAATTTTAGTATCTATGCGACCGACTGCTTAATCTGATATTTTCTGTTGAGTTATATAAGATATGGATGGTGGTTGTAGGTTGAAAGGAGGAATCACTTGCAGAGCCGACGCGGTGGTTCATGCTTCCTTCTCTTTCTTAGTCTCGCTCTCGGCTTGGCCGCAGTTTGTCTTGTTCGAATCATCGACCTTCCGCTGAAAATTTCCCCGACCCCAAACTAGTCTCCGTCCCCTCCACGACCCGCTCTCCGTTTATCACTGGGGCTTTGGGTTGCGCAAGAAGGCATCTTCAAGTTTAATCACTCTATCGATATAAAGACTACGTGTCGATCGATTCAACCTACTCACTACTCCCCGACGAGCGACCAGGCACGCGAAGTCCCGAGTCCGGCTTGAGGTCATACCATCCATCTCCCACTCAGCTGGTCGCCATTTCCCCTTCTCTCCAACGCATCTCTTTCTCTCTCTATATATCCGTTCCTGCTCCTGCTATTCTTTGGCTTTTCTTTGATATCTCAAAGATAGGCGACATCATGTCTCGATCCGCCGCCGATGCAACCCGGTTCACGGCCACAGGGCCTTACGCCCACTCCAAGCCTGGAGCTGCGACTCCCTATAAGCTTCCTGGCTTCATGGCCAACGCGGCCCAGAAGCAACAGAGTGGACAGCCCGGAGGTAGATCTGAGACTCCTAAGGAGAAGGTGGAGCGATTGCGAGCACAAGCCCGCGCTGCTCGGTTAGCCCAGTCGACGTCGCGCGTGGATCAGATGATCGACTTCGGCCGTCGGTTCGCCAACAAAGCTCACAAGACCATGGTCTATACTCTCATTGCTGCATCTGGTATGTTGCATCGCCTTCCCCTGAACCATCAACCCTGCAATTGGACTAGATTTTCGAGATGAAACCACACCGTCGCGGGCGAAGCAGTACCCAGCTCTCTGGAGTCCGTCGTTACTCAGCAGGACCTGAATAGAAACATCCAGCGACTAACCATGCATTGAAACAGGTGTCTGCGGAGCCCTCACCGTATACTCCATTGTATCCCTCTCTATGTACAACCGCCGCCAGCGGACACTCTGGATCGAGAAGGAACTTCAGACTCTACAGGATGCCAAGGTAGCCTATACCAATGGAACCGCCACACCGGAACAGCTGGAGTTGCTGAAGAACGAGAAAATTGCCGAGATATACCAGCGGAAGAAGGATGAAGAGCGACAGCAGCGTCCTTGGAACAAGGCGAAGCGGTATCTACTTGGGGACTTGAAGGCGGACGAGGCCCCCGCTGAGGCGAATCCCAACCCTATCCCCGACAGCCTGGTGGCCGATGAGAAGCCTCGCGTTCTTGAAGCCATTTATGTCGCCAAAGTATCCGGGGAAGCTGTTGCTCCCGTACAGCAGGGCCCACTGGATACATTGGCGGCTAATGCCGAAGATGCCGCTAAGCAGACGACGCGAAGCTGGAAGAGCTGGTTCACTGGACGGTAAAACCACGCTTTCCGGAAGCTCAAAAAGGAAAACCCAGAGAAAAAGGTACTTGGGTCGCCAGAAAAAGACCGGAGGTCGCATGCACCGTCCACTTACAGTTTTTTTCGCTTTGGTCCCATTTTGTGCTTTGCATGGCAATCTTTTTTACTATCCCTTCCTCTCTTCTACCACATTCGGGGTTGTGGCGTATCTTGCTTTTGTTTCCTGGGTGTGTGAATGTGTGTGCGCGCTTTTCGCCAACATGTATCATCTATGTGCTATTGTTCTGTTTGCCAGCCCTGCCCACTTCAAATGTGGGATTGTAATGTACATATACATATGTTTTCATTTTCTTGATGATGATCTAGCTACACTGGCCATTTACCTGCGGATCCCAAGCTAATCTGACAACAGCATCCACTGAGCTACTGTGTTAAGCATGAAGATTTTGATTGACCACATTTTCCGTGTTGACTGCGAAAGACTGGTTGATCGACGTTACACGAAACTAGTTCCAAGGAAACAAGGTGATTAAGTATAACTTTTGATACTACCGTAAACCGAGACCCTAAAGCCAAGCTGCCTGAGGCTACTGACGTGGCCACACAGCACTCAACATGTGAACAAATGAATCAAACAGATAGAGAAATAAACAGAATCATTATCGTCGCCAGATTAGAAACAGGGAAAACAAGAGCGCCCTGGCTATGGTATCTAAATCAGACCATCTTGAATGAGAGAAAATGAAAACCAAGCGCGCCTCAACTTTTTGGACTCTGTCGTGAAAGCTCATTGAGAAGCGCCATTGAATTCCTTGGCCTTGGCAGCACGTCTGGCACGAACGGCCTCAGCCAGATCTTCCATGACAGTAACCGTTGTCTCCCAGTCGATGCAAGCGTCCGTGATACTGACACCCTTGCGCAGGCCGGAGGGGCCCTCGGGAGGAACCTTCTGGTTACCTTCGTTGATGTTGGACTCGATCATGACACCGACGATAGCATCCTGACCTTCACGGAGCTGGTCGCCAACTTCCTTTGCGACCAATGGCTGGTTGCGGTGGTTCTTATTAGAGTTACCGTGAGAGCAGTCAACCATCACAACCTCGCGCTGCTTCTTGCCACGAAGGGCCTCGCGGGCAGCCTTGATACTTTCACGGTCGTAATTAGTACCCTTGTTGCCTCCACGGAGGATCACGAAACCATGTTCGTTACCAGAGGTCTTGGTAATAGCAGCCAGACCCTGCTTGGTGACACCCAAGAAACGGTGAGGGTGGGCAGCGGCACCAATGGCGTCAATGGCCACGGTCAAGTTGCCGTCAGTACCATTCTTGTAGCCAATAGGGAAACTGAGACCCGAGGCAAGTTCTCGGTGCAGCTGAGATTCAGTGGTACGAGCACCAATAGCTCCGAGAGAGATCAGATCTGCAAGGTACTGAGGAGAGATCGTGTCCAGCATCTCACTGGCAATAGGCAGGCCCATGCTAGTCAGATCTGCATAGAGACGACGGGAAACACGCAGACCCTTGTTGATATTGTAGGTCTCGTCAATATCCGGATCGTTGATCAAACCTTTCCAGCCGACAGTAGTGCGAGGCTTCTCAAGGTAAGCACGCATGATAACACAGAGGTCACCGGAAAGTTTCTCAGACAGCTCCTTGAGGCGACCGGCATACTCCAGAGCCGTCTCAGGATCGTGAATGGAGCAAGGGCCCACAACCACCAAAAGACGGTCATCCCGCTGTTCAATGATCTCAATTGCCTGGTTGCGGCCGGCGCGGACAGCCTCTAGTGCGCGGGCAGGCTAGAAGAACAGTCAATACTACGGATTGACAGATTTATGGAAAGAGGAATAGGGCTTTGCGATGTGTAGAGGTGCGGCCTCGACAGTGGCCGAGAACGTGGGGCGGAAGTGAAATGACTCACAGCAGGGATCTCGGTCTGCAGAAACTGGGGGGAAAGAAGGGGATCGTATCCCAGAACTGAGAACACGTAATGATTAGCGAGAAAACCCTCTGGCGCATTGCTGCCACTGGCTACTCACCACGAGTGTCCTCGCTGACCTCAGTGGTGCTGATCAAAGGCATTGCAGCAAAGTAGGAGGGCGGAAAGGTGTGCTGAGAGAGGCCGAGGAGGGGTAACAATAAAGAAATGGGAGCAGATGTTCGCAAAGGGAAGAGCTCGCTTTTGGATCGAGTAGAGAAGGAGTCGTGTTAGGAATTTGGTCAACCCAGGGTTCAGTTAAACAAAAAGAAGTTTTTGTGAGTTGAATGAGAGAGGGAGGAGAGAAAGAGGAAAAGAGGAATGAAACACAAAATTGGCAAACAAGATCAAGTAGAATATGAATAGAAGAAGATGGATGAAGACGGAGGGCCTAAAAGTGGGCCCTGTGATCGGACGGTGATTCACACACAATTAAGAGAAAAATTGAATTAAGGTTACCCAGTCGGAATATGGCAGAGAAGGTACCTGTCCGTATTGAAGTGTATTGCTGGTAAGCAATACCGCGGGCAGTACGGAGTAGTTCCCCATTAGTTCGTTATTTTGAATGGTTTCTTCCCTCCTGTTTTCTCCCAATTTCTCTTCTTCTAAGAGTAGATTAGACGGGAACCCTCCGATTTATGCTCGGGCAGATTCTCGGAAGATTAGCATACACTCCGACATGTTGCATTGTACGTGGTCAATGCACTGTAACCGAGATGATGACGTCCACTGTGTTGCGGTCACATTCATAGTTATGCCATGGCTAGATTCAACCGGAGAAGACAATCATGCACACGAATCCTGTACGGCGTTCATATCAGGACCGCCTTTCCGCACAATGTCTCTCACCGCAAGTCCGTCTCATCATGTCACATTGGTATTCTGACAGATCGGTTTCCACCCCCGTCAGTCATTCTCGCAGACGTGGTACAGTGGGCTCTCAGGATGACGATTCAGGCCTCCAAGTTTGACAAGCAACTAATCGAACCGCAGGGATATCCCATTTGAACCCACGCTCGAAGTTAATCAACATATACCAAAGCATGGAAAGCCAACGCGTCAATGCTCTTTCATGATGGCTTGAACTTACACCACCTAATCTGACACACCAACTGTCTGAAGGAAGTCGATGATCTGATGGAGATTAGAAGGCGATATCAAGACGACGATATATGACAATCTATCGGCACGTGTCCCCGAGACCCCTAAATGCCTATCTGGCGCGAGGAACTTGGCCCGTGTCTGGAGCTGTTTGGCGGTCAATTGCAGTCCAGGGCCCATTTGTATGCACAAGCGACTTAAGGTAGTTTGACGCGAAAAATTCAGGCGGCCTTCTCCTCGGTTCTGTGGAGTCAAGGCAGCCACTCTGCATTAACCATGACAGGGATTTGAATCATTTGAGATGAGTTCTGAGGCACGAGCGTCACGAACCCGAGTCTGGTTTGTTCACATGTTGACGCTGTCGTGGTCAGAGTCATACTGCAAGGAGATTCATTTGGCCACGGACTGAGCTAACTTGCTCAGCTGTAGAACACACAAATACCAATGCTTTGAAATTACCTAAACTTGAAATCTATAAGCGGCCCACGACGGCAGCTTCCGTGTGGACCTGTGAATAGTGTCAACGGTTGTATATCCTCCACGTGCGACTGACAGCCAACTGAACCAGGGGTGAGGGAATAAGCTTCCTTCAGGGTGGGTTGGAGGTTGGTGGGGATCGAAGGAACTCAAGTTCTGATCGTGCTAGCGAGTGGGAATTTGACCAGTGGGTCAAATCAGCGAGAGCGACTTCGGTTGAGAAAGCTCTTTTGTTTGAAAAAAAGGAGATCTGTGTCTACGAGGCGGGGGAGGGAGTGGAGTGGTGGAAGAGGATGAAGGCTGTGGTGCATAACTATTTACTGGGGCCGGAGTAGTGTTTGAAGGGGTTGCTTGCGTGTAAGTGTTTTGCCGGAGAATGGGGGAAGAATGCTTTTCCCAGGAGCAGTTGAAAGCGGCCAATCCCTTGCGGTCGTTTTTTGACCGAGTGGATACCTTTCACCATAGCGAGGGTCTTAGAATAAAATCAATAAATATTAGAACTCCTCCGTAGTCCGTATACATGCCATGTACAGTAAGTAGGTTCAAGAACCGCAGATCGACTTTTTTTCAGTGATGCTCGCCGTGCTCAGGCTCTAGTGGATTCTCTGCCTTGAACTAGAATCATACAATGGTTTACCTTTCATCTTTCGTCCTCATTCAGGGATAAATTTCCTCTCCTTTCCAATCCCAACATCGACCTCGTCCATCATTGTTGCCAGAGCCCATTGTACACAAAAATCGAAGCAGTCTATCAGCAGACTCGCTAGGCTGTAACATCTTGCGCCCATCCCAGTATTCTCTTGTGAAGTCCGTCTGGACAGTACCAGGATGCATCGCTACCGCTAATGCGCGATCCTTGCTGCGAGTGCGTAGATACAAGTCAAAAGTCTTCGCTAACTGAAATACAGATGCTTTGCTGGCACGATATGAGTACCAGCCTCCACTTCCATTGTCGGAAATCGAACCAACTCGTGCCGCCATCATGGCGTATACGGCATGGGATGGGAGTTCCCAGGAGCCATCGCCCTCGCAAAGCTCTGCGCCTACCGGAAAAGGATCTGAAGACTTGGTAGGTAAGAAGGGTGTTAGGTGCTTCATCAACAGCATGGGTCCGAGAGCGTTGACCTTGAAGCTATCAAGAGCATTGGTAGCATCAATCTGCGAGGGTGCCTTTTCAACATGTAAGATCCCAGGAACGGTGATAGCTATACGGAGAGCGGTATCTGGATAGTTTTGTCGAATGTATGAGGTCATTGCATGGATAGTCGATTCATCTAGGTAAGCTGTTTAGCAAGCCGACAAAAAGAGATACTGAGGGTTGCACAGCAAGATCCGTACCAGTCACATCCACTTGCAGGACCTTCAGTCTCTCCCTCGGGCTATTGGAGTCGCTCTTGACTGCACCTAGCAGTTTATCCCGGACTTCGTCACAATTCTTCCGAGCAGTTGCGATGACGGGTAATGTCGTGTGGAACAGCAGCTGTTGGGCAAAAGCGAAGCCTAGTCCCTTGGACGCGGGAGCCACGAGGGCGAAACCATTCTTGATGGACAACATGACGTTTCACTGCGCACTGTGCTTGTAGATAGGGTAATGATACTTAGCTATCATTGAGACTCATTATATATGTAAACGGACTGATTCGAGCAACCGCGGCTAACTAGAGCGACGTCATAACTGTTTTATGTTTTGGGATACGTTACTTGTATTTTACGTACAGTACTCATCAATGGCATCAGTACGGCAATCAATATGGGTATATAGAGTTGAAATACGCAGACGTCCCGATAAATTGAAGATGGCGTTGAAATCCAAGTTCTTCTCCTAAATGATCAGGTTTAAAAATTTCTTCACCGGTGACAGCTCATTATCAGCGATCTATGTTGTCAGTCATGCCTAAATTCACCCGGCGAGGTTAATCTCCGCTGTGTACGAAGTAAGTCTAAGTGACGGCGAAATTGACACGATCGTACGTGGAATTTAACCCTTAGCATCGTGGGCTTTTCACCTGGGTAAACTCTGCGATACGACTCCGTACGCTAGCCACAACTGTGCTCATATCGCTTCTGTGCTTCTTCCCTTTCTTTCCTCGAGATTTTCTCAGTATTCGCTGAAAGGTATCAATCTGCTTGTGGGCAATGAATGTAATCAATTTGACCGGCTCTGACAGGTCTGAATACTTATCACTTCTGTGCAAGTTATTTAAACAAGAGTGAACCAGAGAATGAATGCAACTAAAAATGCTGAATTGTTGAAAAATAGCAAGAGCGTACTCTCGACAATGAATAGGGACGCTCAAGTATACCTTGACCAGACAATATGTTATAGTACGGCGATAAAAGGTGGCTCGGTAGCAGCTTAGATAGGGCTACTAAATAGGCAATACGTAGTTGACTAACAAAGTAGCTACTCAATCCATTATCTAGCTCAGGGAGCCTACTAGTAATGATGACAAACGAAGGAACAGATTACCGAGCGCAATCTCGTCCGCCACATGTCACGAGCCCGTGAGAACCCTGTGACTCCCTCCGTGGATCCTGCAAAGATATACGGTGCAGAAAAGAGCCGAAACTGCTCTTCTATGCGGACGCATATGACAGGCTGGCGGTTGCGAGCTGCAGTTCTTTTCTCCAGACTCAGTGGCTCGAGAACTGCTATGAACCACGGAGACGACTAGCGATAAGATAGAATAACTTATACAAGCAGAGAAGCCTCATGATAGAAACAAATGAGAGTGATTTTCCAATAAAGAAAACGCTGATTCGAGCTCAAGGTCTGCATGCAGAATTTCGAAAGATCTGAAGTTATTCGTGAAAACAACGTGATAAAGTCGACCGCAGTCACCTAAATAAGATATTAGGTGAGTTTTAGAGTTAGGGATACGCAATAAAGTACCTGTTTGTTTCTTGGAAGGTCTTTTGGTTGTGAGATTAAGGACAATCCACTGTTTCATGTTGTTTTCTTGTACGAGGCGGTGGTACTGTCCCCCGGGCTCAAACCGATTTAGATGCTCCGAGATCCGATCGTTGTCTCTCAGAAGTTCAATACCCCATTTCATATCCGAAATATAGAAATCCAGACTACCGCTTTGAGTCCCGTAGTCAATTGCAAATTCCGGTGATACAAGTATACGACCGCGTAAGATCTCATCAATACAGCGGTAGAACTCCTTGCCATATTGGTCTTCAAGTGGTGACGTATCTCGATTAAAGGCTCGTTTAGGTTCTGATAATTGGTGGGGATTGAATCTTTTCACAACCTCTATAGCAAGATGTAAAGGAGATTGGTATGGTAGTGGCTGTGTTTCACTATCTGCCGGATTGAACACACAAGCGCAAAACCTACGCTAATAGTTAGAGAGCAAGACAAAACAATACACCTATGTACTTACCATTTATGAAAGTCGGTTGGAAAGACGTATTCGATATTAGTCCCAATTGCTTGTGCATGCAGCCAACCATTGCGCCATATATAATACAGCGCTTGATATTCAGGGGTTCCTTCGACGTAGGATAATTTATTGAGCCCGCGAGGCGATAGAACGGCTTCCTTCAGTACCCGAGCAACAGCTGGTTCTTGTAACACATCGCATGATGGGAGACCTCTAGCGAATTGAGAACCTTTGATCCTTTCAAACAACACCGCAGGTTCTTTGAAAACAACGGCGCAAATTATTTGCCAGTGTAGATCAGAGTGTCTATAGGGACGAAGCTTCTAAAACAAGGGTTTTAAAACAAATCAGTATTTTGACAGCGTCAAATATAACAGCTGGGATCTTAAGACACGACTTACTTGTAACCGTCCCAAAACCTCACAGAACGATATGATCAGCCCCACGTGCCCCTGACTGACCTGCCAGACACCACGCTTGAAATCTTCCGATATATCTCCGGTAAAAATGGATGAGAGGCGGTCCTTCATAAAATGCCCTATAAGGTTCAGACTCTCATGTTCATTCAGGAGCAGACCAACCGGCTTGAAATCCGGTATTACGGTTTGATCAGGATTCAGGGATATCTGCTGCGCCGGATCGAATGTCATCGGGGTTTGTCTGAATCTCGGGACAAAGAATCCTTCAGATCCCTTATTAGGGGAGCCGTATGATGTGAAGAGCACGACCCTACACCTCGAAGTTGATGAGACAGCTTTGAACAGCCCAGCCCACACCTCCTGATCCCCATATGTTTGCTGAGCTTCATCGACAAATAGATAACCAGGATGATTGATCCAGTTGAAACCATTTACCCCCGTCTGTTCCTCTAGATATTTCGCCCAACCACCCACACTTTCAACCTTGTTAGGCGCCCAACCAATCAAAACATAAATGAGTTTGTGATCCTCGGGGTTATTCATCAAATGCCTGATCAAAAGACTCATGAGGGTGGTTTTACCTGAGGCCGGAGTCCCGTTAATTCTGACTATAGCGAAATGTTCCAATCGTTCGAAAATTTCCATCACAAGTTCTGTGCGCTCAGCGACGGGAAGGTTAATATCTATAAGTATTAGGTTTGACTTAGAATATATCGCATTGCACAATTACTCACCCGGTATGTTGAATATCTGCGCCGGCGGAAATTTCATAGGGACTGGCGGGGCTAGTATAGCAGTAGGCTCTGGTGTGGCTGTAAAGAGACAAAATTAGATGCAATCTACATTAGGAGTAGAAATAACTTACCATATTCTTCGTGATAAGCCATGGGGTGTGCACATTCATCACAGTTTTCCACTTGGCCAGGGGAGTCTGTGACGCAGTTCCCTTGCGGGCAGCCGCAGTATTTCCAACGGCAGGGGCCCATGATCACACGGATACGCCAATGTCTTGTGTCCGAATCAGAGCTCAAACAGCAATGTCCGTTGCAGCCGGAGGATAAAGAACCGTTATGCGAGGCAAAGGAGTGAGCGGAGGACGGGCGGGAGGAGGGGGAAGGAGATGGAGGAGAAGGCTGTAAGGAAGGAGGATTGCAAGAAGGAGGTGGTGGAAGTAACAGCTTGACAACCAACGAGCCTGCCATTGCTTGTTGGATAGCTTGCTCAATCACATTCTGAACACTCCAAATCTTGAAACGACACCACTATCTCGAGAGCAATTAGCAATAATTTGAATCTCATCTTCGTGACTTTCTAGGGTAGTTGGAGTACCATACCTAGTGTGTTATCCAAGCTGACAGTATACCATGTGTTTTTGAAGAAAAGAAAATCGTACAAGTGCACTCTTATTCAAGTCAAAGGCGAAAGGGGCAGCCAAGTGTAGGATGAGAAAGTGGTTTATCCCACATTCACTTCAGGTTGCGCTCTCCGCCTACCTAACCTCGTTTCTGATTGAAGCTATGATGCCACTGACCTCAGCGACTCGGTTCAAGATCACCGTCACCTGGGGTTACCACAGTGAGCAGGAGCTGTTCGGGGATTGCTAAATGAGCGAGCGAGCAATGGATAGAGCAATCCTAAGGTGGTTACAGGTCACCTTGACTTTGTTTCTTGGTGGATGGAGGCGTCCCTGCTTGATAAATAATGTTTCGATCATGTGTTGTTCAAGCAAACTGAAACATTAGTTTCAGAGCTTGGGCCATTTCTTTTATTCCTGAATGAAATCTCAGAATCAGTTAATTATCTCTTTGTTCTTTCTCAACATCTATCCTAAGATTACATTATGGGTAAGGCGGTGGCAGAACAGAGGTAGAAAAAGCGGCTGAGGTAATATCATGGAACGTTATTCCTCCACGCATTAGATAGCTAAAGAATAAGAAGGTACTATGCCTAAGTAGGAACACTATACCGCTTCAAGTCATTCGCCGTCACCGCAGAATACGGAGTACTACTCCGTACGAGGTGGTATTTCAATCACGAACTTGCAAAGCGTAACGCGCGCAGACCGTATAAGTTACATACCATGCCGTAATCAGTTGTAGAAAGAGGTACCTCATCCGGCTGGATCTGATTGGAAGGTGAGGGAATGTGGCTGAGGCGTTCATCGTTCCAGTTCTGGACTCTCTCTCTTCTCGCTGTGCTCGGGCTCAGATGGACTGAGCTTGTTTCAAGTTCCTACCCCGGGATTTGATGCATCCTTGGCCAGCAACCATCTTCCATGAACCGGGAAAAATGAGCAGTCAATTGAATTGTGCTTGAACAACACCTCGATTAAGCTTATGCAACTGTGGGGTTATTGAGACTCACCATCCAATGTACTGGTTCTCCATCTCTTCATAAGAATAGGGGGAATCCCGGTCACTATTTCAGGTTTTCCATTCCCAGAGTCGAGGGATTGCAGTTCCCTCATCTCGATTGTCTCTTAAATCGCCCTCTTGCAGTACTGCTTTCAAATTAGACATGTTTACATATAATCTCAAGCGTCCGAGAGAAAAAGAGGAGCACGACTCTGATGGACTTACGGTTCATGAAAAGAAGGTATACCGTCACCCAAAGCTGTGTTAATGCTCTTGAATTAGTGCTCACAATTTTTGAACAGAAACATCGCTCGTTACCACTACGTGCCTCTCCCTATATCAACAGCAATCTATCATTCTTTAAAAATAACGAGACTACACTACAAGTCGGGGTGTCGACTCTCACACCCACTGAATCCTCGGAGGATGATAATGATCATGGCCCGTTTGACGGAAAATCTCGCAGCTGTTTGAAACAAGCAGAGTGCCATCAGGCCCAGTCCACCCTTCAATCCGCTCGACTTAGCACGGAAATGGATGTTGACAGTGGCAACAATATCAATGTGGGCTTTCCTGACGAGAGATGTAACGAACGCTCACAACAATCACCGATTCCTCCTAGAATTATCAATCGCTCGCTCACCATAAGCGAGCAACGGGCTATGCGTATGGCGCGGGAAGCTGTTCCCTCGGCGGTTGGCCATGCAGACGATATGGAGAACTCACATAGCGTATACCTGGCACGTCGCCAGACTCTAGATGACCTGTATACCGACCGCAATACAGCTTGGTGGCGTGACCAGCGTCTCCCTAGCCCCATCAGTGATGCTGATGCTATGATCATTAGTAGCAAATATTCTGTCAGTGATGCTGATATGACATACACTACATCGCGTCCGGCGTCCCCTTCTTTGGGACAAACGAGTACTATGTTTGCGAACATGCGCGAATTGGATTCTTCACGAGTTTCCCTTGCAGCAGGTGTAAGTAGCCCGAACAAGGTGGCATTCTCGATGGGCTACCGGTCGGACTGTGATAAATGCCGGCGCAAGGTGCCTGGTCACTATAGTCACATCATACGCTGTTGATTAGCATGATACCCTCAACTTACGACGACTTGAATGTTTTCTTATTCTACGCGCTGCTTTAGCAGTCATGGCCATGGAGCACAGCAGGCTACTGTTATACTTATATATATATTGTGCGCTGCAGTCAGTAACTGTAGAAAACTATAGCCTTCTACGTAATTATATTCTGGCACGGTTCTTTTCTTCGTGGTTCCGACACCATGTTCCGATGAAGCTGATATAAGCATCCGTGTTTACCCGGTCCAGACGGGGAAGCATCCGACTGTTGGGTTGTCGATTGGGAAGTACTATACTGCGCAGATGTGGCATCCAAAGAGATAAGAATCTACTGGAGGTGAACAGATATTTGGCAGGGAAGTAGTCATGGAGTTGAAGGACATGTAAGAACAGCATCAATTTCAATTCTGGCCAGGGACGGGGTCCATCTTAATCATAACTACTCCTCCTTCGGCAAGGCACTGCCGTAATCATCCTTCCTCCCTCTCCGCTTTCCCCGCGGCTGTCCGCTTAGCCGATCTTCACTGCCGGCAATTCGGTGGCTACTCCAGAACGGCTCGTTCACTAGCAAACGATCCCGAGCCCCGGAATTTCCTCCCATGACTTTCTGGTCGACAATAAGTATGCTAGCGCTTCCCAATTTTCCTTCTGGTCGGAAACTAGGCACGAGCTCTGATTTTCCTGTCTTGATAATCTTTTGATCAATCCCTCTTTCTTCCTTTCCCCCCCCGCCGGTTTCCGTCAGAGAATTAAAATCTTAAACTCACATCACGATGGCTTCTCCAATCCCTCGGGGTCTGCGCCAGGTTCTTCAAAAGTCCCCCAATGACATTGTCATTCTCTCTTCTCTTCGTACACCCGTGACTCGTGCAAAGAAGGGTGGCTTCAAGGATGCTTATCCCGAAGAGCTCCTTGCCAATGTGCTTCGGGCTACTCTTGAGGCGAACCCGAATCTCGACCCGGCATTGATTGACGACGTCGCCATCGGTTCTGTTCTTCAGGAGCTTGGCGGTGCCAAAGCTGGCCGCATGGCTCAGATTCATGCTGGTTTCCCTAACTCCGTATCGTTCCATACAATCAACAGACAATGCTCGTCTGGCCTGGCTGCTATCTCCACTATTGCCAATGGAATCCGTGCCGGCGCCATCAACGTCGGTATCGGTGGTGGAATGGAGTCTATGACTCGCAACTATGGTTCTCGCGCTATTCCTACTGTCCTCTGGCCCGAACTCAAGGAGTCTCACTCGAAGGATGCCCAAGACTGTATCATGCCGATGGGTATCACCTCTGAGAATGTCGCCTCGCGTTACGGAATTTCTAGGACGGACCAGGATGCGTTTGCCGCTGAGTCGCACAAGAAGGCGGCTGCGGCCCAGAATGCCGGCCTGTTCGACTCTGAAATTGTTCCCGTGAAGACCCTCTCCTACGATCCCGCGCACCCCGACGCTGCTCCCACCGAAATTACCGTCTCCAAGGACGATGGAGTTCGCCACAACCTCTCAATCGAGAAGATGGCTAGCTTGAAGCCCGCCTTTTCCGCCGACGGTGCTAGCACTGCTGGAAACAGCTCCCAGGTTAGCGACGGTGCTGCCGCGGCTCTGCTGATGCGCCGTTCTACGGCTACTGAGCTTGGCTTGACCTCTTCCATTCGGGCCCGCTGGGTTGCCTCTGCCGTTGCTGGCTGCGCACCCGACGAGATGGGTGTTGGCCCTGCCGTTGCCATTCCCAAGCTTCTGCAGATGTTGGACATGAACGTTTCCGATGTCAACATCTGGGAAATCAACGAGGCATTCGCCTCCCAAGCTCTGTACTCTATTCGCAAGCTCGGAATTGATGAGTCCAAGGTAAATCCCAAGGGAGGTGCTATTGCCATCGGTCACCCTCTGGGTGCCACTGGTGCCAGACAACTCGCAACGCTTCTGCCAGAGCTTGAACGCACCGGCCAAGACGTTGGCGTTGTGAGTATGTGCATTGGAACTGGTATGGGCATGGCCGGTATGTTTGTTCGGGAGTAAGAAGGATGATGAACAGTGAGGATTTCCATTTCTGTACAGATTAAAATTTGCTTAGAGCAAGTTGGATTTTCATGATATCAGCGTAGACGCATGTATATACACCCACAATCGATGATGCAATCTCTTATTAAATGAACAAACGTGCCAGAACCTAACTCGCGCCGAACCGCTATTGATGTCCTGGGTGGGGTTGTTGTTGTGTACTCTCCTGTTAGTAGCAATACCGTCGTACAGAATTCCGCACGGATGTCTTCTTCCCTGACGCCAAGACCGGGTGCGGTGCACGTGACCCATCGTCCGGAATCCTTGAAACTTTTCCCAAGACTGGCCGAAAAGTCCCCGATAGCAATACCGCAACGCTGCAACCATGCGCCCCTCTGTGCGATTGCTGAACTTAGAGGTGCCCTCCATCCATGGGGCTCGGTCTCTCTACGTCTGTTCGGTCTGCAGACATGAAGCCCGCCCCCGTCCGATCGTTGCCCGCCAATTCCTGCGTAACGCTTCCAGCGCGAATTCACTGACCGAAAAGGTGCGCCGCAAGATTTGGGGCACCGACAATCCTCCCGGTCTGAAGGATCCTTACGGGGGAGAGGGCGTTATAGAGCGAAAATTCAAGAACAAGCATGCTCAAACGGTGGTAGAGGAGGAAACACCTGAAGCTTCCCAAGCGCTCGATACCGCTGCCTCCGAGGACGCTGCACCCGCTGCAGACGACTACGAGCCGGCGACAACATGGGAGGGCCTGGATCGCGTCGGCCACCTTGGGCGGTGGTTCGACATCGCTCCTGCGGCAACCGAAGTATATGAGTCGTGAGTGCTCCTGTGGTCTTCCTAGTATCCTACCTGTTGTCATTCGGGGAGCGAAGCTCTTATGTACTTTGGTCGTCGGATAAGGGCACTCAACTAACGAGGCTTCTCTTTTCAAATTAGGTTTCAGGTCAAGAAGAAGATCACCAAACAGGGGCTACTCTCACTCGCGGCTCATCAGACTGTTGTCGAACTCTGCCTCATGCACAAGCTGGGCAAGCCATTAACGAGCATCTGTGAAGTCGTGGAGCACGACCAGTCTGTCTTCAAGCTGATCTGGAAGACGAAGATTGTACCCGCCTCGAATGGACAGTGGACTGCGGCACTAGAGTACCCCGATAAAGAGGCAGAGGAAGCGCTTGTTTACATTTTCGAGCAAGTTGGGGGCCAGAACGTCGCTCCTGAAATTGAAGAAGTGACGCAGGATGTTGACGTGGAAGATGCGAGAAGTGACACAACAGATATCGTTGACATGGATGGCTCTAAGCAACCTTTTTTTGGGTATCAAAGAACTCGGGATAATGGTTTCTTGTCTTTGTCTCTGGATGATCCAGCCACAAAATTTGCTGTCAGTTCTCCTCCCCTCGTTATTTCATCGCAGATGATATTTCCCATTTATCGCCGATGCAAGTCAGTAACTGACTTATCCCCATTTCTAGTTCTTGAAGAGGTTCTCACAGTTGACTGGCCACTTCTTCCCCGATCCTGCTGTGCACTCGATTACCACCGTTCAGCAAGTGGTCGATTACGTTCAAAATCTCGCGAAACCCAAGCCAAAGAAGTTGGCTGAATACTTGGCAAATAACCCGCGGTACCAGAGCATGCCCAATGTCAAGGTCTTTGCCAAGAGACAGAAGCGGTCTGACAGGGATGAGGAACTGGGCCGCAAGAAGCTCATTGAGGCCGAGCTTCGCGCTCGCGGTCTAATTGAATAGGCTGTCGAGACAGTGAATGCGGAGTTTGTCTCTGGCATTTAGTTTCTAGTTCTTGTAGCATGTTACTTTTCAGATTCTTGCTGTACAATAGGACTCATTTGTTTGTCATTTTCATCATCGGTATAGTATACAATTTTGAATCTATCATTTGAACGTACTAGGGTCATAAAATAAATTTTATAGCTGGCTCAACAATCGCCATTGAGAAAAGCCTTGAAACGCCTATCCCGGATATGACTGGGCAAGATGCAAGAGGAAGAAGAATAAAGTTCAGTGCCTCGAATTCGCAGGAAGGGTAAAGCCTCGGGTCATGAAGTCCGTGTTTTTCGACATTCCATCTTGACCGGATTCTTTAGTGAAAAGACTGCTCAGGTTGTCATTATTTCCCATCAGCCTACGCCGCTTCTTCTTTTCTTTCTCCTCCTCAAGAACACGAGCTGTTAGCATAGCAGTGGCTGCATTTTTGATCGTACTGGAAGCTTTCGGGGCAGACGTAGATGTATTGCTTCGGCCAGCAGTGACAGATTGTTGCCTTGTGAGCGGAGTGGATATTGAGCCTAGCTTGGGCTCTTTGCCATTTTTGGAAGTTGAATCGTTGCCAGCAGTAGCAGCGACAGCATCGCCATTGGCATGCTTCTTCCTTTTCTTTGAACCAGGCGCCTTTTTCAAAGAATGTGTCAATCCTTGCTCGGCAAGCTTCTGGTTCCGCTCAATCAGCTGCTGTTTATCCGACTCTTTTGTCGGAAGTATCAGTATGACATTCTCGCTTGTGTAAGGTTCATCGCACTACATCAGTGGCTGTTAGCCCAAAGCGAACTTCGAAGGGCGACGGGCCATAAGCACCTGCAAGCACCTATCCCCCTTCAGTTGACGAACCGCTTCCTCCGAGAAGACATGCCCGCAAGGAACAAGGTAGACGGATTTGACGTTGGGACCTAATTGCTTAGCGGTGACTGGACAAATCCAGCGCTCGCGCTTCTCGTGTTTCCCAGCTGGATGTTGCAGGTGCTCAGTATCAACTTCAAATTTCAGTTCCACGACGTCACGGAGGCTCTTTACCCGGCCACAGAGGAACTCGTCACAGTCGGCTTTCGAGCTGATACCTTCGGCCTCATCTCCAGACAACAGGTATCTCAAAACAGCGTCTTTATTGAACAGGTTTCCGACACAGTCAGAGACAATAGGCCGCATCAGCTGTTTATGCGACAATGGACATGTATTCCAGAAGTGTTCTTGCAATTCGCGCTGTGTTTCTTTCAACTGCGCCGTGGTGGGATTCCGGGCGGCTTCGCGGACGAGCTCGCGGCGAGTGGGGATACTGAAGATGGAAATGAGTTACTTCATAAACCACAAGTACATAAGAACAGAGTCATGTGTCTCACCTTCCACCATCATTACCCATTTTTGGACCCGGTAGAACAGAGAACAGTAGATTTGGTCCAGGAAGTACAGGCAAAAGATACTCTCGCTGAGCGGGCCGGTCGCCACTCTGAGAGGGTGGAATCTACTTCGTATGTCGATAAGGAGCTGACTAAGCAGTTCTGGGGCGTCTTCCCCCGGATCAGTTACTTGATGGAGTGGTTATCAACAGCTGGCCAGTTGGAAGCTCTCTCCGCATTTCTGCTGAATGAATTCTGGCCTCGGTGACGGAACGTCTTTTCTCGGTCGTACTAGTGGTTGGTGAGTCGAGCGCTCAATGCTGCCGCCATGATACTTCCTCAGGGTTCACTTTTCATTGCGAGCATCGCTGCATGCTCGACCGTGGTAGCTGCTGCGGGTGATACCTCGTCTCGACCCCGGGGTGTCGGACCTGAGTGTGAGTATAACCCTTCCTAGCTTCTATCCTCCAGGTATCGCTTAAGCTTTGGTAGACATACTCTGTCAAACATACCGCATGAGTTGCCTGTATCATCTACTCGCTTCGATCACTTCACACTTGATGGAGAAGCTCTCGCACGTACCCAGCTGACACATTGCTTGAATACGACAGTCGCAAAATTCTACAAAGACACCACAACTTTCACATGTATCTCCCATCCCGCGATTCAGATTCCATTCTCTGCTGTAAACGATGATTACTGTGATTGCCCCGACGGTAGTGATGAACCCGGCACGTCAGCCTGCGCTCATCTGTCCCGCAACTCAGCATTAACAGTTGCCGACCGACCCGGGAACAATGATCTCGAGCTCGTCTCCGCACTTCCAGGGTTCTACTGCAAGAACAAGGGCCACAAGCCATCCTACGTTCCGTCTCAACGAGTCAATGATGGAGTTTGCGACTACGAGCTTTGCTGTGATGGAAGCGACGAGTGGGCACGGGTAGGCGGCACCAAGTGTGAGGACAAATGCAAAGAAATCGGCAAGGAGTGGCGCAAAAAGGAAGAAAAGAGGCAAAAGTCCCTGACGGCCGCTCTCAAGAAGAAGCGAGACCTCCTGGTGGATGCGGGCAGGCAACAAAAGGAGGTTGAGGACCAGATCAAGAATCTGGAAGTGACCATCCAAGCCCAGGAGGTCAAGGTCAAGAATTTGCAGGCTCAGCTAGAGAAGGCCGAGCAAGAAGAAAAAAGCAAAGTGGTGAGAGGTAAGAAGGTTGGCAAGGTCAATGTCTTGGCGCAGTTGGCCAAGGGTCGAATCGAGGAGCTTCGAGATGCATTGGTGGATGTCCGCAAGGAGAGAGACAATACTCGTGCACGAGTGAAAGAGCTTGAGGAGATTTTGTCCAAGTTCAAGGTTGAGTACAACCCGAACTTCAACGACGAAGGCGTGAAGCGTGCGGTGCGCAGCTGGGAAGATTATGCCGTCAGAGGAACTCTTGAGAGTGCTACGAACGCGGCCGAAGATCGTGATCTGGACGAGTTGGTCAAGCCGGATAGTGCCCAGGCTGGTATCAATTGGGAGCAATGGGAGAACGAAGACGAGGTCTGTGAGGCCGATACCGGTAAGTGCATCAAGTGTGACAGTCTTGCCATTTCATGTTACTGAAGGTGATTGAATAGCTTTTGTCTACCAGCTGGCAGCCTATCTGCCTCCATCATTGGTCGAGCTCATCGAGACTAAGGTGTATTCCGTCCGTGCTTTTCTGGAGAATAACGGTATTTTGCCTAAGAAGAAGGAGCCTACAATGTCCGAATCCAAGGTTGTATCAGACACCCGGGAAGCCGTCAAGTCAGCCGAGAAGGAACTTGAAGACTGGCGGAAACAGCTGGAGACCCACAAGTCTGATCTCGAGACAGACTATGGTCTTGCATCCATCTTCCGTGCACTGAAGGGCGTGTGCATATTGAAGGACTTTGGCGAGTACACCTACGAGCACTGCTTCCTGGATCAAACGAAACAAATCCCCAAGAAAGGTGGTGGTTCGATGCGGATGGGCAAGTACTCTGGCATTGGGTCCGTTAGTGTGGATGTGCTCAACGAGTCTGGAGATGTTATTCCTGAGGAGAAGGTTGCTCTGCATTACACCAATGGACAAACCTGTTGGAACGGACCGGCACGATCAACGACGGTGGTCTTGGAGTGTGGTGAGGAAAACGAGATCTTGAAGGTGGCCGAGGATGAGAAATGCGTCTACTCGATGCTTGTGACCACGCCGGCTGTCTGTCCCGGCGGTGAAGAAGTGAATGCTGCCCCGAGGAGCAAAGATGAGCTATGAGAGATTGTACTCTAACATATTTGTGAATCATATATGGGTGTTAGTGCATAGTAGAGGATGTTTTTTGTTACATTTAACTACAGCAATTGTGCTACTTTCTGGCCAGCTTTGGAGTATGTAGATGCTTCTTAGGTACAAAGAAGACGCCCTTCGACTGTGTCAGAGAGATCTACGGGTCGAGAGAATAGTACTACTACCTGCTATCATAACCTACTTCCTACATGGCTCAGTCTTTGTCATTATTGGTGCGGCAGTCGCGGGTGTACAATATTGCTAATTATCAGAAATGAGATTAGAAAGTTCAAGCAAGGCGGCCAGAACTAACTACCTAGTAAGATTAAGAGCAAACATATGCACTACTTAATTAGATTGCGGCGGGACCTAGAGCTCAGGGCTCTTGAGGTCGGGTGCCTAATCGGCTCATCCACGTAAATCTGAGGGCGGGGTCAACTCCAATAACTCACGCAGTACATTTAGTATAATAGCAAAATATTCATGGCCGAGATTGAGATCACAGAGCTTTCCTTCTTCCCCTCCTTCGCAAAAGTAGAAGAGAAGAAAATCCAAGATAAAAAGAAGAAAAGAATCTGGGACTGCTAGATCCGTGGTGAAAAGACAACGACTCTCAGTTGAAGCGCGCATGCTGATATCCACTTGATCTCCATTCCTCATTCCCACAACTCATCATTGCCCCTCCTTCCCGTCTACAACAGGTTTCAACGTGGCAGCAGCAACAAGGTTCCTTGGATCACACACTACCAATCTTATCAATGACTGGTGGCACCAGTGAACCTTTCCAAGGATTTCCCCGCGCAGAATTAGCCCAAGGATGAGCATTCAGAGATGACTACGATAGCCCGCCTGCCAGTCCCTGTACGGAGTAATGAAGAATGGAGATGGTCACTCCACTGGTACTGCCTCATTTGCCTGCATCTAGCATCTATAACCAGCCCATTCGAGCCGTCTGCTTCATCAGTGGGTGCTTTGTCCTGAGGGGCAAGAAGCCAGCTGCACACGGTGAGATCCATGCGAGTCGCATTGTGGATTCAGCAGCATGAAAACCCTCCACTCATGTTCGCCAAGGCCATGCGAAAGGCTGAAAAGAAGGGAAAGATAATAATCTGCTTGCTCCCAAGAAAGCATATTAAGTATGGATCTGCAGACACCATGCATTGGTGATGGGGGGATAAAATTCAAGCACAGCACAATACATCTATCTGGGTGTCAGAAAGATATAAGAAGCCTCTCCCTTATGTAGTCTCTGTACTCTAATCCCTTTCTTTGTCCGCAACTCAACGAATCGATCCATCTCGGGAAGCTGTTTCCTTTACATCACCAACTACATCAACGGGCCCAAGTCTATCTATTTTATATCCAGATAACATTATGTCTCCCTGCACCTGCAACTCCTGCGCCGCCAGCTGCGCTGGTAGCTGCAACTCCTGCTCCTGTGGCAGCTGCTCGGTACGTATTACCGCCTCATGTAGATCATATTCTCGCGTTTGGAACTTCAGCAGTCCGACAGAGCACCTTCGAAGACTAACATATGACAAAAGCACTAAACGGGTCGCCGCGTACCTCTCTTGCGGGACACTTCGTGGCCGTTGACCAATCTCTTCATGTGCTTAAGAAGGCCATGCCATACTTGTTGAGCTGGCAGAGAGTTATGCGGAACAAGATTGTTCTGTTTTGAATTCGCGAGTTTCCTGTTTATCGACTTGAACGATGTCGATTTGATATGTGCGTCGGGTTAGTGCAACTATGAAAAGTGCTTGTGAAGTGACGGGAGGCGATTCAACCAATACATGTTGTGCTTGATTAAGTATGGCAGAGTTTGCAAAGCAGAATAGAACCCCTCAGAGTCCGGATTGTACAGGTACAGCAGACATGTCTCGCTGACTGGCTGGCTTTGTAATTCCTGTTTACTACCTAGGCTTCTTAACTTATACCTAATATGCCTGCTGATTCAAAATTTATTATCGATGATTCGGTCAAAGACACTAAGTCTATCATCGAAGCAGACATGCGAGCTTAGCCTCATGACGGCTCAGAAGCCCTAACTGGAAGTCGAGCAAAACAGGTTGAGTCCCATGTAGAGTGTCATCGTCATCTCTTGTGACTTCAATTCATCTCATTTGGCAATAGGTCTTATTGATCTAACATGGAAATAGAGCCAGCAAGTGTCCTTCGCACTGAAGATACCATAGCTTCGTCAGACCAGAGTCCGAGATTGTACCGTATTTATTTCTAAAAAGGGTCACGAATGTCAGTTCGCCCAACCAAGGGCGTATCATGTTATCAGAGGAAGCAGGCAGAGAAACATACAGGGCACTTGCACTGGCCGGCAGGGCACTGGCAAGAGGCGCCGCAGCTGCAACCGTGGTCGGAACCTATTATAAAAAGCCAGAGATGTTTAGCAACTGTGGTTTACCAAGGATGTCACAATTTCTGGAGGCCGGGAGGCGAGGAGGGAAGGAATGTCATGGTGCAGTGAAGAAATAATCAACTGATCAACCATTGCATACCCCGCCATTGCTTACCCCGCCGCGCACATTGAGCCAACACAAACACACGAAGGAGAAATCAAGGAGCACCGATATACTGAAACCAGGATATGAAGAGAGAAAGATATGACCTACCCATTGTTGATAAGAATAAATGAAGAGATAGGATATTGGACGAAGTGGACAAGGATATTCCCTGGGCTTTATGGCTGAGAGAGGAGGAGGTTATTGTGGTTTGTGACACGGGAGAGAGAAGATACAGGCAGGGTCACTCGGCCGGGTATTTATACCTCGCCAGACGATACAATATACTAACTAACTCACTACTAACTTACCTGTACTCCGTGATCTGCACAGTAACGGTGCATTGCTCTGTCAGGCATAGCGTGCCTATTCAGGGAAAGCGACTCACTGTCGCTTGGCATTCGTTGTGCGTGGTCTTTAACAGAAGCTGCTTCACCCGCTTCTTCTTTTTCCATCCTTTAATAGTTTCTCGACCCGAACAAACTTGAGGCAATTTTTCTGTTAGATCAGGCTATCATCCTCTGCAATTGGCCCCTCCGTATGTCTATAGTAAATCATGACGATGACTGCGCATCGCTCCTTGAGCCTGTATCTCACTTAATCTCTTTTACCTGAATAGGGAGTACTAATTAAATTCAACGCGATTGGGACATTACATACGCGGTGTTCACTAGGAACAGATATGACATTTACTAAGAGCAGCCTTCAAGTCCATTCAGTGGGGAAAAACTTGCTTTTATATGTAGAATGTATAGGACTTGGCTCGGGACATTAAAGGTTGGTGGGTGAGCATGTCATGAGTGACTTGATGCAGCAACACCAAAGCTCAAGTTGTGTGTAAAAAAGATATTCAAAATGTGTAACATCGCTTCAATTCTGCTATTCTAACAATAAGTATTGAAACGGGGTGCTTGCTGTAACACATGAAGCTTGAACACCGGTGTTATACCATCAAAGTTCGAATATCCTCAGAGCTGTCGATGAAGCTGATTTCTATTCATGAATAGGATACTATTTTGTTGTTGTGAAGAGAAGTTTAACCTCTCTAAATCTCTGTTCCAACTTAGCATCAACATTTGAATTTCTCACGAAAAATCTGATTCTCCAACTATACAGCAGCAAAACCCATCTATTCTATACACGAAACTGCTCTTAGACTATGAATACACTGATACAGCATATAGCTGCTTACAACCAAAGGCAGATAGATACCTGTAAACAACCTGAAACCGGAACATTGCATGATCTAACCCATCTGATTTCTTTGCTCAATTAGAGAAACCTCCGCTATAGTACTGTGTGTTTGTCCAGTGTAGAAATTACATACAGCGATCTAAACAACTCTGTTTAGATAGTTCCTTAAGCAAGTTGTTCTGATTTTGTATGATTCTACGATGTCTGCACTGTGGCTATTCAGTCCTTGACACTTACTGTCGTGAGATAAAGTAATTTATTGAGTTAAGATCAAGGGGTAGTCAGTTAAGTGGAGGGAAACAACAGATTTTATCTTTCTATTATCCAAAGAAGCTTAAGCTTCTTGATAATCATCTTTAGGAGATTTACAGCCTGCTTTCACAAGAACTGTTCATCTCAAAACCAGTGTGAGTTAAAGCAATCACAGAGACGAAAATAAACAGATAAATAGGCTAAACAGTGTGCCCACGCAAATATCGAAAGTTGTGCCCCCTCCCCCCCGCCCCAAGGTTCGAAGATGAGGCTATAATTATGGCCTCTCTATCGGTTCTTAGGTAGTCTTTTTGACTATACTCAATAGCCTAATACAGTCTAGTTTTAACAGTAAAACATAGAACAACAATGAGACAGATACCAGTAATTTAGCAGTGCGGAGTATTGACCCTTTTCCCAACCTGCGAAACTGTAAACGTGAGGGTGGGTCGGGTCTTACCATTTCAGGCTGGCTGCCTGGTCGGTTGGTTACATTGTCGCCAATACGGAAGGAGGTGAGCTCGATTCTTTCACATGTCAACAATGACAGTTGTTATAGTTATTCTGACTCTTCTCCTTACAAGATGATGTGAGCGAAATTAGTCTCTGATGACTTACATCAAATACTGTCCGATTCCAGTGTCTTTCAATCACAGCAAGCTCTCATCAGCTGCTGTCATCCTACTCCCGTTTAAAACAAGATGTTCTCATCACAAGAAGAGAGACCCTTTCCAGCCTCTTTCGCATTGAACCTCAGGCCCCTATACGGTCACCCAGAACGAGAAGCGATGTACATGCTCGAGAGGTCTTTTTCTTTCAAGACGTGGAGTGGATTATGAACTATTGTCATGTCAGATTAAGGCGTGCAATCATACACTCAAAGAACACCAGCTTGCTGAAATTGAACCACCTCCGACTGGATCATCGGTATCTACTGACAACTTTAACTACACGCAACAGCATCCTATACGATGGAAATATACACTTTTGATCCTGTTCTGCAGAGGTCATAGTTAAGAGCTAATCCCATGTAAAACCGGATAGCTACTAGTCATCGAGCGCTATGTTTACGCCAAAGCACAGTATCAAAGCTTGCAGCCGTTCTCGATTCTGAAGATGTCATTCACGTACGCGGAACGCCAGCCAGCGGGAAAACAATCCTGTCCCAACTGTTACATGACTACTACCTCACGAATAATATAACGGTGTTTTTACTTGAGACGTGGCCATCACTGAATGTTGAAGGCGGAGATCCTTGGACTCGATTCGGCTTGCGTCTGCAACGAAAATATCCATATTTCGATGAAAAATGGGAAGCGGTTCCAGGAAAGACTGTGATCCCTTGTCGATGAGGCCCAGGGGTCATACGGATGTACTGACTTCTGGAACACGTTCATCAAGGAACAAAGGTCTGAAATGGGCAAAGACTTAGAGATTTGTCTTTTTTGTTCCTACGGCAGCCCTTCGACAGGTGTGGACTTAGACGAGGAGTTGATTGACTATACTCCCGCCCGCTTTGGGTCCGCGCAGCGCGTTACTATTACTCCTCAACCTGGTCAAGATTCACTAAAGTTTGGCTTGTTTTACACAGACTGTGAATTTCGTGAAGTTATATCACTTCTAACGACACGACAAATCGATGAACCATTCACATTTGATAAGGCAGCAATAGACTACTTATACGACCTGGCAAATGGGCATCCCCCCACCGGGGGGGGGGGGGTGGGGTGGGTGGCAGCCGTAGTAGAATTCCTTCAGAGTGTATGTACTATTCTTGATTCTACCCCAGAAAGTGAAATGATCAGCTCTGTGCTTACTTATGCAACTGACTCGAGTTCAGCGGTTTCGTCATGCCATCAAACACAGGGAAATTCATACAATTACGTTGGGTCATGTTATCACGGCTTTGAAGAATAAGAATAATTTCTTCAGGTTTCTCGCGAATCATGCTGTTGATCGCTCATTTCTTAGAAAGCGTCTTACAGCTACGGGCATTATTCCGGGCAGTCCTCGAAAATCTTTCGAGGATAAGCTTGAGACATGCTGTTGAAAGCAAGAAGCTTTCGACTGCAGCGAAGCCTAGGCTCATGGAGGCCCAATACCAAGATAAATTCTATAGGGCATTTTACGGCGTGGCAGATATGGGTGTACCTCTCTGTAGCGAATGGTCAAGGAGCGGTGGTGGTCGAGTCGACTTCTACATTCCACAGAAACAGTGGGCTATCGAGTTGCTTCGGGATGAGGATCGCATTACTGACCATGTCACCCGATCCCATTGGGGTGAGAAGTATTTCCCCTGGTCGAAGGAGAAGAGGGTTGTAGACTGGATTATCATTAATTGTACCTCTTCTCCCCCCACACGTGGTAGGTTTCGACCTCGCATAGCTGTTATCCCGCTTTAACCTGCTAACATCTTGAAAGAATATTCGGAGCCAGATCTCTGGACTGCCGTTTTTACGAATGATTTTTCTGATCCGCAAGTGTACGATTATCAAGTGCTTTCTTTGTTTTCTATTGCTCTACACAACTAAAGATTTTCATTACTTGTGACCAGACTGGAACTCAATTCAAGCTTATTATAAGTATATCCTAGCGAATGGATGTTCAGTAACCGAAAGGCCTGAAATCAATATTCATGATTGAAGTAAATGGAACCTTTGTTGATTTTTCTTGACCTGTTGACGAACTAGTAATTATAAGGCAATGTATGAGGGGTCAAGTAGCAAATTTTGCCAGAAGAGGGTTTTTTCAGACCCGTTGATCGTTGAAGTATACCGGTAATTGCGGCTCTGTGGATTTGAAGGAGGTCCCCTGCCTCGGACCGGGTAGGAAGTGCGGTGGAAAAGCCACGCTTCTAGGATTATAGGCCACGCACAAGCATGGCCTTTCCAACGTCACCCACAGTTACTAGTACGTAGTCCGTACTACTACAAACGCGGTCTCACCCGCTGAACATCATCCCCGAATATATCGTGGATGCCTGGTTTTCGGTTGGCTTTGCACCTATCACACTTCCCTTCTATACAGCCGATATCTTCTGGCTGCGATAGGACTTAACTGAATATTGACCACATCGCAGCCGCAGCGCGAAGCTATATATATTGAAATCCAAATATGACGCAGCGTGCTATCTCGTGCCTATGCGGACATGTCGCTCAAGAAGTCAGTCTGGGGCAGTTTACAGATGAACCAACCCTTGATCTCTGCCATTGTACCGCCTGTCGTACGACGACAGGAATGCTGTGCTCTATATACTGTCCTCTACAGGGCAGGCCACATAAGCTAGACAGCCTGCGCGAGTATCAGCAACCCAAAGATATAATTCGATTCTTCTGTAAAATTTGTGGCGCCCACGCCTTTGTATTTTCGATACCCTTGGACCAATACTTCGTGGCAGCCGGATTGCTGGTGGATGAACCTAGCCCATCTCGGACTCAATCGGTGCGACATTGGCAGGCTTCTGAAACGCATGACGGTGGTCTGACTTCTTTTCTTCCTGGAGATTCTGCAATCACGAGGTCAAAATGTTGGCTTCGTGCCTATCCATATGACAATGGAAATTATTCTGAGGTGAAGACGAACATCCGGCGTTTGCCCCATGATTCTATAGAATTAAGATGCCGGTGTCATTGCGCGGGGATTGAGTTCTACATTACTCGACCGGATGCTTCATCTACACAGGCGACATCTCCATGGCCTGACCTACTTGTTCCGTACCATGTCCATTCATCGGAGAACGCCACAGATGTGAAATGGTGGCTGCGAAATGCAAACACCAAGTACCTAGCTGGAACCTGCGCCTGTCCATCCTGTCGCCTAGCCAGTGGATGTCCGATCCAGCCATGGGCTTTTATACCGAAGGCCAATCTTCTGGACAGCTATAGAGCACCGCTTACAGTTGGTGCAGGCACCATGCAGCGTTTTGAAAGTAGCCCCGGCGTCTACCGGGAATTTTGCAACCGCTGTGGCGCCTCGATCTTCTGGCATAGCGATGAAAGGCCCCTGCTAGTTGATGTCAGCGTTGGGTTGCTTCAAGCAAGTGAGGGGTCGCTGGCAAGGCAATGGCTAGAATGGACGACTTCAAGAGTTAGCTTTGCTGAAATGGCGTTGGACAAGAATTTGATTAGACGACTGCAGATGGGTCTCCAAGAATATGCAGAACGGCAGGTAAACAGCCATCCTCCCCTACAACCAGTGATTCAATTGGCCCAGGATAATATGTGAATCTCGACAGTTACGATTATTGATAACACATTGTAAAAAGAAGTAGTTACTCCATAGTTAACTGTGCAATAATAAATTAGTCACTCGCGTGCCATTAGCCCACCCACCGCCTTCCCAAAGGAACAATGCGCTCTCGTTCCACCTCCCCCCCGTTTCTCGCTGGGAAAAACCACAAGGGTGAACGGGAGCATACAACACGCGATATTCCTTCTTTCATTCTCCTCAAGATTAACCTGTCGCGTCCCCACACAGTATCGGCTTGCTTTCTTCAAATCAACATGCCACCGGCATATGAGTTCAGGGGCAATGACCGACGGTCATCGTACCGACCTAAGCAAGAGTTCACCTTTCGTTATTCGCGTCCTGGTACCTCTGAGCGCCCGTTATTGAGAACCAGGCGAGAAGCAACACCAGAGCAACTGGTAGCCCAGGGAGCCTCGGATAGCAAAAAGCCTGGCCTGAAATTCGCTTCCTTGGAGAATCTGAGCGACAGCGAAGAGGCGGATATGGATGTTTCCTCTGATGATAACGCGGATGCGACTCATCCTCGTAAGAAGCGCGCGATTGAATCCAACACTACCACAGATTCAGCTCCTGCACCGGCGCCCACTCCCAGGTGGTCTAACCCTGATCCTTATACCGCCCTGCCCCCGCCAGATGAGAGTCAATCAAAACGAGTGGATGTGGTCAAGTTGATTCGCAAGGCTCGAATTGCCGCGACCGCGGCGCAGCCCGCCTCGACGGATGCAGTGACTTCCAACGAGGACTTCATCTCACTTGGTGGGCTTGGGGACGATGAGGGAGAGGACCGAAATCCTCCGGAACACGCGCCCACCGGTCCAAAACGTCAACTGGACGGTAGGGATTCTGCACTGGGCAGTCGCAAGAGGACATATGACGACGAGATGAAGGGCATTTCGAAGAAGACTGGGAAGCCGTTGAGTCGGTTTCACAGTGATGGTTCAATTACCGATGAATGGAGAGTGCGCCCACTTCAATCGGGTGCGCCGTGGCTACACCATATGGCGCCTACCTTGCATTTGGGGACCAGGTTAGCATCATTGTTCAAACCATATGGCACAAAGGCTGCTGCTAACTCTACAATAGGCTGCACAATGAAATCTTAAGCTTCTATCACTGGGTGAAGCCGGTGTCCTACGAACAAATCGTGCGCGAGGACTTGGTATCGAGGCTACAGACTGCGTTTCAAAGCAGGTACTATGGTGTGCAGCTACGCCCCTTCGGTTCCTTCGCGTCTGGTCTTTACCTTCCCACGGCGGATATAGATCTAGTTTTACTTTCAACGAACTTCATGCGCCATGGGATTAAGACTTTTGGCGAGCGAAAAGGTCAGATTTACGCATTTGCAGCATTCTTGAAGAACCAGAACATAGCTGTGCCTAACTCAATTGAAACGATCGCTCATGCTCGGGTCCCCATTCTCAAATTTGTGGACAAAATCACGGGGTTAAGAGTGGATCTTTCCTTTGACAACGACAGTGGACTCGTTGCCAATGAAACTTTCAAGCAATGGAAGTCTGAATACCCTGCCATGCCCGTTCTTGTGTCCGTGATCAAACAGTTTCTGCTTCTTCGAGGACTAAACGAAGTACCAACTGGTGGACTGGGCGGGTTTTCAATCACTTGTCTTGTCACAAGCTTGTTGCAACATATGCCGTACGGCCACTCGGCGCCGAACCTAGGCAGCATGCTTATGGATTTTTTCGAGTTTTACGGCAAACATTTCGACTATGAAAATGTTGCCATTCGCTTCAACCCACCCAGTTACTTCAATAAGGTGCGTGCTGTTGGCAAGCTACTGCTAGCTGAACAATAGAGCTGACTCTATGGTAACAGAAAGTCTACAGCTCCCGGGATAATAATCCTCGTCTCTCAATTGAAGATCCCAACAATGCTGATAATGATGTGTCTGGCGGCACACGGGAGATTGCATTGATATTTGGATCTTTTGCCGAAGCCTACAGGCGGCTCAAGGCACGTATGATCACGACGGCTAGGACGGAGGATTCAAAAGCCAGCATTCTAGAAACCATTATTGCGGCAAATTACGACGAATACACCGAGCAAAGGTGGCAACTGCGTCAGATCTTTGATAACGATTCCCGCTTCGCTCATCTCCATCAGCTTCCCATACCCCCTCCCCCACCTCAAGGCTCGCCTCCGGTCACTGTCGCCCCATCACCACCCCCTCTGCCTCCCAATTCCCCTCCGCCCGCCCGTGGCGCAAAGGAGAAAGAGAAGGTAACCAAGCTGCAAAAGAAGCAACAGGCGGCCCGGGACCGTGCCACACGCCTAAGACGACTACGCCCAGACATTCCGTCTGTCCCTACCACCATCACCAATGAGCAAGCGCTAAGTCTGGGTGGATATAAGAACCAATCTGACATGGATCGGGATCTTATCCAGCGGGAGAAAGAATTGAACCCACCCAATGAAGACTAAACCAGCTCTCTGTTCAAGTCAAGCGTACATCGTTTGTACTTTTTCCTAACGATTCATGAGCCGGCGGATCGATGTTATTTGCTAGACGATGGTCCTCCAGGGTGGCATCTTCCTCTTATTCTTGTGTCGTTTTGAGCGTCAGATACCCGACTTATGTAGTTCTGGAAGGCGTTACGGAAGAAAGTGTCTGGGCTTGGCTATCGTTGTCCTTTTGCGGGGACGAGAATTTGGCTACGCCTGGGGCTTCAGAGCTGGGTTTGCGACTTTTATTGAGGAACAATGCTGATGGGGAGTTCTTGGAGTCTCGACTAGGCTAACATGTGTGCAGACTCACTGTTGTACTGTCTCGGCCGACTTAGAATGTGAGACTTCACCTCTCTGCTTTTCGATGAGTTTTGATCACAAAGGCCAGGGGCTCTTTTCAACGAAGCCGACATGCGGAGCTAAAGTTGTTCAACGTCTGACTGGCAGCCATACGCTATCAGCAGCAACACTGAGTTAGAAGCAAATCGAAATGGTACAGCCGAGGAGACTCTTCGTGTCTCCGGTTCTTTTTACACCCTCCTTTCCCACCTCTTTCTCATCAAGGAAGCGCTACATGCGGGTCCTTGGGGAGGATGTTGCAGATGGAAAAGACGATGAACAGTGTTTGCAAGATTAGGACGATTTCTTGAAGAATGACCACTTGCTATACAGTTCTGATAGTGGCAAGTACACACCACACGCCATCTCGAATTATCCTTGATCATCATAAGGAATAAATGAAGGTAGAATCTGGTCGTCACTCTTGCTCGAGAGTGAAGCCATCCAAGAAACGCGTCAGATACCAGACCAGAGCCAGGCAGAAAGGGCATAGATCATTAGATGTCTTGTCATGACAGACAGTCTCAAAAGTGTGTTGTCTTATTCACTACCTGAACGGGCTGCGTTGCAAAAGTTTTAGCGCCCAGACGAGCCTTTGCAGCAGCTTCTTCGGCTTCCTCCAGAGAGGACAGGTGATCAGCAGGTAGAGAGTTGACGAAGTCTGATCCTGGACTGGCCCATGTATAGTCCACCCACTCGGAACCAAGGATGGCCTGAACCTGCTGGGCCAGGGATGAGATACGATCACTAACTAGGCCCTCTGATTTCAGGCCAGCGGAGGACTGCGGCTGCTCATCTTCGCCACTGTCTAGTCCATCGACAATACTCCGCCATACGCGAAGCGTCTCATCCAACTCACCCAAGTTGCTAACGCCCATCACACTGACGCCCAACCGTTCTCCAGTGCCATTAGTAGTAACTGGCGTCAAGCTTGGATCGGCGTTGGGCGCACGCGCTAGAGGCAGGCCCCGAGCCCCAACCTTGGCTCCATCGCGTAGCCATCTCTCTAACGCAAATCGGATTGCAATGACCTCCAGCTTCTCCCCCATCTGATTATCAGTCCACGCTCCCACCCTAAGAACAGCATTGCGCAGCCCATCAGGGGCTGGATGAAAATCCCCCATGCTGCCAATCGGTACTCCTTCCTTCCTCAACAGACCCATGCCAAGCGGTGACGCATTCGGCACCACGTCCACCCCAGCAGCCACCAATCTCGGCAAACCCTGGCTCAGGAGCTTCGTATTCTGCAGTGTGAAGTTCGCATACGATTGTACGATGTCCAACGGCTCGCCGGTCTCGCGCAGTACCAGCTCAGCGATTTCGCACAGCACATCCACTGGATACCCCGAGATGCCCACGTAGCGGATCGTACCCTCGGTGTCACGGATGCGCCGCAACTCCCGCACAGCGTCCAAAGCCTCAGCGCGCGACACAAACTCGACGTCGTGGCAGTACACCGCGTCAAGGTAATCGGTGTGCAGTCGCTGCAGACTTCGGCGAATGCTGTGGCGAACCCATCGCGGCGAGTAGTCGAAGGATGAGGAGGCGATGCGGCCTACCTTCGTGAGAATCTGGTATGTGTGGCGGGGAAACGCGGTGCGGACGGCCTCGCTGGCCAAAGCGCGGCCCAGGAGTTCCTCGGCGGGGCCGTAGTAAGGCGATGTGTCGAAGGCACGTACGCCATCGGTGAGAGCGCGGTGGACCAGATCGGTGGTCGGGAGAGCGTAAGGGTCGTGATTGTATTGTGAGTTGAAGGTCGCAGTGCCCATGATTAAGGGCGGAAGATGCGCCGAGAGTGGTGAGGAAGGCCGACCCATTGTTGTTTTTTACTTTGCCTTGTACTGATGAAAGAAAATGGTGGAAGATCAGGAAATAATAAAAGTTGCAATGGAGGTGGGGGGTCTAATATAGGAATTCATAGACATGCAGAGACACGAATGAGGGGAAGATGGAAAGAGGGGCAATTTACCAACAGATGGAAAAGTAAGTTGCGGAGATTAGAGATCTTTCTCTCTCTCTCTCTCTCTCTTACCACTCCGTCTCAACTGGAGTAGCACTTTTCTCCTTCTCCACCCGCCGAGCTATTGTTTTCCAACACCTGCGCTATTCTTAGGTCTAATGAGTCTCATTTACCGTACTTACGTTCCAATAATTGAAACACTAGTACTATGATGAAGCCGGGAGGACTACAGTGCGTATAGCGTGTGCTAACCGGGAATGTCGCAAAAACAAAGTATGGACTTGATTTATACATATACACAATCGTGGATGGTGGACCCACAGCCACATAAGCTTTCGCCTTGCAGCGCTAGAAGTACAGGAGGGGAGAAGCAATCAAGAAGCGAAGCCAAGGGCATTCGGAGCGAGTGACAAGCACTCCTCCACCCTGTCCCTGTCAGCTAATAGCTCCACTTCTGTAAATAATTTACACAACGGAGGTGGTTGCACCGAGAAGAGCACGGCAAACAGTCCAGAACGGTTGACCTCCGCAACAAGAGTAGTCTGGCAAAAAGCTGACCGGGGGGAGGGAAGGGGGGGGGGCCGGCATGCCTTCAAATAGAGGGAATCTAGAACATATCTTCCAATCCAATAAACCTTGGATTCACCTGCAAAAACGCCATGCTATGCTGCGAAAAAAAAGAAGGGAACACCTGTCAAGAGACGAGGGAAGGAAGTGAGAACGAGTCGGGAAGGTCTCGAAGATTGTTTTGTCGAGGACGGACGGCGCGATCGATCCTTGACTAGCCTCGGGACCAATTCAACACGCGGGGGAGGGATCGAGAGGACGGGTTCATGATTCGAGATCTGAACGTTTCTCCAGAGTTATAGAGAAACCCAGGCTGTTTCACCGGTCCTTGTACACCTTGGGCTTCCATCCTTCCTGCAGTTCCTTCTCCTGGGCAGCATGGCGCTCCGCCTGCCGGACTTCCATCTCTAACCGTTCACGGGCGCGGAGAATTTTGCTCTGGAGGTAGAAACTGCCGCCCTTCTGGGGATCGTTCATGTCGAACAGTTTCTTGAAGCGCTCCATCACCTGCTCCAGGTTGGTCTCACCACCCTGGGGGGGTTTGACGTTGAGGATTTTGCAGGCTTCATCGAGGCTCAAGCCGGAGGCGGCACCGCCGCCAACCTTCTTGCCGGTCTGAGCAGCATACTTTGAAGAAGCCTGGGCCTGCTTGTAGGCCTCAGCAAAGGCACGACCGAAGACACGGGCGCCCGTGACGACAACTTGGGTGACGATGCGATGGGCCTGAATGGTGTTGAGGAACGGGTTGTTAGTCGGAAGATGCATTGGCTAAGAAAGGGCTATATACCATGATGTAGAGTTACGAGAGCCAATGAGGAGAGCACTCGTGCAGGTCGAGGAGAGAGAGGAGTGAGCTGAAGATTCGTTGTTCAGTAGAGCCAGCCAGGTTTGGATGGCAATGGAAACCGACAGAGAGGGAAATTTTCGGCATTGGTTTTAGTCCGTGCCGGAGCTGTGTGGTACGGGACTGTAAAAACAGCACAATGTATACATCAAACCCGTACCATACCATACCATGCCATACCATACCGGATCGTATCTTCCAAGATCTCGATCAGGAGTCCTTGTCACATGCTCCCGAGCAAACATTATTGGGAAAAGCTTTGATTCCACTTTTGCGGTTCGTTCTTCAGCTTCGCTTCCCCGCAAGTCAATGTGCTGGGTCTCAATTTTGTTCATTACACCCTTGCTGGCTTGGGGGGGGGGTTTTTTTCTAGCCTGTCCCTTCTCTCTCCTACTTCTTCATTCTTCTCCTTCTCTTCTCTTTCTTTCTGTCTTTCTTCTCCTCGCCCTTTGTTGCGACCTCCTCACTTCTATCTCCGTTCACCGCCCGCAATGCCCGTGGCGACTGCATATGACGTCTCTGTTGTTGGATGGCAGCACTCGGTATGTAAGACATCAAATTCATCACCGATCTTCCTCACCTCTTCTCTTCACATTTCTTTCCCTGTCGGTGATTAGGCACAATACTGATATGCTGGGTTAGAAGAACTTCCGTGGATAGATTCCATGGCTCCGTCATCTTCATCTGTGCAGGACCACGCTGATTCTCAGCCTCCGACGGTCGCTGCTTTCTCTCCTACTACCATCTCTGGCTCGTCATTAACCTCGAGACAACGCTCCAGTATAATTGTACACCGCAAATCTCCTCTTCTAGTAGCCACTCCGCCCCAAATAACCCGCGCTTTGGCTTATTCGCATCCCTTTATTCTACCATTAAATAAACTCGTGGGCTTGCTCACGTGGACAACCGGGGATGGGTGGCAGAGCTTCCTACTTGTGGCCGTGTTCTGGGCGCTGGTACTTTATGGCGAAGTCATTATCCTATGGGCAGGGCCACTCCTGTTAGTGGTTGGGCTCATTTTGGGCATGTACTGGCGACGCTACTCGCCCTTGTCCTCTAGAGCTCATATGGGAGAGAAGCAGAACCATCAAAGAGCCGCCTCCGACAGCTCTCCGCATGGCAACGAGACGCTAGACGAGATAGTCGAGACTCTTAGAGCGTTCACCACTCGGTGCAATATACTGCTGGAACCCCTTGTTGAACTGACCGAATTCTTATCAACACAAAGGACGGCCACGTCTGCTACGACCCGGCCAGCCCTTACCACTCTCTTCATTCGCATCCTACTCGTGACACCTATTTGGGTTGCCTTGACCCTGCCGCCATTGTATCTGATTACCACGCGTCGTGTGGTCATGATTTTTGGCACTATCATTATCACCTATCATTCTCGACCGGCAAGAGTCTGCCGAGTCATTCTATGGCGGTCATTGACCATTCGCAGAATCTGTTCGATGCTTACTGGCCTGTCCTTCTCGTCTGACGTGGATAAGACATTTTCGGCCGTGATGCTAAGTCATGGTCATGCGGTGAACATCGCTACTAGGCGCCGCGGGGACTCCTCTGGCGTTCGCTTCACATTTATCATCCACGAGAACCAGCGTCGCTGGTTAGGCATTGGTTGGACGTATTCCCTCTTTCCCTCCGAGCGGGCTGCATGGACCGACGAGCACCTGAATCCAGTGCCTTCAAAGGACGAATTCGAGCTGCCCGGTGTTCAAAGTGGGAACGCACAGTGGCGATGGGTTGACGGCAGCGAGTGGCATATCGAAGGAGCCGAGGACCCTAACGGACACTCTGATGCCAAATCATCTGACGGCGGAGGATGGGTTTATTACGACAACAAGGCGAGTTGGCTCTGTTGTCCTCAAGTTCGATACAGGCAGTCTAGCTAATATTTGTGTAGTGGAATGAGGGTCGCCGTGGCCAGGACGGCTGGGACCGATATACTCGTCGTCGGAAATGGTGCCGTGACGCTGAACTCGTCGAGGTGCCCTCCGCAGCGGCCGAGGGCACATCGAAAATAGTGGCCTCTGGTCTGTCCCAGGCCTTGGACGAAGAGAAACGAAAAAGCCAAGCGGCCGGCACCGTGGACGCGCCACCGGCAGATAATAGCGGCGGAGGCGATACCGATAGCTTGGCCCCCTCAACCTCCTCCAAATCGCGGAGACGCCATTGGTTCGGGAGCACGAAGAGTGTAAGCGACATCAAGAACAGCAGCCTCTCCTCTGCTCCACCAACCTCCACCACCAACTCCTCCGTTGATCTTGGAAAAATAACGTCTGCCAATAGTACCAATCAACCATCCGGGGAAGGCCCTTCCAGGCCGATTAATATCTCTCATTCTCGAAAGTTGTCCAATTATTCCGGAACCGCCAGCTACGCAAGCAGCCAAGGACCAGACGGCAGCCTCCGAGAAAAGGAATTCACCCGGGCGCATGATCAGCTAGATCGGTGGGCTGCTAGAGCGGCAGGGGGAACCGAACGGGCAGAGCGAGAGTTAGGCTTGGGCGATGAGGTGAATATGGGGCTGAGTTGATTTTCAATGCACAAATATGTTCCCAAGTATCGTGGGAATTTTTCTCAAATTGATCATTGGGCGAAATTGCTGGCTTTCCATCATGCACTTCACTTGTTTTGAGCCCATTGGTGCTTCCCTTCGGCCATACCTGCCCGTTACTGATGCCATGACGACATGAAGATATTCTTACAACCCTAAGCGAATATGGTAATCGACGCTGGGTGATCTGAATCTGGGCGGCTAGATCTCTATCATTCAATCACGAGATTCCTGATAGAGATCATATATGTCTAGGCCTTGTAAAGGCTTACCTAGGATGAATATGTTTGCCCGCTTGTCAATCCTTGCCGCCTCCAAGTGAGATCTTGAATTTCAGGCAAGCATGAGGTCCCACTGTAATTGCTCCAACAAATCCAACCAATGCACACCTTCAGTCATCCATAGAGCTCGTAGCAGCTCCTTTGCTCGTTTCACATTGCCAATTCCGAAGTTGACTTCGAGGTTGGTCAAGCACGTCATGACTAGCTCTTTGTCCTCGCGTGTCCTGATCTCACAGCCTGCTATGAGCAGTGGAAATGTGAGAGCCGAGTATTCGCAGTGCGCATCAAGGGGTGACGCCGTTCGGATCCTGTCTAGCAGTTTCTGCAAAGCGTCGGACCTCGACATGGAAATAACCGCGGACCACGCTGCCGTAGCGAAGGTGGCCTTCATGCCTTTACTCATCTTCTCGAGCATAGAATGGAGATAGATGTATGCTGCATCACGGAAACAATTTGCGACCATGCGGAGACGATTGAGATTCATTTCCGTTATGCCTTCGGGAATGATATATGCTACGTCCTGATGAGTCCAGTCGCGTAGTAATAAGTCACTAGTAGGCCACGGATTAGGCAGATGAGAAGGTGTGCAATTGCAGACATACCGTGCCGGGTACGCCTGGAGAGGATTCATCCGGTGGACAACTCACATTGTATGGATCTCGAGATCCAGGGCTATAGGGTCATAGCTTATAGAAGGCAGATCTGCGATCCTGGCACAGATTTTAACAAGGTCTTCTGCGTAGCCAATGTATATATCGAGCTTGGTGATCCTGATATCTTCCATGTCAAGCATGCTCGAGGTGATCTGCTTGCGATTACAGATTTTGGCCACATTGTGAGCATAGATATAGCTGTTAATTTTGTCAATATAGCTTTCACGTGCCGCATAGGGTTGACCAACATACAAGCCCGCCAAGAACTCCCGGGTGTCCTGACTCAGAGCGCTGAACCCACCCCGTACAATGACTAGCCTCTGTAGGGCGTTCAAATGCGCTACCCATTGCTTTACGCTTCCACGAACAATCTCGTATTTGCATAATAAAGCTACTGCGAGAATGGCTTCATCTGGGAATTTCCCACCGGGATGTTTCGAGAAGACGGATTGCAGCCCACTCAGGGTGTTGATGTAATACGCCGTGGCAGCAGTTTGAGCTTCCGAATGGGCAGCTGTCCGATTCGCATAATGTGCCGCTGATACTGCGCACAAAGCTTTCATGAGGAGTGAAGATGACAGAGCCCGAGGGATGATTAAACATCGCAGAGGGTTGTCAGCGCTCTCCAGGTTTGCGAGCAACTTCGAGCCAAGTTCCATATGATATTGGAGATAGTGCGTTTCTGATTGGGACAAATGACTGAGAATTCTACAGGGCGTGGGTGCTAGTATGACGAGACTACTAGTCTCAACGGATGAATACTCTAGCATCGGGTCAATCTTGTCCGGAGTGTCATCGGCACTTAACAAGTACGCATCGCTGGCACCAGAATCTGACGGCGTGGTAGTGGTTGGTATGTAGTGTTGCCACGAGGAGCTTGAGGGCGATGTAGAGACGGAAGACGATGTGCTAAGTCTCCTTCGCTTTGCTGGTTTCGCTTGACTGAAGAAATGTGTAGACGGATTCAATGGTTCCGCCCATATGGAACCATATCCTTCACATTGTAGCCCCAATCTAGCACAACTACGGCACCTAATGAGAGAGGTCAGTCAGGCTTAACAAAGGCGATTTCGGCCACTGGACATACCCAGGCTTGGCTTCGTCGCATCTCTTTCGGCGACGTTTACATGTTAGACAGCCAGAGCGTGTCCATTTCCCGCCTTCCCTCCTGCATCTTCTCTTACTGACGATCAGTGATTGGGTCTGCGGTGAGTGCAGACCCGTTTGAAGTGATTGTGTGTTTCCAGCCATAGTATCAACTCATCATAAGTATGTGGCAGAGAGAAGAAGTGACGCTCGAAGTTAAGTTGGATTGATTAACTATTGGAGCGGAGATGGAATGATGCCTTTTGGGGGTGGGGGAGGACCCTAAACTGAAAGGGGGAAAGGATGCGCTCTTATCGCCTGGGCTTCCCCTCCTGGGAATGGGAGATAACGAGATGAAAGAGACTCTTATCGTCCCCTGGAGAGAATCTCGCATCCCTCGGACTCCGAGAAACGTCATGCATGGTCGCGGCATGGAATGTGACAGTAGTTCGTACTTACTAAATCGATTGATGGAACAGCCGCGAGGTGAATGTGACGAAAAGAGAAGCGGGCGAAAAGGCGAAGAGAAATCGGCGGTCGGCGAAGATAGCCGCGTATCAGTCTTCTGTCCGCTTTAGGCAAGTCCATCCAGACTCCCATCCGATGGATGACTTTGTGGGGAATTTTCCCATCCCCATAGTTAGTCAATCAATGTTGCTGCTTGCGAGGAGAAAGAAGACCACAATGGAGAAAGATTTGTGAAATCTATTTAAACCTTCCTCTGCCTCATTCCCACACAATTGCTATTTCAGCGGTGTGAATCATCTCTCCGCCTCTTTCATCTCCACAGCCTCAACATGTCTTTTGCAACGCAACCCAGTCCTCGATCGATGACTTCGAATAGTCCTCATCCTTTCGATCCCGTCACCCCTCAAGAAATCCGGCTAGCTGTGCGAGTGCTGGAGAATGCCTTCTCTGAAGTCAAGCTTCGTTATAACCGAATTGATATCCACGAACCCATCAAACATGAGGTCCTCCCATACATTGAAGCTGAACGTCTAAGAAAGCCTCTACCGCGCAAGCCCACGCGCCTCCTATACTCATACTTCCATCGTCTCGACACTCTAGAGTGCTGCAAGGCTCTTATCAATGCTGAAACCGCATCGATTATCTCCACCAAAGTCCTTCCAAAGACTGTTCAGGTAAGGGCGTTGCCATTAACTTCCATTTCCATGTCTGAAGGCTGATATCATCGCGCGCATAGCCTCCTGTCGATATCGATGAACTTGCTGTGATCGAAGAAGTCTGCATGAAACACCCGGCCGTGCAAGCAGAGATCGCTAAACTCAACCTGCCCCCGGGAATGGCAGTGTGCAATGATCCATGGATGTACGGTACCGAAGACCAGAACGAGACACGCCGTATGTTTCAATGCTTCATGTACATGATGGAAGTCGACCACCCTCAGAACAATCACTACTCTCTGCCATGCAAGTTCTCACCCGTTTTCGACGCTTTCACCCATGAATTGATTCGTATGGATTACCTGCCGGGCGGCGATGACCACTCCTTCGTCGAGACCGAGGCTTGGAAGCCTGTTAAGGCTGTGCAATATGCTCACGACCTCCTTGATGAGCCTGTACGCACAGATCTCAAACCATATATTGTCCAGCAACCAGAGGGTCCATCTTTTAGCGTGGACGGCAACTTTGTCTACTGGCAAAAGTGGCGTTTCAGGATCGGCTTCAATAACCGGGAGGGTATGGTCCTGTATAATGTTACGTATGATAATCGCAGTATATTCTACCGTCTTTCGGTTTCCGAGATGACAGTGCCTTATGGAGGTACGTTCTGACACCACCCTATCTGATCCAACTCATCATTAACACACATAGACCCTCGGGCGCCTTACCACCGCAAGCAAGCCTTCGATGTTGGAGACGTTGGTTTTGGCCTCAATGCGAATCAGCTCTCGCTGGGCTGCGACTGTCTGGGCCATATCAAGTATTTTGATGGCTACCGCGCGGACGCTAAAGGAAACCCGGTCCTGCTGAAGAACGTTATCTGCATGCACGAACAGGACAACGGTATTCAACACAAACACACTAATTACAGAACCAACGCAGCAACAGTCGTCCGCAACCGTCAGCTGGTCATGCAGATGATCTGTACTGTTGCTAATTACGAATATATCTTCGCCTACATTTTTGATCAGGCGGCCAACGTCGAACTTGAAGTTCGTGCTACCGGTATTCTCTCCACGGTACCTTTCGACAATGAGGATGGTAAGACCGTCAGATGGGGTACAAATGTTGGCCCCGGCGTTATGGCTCCTTACCATCAGCACATGTTCTCATTCCGGATTGACCCCGCCCTCGATGGTCCCAAGAACACCGTCTACTATGAGGACAGTGTTCCTCTTCCCGAGGATGACAAGAACCCCTACCTAGTAGGTTACACCACCAAGCAGACGATCATGAACAGGTCTAGCGCCGCAGACCTCGATATCAGTCGGAGCCGGGTCTTCAAGATTCGTAACGACAATAGCATTAACCCCATCACCTACAAACCGGTTGCATACAAACTCCACGCCGCGCCCAGCCAAATGCTTATCCAGGGCAAGAACTCGATCGGATACCAGCGGGCTGAGTTCGCTACGCGCCCAATTTGGGTCACTAAGTATCAGGACGAAGAACTTTACGCTGCAGGCGAGTTTACGAACCAAAGCCACCGCGCAGATGGTGTTGAGACATGGGTCAAGAGAAATGATCCCACCGAGGATGAGGATGTGGTTCTCTGGCATAGTAAGTTGATTGCCTCTGAACGAGCACCGAATGGACGGACTAACCATCTCTCCTTCAGCATTTGGACTAACCCACAACCCTCGCATTGAGGACTTCCCCGTTATGCCCATGGAACGTATCAGCGTCATGCTCCGCCCGGATGGCTTTTTCACCAAGAACCCGGCTGTTGATGTACCGCAGTCATCTCAGGCCTTCAACAAGTCGACTCTCCATCCGGAAGCAGCGGCAGTGGCGTCTTGCTGTTCTGGCGCGGGTGGCAGCAAGGCGAGACTGTACAAACGTATTGATTGAGAAATGGCCCGTTCGATCCAAATGTTTCTAGGCATCACGTGAGTACTGTTGTATGATTTATGACTATATATACTGCCGATAGGCAGTTTTAGCAATATAAATAAGACTTTGGTGTTCCGAGTTTCAGTCTATGACTCTAGCCTTGGAGACCCTACGGCGTTGAAAATATCGATAAATTATCCATAACCGGCGTCGCGCTTGTCTAATTCATTAATACATGCCGTTCTGTATGAACTACACAGCCGTCTTGCTTTTCTTGGAGCCGGACTGGTTATATACATCAGAACCCTCGTACATAATTCACTTCGTCATTCCAGTGCGCGATCTGCCCACAATCATGTCCTTTGAATAGACCCGACCCCCTTTCAATCCCCACCCCCATTTTTCTTTCAACATCTCATTATTCCTTAGGTCTCCATCATTAGAAGTCCAGAGACCATGTTCTTTTCTGTCAAGTCAGTCGAAAGCCGCCGTGTTCACAACTTGTAACTTAGAGACTTGTCGTGTGTAGGCGCCAGATGCACCTACCTATAGCAAGGATGCCAGAAGGCCCATCCTAAACCTTCTTGGGCACGTGAGCGCTTGGGACAACCCCGTGACCAACTCTGTCGATAGCGGACTGACGGGCACCGATGAGACCGAACTGACGGTTGATGCCCTCAACACGGTGAGTGGAGTTAATGTTCTTGACAAGGGTAAGTTGCCAACACGTGGCTCCACCCTGGCGAGAGGTGATGGTAGAGTAAGCCAAGAAGTACTCCCAGATCTACAGAAGCGCATTAGTCATGTTCAGTAAGCAGATATGTCGGAATACTCACCTTGAACCATCTCTTTCCGTACTTGGCCTCGACCTTCTCACGGTTGCCCATCCAGTTCCGGTACCAGCGCCAGAGGGTGGCAGAATAGTGAACACCAATGGTATCGACAGCCTTGATCTCAAATCCGGCGGCCTCCAGTCGATCAACGACAAAACCAAGGGGGGTACTAGCGTCGGCTCCGGGGAAGACATATTTGTTCATGAAAAGACCCCAGATGAGATCTTCATACTGCCAGGACTTACGCAGACCAGCGATCTGGAGGAAGAACACTCCATCGTCATCCAGCATGTCGTAGACCTGAGACAAGAATGTAGTGAAATGACGGACACCAACATGCTCGGCCATTTCCAAGCAGGTGATTTTCTTATAACCTCCGTTGACCCGGGGAGCGTCACGGTAATCGAGGCACAGGATACGGCTCTGTGATTCTTCAATACCGGCGTTGCGGAGACCTTTGTTACCCCAGGCAGTCTGGTTACGACCGAGAGTGATACCGGTGACCTGAGCGCCATAGTGAACCGAAGCATATTTTGCCAGAGTACCCCAGCCGCAACCAAGATCAAGAACGGTGTCACCTGGTTGAATTCCGATCTTCTCACACACCACAGCCAACTTGTTATCCTGGAGTTCCTCAAGGGTCTCCTCACGGTTGATATCGCTAATGATTCCCGAGGTGTAGATCATGCGGGGACCCAAGAACCAAGCGTAAAAGTCATCACCGCGGTCATAGTGATCACGAACTTGTTCCTCATCTGATTTACACAATCCTAGTCAGCGAACAGTTCATCCAAATTTAAATTGAACCAAGACACTTACCCTGGGAGCGAGTGTGCATGATCATCTCAGGGATGAAACCGAAAAGGAAATGCTTGAATAGACCCATGGTGAAACGGAAGTTGGCCCAGTCGTGTCTGAACTCGAGGGCTTCCAGAGCGTCACCCTTGAATTCTACCTCACCATTGAAATACTTCTCGTAGAAAACCTCCATGGGGATCTTGCTCTTGCCACGATAAGCGGCACGGTCGTGCTCGCTGTGAAAGTTGAGGTAATACTCGACGGGGCGACCGGCATACTTGGCCTTTTCGTTCTTGCGAGGAGAGATGGAGGAAGCCACGGTCCAAAAGGCCATTAGGATGGGGATGGTGGTAAAGATAGCGAAGAAGATGGTGGTGTAGAAGCCACCGCCAACTTGACGAGCGAAGTACCACGGAATGAGCAACAACAAGGCAAACAACAAAGTGTTGGAAAAGCTATCGCTTCCAGGGGAATCGGCCGGTACTGGGGCATTTTTGATGGCCGGGTACTAGAAAACGAGAAAACCCAAAATCGTCAGCAATTGCTGCCGATGACTTTAAAAGCTCCTACGGAGATTGGAGGGAAGAAGAGAAGAGGAATTGCTAGAGAGTATCAGAGTAGGGATAGCGAAAAGCAACTTACCGAAGTCGTGCGCACACCGCAATCGTCGGCGGGAGTGGTACACGAGGCGGGAGGAGTTTCAATGTACTCGAAGTCCTCGAGGGACTCGGGATGTACAGTCATGTCGGGCAGGAGACGAATTGATAGAATAGAAGGGAAGGGGGAGGGGAGGAGAGAGAGAAAGAAAAAGAGAAGAGAGGTGGAAAGAAGAAGTAGAAGAAGAAGAGAAGGAGGAGGAGGGAGGGAAAGAGGGAGGAGTTACAAGTTTACGGGTAGGAGGAGACGGCGGGAGAAGAGCGAGTGGATGTCGGTGGATGTGGATGGATTGCTACTTTGGGGAGGAGCAGCATTAATGGATTACACAGTCATTCATGCACCACCAAGGAAGTCAGTCCTCCGGAGTCAAGGACTAATAAATACTTTCAACTTGTACTCCTAAGCTGTCACTACTCGAGACCTTTCCATTGACCTTGAATTAGATATTTCTTCATCTTCATCTTCCTCTTCTTCTCCAGCCACTAGTCGGAAACTGAAGGGGTGAAAGGACAGATATAACTAGCTTAAACTAGGTACCCTAAACTCCGTATGTTGCAAAGCTCCCGGAGCTCTCCAATAAATCTGCGCCCGGGAGGGAAATCCGACGCAGGACTCAAGGGTCGGGACCCAGACCGATACATCCCATGGTAACTACTTGAGTTAACTAAGTTACTCATATACTAATCTACTAAGTACTTCCTACACATGAAACACATTTTATTCTCAGTGACGGGTGTCGTGAGCCACTCTGCTGCTGTTGATGACGACAGATTCTGAGGAAACCGTGTCCAGTAATTACATTAATTACAGAGTACAAATTAATGCGATGCATGCTGGATGCAATCAATGCTAACTTGCTAAGTACCCTATGACACGTAACTTGCACCCATTGCCTTGTCGATCTCTTTAGCTCCCATCTTCCCCTGCGTCATGACATTAGAAGCTCCCCATAAGCTAAATGCTGCTTGTAATCATAATCTTTAAAATCACTTCATACGCAACGAACGCCCCTTAATACCTTCATCACTGCTGTCCGCGCAGAGTCATTTACCCATCATGCTTTGTCGAACAATAAGATCACAATAAACTCAAAACTCGTGAAAAAAAAAAGAGTGAAGAAATAAAGCATGCATAACACCATGGAATCACAAGGATCCCCTTTGCCCCTAGACACCGGAATATGTACTTGGGATGTCATCACTCAATCCCATGTACGAACTCGTCTTCACAACGTCAACTGGAAATTTTGAGCTTCCTCATCTTCCTCGTAGACTGGGAGCTGCTCATCAGCGACCAAGCCGGGGGGATGCATGTAAGTTTCCGGTGATAATATGCCCTTTGGAACCGTATCCTGCTTAATCGGGGTGGTTGTCCTGCTACTCATTCTAGATGATACCTCGCGACCGCGAGTGTACCCCAAAGTCGATTTGGAATTTGCCTCAGCTGCGGTGCGATGCATGCTTGACGGATTGCTTCGCACGCCCGACTTTCTTGCAGGAAATAAAGACGTGGTCACCCTTGTCTTTGGTTTGGTCGAAGTAGAGGATCGAGTGCGGGGAACCGATCGGTATGTGCCGGAGAGAGCGGTAGCAGCATCGCGAGCACGTACGGTAGATACATTGCTGGTACCTTGGGTCAGTCTTGTAGTGGCCCTGGTACGACGAGTTCCGACAGGGCGTGTTATCGTCTCGTCCACAGTAGGCTTCTCATGTTCTGATTCAGACACCTCATCAAAACCGATGCTTTCGACCTGCTTCAAGATCATATCATCAATCATTTTGTCATAAGCGGCTGAATCTTTCTGAAATTTGCGCTCTCTTCTGGTGAGGCCATCAGGTCCAATCTCATTGTCAGCTCCATACACGCTTTCCAATCCGCGAGCAAGGTTCTTCGGCTGAAATTGAGGGAAAGTAGTATCGTATTTGATCTCATCAGGATGATCCGGAAGACCTACTACTGTTAGAGAGCTAGATTCGTCGCCAGCAAGAAGTGACCAACCTTTAGGCTTAGGCGGCATGTACTCGATATCGGGAATGTCATCCTGCACAGACTGGGTGTGTACTTCGGGCTGCGCTTGTTCGACAAAAGGGGAAAACTTTTTGGCCCTCTGTGTCGAACCTCTCTTAAGGGTCTTCTCTGGCTTTGCGGTTCCTCCAGGCGGCGCGGGTGTCTGTAGGCCTCTAGCTTTGGCATTCGTGGTTTTCATGCCCAAAGGGGCGCGTTGACGAGGGTCTGCTGGCGATACGTGTCAGTTCAGCAGTCGACTTGACTTTTCGTGTTGAGACATGGCTATTCTCTCGTACCCAATGGAGTCGTAAAAGCATCTTTGACGGGTTCCTTCTGTTTACCTGCCCCCTTCACAGTCTTCTTCCCAAAGGCCAATGGGTCATTTTCATCGTTCAACGGAATCTTGAAAGGCGTTTTGGGTGCTCGAGCTCCAGGCGTCTTTGGTTGTAGGTGTCTTGCGCCCTGGTTCAGCGGTTTCGACGCGGCGACAGTCTGGTGATTATGTACCAGGTTCTCTTGATCGCGGAGAGCCAACATGGCGGCGGATCACAGGTCAGGATGGCGCATTCACTGGCGAAGAATGGCCTGGCATGGGTTTGTTGAAATGCTGTAGCTAAAGACCCTTTCTAATCTAGTCTGGCACGAACTGTGACAGTCTAGTAGTCGAAGTGGTTCTAGACGCTGACCTGACGGGCATGTAGGAAGGAGAGGGGGGGAAGGGTGTTTGCGTGGTGGTTGCCCGTGGAGACGGGGCTGGTGAAAGGGGAAAGCCGCACAATCATTGTACGGTCGCTTGCCCGTCAGCCACGGCCCCTATACCAGATCGGCTAAGACCCAACCCACTAGTACTTGTTAGCGGCTGACCGCCAGCGCCAGGCCAGAAAGTCAACCTTAACAAGGCCTCGTTCCTCCACTTCCCTTTCTTTCCTCCCTATTATCCCCCATCTGCTCAACTATCTTCTTGCATCAATCACTTCGTCCTCCTTTCCTGGTTTCTCGCTGAGCGAAAGCCTGTTGTTACTTTATACGCCTGACAACTCTCTTCCACCCGTACATATTTTCTCGTTGCAAATAACTTCCTCAAAATGGATAAGATTAAGGAGGTGAGTGTCAACTCTTCCCCCTCTTCCCCCCCCCTTGGTTGGCGGGGTAGCTTTCAAGCTGGCCCGAAAGTCCCTGTGCACACGACCGAACTTCCTTGCCTTAACCTCTGTATTCTGCATATTTTTACTGCAAAATCACATTCATAAACAGAAAAAGCAAAATAAACCGTACTTGAGATGCACACTGACCTTGGCTGCTCTAGAGAATGAACAACCTCCGCCTTGAAGCCGAGGAGGCTCAAGAGAAGGTCGAAGAACTCAAGACCAAGGTGAAGACGTTGGAGCAGGAAAACCTGGCTAAGGAACAGGAGATTACATCCCTCAACCATCGGAACCAGCTTCTAGAGGGTGAGGTTGAGAAGCTTGAGGCTGCCCTCAAGGAGGCCAAAGACGCTGCCAACCAGGGTGCTCAGCATGATACTCAGAATGAAGCTCTCCAGAGACGTCTGCAGCTCTTGGAAGAGGAGGCCGAGGATGCCGACAAGAACTTGCGCGAGACGAACGAGAAGTATGTTTCAGTACCATTCCACCACTTTGCACGATTTTGAGACGTTGCTGATCGCCTTGTTACCTCTAGGCTCCGCCAAACCGACGTCAAGGCCGGCCACTACGAGCGCAAGGTGCAGGCCCTCGAAGCTTCTCGCGACCAATGGGAAAGCAAGTATGAGGAGATGGCTAAGAAGTATGCTGAGCTGCAGAAGGATCTCCACGACCTCGAGGTCTCTATTAGCAACGTCTAAAGGCCAGGGTGGCGCAGATTACCGGCAACCAGGGGGCCCAGCTTTTTCTTTCCACCTATACTATCCTTTTAGCTCTCTATCTCTGCACATCACAGCCTGATTTCTTTCGTTCCCGTCGGCAGGAAGCGGCTTTGGCAGTCTCTGTCCGTCTTGTCATCTAGCTGGCTTGTTATTGTTCCCATCAACCGGTTTTCCGCTCGTCCTCGCAATCTTGCCTATTCTTTCACTCGACGTCGAACATTTTCATCATCGCCCGAAGGTACATAGAGTATATTTAATAGGAGTGTCCATGTGCATTGGCACGATCTCTGGAAATATATCAAGTCAAGCCCATGAATCTCATGAACGCTCGCGTCGAGCGTTTGCCTTCCTCGATTTAGCTGCGCGCTCCTTAATCCTGGTCACCTTGCGGTCTTCCTTGCTCTCGTAACGGAACTTCTTCTTCTTCTTCTTGGGCTTGTTGTCAGACTTTCGCTTCTTGCTTTGTTCGGAGGAGGAACTGGTATTGGCAGCGGCCACCTTGGAGCTTGACCCCGTGTCTTCGATTTCACTGTCGGATCCGTCGACTGCCGATCGCAAAAGCCCTTCTTTTGAAGTATCCATCTCCTCTACTGTTACCGTTGTGTATCTGTCTTCGTCGATATATTCGGCTTCGTAGTCCACAGCGGGGGGTTCCGCGAACCCCTCCCAATCTTCCTCCTCGTTTCCCTCGTCCTCACTATCTTGGCCAGAAGCATCGCTGCCATCCTCCGCTGCTTGCATCTTCTTAAGTTGTCTTCGATGTTCTTCAATGGCACGCTGAAACCCAGCAGTTCGTTCTTCCCGAATCTATACAAATTCTAGTGTTAGTCGAGGTAACGCGACTTGGCACGAAATTCCGGCAGGAGCATAATACGCACCCTTTTGCGCTCTTCCCTTTTCATCTCTTTCGCTTTCTTGATTGCCACTTCTTGTGCATGTTTGATTCTTTGTTGTTTGCGCTTGCGAAAGCCTGTAAGAAACGATTCACGGTCAGCAGAGTCGAAGTTAATCTCCTCGACTTTGCTGGCGACTTTTCTCTTTTTGGCTTGAGGACCCATTTCTAAGGGGGGTCGAGATGGCGATAATTATGCGAATGTCTGAAGAGCGGTGACGATGTATAATCAAGAGCGAAAACGTTCAAATTCTCAAGCGGATGCGCATCGAGGGGACTATTCCGTGTGAGGGATGAAAAAATGCGATCTACGACCGGCATACAAATTGTAAAGGAAGCTAAACTGTGCCCGTGCCGCAGTCGACCGCCTCCGAGCCGGCGGGCCACCATACCTGGCTCCAACATCACTCATTCATCTGGGGTCTTGCCAAATAGCACTGCATCTATTACATCCGCTCAACCACCATGCGTCTGGGAACTCTGTCATTGCTTGCTCTGGGTGCGACCACAGCTAGCGCGTACCGGGATACTTCACCCTTTTTCCTGGCATCGACCTCGGAGTATGAATAACCAATGTTGCGCGCAGGGAAAGCTTCGGTATCTTAAACGTATGAGCCAGCTAACAGTTCCCTAGGAATCTTTCTACCTCCGCACAGCTAAAAACCGCATCTTCACTGCTGGAAGATCTATCCTCTAAGCTCTCTGGTTGTCCTTCCGATTACTATATTATCGCTTCCCAGCCCGGTGTTCACAGCAACGACTTCTCCGCCCTCGAGTCCGCTCCCCGACTCGGCGCGAAGCTGACTGGCAAGGATCGTAGCATCCGATCCAAGACGATTCTGAACGAGGTTCTCGGGGTTCTAGACGCAACAAAGGTGCAAGAACTGATTGAAGCGGAGTGCGGAGCCCAATCTACCATCATCGACGCCTCCAGTATGTACCGAGATCTGGACGAACCACATACGATCGCCTAGGCTAACGTCCATTCTCTAAGCTGGCACCTACTCTCCTGACTTTGGCGCTGCTCCCCGTATTATTCGCCTCGATTTCTCGGTCCTTCCTCAAGGACCTGAGCGCCGCCTCCAGCTCACCGATAATGGTTTGTACCTGAACCATTTTGTCTCGATCCTCTTCCCTAAAACAAGGTACTAAGTACATTGACAGATGGCCTTCTCTCCGATGTCATTGATCGGTTACCAGACTCCAAGAAGTACACCATTCTTTACATTACTTCACCCAAGGAGATTGTGAACCATGATGCTGGCGTTTATCAATCCGAGGATGCATCCTATCAAGACCCTATTCACATGGAACTGAAGCGGGACTTCTCGGCCCACGGTCTCGAGAATGATGTCCCCTCGAACAAAACGCTTTTTCGTGAATACCACTATTTCACGCCAGGTAGATGCAGCTCGCCCGAAGCCACGAAAAGTTCCGTTCTAACTGCGAACAGGCATTATAATGGGTCTGATTGCCTCCATTTTCTGTCTTCTTATCTTGTATGTTGGCCTCAGTGCACTCTTGAGCCTCGAAGTGCCCTACGCGGCATTTGAGAAGGACACTGCCGCTAGTGTGCACAAGAAGCAGCAATGATTCGTTCTCGATCACTTGGGCGAATTTTACTTGAAGTTTGTCGACTCTTACTAGCTTTTGGTACCGTTCTTCTAGGCTCAGTATGTTGTTCAAATCTAATGCATAACTGTATGCTGGCGTTTCATCTTTGATATGCGATCACTCGACGATGACTCATGATGCTGTACGAAAGTGATGGTTGCTATAAATAGGTGCAGTGTCTCTGGTGCTGGATGTCATATACTGTGTAGGATGAGGTCTTCCAGTGCAGCTACCTTAGGGCATCAGAGCTTCTAATCAAATCCCATAAACATAGCACCGGTGTTACTATCACGTGAGAGGTGAGAGTGTCGTACTGTGTGGCCTCAGGCAGGATTTACAGGAGCCCGTCCAGGCGCGGAGCACGGGGCAACCCCTCCCCCGTATTCTTCTTGCTGATTATCTTCTGGTGCACCGTGGATGCTCAATGAAGCGCTCGCTCGCTAGCTCATATCCCTCGTCCGTCGCTAATTATCATGACTCGATTCTAGGAATCGGTTCTGACGATATTTCCCGCTCTCTACTTCAGTCTTTCACTTAGCTTATTGTTGACAATCCAACATCAGCTACTTCTGCTGGGTGGAGACTCGCCTGATAGTGCTCCCCCGTCGTCTGCTTGGAGACCGCCGTGTTCGATGCCATTAGTTTGCGGTAAACATCCATTCTCGTATGCTAGGGGTGATCGAAGAAGACTCAACACTAGATATTATGCCCAGAAACGTCCTGCGCTAGCCATCGCTCCCTCTCAGAGTTTTACCCCATCTGCGAAGAATCCGCCTCCCTGCGTTCTGTGATCAATATCAACAATCATGGTCGCTTTGTTAATGCGCGCTGGGAAAGCCAGTCGACCTCCAATCATTCTACTCCTTGTGCTTTTTACCATGATTCTGGCCCAAATTTCCGTAGCCCAAGATACCACGACGGATGATACCACTACAACCACCACGAGCGTGGGCTCGACAACAGAGTCAGCTACAACCTCGTCATCGTCGTCTTCTTCGTCGAAAAGCACTACCTCGTCGTCATCGCAGACTAGTTCCACAACATCGGCTTCGACCACATCAACAAATACAGATACCTCATCAACGTCAACTACATCGGCGTCCTCGCTTTCGTCCACGGACGGTTATCCAGTCGTCACTGTACCGCCAACAGCAGATGCACCCTATATGCAGAAGTCCAACATCCCGGAGGGTACATTGTTCATCGCAGTCGGCGCGGTCTTGGGAGCCATTGGGCTTGCGATCCTAGCTTGGCGCGGTATAGTCGCATGGTCTGTGAATCGCTCGGTCCGCCAAGCCGCGATGACGCGCTCGTCCGAATCAAAAAGCCTATTGCGTTCTAAGCGAAGAAAGTCACGCACTAGGAGATCCTCCTCTGCAGGACCTGGCGTTGCCCTCGACAAGCTCGGCGGTGCCGGGAATCACCAGCACCATGGTCACAGCCACCACAGCCACCGGCATCACCGAACCTCCAAGGGCCCCAGCGCCAACAGCGGGCTCTTCTTCTCCCCAACCGCCGGCATGCAGCACGGCAGCGGAACTCGCCGCTCTAGCTACCTTCCCGCCGGCTACTACAACGCCAACAATGCGGGAAGCACACCCCGCGCTCAAGATGGGCGGTACTCGGCTGCCGACCTGACGGGGCTTGACGGTCCTCAAGCGCAGGGCTACACCCCAACCAGGTCAGGCCCCAGCCCTCCCGAGTCGCCGGGCCTACCTCAATATCACGATCAGCAGAATACCCCTCCGCGTCGCAGCGCCAGAAGGTCTCACGTGGAAGCCTCTACCAGTACCCTGAACCTAGCCTCCCCGCCAACCGGGAGAACCCCAAGCGCATATCTGGAAGATCTGTTCGATAGTCATCCGCCCCACAACCGAGAATAGTCATTGTTGCATTGAACCGTTGGATCTCTGTGTCCAGATCTACTGTCTTTATTTCTACGATACGCCTCTCTTATCCTGATTCCAGATTCCAGCCTCTAGCCTTTATTCCTATTCTGTGTGACTCTATCCTAGTATATGTTCATACATTCGTGCGTCCTTTGTTCGCTTTCTTGTGCCTGGTATACAGTCTTCTTCTCGAACATAGTCGGTGTGTCTAATAACGAGTGCTATCGAAGTGATCATCCTATTTCTTGCGGCACTTGATGCAAAATCCGGCTTTCTCTAAGCTAGACTTTGACTATGAGGCAAGATGCTCTTTTGGTTTAGTAGTGTCTGAAGCCCTGTAATCCAAGTTTAACTTGAGATGAAAGTCCTGGGGGTGAGGAGTCACGCGTCTCGTCCGCTTGGAAGCTGAAGCGATCTTATCGGTGTATCGATGTGGGCATGTGAGCCCTCCAGAAAAGAGGATATGAACTACAAGTGAGTGGGAAATACTTGAAATGTAGAAGTCTATAGATAGATACATATATATATAAGTCGAGCACGATCGAAAAGGCACCTAGACCGGCTTGATCAGTCAGCGTCCCGCTTGCCGCTGAACTCGCCAAGCAAGATATCATCCGGGGCTGGGCCACGGTTGTTCCTGACTGTTGTTTCGCAAGGTTAGCTGTGTGTCACACCGACAAAAAGAAACGTGGTCAGTGCAGGAGACTTACTCCACTCGGTCTCTACGCGGAGGAAGATCCACATCCATCGGCGTGCAACCTCGAGGAACATGAGAACAAAAAATCCGAATTCCGTGTCACTTAGCCAGACGAAACCTGGCACATATTTCGAGAGCCACGAGAAGCGGATGGTCAGGTCGATACCGATGGCCAGGTAGTACTGACGATCTGTGAAAAAGCGATGGCGGCGGAGACCAAATGGATACTCGGGGCTGTCACGCAAGGGCGAGAGCAGAGTCAGATCCCAATCCTTGGTAACGTCCCAGTAAAAGGAATATGCAGAGTTGATAAGTGTGCAAAGAAACCTAGTGATTTGCAAGTATATTAGGCCCACATCCCTCAAGGCACAACAAGTCGACCAAAGATACATACAAGAGTCGTAAGAGGCCAGTCTCGCTGAATCCGTAGAACTCCAGGGGGTTGTAGTTCCTCAATTTGGCCGTGAGCATAATGACGGGAAATGCGGTGGCATATTTCAAGGCATTGGCCAGATGCTGTCCCCCAGTGTTCCCATTCTTGTAGCCACCCCGCCACACACGATAAAATTCGATGAGGCATTGACGAAGTCGTATGATACTGGGAATAGCAATGATGGTGGGGATGAGGTAATCGTTCCCACATTTGCGATTCGGCTTCGACGTGCTCGTGAGATCTCCGGTGAAGAACATGCAGAAGGAGACTACCAAGTCTCCCAGTACTTTGGCATAGCTTGTCAGGGCATCAGCCAGGAGGATGTCGCCAAATTTACCATCTTGTGGCTGCGCCAATCCCCCGACACAGATGCGCCTAAAGGTTGTGAACAGACGGAACCGTCCGGAGCGCGCGACCCGTAGGAAGGGTTGAATCAGAATTACTGCAGCTATAAAGAAGTATGATTGCGGGATGAAATCCAATGACTCAACACGTTGTCTAGAACCGTGGGTGACGGGCCAGAAGATGAGGAGGGATATCACGAGAGGTACGGTCAGGAGAGTGGCTAAGCGATAGGCAGAGGCGTAATGGGGCTGCTGGCCCGGCGACTGGCGGTGGGGGTATCGAATGAGAGAAGGAACATCCTGGAGGATGTTAGACAAGAAGTTGCGAGAATGAAGGACTAGATAAGGATAGAGCGAGGGGGGGTTAACCCACAATATTCGCTTTTGAGAGAAACTGCAGATTGGCACCCCATCCCCAGAACCCTGTCAACAGCAATTAACAAGTATGACGCCGAAGATTGGACAAGTAACATACCAGCCAGTAGAATTACTGCCACGCGTGAGGGGAAGGGAAGAAAGAGACTGAAGCCATCCAATTGAGCATGTTGATCAGGACCCATATTCCATTGAAGGAGCGGCGCCGGGTTTCTGTCAGCACCTAGAACTGCGAGATAGGGATATTGGGGTTAGGGAGAGGAGCACAATTGCAAGGGAAGTAGATCCCGCGAAAGGGAAACAGGAAAGGGAACACCAACACGAAGCTATACAGGAAGGAACGTAGCCAGAGATTGACTCAGGGTGAGTTTGACGAGGCCGAGTGCTCACTTTTGCAATCAACCATGACCCGCAAGTTGTTTTTGACTAGTTATAAAAATAAGACCAGACAAAAAGAAGCTCAGGGACGGTTTCAGTCTTGACTGACCAGCGCCGCGCCGCTGGCGGCTTCGCGCGGCTTTTCGGGTTTAGCCTGGACTGAGCATGCGTAGTGGTTCCCATTTGGGTCTAGTGGCTCTCCTTGGCGCCAACTTCCAGTTTTGGATGCACCGGCAATATCACCTGCTCACTACCGAGGTATCTTTTGAGTTCACTGCATACTGACCTAACTAACTACTTAAAGTCACTTATAATAGTAAGTAAGTAACCACCACACCTCCCGGGCTTCCCGCGGGCGGAGCTTTGCATTGTCATCTCCCTGCGTTTCGCATTCAGTATCGAACTTATTCGTCGTCCTTTCTGGCTTTTCCTTAACACAATGGCCGACGAAGACCTTTCAATAACCACCGCTCCCGCCCCCGCTCCCTCCATACCTCGCTCCGGTCACTTCTACCCTTTCGCTACATCACCGGACATTATCCGCTCTCACGAGAAAGATGTCTTCCTTACCACGAGCTTGACCAACCAAGCCCAATCCATCGCCCGCTCCCTCCGTGGGGCTCGATTCGCTCATACTCACTCCGATGCGATTAAGCGGCTGACCGAGACCTTGTACTTCTCACTCACCACCCTGATCGGAAACCGAACACTGGGTGAGGAGTACTGTGATCTAATGCAGTTGGAGGACGATACACTACAACTCCCCTCGCTCTTTCGCCGGGTCGGATATATCCTCGGCAGCATTCTACTACCGTGGGGCCTACAGCGGATTCTTCCCGCATTCCGACAACGACTACGAGCCAAGCTTGAACGTAGTATTGCCCGCCAACAATTCAAGAATGCCCAGACCAAAGGTGCAGGAGAGGGCCCCAGGCCAACCAGCTCTTTCCTTTCAAGGTTGCGTATACAGCAATACATTCTGGAGCACCTTGATTCCATCACGTCGTTGTCGCCCATTCACGCTGTCAGTATTGCGACCTTCTACTTCACCGGTGCCTACTACCACCTGTCGAAACGTTTCTGGGGTCTGCGCTACATTTTCACCAAAAAGATAAGTGAAAATGAGCAGCGCGTGGGCTACGAAGTTCTGGGGGTGCTTCTCGTTCTACAAATGGCAGTGCAGGGTATTCTGCACACCAAGAAGGTGGTGAGTGGCCTGCAACAGGAGGACCAGGATCCTCAATCCGAGGGTGTCGGGACAGCCGGTGGCCAAAGCGATGCGGCGATAACCTCAATCGAAAACCCACCATCGCTTCCGCTGTTGCCGGCCAGCCATGCTCGGTACGACTTTGCCAAAGACTCGAATGCCGTTCCTTGGATGCCCACGGGCCAACAGCGCAAGTGTACACTTTGCTTGGAGTTGTTCAGAGATCCGAGTGTCACCACCTGCGGTCATGTGTTCTGTTGGACATGTGTCCGAGATTGGGTACGCGAGAAGCCGGAGTGCCCGCTTTGCCGCCAGGAGGTCCTCCTATCCAAAGTCCTCCCATTGCGAGGGTGATACTTGTAGTTCCGGAGCGTCCCATATATCCGTGTCCTTTACTCGATTCTTGGCATGTTTCAGCGTTGCAAATTGCTTGTTTCAAATATACCCTATCATATCTAGAGATATATGTTGACAGTGTTCAGCTGGTATTGTAGCCTTCACTTCATAGTCCTGGTCTACAAGTAGAGTCTAGTGTAACCGCATGTCTTTATAATTCCCACGGTTACTACCATAGAAATGGTCCGGCTGTCGCATGCTGTTTCTAGCCCATGTTTCATGTAGATGAAGGGTGAAATGACTTAGTTCACTGATGCTGCAGGCGAAAGCCCTTCAACACAGAATCTTGATATGTTGAGATGAAATGCTCTGACCTGATGTTTCGAGATAGGAGGAGGGGTAAATCCATATGTTCTCCGAATGTGTTAAATGGTACATTTCGGATCTTCGGGTGCATCCTCAGGTCGAAACAATTCGACTTCTTCCACATCAGCAGTGACAGGCGCATCGCACATAACACGAATGGGTAAATTCAATTCGGCGTGGGCGGGGAGAGGAGGCACTGGTTCGAGAGTTTGTCGTTTTTTGTTCATCGTATCATATAAGCAAACGCATGCGTAAGGATCAGACGCAGCATCTATGCAAAGCCCTGTCAGTCTTTGATGAAGTTTCAGTGCCAGAAGGCAGTGCACTCACATTGAACCTGGCGATAATCCAGAATCGTCGACCACTCACCGCACCGCACGGTCACTTCTTTTGCCAAGGGTAGCCCGAGGTGCTCCTCCGCCTGCTCACTCAGGTTGACAAGTCGTTTGTTGATCAGTTTCGGATCCGATTGGCAGTACTTGATGAGCTTATATAGATGGCTCAGCTCGAAGATTCCGTGCGCATCTATCTTCAGAAACTTTCGCAGGCGTGTACAGTCCGCTTTAATCGACACGCCAGCTTTAGTGACTGCCGGGTCCTCAATGATTCGCTTCAGCGTAGGTGGTACGAGATCGACGAGAGCTTTTGCCGGTCTGAACTGTGCCACGTGAAAAAGTGCGATGCGATGTCGGTTCGCAATCTGGATCAGCGAAACGTTATCTTGAATGCTATCCCATGCCGAGGCTGAAGCCTTCCATTCCAGGTCAAGCCCAATGAGATCATCCTTCAAAAATAGCTGTGCGATCCCTTCACTGCTTTTCAGGCTTCTACAATAGTGCACAACAATGTCTTTGCCTTCGGGACTCTTTTGTAACTTGTGGCTCCAGAACTCCGGGGCTGCCGAATGGTCGGATGACCCCTTTGGAAGCTGCTGTACTGCGGTAGCAGGTCTATATGTTGTAAGCCGAGAAATGCCACCGACCGAGTAATCTGGTGCAGATGGCTCATGAGAGCCCTTTAGTAAAGTCGAAGCCTCGGGTCTTTGCAATGCTCCGAGCGGCCCTGAATCTGAGGCGATCGTAGTATTAGAGCTATACGATCGACTTATCTCGCCCAAGGGTTTCCGGGATTCGCGACCCTTGTGGCTCCAAGCTCTTCTTCGGGTCGCAAACGCGAGGCCCGCAGACGCCTTCTCAGAGCCTTGGACTACAGACGGTCGACTATATGTGCCAAACCATGGCAGATACCTGCGCCTTTTAGAAGCAGCAGCCTCTGAAAGCGACTTCATAGTCGAGATTGAGTTTTGCAATGATGTGTAGCATCTGCTTGTAAGAATGCTAAGTCTTTGCTGCTGGCTCCCAGTGCACGCCCCGCTTAGCGACCTTGAGCTTGCTGCCAAAAAAACAGAATCTGACGGTATAAATCTGTTTTAATAGTCAGACAGATTTGAGAATGAGATGAGGCGAAAGGCACAACTGACCGTGTGAGCGCCGATGCAAGGGTAGGCATCTCTTGGCTCGAGATTCCTAACAAGTTGGAATGCTGTCATGTGCGGGCGCTTAGCGTGTACTGGACTTTTTTGAGGAGGATTTATGGCCCAACCCGACAATATTTTTGGAATTGAGCCAATCAGAAAATTCAAAGGAGAGCTTCAACTATTTACATTTGAATTAGCGGTGTCCAAAAACACGGCGATGACTTTCATGAAAGTCAGCAAAATATGGTGGTACCTGAAGAACCTACCGAAGTACATTACTGTACGGAGTCCAGTAATCGAGGGAAACGAAGCGTGCTCTCTCTGATTGGAGTGAGAGAGCGGTCTCGGATTAACACGAGTTCCCGAGTGTGCCAAGATTACATCTGGATGGATTCATCACTGACCGTTTCCGCCTACCGCGTCATTTTCTAGATCAAAGTACTTGGTGCTCGTATCGTCCTGCAGAAGTCAACGGTCACTGCTTTTCCCCCCTTTTCTGCTTGCACTGTGGACTCCCATTGAAGCCTTATCATTATTGTTATTGGTACATCTCGATTTGGTTTCACTGTTGGCCAGAAACTCTCAGAATGGCTTCTCAACTTCTTCCTCTTGGTAATTACCAGTTTTAGGCAAATATCATGTTCATATCGGGCTAACAATTGAGCTAGAGCTGATTGACAAGTGCGTTGGGTCTAGAATCTGGGTCATCATGAAAAATGACAAGGGTTGGTGTCACCGACCTCTTTTCTCTTCCGAAGGGGAAAGGCATTAACTATTCATCAACAGAGTTCTGTGGTACATTGCTTGGATTTGATGACTATGTCAGTAAGTGATTAAACTGTTCCTGTTCAGCTAGGCTCAAGAAGCTGAATCTCTGTACAGACATGGTTCTGGAAGACGTGACAGAATTGTGAGTCAACCAAGCCTCTTCGGTTAAGCATCATGCTTCGGCTGCATCATGCCTTTGCAAGAAGTTGCCCTTGCTTTATGGAAGAATGGTCGGATCTTTGTGTTAATTGCTCGTAGTGACTACTCCGGCGCGCAAGTCAAGCTTCCTAAGATATTGCTCAATGGCAATAACGTTTGCATGGTGCGGTTCATGAGTTTTTCCTCACTGTGGTGTCCTCAAGCTAACGAACGATTCAGTTAATCCCTGGAGGCGAAGGACCAGTTGGCAGCTCTTAAAGCTCGGGATGTTTACTATGTTTCAAGCTCTGGCTCATTATCCAATGATGATTATTGATGACTTCATCCCAATCCTGTCTCATGGTTAATGTGTTTGCAAGGCGTTCTATATCGAGTCTTCCAGTCTAGGAGTTTGTGTCCCTCTTCAGAACAAAAATGCATGTAATGTTCAAATGCATGAATGGTCTCATTCAAGCCTCCAGCGGAGTAGATAAGCACGGGTCTGCCATGACCCACCCAGTTTGTAATATGCAGCCATGAACAAATGTACATAACTTATGGTTTTGGGGATCGTTTTCAAGACCTCGGGAACCGTGGTGCAATAGTCCGTCTAATGTTAGGTACAGTGAGCAACTTATTTAGACTTGACGGAGTATAGTTATCATGGGGCTCGACAAGTTAGAAGGTAATCAATGATGACAGTCCCCATTCCTCGTGGTCGTGCAGTGACAGAGAACCGGCGCTGACCTTGCTATATAATCTATATGTAGACTGCTCAACTGCCCTCATTGTCAAATTGACCTTGGTCGACTCGACTATTTTGAAAAAAAAAAATAGGGAGTGTTGATGCTAGGCAACGACTGATAACTGGCATTCTAGGTGACAGTCATTCCAAGCCGAGGCAAAAGAGGAAGGAAAGGATCAAGTAACGTGACATGATGCGACTTATGCGACTCCGATAGCCAAGACAGAGAAAAAGCGAAGCCCCAGGGATGAACGATGTCAGGATATTCCGTACACTGAACAAGTTTCTGAGCATCACCGAGGATAAGTCCTCGTATTGCAACCTGCCCAGACTGAGTGGCGGGGTCAGCTACCCCAGAAAATCCTCCACTGGCTGGGGCAGTTTCCCACTTTGTGGTCTCACTGGAGACGTTGGAGTGGAATCGGTTAGGTAACAGATTCGGCTCTCCCCCCGCATTTCCAGCACTGCCCGCATTTAGCAGATAACCCTAAAAATCACCTTCTGTCTCCAATCTCAAAGTTGGACAAACAAGTCAAATTGTAAAAGTGAAGCGGCGACTCCGATAGCTGAAGTGCTACTCGGGTGGGCTGTATCTTGCACTCTTGGAATGGACGAACTCATTTTTATCTGTCCCACATGGTGAAGAGCCAGTCTGTACTGAAAAATGCCCGAGTCTCAAGGAATGGCGGATGGGCTGATGTTACTCAGTATCCATTGTCACGAGTTATGGCTCTAATCGCATACGGAAACCAGCAAGCTTATATTACTGATGTCAGATTGAGCGGAGAGAATGCAGCCGCTAGTTTCAGGAGGGCAAAGGGTCAGGGAGTCCGAAAGCTGAGCTGGTTTTCCCTTTTCCTTGGGGACACAGTTCGCGACTGGTGTCATTGGGTTTCGGAGATGCCGCAGGCTCCGTTGCCCGGTTCGGCATAATGTGAAGGTGACATCGCGCAAAACAAATCAGTGCAGGGACCAAGCGTCCAAGGTGCGGTAGGTTTTGTTTGTCGACCGGTGTTTGCGCATGGCTAGACATGGACTCCGGCAACCTCTAACTATCCATGTCGTCTCTTTTTGGTGTCACACATTCAACGGGCCAGGGAAAAAAAAGGCACCAGAAGGGGTATCTTCTTCGTCCTCTTCTCGACACAGGACCCGCAACTCGCTGTCAAGTCATGTTCTCAATGTACCAGTATAGGGCAGAGACCCTTGGTGGCGTGCATCGCGGATTTGCGAACATGCAAGGCCGGCTAGCCCCCGGCCCGGTTCTGTTGGTGTCACTATTTTCTCGCTCCCATAGCTTTCTGACGTTCTAGCCGCGCAAGTCAGGCTGCAAGACGAGAAAGATTTTCGGCCTTGCTCATGGTCTTCATCCTCTAGTCTTTTGGGGATGGGTCGAGCGGATATCTACACTTGCATCGCTAGGAAAGCGAAATGAAGACTGAGGTCACACCATCTTCATCATCATTGCCGTCCAATTCATTGTTTGCCCAGAGAAGAGGGACGCCACCCATGCACGGTTGGGATGTTTAGCTCGGAAGCCACAGCAGAATCCCGACTGATCGTTCGTTCGCCCCCCTGAAAGTCTGGTTGTCCCCGTCATAAGTTCTCAATCTTGGCCACTGGCGAAGGATGCTCTAGCGAGTTGAGACTAAACCTTCTATGCATTGGCCTCCGTCGCCATGACAGGGGCAATTGTGCGAGTCGAGCTTCGGAGGTCCTTGCCAGAACAGGGTTCGCGACGAGACAGGTCTTCATCCTTCCGGGCCTTCGAGAACTTCGAGAACGAGGCGAAGAACACTTCCGGGGAGAAAAGTCAAGTCAGTCATATCGCAGCGAGGTTTGTTTTGTAGATCTTTACATCGATTGTTTAATCAGAGTGTATGTAACATCTTTTACGCAGCGATCATAAGAAGCCTTTGATCGCATTACCACAGTTGGCGAGAAATCGCCTACCAGAGACTATATAGGAAAATGAAGTTCATCTCTGTTTTAATCTCTCAAGGGAGATTGAAGTATAGACTGAATCACCACAGCCTGGAGCTGGGTATGCAGACAGCTACCTGCCAAGTGTAGCCATAAAATATGTAGAGACTGGGCACCAAGCCTGCTTGGACTAAAGAATTTGTCACCTAAGCCGGGGCCAGCCTCTTATCAACCATGTGTCTCAGCTCCTTTATTGGCTTTTGCTCAACTGCGCGGATTTAAGCACCGGTAGGAACTGGTCGAAATCCGTTTACCGTCGCACTTACTGAAGAAAGAATGAGGCGTAAGCACACGATGGGTTTCTAGACACATTTCGGTGATGGATGTGTGATGTTGACATGATCTGCAATTAGAGAGGATTGGATTCTTTGTTTTAAAAAAATAAATAAAAAAGAAATGGAAGTAACTATCAGAGATCCAGAGATAGCGGCTATTGCTAATGATAAACCCGATAGCTATCAATCGCCGGTTTTTGCACTCCGTAGATAAGAGAAACTCCACCTAATGGACCCTGTCCATGGAAGGCAAGAACTGAGCTGAAACCAACTTACTTGCAGCACACGTATTGAATGTAAAGTAGTAAGTAGGGAAGTAGGTCGCCTATAGCTACACAATAGGCAATAATTAAAATCATCCCATCGCAATCGGTTAACTTCCTCTTGGATGCTCACTGGAAGGATGAAGCTACCACTTGCTATTGGCTCGGAAGTTTTGGACTACCAGTGGCGTTGGAACCTCAAGGATGAAGTTATCAGCCTCTGTTGGAGAGAACCAAGGCTCTCTTACTCCTACTGTACCTACGTACCAGCCAACTAAGTACCTACCTAGTACTTTGCTGACCAGTGGCGGGACATCGGTCGGCTGCTGCTCTTTCGGTGCTGGTTCTGGGCGCTTCGCAGTGGTATTTGCGCGTCTAAATGTGAAGCTTGGCTGTTGCGTTAATTGAAGAGATGATCTTATTGAGACAAAAACATAAACAAAACAATCCATGCTAGAATCAGCAGGTGGATACTTAAAGAGAGTGAGTAGTAACACGCAAACCTGTGGAAGGCAGATTAATGTCAACTGATAAGTTACCAGGAGTGTGCCAGACCGGCTAGTCATTAATTGGGACTAGTCGGATTTGGGAAGGTTTCTACCCCATGTCGTGTGGCTGATTCTGATTAGCAAGTCAGCTGCTGACCACTGTGTACTTATCAATACGAATTGTCAAGCAAAAAGTAATGGTGAATAATGCTCTGAATGGTAGCCAATCAAATATTGGGCCATCCTTAATCATAAGGTGGCAATCAACCCCGTTCATCAAAATCAACCCGATTTTCCCCCAGAATATCAGTCGGATGCATTACCTACAGTAGACTAGACTAGTGACCACCACCACCATCACCACGAAGTAGAACAACCTGTCGTCTAGCTTCCCCCAGACGGGTCCCACACTTTCAGACTCTCCTGTCGGTTTTGGCTTGGCCACATGGTAGGGTGTGCCGTATGAATGCCTGCATGCAACGGCGTAATCTGGCCCGCCCCTCTCCCTCCGTTTAGATGCTAATTGATGGTGGGTGATTTTGCCTTCTCCCCACCCCCCTTTGAGAGCTGGATGGATGTCAGTCAATCAGACCAGACGAGATAGGTAGGAACCTAGTTCATCTTTGCTTTGCCCCAACAGCTGACCCGCACATTTAAATACTGACTGGCATCCTCATGTCAATCCATGATGGGCTTCCCGAGTTGCCTGGTTGTTTATCCATTGCCCCTCCCGTTAGCATTACTCTGCTGTGAATACTAGCAGCAGTGACACATTCCCAGAGGTATTGTGCCCTCTGGTCGTTGTCTCTTGCCAGAGTGGCTCAGTAATACTCATTCACTCGCCGTAGTTTAGCACTACGGTCACTTCTCTGCAGAGTCCATCATCTCACCTTGGAGCTTCTCTTACTTCCCCACCTTCGTCTTTCTTCGCCTCCTCATCTTGAAGTGCTTTGATTGTTCAAGATTGCTGGTCTTCTCAGTTCTTAGTATCTGCATGAGCAATCAGTAGCCCTTCACATCGCCGAATACTCGAACCAACATCAACCATGGAGAAAGATTTCATGGAGCCGAAATATGAATCCAAACCCGAGGCTTCCTCGTCCGCCGCCGACTCTCCTCCGTCCTACGGCGAGACTGAGCCCACGAAAGGGAGCTTTGGCCAAAGAATCTGGGACAGCTTCAAGAGAGACCCTAATGCGCATGTGTCGGCCGCCGAACACTCGGGTGCAGATGGATCCTCATACGACATCGAACAAGCTGCGCGGAAGACTGCTGAATCTCCTCTGCAGCGCAAGCTTAAAGGCCGCCACCTGCAGATGATCGCTATCGGTGGTTCGATCGGTATGTGTCCTACGTGGTGTCTGGTTCTGGCACAAATCGCTCATCTAATCGCACAGGTACTGGTCTCTTCGTCGGATCCGGAAAGGTTTTGGCTGCGGGTGGACCTGCATCGGTCCTAATCGCCTATGCCCTGATCGGCTGCATGCTTTACTGTACCGTGCACGCACTAGGTGAAATGGCCGTCGTGTTCCCTGTCGCTGGTTCCTTCTCGCACTACTCAACTCGGTTCATTGACCCGGCCTGGGGTTTCGCCATGGGTTGGAATTATGCTCTGCAATGGCTGGTGGTTCTGCCGACCGAAATTGTCGCTGCTTCCATGACCGTTGATTACTGGAACTCGGGTATCTCAAGTGCTGCCTGGGTCGCCATCTTTTGGGTCTTGATCGTGGCAATCAACCTGTTCGGTGTCAAGGGCTATGGAGAAGCGGAGTTTGTCTTCTCGATCATCAAAGTCCTGGCGGTGATTGGCTTCATGTAAGGGAACATGCCTTCCATTTTCGCGATACCCGTGGGATCGTCCGACTGACATCGAAACAGTATCCTTGGTATCATTTTGGATTGTGGCGGTGGCCCCAACGGCGGCTATATCGGTGCACGCTATTGGCATAACCCAGGGGCCTTCAACAATGGATTCAAGGGCCTGTGCAGTGTCTTTGTCAATGCTGCCTTTGCCTTTGCTGGCACCGAGCTGGTTGGTCTTGCGGCAGCCGAGACCGCCAATCCTCGCAAGTCTCTCCCAACCGCTATCAAACAGGTGTTTTGGCGTATCACCTTGTTCTATATCCTGTCTCTTTTGCTGGTCGGCTTGTTGGTCCCTTACACCGATGACATGCTCCTCAACGGATCCTCCAGCGTCGACGCCAAGGCCTCGCCTTTCGTGATCGCCATCAAGAACGCTGGCATATCTGGACTACCATCTGTTATGAATGTTGTCATCATGATTGCCGTGCTCTCTGTTGGTAACGCTTCGGTTTATGGTTCCTCGCGAACTTTGGCAGCCCTGGCTGAGCAGGGCCAAGCTCCCAGGTTCCTGGCTTACATTGATCGGAAGGGCCGTCCTCTCTGGTCTCTCTTGATTGCTTCGTCGCTGGGTGCACTTGGTTTCTTGGCAGCATCCTCCAAGCAGTCGGAGGCATTCAGCTGGATGATGGCAATTTCTGGTCTCTCGTCCATCTTCACCTGGGGCTCCATCTGCTTCTGCCATATCCGCTTCCGCCGTGCTTGGAAACTCCAGGGCCATAGTTTGAATGAATTGGCCTTCCGATCCCAACCCGGCTTGATTGGATCCTGGGTCGGATTTATCTTCAATTGCCTGGTTTTGGTGGCCCAGTTCTGGGTCGGCTTTGCCCCGACCGGTTACGCGAGCATGTCTGCCTCGGCCTTGGTCGAAAACTTCTTTTCTGCCTACCTCGCCGCACCTGTCGTGCTCGTGTTCTATATCCCATACAAACTGTGGTATAAGACTCCCTTCATCCGTGCCAAGGATATGGATCTCCAGACCGGCCGCCGTGATCTGGACATCCAGTATCTGATTGAGCAGGAACAGGCCGAACAGGCACAGTGGCCGGCGTGGAAGAAGTTTTACAAGTTATTCTGTTAGATTCTCGGGGTGTTGTTGCCAGTCAGTTCTTGGACATCCAGGGCGTTTTAATGTGATGATACCTTCCCTGCCTACATTTTGTGTATGATAACGATAATGAGCCTTTTCCCCTTCAATCTGTACAGGTGGAAAGCATCTGCTGCATCTTGATGTCCTGTATGTACATCACCGCATGGTAGAATGTAATACGACTTAATCGAAATGATTGCAATGGCTTGTGAAGGGGTTATAATGTATTTGCCGCACTTCTTCGCTGTCTGTGATGAAACCTCAAAATTGAGTACTAGGTAGCTGTCCTGGCGGGCCGGAGAAAAGCCATTGGTTGCCAAGGAGCGAATCGAATGGAGGAATACTCTGAAGAGAGGTTTGGTCGACAATCTCCCCTCGGGCAATGATCAGACACGCTTGACCTGATTATACCATGGTGCCTCTAACTTGTTTAGGGGCCATGCGAGATTGTTGGGAAATCAATCTAAGACAAACAGGTAGACCAAAAATAGCAGCCACTTTTTGGACTGAGAACAAGGAGAACAAGTCAGCACCGCAACAAACACGTGAGGGCAAGCGAGGCTGAGGGAGAATGAGCGAGAAAGCGGGTCAATGGAGTTGCTTACGAGTACAGTAATTTACGGAAACCCATAATAAGTGATCTGGCCCAGCCGGGTTTAACTACGGTGAAGGACCTTACGTAGGTTTCAGGCTGGTATGTATGCCGTATTCGTATAGTCCTATATACTCTCCAGGTTAAGTGGTGAAAATGACAGCAGTGTAAAATTACATCAAGGCCCGACCGAAACCTCAACTTTTCCTCTGGAATCTCGAAATATTCACCCCGTCATCATCCACCATCATCTCTCCACTTCTGCACAGTCAAAGACAATTATCTTTTTCCCTGGAGCAATCCGCTTCTTCTGTTTCTTTTTATTTCCCTTCTTCACTCTTCTCTATCTGTTCTCTCTTCCTTCGTTACATACTGCATCATTGCTCTCATTGGCGCTGCATTCATCCCACTGCATCTCCCCCCCCCCCCCCAAATTCTAGGCTGTCGTCTTCTGTAGCCGCTCTCGCATACTTGTTCCCCTCCAACCACCCATCCCCCCGGGCCTATGTCTCTTCGCAGTTACTCTATACCACCCTAGGGATTGTTGAAACTTTAGCCTTGCTGGGTGCGCTTAAGCCGATACTCCCTCATCTCGCATTCCTCCATTCATTCACTTGCCGACTGTCCTTTCGTGCACGCAGTTATTGTTGCGCCTTTTAGTGTGTTGATCCGGTCGCCTCACGCTGGCGACGACGACCGATCATCTACCTTAGAGGACTTACCGGCACTACAACAGTTTCCGCGCATCGCCACGTAAACCTGGGTGAGATCAGATTCATCGGTCTTTAGCTCGTCCGCCATCGAACCTGCTCCACTATGCCTGGGTTCGCGGATTCGTTTTGGACCCCAGATTATGCCACAGGTCTGGGGGTACTCTACGGCAAACTTCAGCAGGGCTCGGTAGAAAATAAGCAGATTTTGACCATTGCCTCTATGCGCGCGGACGCAGAGGACCTGTATGGTTCCAAGTTGGGGGACATAGCGCCGGCCGTCGACCGGGTGGCACCCACGGGGTTTGCGAAGGACGATGGAGCGAGCGTGAGAAAGGTAAGCAGGTCGGAGACGTTATTGAATGTCTTTGCGGATGCTGATGCGCGGCTTTCAACTTCTTTATAGGCTTATGAGGGTGTCCGCACAGAGATGGTCGAGGCGTCCAAGAATCATCAGAAGATTGCGTCCAACATTCGCGAGCTAGTCGTGTCTCCATTCCGACGTTGGTGTGATCAACATGAGGCCCGGATACAGAACTCCCATGATGATCTGCAAGCCCGCATCAAGGAACATACAAAGCAAGTCGAACTGGTCAAGAAACTTCGGAGCCACTACTTCAACAAGTGCCGTGTCGTGGAAGATCTGGAGGAGGAGAATAAGCTTGCTTTTCAGGGCCCTGAGACAAGTCCCAAAATCAAGCCCACCCCTAAGATCGTCTTACCGGAAGAGGAGGAAGAGGAGGAGGAACCGGTCGAACTCGGTGATCGCATTTATCCTCCAGTGGATCTGAAGAAGTTATTGATGCACATGTTGGAAACAATCAAAGTCGGAGATGTCAAGGTGCCCATCATTGGAACATACCAAAACACGTCGACTGGTGCCGACATTGTGGACTACATCCAGAAGTATTTGAATGGAACTAGCATCAGCTACTGTGAGAGGATTGGGCAGGACCTTGTTGACAACGGCTTTCTTCGACTCGTGGGCAACATGGGTAGCACATTCGCCAATAGCTCCAAGATGCGCTACCAGTGGCGCCCGAAGGTCTTTCAGATCACGGGCATTCCCGACAAGAAGAAGCCTTTGATGCGAGTAACATCTATCGCCTCCAGCGAGGATGGCAGTGATTCTCCACTCTCTTCTGTGTCCGAGATGCTCGCCGGGTGGAATCCTCTCAACAACCCATACCCGAACGAGACACCAGCAGAGAAGTTGCGCAGAGAAGCTCGCGAGGCTGACGAAAGGTACAAGGCCGCTGTGCGTCGACTTGACCATATCAGATGCAAGCTCGAGGAAGAGATTGTTGAGAATCTGCGCTTCATGGAGCAGTGCGAATTGGACCGTCTCAAGGCAATTAAAGCCGTTATCCTGGATTTCTCTGGCGCCATTAGCAATGTGATCCCCAACTTGCAGAGCACAGTGGATCACATGATGCTGTATCAGGAGACTATCCAACCCCTGGGAGACCTCAGATACCTTCTGGAGAACTACCGGACTGGTGGTTTCATTCCCCGCGTCCAGGCTTACGAGAACTACTACGGTTCTGTAGAAGGTACGTGGACACCACGAAAGCCACAGCCCCTTTGTACAGCTGAAATCTCATCTGCATCCAGACCAAAATTTCGGTGTCGATCTTGAGGCTAGAGCAAGAGCCGACCGCAAGCGGGTCCCAATAATCGTTACGACGATCCTCACATATCTTGATAACCGTAAGAGCATTGCAGCATCAACATGATTTTCGAAAGCATACTGACCAATATAGGCTACCCTGAATTGGAGGGTGACGAGGCAAGACGTGCGATTTGGCTTCATGATGTTCCTCTAGCGGCAACACATCATTTACGGAATGCACTGAACAATAGCAAAGCGGGTTACGGCGAGGTTCTCGAAAAATACGAGATCCCTATCATCGCCAGCGTGCTGAAGTTATACCTTCTTGAATTGCCGGGTTCGCATCCGTCTCACCTTCCAATCAAATTAGTGCTAACTTGAATCAGACTCTCTTGTCTCTTCTCAGGTTTACGAAATTGTCAAGACTATCTATTCTACCACTGCTCATGAGACCACGGAGGAAGGTCGCATCAAGGTCCTTCAAAGCACACTCGGCCAACTTCGCCTTAACAACATCGCCACGCTTGACGCCATCATGACCCACTTCACGCGTTTGATTGATCTGACGTCTGCCGACGAAGCTTATGTATCTTCTCTTGCCCAGGCGCTCTCGCCCTGCATCCTTCGCCCCCGCACGGAGAGTAGTCTTACGATGAACGAACGCCATAGCTATCGCCTCATCCGTGACTTGTTCGCTCACAAAGATGCCATTTTTGGCGAACTCAAGCGCCAATCAAGCGCTCTTGGCATCAGTGGAACCAGCAATCGTCCACGTGCTATCAGCACTGACGAGAGTAATCGACGCGCGGCTATGGAGGCACGAAATCGCGCCATCGTCGACCGCAGTCGTGGCCACAGCCCCAACCCCCCACGCAAGCACCGTCGGGATCGTTCCAGCGGCGCTTCAGAGGCCGGGCGATTTCCAGTTAATGTCACGAGCCCTACCGAGCGGAGAACCAATCTCCGTAACAGCCTCGACGTTCCTACCAGTTTAGACTCTCCTACGGCCGCCGAGAAAATGAGCAGCGTGAACATCGACACCGCAGAGGCACCTGTACCCAACAGCGCCGCGAGTGACTCACCCGCCGCCAGTGCCAGCTCCGCATCTGGAACTTCAAGTCCTCCTCCTATCGCGGAATCCGAAGGATCTATGAGCCCCGTGACCGCTTCTACTCCCACTCAAGAAGCAGAAAAACGCACCTCTATTCCTCTCTCCAGTGTTATGTTCAACCGCAAACCCGGCCTCGGTAATCGTTCGAGCTTTCCGATTGCAGTGAACAGCGAGAACGGATCTGACAGTAAGCGAAACAGCCTCGCGACTATCGAGAACGAGCCCAAGGGCGTGACATTGGAGGATAAACCGATGGATGACGATTAATTGGGCTCCATTCGGTGTGTGGATGCACCCGATGATTGACTGATTGACTCATATGATTTGAACGTCTTGATTGTCGTTGCATGTCGTGCGCTGGAGAAACCTTCATCGTGAGGCAGGGCGAAAAAGAAACTGTCTGTCAGATGACCATCATTCAATGGTTTGCCATGAACCGATCATCTTGGCCGGTACAACTATTTCATGACAACGGGGCTGGCAGAAGCGAATCGAGGAGGACAGTCTACGCATGATGTGTATGAGCTGACAGCTGTTACCTTTTTTGGTTCTCGGACATGAGAGCAGGTCTTATCAGCTGAGAGAGCCATAGGTCAAGACTAATTGACAGTCTCATCTTTGCACTCTTTCTATCCAATTCACAGTTTCGCTTCTCTGCTCTGTTCGCCCTTGGTTGTATCCCGCTAAATTCGCCATCCGCCGCGCTCTTTGCTTTGGGGGCTTTTCTCCATACATGCTTCCGCTTCTTTTCTTTCTTTGACATACCCAACATCTTTGTATGTTCGCTCTATCTTTGTGTATACATATTCCTCCCATCCTATCTATCTACTCATACAACTAGCTAGCCCATCTACCTATCTCTTCTGTACCTCCTCAACGTATTGTGTATCTGTGATGAGCTACCCGCCCTCCCAGATATTTCGAATTCGTGCTGGAATAACCTCGGCATGTAATGGCTTTGGCGCCATGAAACTTTCTGATAAAAATCAAACGAGGAAAGGTTTACGTCGGAGGATTCTCGCAAGTAAAACAGGTATACTTGTATTTGTCTTCAAAATAGTGTAAAGCGACTAAGTATAAAACGCTATGTGAGGTATGTGCTGCTGCGCTAATGCCAAGAAAAATCATGAGTCGTAGGAGCTCGAATGCATCCTAATCAACGCGTGAACAGACAGTTTGTTGCAAAAATCTCGTGGGGGCTTGCTAAACAGCCGCTAAAAGATACGAGGTTTGAATGGGGACCTAAAGTTGGCTCAAAAGCAACCTGCGGAGGATGCCTTCTCCTGGTCCAGCTATCTGGCTCTCGATTTCCTTCTGCGAGACATAACACACAAGACATTGTTCGTCTAGAGCGCGACTAGGAGTCATGGGACCAGCACCAAGCTTCGAGGGAGAGCGTCGAATATCAGTTCCGCCGGCGACTGTGCCACCTCGACCGCGACCTTGATGTTCACCCACGAGGCCCATAGTTTCCAGGTTGCTAAGAACGTCTTTGAACTCCGTGGATGTGAGGGGGTGCAGGAGATTGTCTTTCCGACACAGGGTGCAATACGCATCATAGACCTGCTTTACTGTGGGTACCAGATTTCTGCTCTTGGATGGAGTACTGGAGACTTCTGTCTCTCGGCGTCGTCGATCAAGCGCAATCAATACGCAGATCGCGGCTTTCTGTTGAAGATTGATACCCTGGAGCCTCTGCACAGTGCCCTGGCCGAAAGCTGAGGATGTGATGCGCGCAACATGCGCAATACTCGCTCGCGGTGCTGTATTAGATGTGTAGATCTTCATAGAATTTGGAACAGGTGATGCGCATTTGCTGATCGAGGATAGATTATTGTTTTCAACAAGGATGGTTTTGCTTTGGGGTTCAGAAGCGTTTTCTTTCTTTTCGAGTCTCTGTAAGGTTTCTTGTTCCACTAAGTCGATGGCGCGCTTGATCAATTCGAATGCTTTGCGTAGGTCGCCAGTCTGGGAGGCTACCTTTTTCGAGCAAAGTTGAATGGCAGCGGGCTGCACAAAAGGAACGAAGTTTGCATCCGCACTGTGGCCCTCGGGAAGAAGAGAACGAAGCCGGCCACTAATGACCCCAGCAATTTGAGCAGCATTGTAAGGCAGAAATGGCAGTAGACGTGGCTTCAGGTTCTTAGCCTTCAACTGCGGCAGCGACCGGTCAGTCAAATCGAGCGCGTTTGCGATTCCGATGAGCATTAGCTTTGACTCGCTTTGTAGAGACCACTCGAATAAGGACTGCAGAATACAGGCATCCGCAGTAAGAAGATGGTCAATTTCGTCTAGGGTTACTAGATATAGATCAGTCTGCTTTCTGTTCGATGTGAACATCATTCGCAGACGGTCCGCTTCGCTCTTTTTGAAGACCTCATAATCCTCGCACAGATCTTCAATAAGCTTGCTGTAAACATCACGGGCGGCTCGTATGCTCGCACAGTTTATGTGTGACACCTTGGCTGATCGAAGGTCCATTTCCTTGCAGACTTCCTGGACCAACGCACTTTTACCGGTACCAGGGGGACCACTCACATACAAGCAGCCACCTGTGCGGGTGTCTAAGCCGTCTTGTACGAAACTGCGTAGCTTTTCCCGTTCGGCCTCTCTGCCAATAATCTGCGTGGATGATGCGCCTCGGGCGAACAACTGCCTCGCTTGTGTGTAAACAGTCTGTGCGGTGGTGGCAGTTGTCGGCGTTGTCGCCTGTCGGGGAGTACGCGGCGTCAAGGGTTTGGCGCCAACCTGAACGCGGTGTTTGGGTGTGATCGGCGGGGAGTCTAGTACATCCCGATATCTTGACTTCGAAGGTGTGTTGAACTCGATTGGTATCGAGTTTTCGTCTATATTTTGTCAATAAAGTGCTTAGTCATGACGGTTTGGAGGACCTACCAGTGATAGACTCAGTGGTAGAATCACGCTTGACGGGCGAAGCAACCTTGTCTGTCCTTGAACCGTGCTCCGACGTGCGGCCGGCAGAGAATTCGAGCTTTTTCGGACTTGCGTTCTCTTGCTCAATGACAGTCGCATTGTCTATCGTCCTGGATCGGAGTTGACGTGTTTGTGGAAGGGTGGACTCGCGCTCTTCACGAATGCGGGGCGGCTGAGCTCGGCGCTTGCTTCCACTGCGAAGGAGCAACTGGGGGGCTGAAGAGGGAATTGATCAGTAAAGGGATGTGCTCTGGATCGAGGAAGCCAAGTGCAAAAACGTACCTTCTGTCTCGACGGCACTCCGTTGGCGCTTGCCCAGGACCGTCACAGCCATTGTTATTTGGAGACAAACCCTCCCGCACAGAGGGTAAGAGCGTTTATATAAAAGGCTAAAGAATGGGCCAGTCTGGAATGCTCTGGAGGACGGTAACTGCAGGCTAAAAGATGGGTGGCACAAGCGGGTGGGAATTGGAGTGAGAGGATTTGAACTGAAGCTACGGAGTAGATATTTTTCCCAAGGAGGCATAATCTGGGGGGCCGCGACACTCTCTTTGACGCGCTGCCTCGGCGCGTCGCGCGTCGGCTTAAACCCAGAACTGTGCTATGCTGTGTCTGTATTATGTAATTATGTATAACCAACTAACGTTAACTCTAAGTTAGCTTCTCTGGGACGGAAGTGCGTCACCTGTGCTCTCTACCTATTGACTACCTCTGACAGGCTATTTATCCATGCATTCATACAGTTAGGTATATCTCTTCCATTCTTTTGCTGTATAGACAACTACTACTACAGTTAGCTATGCAACCTTTTATCTGATCTCAAAGAGACCATTCACCAACCTTCACGCTCCTATCAAGCTGAAATTATTCACTGTATTCTCCCCTCACTGATCACCGCCTTGATACCGTCATTGAAGTTTGCAACTGTTTGCATCGGATTGTCCTCTTCACTCACCATTCAACCTTGCAGCAGTCGAACTCTTACTGCATAGCACTCCCCGTCACAGCGGTTCGATACCCCACTTCTCTTGTCTACATTGCCTTCGGCCTTCATCAAATTCAACGTCCTCTGCCCGTCATGGACGGCGATGTGGTCGCCCAGTTCACCGAAATCACCGGCTCCAAGCCCGAGCTCGCGATTCAATACTTGCAGCTTGCCGATTTCAACATCGAGCAGGCTATGCAGCTTTACTTCGAAAATGGTGGAGCACCACTAACTGATGAACCTGCATCATCGACATCTGCGCCTCAGCAAGCCTCCCGTGCGAGAGGGTATGAAGATGATTCCGGAGTTGTACATATCGGTTCAGATGACGAAACCACGGTAGACGAATCAACGCCATCCGCCCGCAACCTTCCATCACACAATGCTCACTTTGAAGATGATGCGGCTATGGCTCGTCGACTCCAGGAGGAGATGTATAGAGGGGCGGGTGCTGAAGAAGAAGAAGTGCGCGCACCGATGGCTCGCACCACAGAGACTTTGGTAGGCCCAGAAGCGGACTTTGACGACGGTGATATGCATGCTAGCATTTTGAGTCAGCTACGGGCTCGGCAGCAACGACACAGTCAGTATAGTCTTTTGGTAGTGTATTCTTTCTTGTGTGTCCGCGCCTAACCGTTGCCCCTCATTTTTCCAGACCGTCCTGGTATCTTCAACCAGAGAGATACAGCGTCGATATGGCATGGAGAGGATGCGTCACAACGTGAGCAACTAGCAGCGGCGACTGGAGGAGCCTCCGAAGCCTCAAGTAAACAGAATATGCTGGCCGAGATGTATCGCCCCCCATTCGAGATAATGTCGCGGCTTCCTTGGGATTCCGCTCGACAGGAAGGCCGCGAAAACGAGAAATGGCTGCTGGTTAACATTCAGGATTCTTCTATTTTTGACTGTCAAGTACTGAATCGGGACTTGTGGAAAGATCCCGGAGTGCGGGATACGGTCAAGGAACATTTCGTTTTTCTTCAGTATTCTAAAGACGATCCGCGCGCCGCACCTTATCTGCAATATTATTTTCAGGCAAGCGATGTATCGGATAACTTCCCTCACATCGCGATAGTCGATCCTCGGACAGGTGAACAGATGAAGGTTTGGTCTGGTCCTCCTGTTGTTCGGCCCGCCGAGTTCTTGATGCAACTCCACGAATTCTTAGACCGCTATAGTCTGAAACATAACGTTCGCAACCCCGTCGCGAAGCGCAAGCCGGAACAGAAAGAGAAGAGTATTGATGCCATGACTGAGGAGGAGATGATGGAAATGGCTATGAGGAATAGTCTCGGTGAACAGGCAACCCAAGCCCCGAAGTTGGAGGACCCCGATGAGCTTACTCGCAGTACTGGAGACGTCAAAGGCAAAGGACGGGCGGTCGATTTGGAAGATGTCAACATGAGTGAAGACGAATCCGGTCAGCAGAGTGCATTTGCTGCCATTTCAGACACCCAACCCCACACGGAGCCTCCAGCCGATCCTGCAACAACCACGCGCATTCAGTTTCGTCACCCTTCTGGAAGGGTCATTCGCCGCTTTGCTTTGGCAGATCCGGTCCGGAGGATCTACGAGTGGCTGAAAGCCGATCCTCCATTGGCGGACAAACATGGTATCGAATTTGACCTCAACTCTATGGGTCGTAATCTGATCGACTCCTTGGAGACGAGTATCGAGGAGGCTGGTTTGAAGAACGGAACCGTAATGATTGGCTATGTGGAGAATGAATGAGTGCGCAGTTGGTGAGAATTCCAGTTGCCTGAGGAGCGAGAGAGCTATTTCGGCCGGCTCCTAGGCTTAGAAATTCAAGAATGATTGTCGCTTTGGAAGGACAGCCCCATCTGCAATCCTTTGAGCTTGCATGGTGCGATTTACTAAGCAGGGAGGGTCTCTATCTAAGACGCATATTTTCAGAAATACTATAACGAGGAGCAAATCACGAAACTAAGGGCACTATAGATCCAACCCAGGATGCAATGAGACAGATACATAACGCAGTACGGAGTACAGTACATACAGTAACTGTGTACTCCGGTACCACAGTACGGAGAGTATATACATAATGTACATTGGCTGTGGCTGTTGGGCCCGCCCAAGCGTAGGTACCCGCAATTTACTGACCGCCTCTGTGGGCTGAGCCCCACTATTGGCAAGGAATCAAGGCATTGGGCCGGCAGAAACAACCCCGCGTTGCCCCCCTCGCCCGGTGTCTCTGTGGTTCTGGCTGGAGCTGTTGATTGTTGTTGTCATCGAATGCCATATCCCATACTTACCTCCATGCAAGGAGAGAGATTCTTCCTCAAAACTTCTCTATCTTCCCTTCCCAAAGAGTCTACTGTCTGACTGCTATCCTTGCGCTTGCTTAGACTTTTCCAGAGGCAAGGAAGGTATTCTACCTTCTCCTTCACACACAAAGTCGAGTTTGATCGACCAGTCCCTCTCTCGAAACACCACACCCGGGTGACTCTAAAGCTTATCCTAGCTTCCCGCCCTTCTAACTACTGGAACTTTCGTCAATGTCCTTGGTAAATCATTGAATCTTATCTGTTTCTTCACAGCTACAGTGCTGGTTCTAGGCGATCGGTATGTTGTTTACTAGTCTCTTTGTGGCTGATGGATGAGCCTTCCACCATAGCACTTCTCGAGAATATCTTGGCCTACCCCCTACTTGTGGCTTCTTCCTGACATAAATATCTCTGCATTTGCTTGTCAATGCTGGCTTTCGTCTGGGTCATCACAACAGCCACGTTGCGCACTTGGCTAACAGCATATTGCAGGTCCTACAAGAGCCAAAATGGAAGGTCTCGTGGATCCAGAGACAATTTACATGAAGCAGAACTGCATCGGTATGTACTCACCTGTGGCCTGGCCCATCCTCTAGCTGGCTTTCCTGGCTGACCTCAAATAGGCGGCGGGAGTTTTGGGAAAGTATATAAAGGGTATGCATGCCTGCTGAAGGATCTCTGTGAGAGCATAACTTACAATGTTGGTTGGTCCAGTGTCGACAAACGAACCGGAGCCTCCGTTGCAATCAAGATCATTGATGTTGAAAATGCCGAAGATGAGGTTGAAGATATCATCCAAGAGATTGCTATTTTATCTGAGCTCAATTCGCCCTACGTCACCAGATATCATGGTTCGTTCTTGAAAGGCTCGAGCTTGTGGATAGTTATGGAGTTCTGCTCCGGGGGAAGTTGCTCGGACTTGATGCGCCCTGGCACGATTCCTGAGGAGTACATTATGATCATTCTACGAGAGTTGCTACGTGGGCTAGACTATCTGCATAGCGACAAAAAACTACATCGCGATGTCAAAGGTACTATTTCACCAAAGGAGCCCTTTTCTGACCCCTCCAGGCCATAGCTAACATGTCGAACAGCTGCCAATATTCTTCTCACATCTAGTGGCCAGGTGAAGCTTGCAGACTTTGGTGTTTCGAGTCAATTGTCAGCAACCATGACGAAGAAAAATACTTTCGTGGGTACTCCGTTTTGGATGGCACCAGAAGTGATCAAGCAATCGGGATATGATTATAAGGCGGACATCTGGTCTCTGGGAATCACTGCAATTGAACTAGCGAATGGAGAGCCACCTTACTCTGACATCCATCCCATGAAGGTGTTGTTTTTGATTCCCAAGAACCCTCCCCCAACTCTGCACGGAGACTACAGCAAAGCCTTCAAAAATTTTGTGGAGCTTTGCTTGCGGAGGGACCCGAGGGAGCGCCCTTCGGCTCGGGAATTGTTGGAGCATCCATTCATCAAGAGGGCAAAGAAGACGACATACCTAACGGAACTGATTGAACGCCACGAGCGTTGGAACACTGTAAATGGCAACAAATCAGCCGATGATGAGGATGACAACTATCAAGAACTCCCCTCCAAGGCCGGCACATTTGATGACGAAGACGATCTCTGGGATTTCGGCACTGTCCGTCCTGCTGGGGGCCGGGCTCCTGCTCTGAAGCCCATGAAAGAAGCAGACGTCAATGCACGAACTCATGACCTTGCTGAACAAAACCTCAAGACAAGCAGCCGGAAGGAAGTCGCGAGAGAGAGGAATAACAATCCCACTGTGCCGATGCTGCCGGTGCGCACCCCTAGCGCTATATCTGTTCCGTCGTCACCCTCGAAGATTCCGTTGCCGCCATCCCCTGTCAAGCCTTCAACATCAGAGTGCAGACAACACACCCCTTCTCATGTGCATGAGCCAGCCATACACAAGCCTAGAGAAAGCCCTGGTAGTGAGTACGACAGAGCTCTACAACAGGCCTTGGCCGATGATTTGAGCTTCCTTGATCTCGATCAGTCACCAAATATCTCCCTAGCCTCCTCAAATGACCGCCAGACAGCCCATGTACAGGATTATGAGACACCGAATCTACCGCGATGCACTGAAGGCACACCTTCTCGGAGACAACCTCCCCCTCAAGCACTACCTGGCGCTTTCAGTCAGGCTCTCGGACCTACGGTTGCATTCATACCACACCACCAAAAGACTACACCATCACAGTCACAATCTCGACCCCCCCCCACGCCTAAGCATATGTCACCGCAGTCACCTTCATCTCAATCTCAGAAATTGCCCGTGCAAAACAGCACATCGGCCCCGTTGGGGCATAGCCGAAATCAATCTCACAGCGTCACCAGTAATCCTTACACAGGCAGCTCCTATGACAACGCTTCGCGGGCAAACAATCAATCGTCGCAGTTTCCACCAGGAGAGATCACCGCCCTGAACAGTGTCATACTACCTGCTCTCGAGGCTGCCATACGTCGCCGCGCACGCCGCTTAGAGCTTCTTACACGCATCTCAGCTGGCGACAGCAGCACCGATGCATACAAGAGGCAGTCACGTCAGTACCACGCCCATGAGATGATGGAGTCTCTTGTGGGCGATCTGTGCGGAATGTTCGCCAGACTCGAACACTGGGACAATGAGGCCCCGGTGGGAATGGGCGCTCAGGTCTCGTCGTTTTTAGAAGGGTTTCTTGAAGAGATCCTTGTCCGAATTGAGCCGTCGGACGAGGACTCAAGCTCAGGTGGGATTTAGACCATCTTCTTTGTGGTAGCATCTCAGTCGCCGCTGATTGTCCGGCCTGCTTGATGATCACGTCAGGTTATTCTTCCTCGCCACATGTTCACAGCGTCTAGTTCCGAATGAGTCCAGCAGATCTACAGTATTGGAGCGCTTTCCGAAATCAATGACTTTTTCCAAAACCATAGGTTCAAATATTTGCCTGATCCAGGAACGTCAGACTACACTTGTTCTCTCTCCATTTCCTTTCTACGGCCATGTCTTTGGCATCCTTTCCTGTTGGAGTCAAGGTTGCTCGTCACTTCCAATGTATGCATGGATTTTTCTTTCCCTTGGGCTGGATCCTTTGTTTTTTTTTCCCCCTTCATTCTTTTCCCCCTATGGAGCACTGGAAGGAGAAGAGCTCTATTTTACAGGTCAGCAGGCACCTGACTTTGTCACTTTCTATCTGCTCGTTGAGGTCATTTTGTGTTTGGGTATGAAGTAGCCGCGTCTTCCTATTTCCCTTCTCTTTCTTTTTCTCTTCCGTGGCTATGTTCCCCTAGGTTAGGGTTGATGCACATACACAAATATACTCCTACAAAGACTCCTATAGGCCACATGCCTGCTCAAAAGCATGTTGAAATCTTCTTGAAGACTATGTAGAGACTACATCACAACTTCGGAGCTCGCTTGGGAGGTCTTGAATCTGACTACTATCGGCCCTCCACGGTAAACATATACCTGGCACGCATCGTCATCTCTAAAAGTGTGCGGGGCTAAAGAAACAAGTGGAAATGGTAGACTTTGGGCTTTCACCACATAATCGGCAATGCCAAGAACGATAATGCTCAGAATATCTCACAGCTTCTCCATTTGCATACACCTTGAGGCCTGTTTCATCCTCAAACGTGGTATGAAAGAAGGATATCGTGGCGGTGCGATCACCAGATGCAATGCAATGCTCTGCATGAGTGGCACCCAGGCAGTCTTAACAAGACAATCTGCAGACTCGTTTCTGATGGAGCGACTTGAGGCAAGAAGCCCCCGGCCCGTTGAGTAATGAATGACTCACTGTGCGAACACGCTGGTCATCATTGGGAACTGCTCCGTTTACGGACACCGAAACTCTTGAGTTGTATACCTTCCATGGTGAATAAGGTAGTAATACTGTTTGCCGAGCTTCTTTGCTCCACCGGTGAGAGAGACTTCGCGTAGCCATGGGAGTCTTCAACCAATTGGCTAGTACGCAATGGGTTCGCTCTGGCTTTGAGCTTAGGAACCGGCGGTATGATTTGACATGATCTTCAGGCTCGTTGGAGCTATTTCATCCGCTGGGCCGGAAAAGCCAGTCTGTCTCTGGTGTTGGGATCAAATAATTCGTGATGTTAAACTCGTTCGTATTAGTGTTTGTGCCATCGACCACAGAGTCTGCCACGTTGCCAGTACCAGCGAGGCCGTTGATGGGCATCTGCTCGTTGACCGCGTCACCCATATCCAGATTGATGATATCAGGTCCTCTGCCAGCGGGCACACGCGGAACATTGAAGAAACCGAACACATCCAGGTACTCTAGCTCATTGGGAGCCAGGTTGCGTGCCGGCACGGCTGCGGGGGCTGGTGGTTGGCTGCCAGCTGGGGAGGAGCGTGGCTGTCTTGAGATGAGGAAGTCGAGATCGAATGCACAACGGCGCATATCTGCTAGAATCTTGACAGATGATGGCGTGACGCGCTCGCCCTCGTTAGCCGCAGATTGCTGGTATTCGCCATATTCGTCAAGAACGCGCTGTAAGAGGGAACTATAGCGTTCTGCTACTTTCCAATACTTCCCCATCTGAGAAAGAGTGTCGACGAAGAAAATAATGTCGGGGCTAACAATGTTGGCGATAGTAGATCCGTGTACAAGCAGTAGGCGAGCAGAAACCCAGAGAGTGAACGCAAATGGAGGCCCCATCTTGTCTAGCATATTGTTATCCACGACATAGCGGGTCACGGAAAGAATGTTGTCGACTGCCAGCAAGCACCTTTGGCTTGCACTGTACGATGGAGTAAAGATTGGAGAACGCGTAGTAGGGTAGGCGGCCGACGAATGGAGCCGAATCACGGCCCTACATATGTGTTAGCAATTCCTTTGAGCCCTATGATGACAATTCCTACACCACAAAAAGAGAACTCACGTTTGGTACGTAGCGTGTAGTTGAGCCCAGTCACAATGAAGACTGCGGCTGTGCTTCGGTCCACTGAAGAGCCGGGACGAGTTTTCATAGGCATACTCGGCAGGAAGGTTGAATTCCCAGGACGTGAGTTCATTGTCGAGTTTGCGGTACATGACTTGCCATTCTTCGACGTCAGAAAGTGCCCCTATGTCGACAGGTCTCTTCAAGAAGGTATGGATTCGGGAAAGTATCCCTAGTATCTCCACATAGAGTCCAAAAGTTCCCACGTTCTCGGCGCGACTGATATAATCAGCACGGTCGCTGGTGTGGCGAAACCATCGAGTCTCTACCGGCTGGTTCTTATGGAAATATTCATCTTTGCATGGAAGCTTGCGGTCTATATCCTTGTCATCCAAGGCGAAGTCGAAAGCGGTGGCAATAGTAGAGTATCGGTCTAGCAGGTAAACCATCCAAAACAATCTTCGCCTGCTCTCGTCCTCAATCCAGCTATCAGGATCTGGAAGAGTGACTGCGCGCAGGGTATAAATTGAAGGGTATAAGGGGGCAATGAGTGAAGATTTGGACTCCACGGCTAGACCCAATTGGACCACGGATCGCGTGACTAGAGCAAGCAACTTCCACCCCGGGGGACCGTTGGAAGAGCCTACCAAGTCCAAAGCTAATATCACCAGAGCTTGCAGCGCCTTGACCGAGGAGTTTTCCAAGCCGTAAAACAACACCTTCTGTTTGGAAGAGTCATGATATCGCTTCCGATTCTGCGTGTTGAGTCGACTGTCATTTGAGAAGCGAAGCGTGGTCGCAACAATGGCATAAAGTACCACCCGGTCAGCTTCTTCCAATGGAGAGGGCCCGAAGAACGTATCGAGTGTGGTCCTGCGATGCAGTATGGGGCACCACGTGTTGATGTGCTCAAAATAGAGATCGACTAGTGCATAAAGTAGATCGTAGGGCGGAAGATCGAGTTCCGGGTCTGCCAGCGACTGTTCTTGGCTGTTATACAATGAAACCGGAACCTTCAAGGAGGATTCGTTTCCTGTATAATCATGATGTGTTGAATTGTTTGGCATGTGCGGTAATGGGGTTGTGGAAGAGATGCTTTTTGGAAGGTGATTAGGGATCGTGTTTCTGACTGACATGTCTGAGGGGCTTGTGATAGAGGCGTCAGATTGGCGAGGAGGTTGCGGGATTGACGCTGGCTCCTGGAAATAGAAGGCATTTTTGGGACTAGTTCCATGAGCTGCAGAAGGCTCTGACGGCGAACTATAGGAGAACGGTGCGGGGTGGGTAGCATCATGGCCAAAGTGCGATTGACCTCCGATGATATGCTTCTCGATGAGGCGAGCTTGAGTCTGGATTACCTCCTCTAGGCGGTCTGCAAAATTGATCTCAGTTTGAAGGGCTACAGGCATATGGGATTCTGGCAAAGATGCATACCGAGTCGCTGTTCTAGTTCCTTGCCATACCCCGCACGAAGGCCGGGCTTCTTGCGTTCCTTGTACTCGCACAACTGGCCATTACGTGCGCACCACCCACAGCTCGGTTGAGCTCGATCTGGCAATAAAGGGTTTTAGCAAAGCATGTATGTAACATTGCACTACCATGCGGCTTACCTACCACATTTGACTTTCCGCTGCTTACATAGCTCACATCTGATCGTCGAGGATATTAGCAAGGCCGTTATGACAGCCACTAATAACTCGACGAAGGGACATACGAGACAGTGAGGGGGCGCTTGCGCTTCAGGGCTCGAGAGGCACTCGAATCATTCTGAGCCGCACGGTCATTGTCACTATCAGCGGCGGACCAGGAATCATCACCGCTCTGGTACCTCTCTGGCTCTCCAAAAGGTCGGGATGGTGGTGGTGGTGGAGTCCGCTGAGTAGGAGGAGCTGATAGTGCTGAAACAGTGTTCGGCATGGTACTTGGGCGAGTCGGGGGATCTGCAAGAGAGGGGAAGGAAATAGGTCGGTCCAGCCACGGGCAACTGATATCAATAGTCAAGGAAACCTCATGATGACAAGGGGGGAGGGGGGTTGGTTGGATTGCGCTGAGGGGCTGTGGTGAAGTTTCGGGAGAGAAATTGAACCGAATTGAAGAGAAGAATAGAAGTCGGAGAAATTGAAGAGAAAGAGAGAATGAATGAAAGATGGGGGAGGAAAGAAAAGCCCAAGCGGGAATAGCCTTTCACCCCGCATTTCCTTTTTCACAGAATTTGGGGACAAGGTCCGATCCGCCCAGTCAGCTGACAAGAAACCCATTCTCGGCCATCATTACCCCGAGCTCGCCTTGTCCGGTCGGGAAAATGGAGGATGGTTGTCCCTCGATGCTCTTGAAATATGAGAATATTCTCTGGAGGATGAAAGTGCTTTCTTCTTCTTCTTCTTCTTCTTCTTCTTCTTCTTCTTCTTCTTCTTCTTCTTCTTCTCCTCCTCCTCCTTCTTATTCTTGGTGTCTCTCTTTGACCTCAATTCTTCTCCATTCACATTCAATTGTCTATAGATCATCATCCCCATGGCTTCGTTTCCCCGCATCAAGGAGGTCCGCACCTTCATCACTAGCGGAGTGGGCTCCGGAGGTGACTATCACAATGTGAGTATTGTTCATTGATTGCTCTTTCACTACTAGGAGGGACAGTCTAGTCTAACCTTCGCCTTCAGGTCAAGGGTGGTCACTGGTTAATTGACAGCGACATCTCGACTCCCATGACCAAATGGGCCGAGTACCGCGGCTCGCGGACATCCTGGGGTATCAACGTTCTCGGCTCTTTCTGCGTCGAGCTGGAAGCTACCGATGGAACGAAGGGCTTCGCTACAGGCTTCGGTGGTCCTCCTGCTTGCTGGTTGGTCCACCAACACTTTGAACGTTTCTTGATCGGTGCTGGTGAGTACTCAGACTGGACAATTCGTTCTCCAAACCGCACGGAGAGAAGACTGAACCGTATTTGTCTGCTGCCTAGACCCTCGGGATACCAACGACCTCTTCGAGAGGATGTATCGAGCCTCGATGTTCTATGGCCGTAAAGGCCTTCCAGTGGCCGTCATTTCCGTGATCGACCTGGCCCTTTGGGATCTTGTGGGTAAAATCCGCAAGGAGCCCGTCTACAAACTCATTGGCGGCGCCACACGCTCACGCCTACACTTCTACTGCACTGGACCGCAGCCCGCAGCCGCCAAGGCGGCCGGCTTCATTGGCGCGAAGGTCGCCCTTCCCCACGGCCCCGATGAGGGCACCGAGGGTCTGCTGAAGAATGTCGCCTACCTGCGGAAGCAGCGCGACTCGGTCGGGCCCGACTTTCCCCTGCGTGTCGACTGCTACATGTCTTTAAATGTTCCCTACACCATTGAGCTTGTCAAGCGCTGTGAGGCCGAGGGGATCAACATTGACTGGTGGGAGGAGTGTCTCACCCCGGATGACTTCGATGGCCATGCTCTCCTGAAGAGGGCCCACCCGACGGTCAAATTCACCACCGGGGAGCACGAGTACTCCCGCTATGGATTCCGCAAGCTTATCGAGGGTCGTAACCTGGATATTGTGCAGCCCGATGTGATGTGGGTTGGCGGTCTGACGGAGCTATTGAAGGTCTCGGCAATGGCCGCCGCCTACGATATCCCAGTCGTCCCCCACGCTTCAGGCCCGTACTCATACCACTTTGTGGTCTCCCAGCCCAACACACCTTTTCAGGAATACCTGGCCAACTCTCCTGATGGCAGTACAGTTGAGCCTGTCTTTGGTAACCTGTTTTTGAACGAGCCGATTCCCACCCAAGGCTACCTCGATGTGTCGATTTTGGACAAGCCTGGATTTGGCCTGGAGCTGAACCCCGCTGCTCCCCTCATCTCCGCCTCCACTATCCTCAACCCGGCTCCCCAGAAGGGTCTACCCGTTCCCGTAGAAGAACAACCCGAGACCAACGGCACCGCATAGATACTTTTATTAGCCTTGCTTCTCAATGTTCCCACCATGTATGACTGATGTTTCCTTTATCTGACTCGTCTTGCACGATGTTACTCCGTGTTCATAGACGGGAATATACATTTCTTTTTCTTTCCCTTTTTCCAACGGCTCCGACCGCGGCTTTTCGAATTGTGCACCGTCCAATCGGCTAAAATGTAGCGAGTAGCGACACGACCGAATGTTGGGGTACATAAAACACGTTTCTCGGGGTATCATTGCCACGAAAACCCCGAGACCGCGACTCCACATGCCCCTTCCAGTTCCCCCACTATCTTATCCCTCGGCGGGGTGGTTCTAATTTGAAAAAGGCCGAATCGTCCTCTATGATCCCAATGCGGGCTTGAGATATATTTACATCTCTTCGCTGAAAGAAAGATTGCTATACTCGACCCGACAAATACATAATAGCACAATGCCCCTTCCACAACTCCTAGTCGGCAAAGTCGCCGCCATTACAGGCGGTTTGACCGGGATTGGCCGAGTGAGTAGCTTACCTTAGTATTTTTCCGGTTTTGCAAATAATCTCCCGGGCGGAAAGACTGAGTATCGTGCCAGGCTATTGCCCTCGACTATCTCCGTCACGGCGCGAAGGTGGCCGTCAACCACCTTGGAGGCTCCAATGACGAGTCGCTGCTCGAGGCGCTGCGCAAAGACGTGTCAGAGGTGACCGGGGGCGATGAGAGCAGATTCATTGCAGTTGCCGGCGACATTTCGCAGCCCGAGACCGGGCGAGAGCTCGTCACCAAAACTGTTGAAGCTTTCGGGCGGCTGGATGTGTTCGTGAGCAACGCGGGCGTGTGCAAATTCGAAGAGTTTTTGGAGTGCGTTATATCCATCGTTCCTTGTTCCGTTGCCGGGTCGGCCCATCAAGGGATGGAATCATAACTTATGAGTACTAATTCATCCCACTTGGGGGAATAAACAGGGTCGACCCTGCCCTCCTCGTCTCCACGCTCAACACCAACCTCTCGGGTGCATTCTATGCAGTCCAGGCTGCAGCGCGACAGATGGCGCTGGCCCAGTCTCCTCCTGGCGGCTCGATCATCGGCATCAGCTCCATCTCGGCGCTGGTGGGAGGAGGACAGCAGACCCATTATACACCCACCAAGGCGGGCGTACTCAGTCTCATGCAGTCGACGGCCGTCGCGCTGGGGAAGTATGGCATCCGCTGCAATGCTCTGTTACCTGGCACCATCCGCACGCAGTTGAACGACGTGGATATGAGCGACCCCGCCAAGAGGACCTACATGGAAGGGAGAATCCCGCTGGGACGGCTGGGCCAGCCGCCGGATCTGGCGGGACCAGCCGTGTTTCTGGCGTGCGAAGAGTTAAGTGGCTACGTGGTGAGTCCTCGCGATAAGAGTCTAAGAGTAGCATTGAGATCCATTACTGACCAGGAGATGATACACCAGACTGGTGCACAGCTACTTGTGGATGGTGGATTGTTTGTGAATCTCCAATAATTGGGCTACTGTACTCTAATCGAACTGGCAATTGGCATATAGCGCATAGTATGTTATTAGTACTTGTAAGCACCGCCGACCTCGAATATGGTAGCACTTTCAAACCTTCACACCGTAAGCCTTGACCGCGACCCCGCCCCAGACCCCTTCTCTCTCAGCGTGGGACAAGCCTCTTCTGTCCATGATCTCCTCCACGACCCTCTTCCATCGTCCCCATGAGACCGCATTGCCTCCACCACCCACATTACACACGGGCCAGTCCGAACCAAACATGACTCTATGTGGCTCAAAGACGTCAAACACCACGTCAGTCCATGGCTGGATTCTGTCCACCAGCGCCTTCACATCTGGCTCCGTCGCCTCCTCGAGGGGCAGCAGCTCCGAAAACCCCCCCGAGAGCTTCATATACGCCGTAGGATACTGCGCCATGGCCGTGACCAGAGACGACCACTCCAGAAAATCCGAATGCGTAGCAATAGATGCCGGACCATGATACGGCAGCCGTAGGTTTGGTTTGCACAAGTGATCTGCGGCCAGGGAGTAAGTAAAAAGTACCTTACGCTCTGGTTCATCATGCGGGATGCCTCTTGTCCTTGTCCCCAGACGGAACCAGTGGATTGGGGGACGAGAAAGGCATCAGAGCACTCACTGATAACAATCGTCACGGCACGGGCATTCTCCCCCTCAAACACCTTCTTCATCATCTCCGCCGCCTCCCTCAACTGCCACATCCCGCCCTGCCGAGCATCGACCCCGAGATCGAACGCCAACCCTTGCCCACCAAGCCATCGCAACCCCTCCACAAATCCAGCCTCCAGCATCATCCCTGGCGGCTTATCTTGCACCAGATACCGCACGCCGCAGACCTTGTCACATAAATCCCCGGTTCTCTCCCGCACCAACCCCATGTATTTCTTCAGGGCGTCCGGACCACGGGGCACAGGCGCCCACGGCACCATCCCAAGACATAAATGGCGATCGCTCTCTGAATGACCCTCTCCCGCAACGGGAGCTCCGGCGATAATTCGAGTCAGGAGGGAGACCTCGTCGAGGGGGTGGGACCAGCCGAGCTTGGGGTCGGACTCGTCCACTGACGAAATACGGTCGGTCTCCACGAAGATGAAGCCCCGGAGGTAATGCGCTTCCTCGGTACTTGGAGTGGTCGGCGTCGAGGAGGTAGCCTGCCGGTACTCGTCGACGGAGTGCTGGGCGCCCAGGGGATTTCCGGAGCGGTGCCAGGCCAGGGTGGGGAGGTGAGATTCGGGGAAGAGGTGGATGTGCGAATCGACGATGGGGATTGGCTTGGACATTTTGATCGATGATTGTGATGCCTATCTCTTTGTCCGTGTGCGTGAATCTGATCCGTTGTCTTTCTCTTTTTCTGTCTCCGTCGAAGTTGTTATATGTCGTGGCTGAGATGGTCGCTGAATTGCGGGGTAAATACTAGTAGTCGGTCGGATAACTATGGGAGCCGATTGGGATCTACTACGGCGCCAAAAAGCCGGCGAAACAAGATGGGCTGATAGAGGACCTTAGGAGATGAGGGTGCACTTTTTGGCGTTGAGATGTACGAGAGATAGTGCAAAGCCATTCGCAAGGACCAGACTTGAAGTTGTCTTCGCGCGGGGGTGGTCTGACATGTTTACTCTGCTTGTCAGGCAATCGGTAGCCATTACGCCGAGATGCACACGCACGGGCTGGCCATCCCCACTCACAACAAATATAGTCTGCCTACCATCATCTACCTGCTGCTTTCCTTGCAGCGTGGAACTTTGCTCGGCATCGTTCATCTTTTCCACTGCTGATGGCACGGCTGATCTCCGCGAGGTCTCGATGCGGGTACAAAATTCGACATTGATATGCGCGGTGGCTGTCCCCATGCCCGGTGACATGATAGTTCATATTTCAATCGACAGGTACAACGCAATAGCGACCCCTCGATGTTGGCTCGTATGAGTTCCAGTCACTAGAACGGCTTACTCTGACAACCGAGACCATAACGACATCTAGGGAATCTGCCTTCGAGAAGAAGCAAGTCATCTGCCCCGACAAGCAAGCCGTTAGTTTTGCAACATCGCGGGAACCGGACCACAAAGGTGGAAGGTGATCATGACATACCCGAGCAGTCTATTGAAGAGACAGGAGGAATGCGGCCTGGAGATTCCTTTGGTGGCCATCTGAAGCCGTTTCGTTCGATCGTGTTCCACCGCAACCGAAGAACCGAACATATATCGTATCCATTGGGCCGATGCCCACTCATGAAGGACCATAACCTCACCCTGCAGCACAGGCAGAAACTCAGCTGATGGGAAGCACGAAGTCGAAACCAAAGGAAGAACAGGCTTTTGGCTGATTTTTGAAGCAAAAAGATGACGGTGAATTTGTGATGAAGCGGCCTACCTAGGGTGAGTTGCAAAGAAGCAAAAATGATGACCTACGCAGGGCTCGAACCTGCAATCTCTTGATTCGTAGTCAAGCGCCTTACCATTGGGCCAGCAGGCCTTGCTGATGGGGAATTGGCATGTTACTATGTAACTCAAAGGTAGGAAGAACATATGAAGTTTGAGTAATCTATACTAGCAAGCTTCGAACTGTCCCAATGCCAAGAGGTTATCACAGAACTTCCTTCCTCTCCACCATCAATAAGTCCAACCAATTCTCAATCTCGATTATGGACCATGTCTTTAATCAGCGGTTCATGCATACTAATAGAAAGACCATTAGGCTAAGGCAGGTATTTCCAGGCATTTGAGGACCTCCAACTTATCAACATTTCATTATCATATGTATCATGAAGACTACTGGACCGGAATATTGGTGGTCTCCAGTAATCATACAGTACGAATCTTACTTCCCCGTAGAGTGGCTGCCTGAACCACGGTATACTCCGTCCTTGAACTTACCGGGGCGATGGAACGAGATAAAACTCACAGCCCGCGCAAAGCCATGGCGCTGGCACAGTCCTTGTGTCACCAGGTCTCAAGAATTCAACCCATCGTAAGGGGTTCCCATGACATCATCTAGCATGATAGTATACGAACCAGCGGCGGCCAAGACACGAGTAAATTCGACACTCAAGAAAATGCAGACAAAGATGAAGATTCAATAAAAGAGGTGTGATAGATCAACATCAGAGTCTGAATTGAGTACGGATAAACAAAGCCGACAGTCGCAAGGGTATAAGCGAAAGCAATCACCCAGTGCAACGCTATCCAGGCAAGAAAACTCGAGATCACTAGTAGGACAGAGGAGGGCGCGAAAATCATCGCGTCCGCTTGCTGTTGCCGGTGGCTGTAGCTGAACACGGTCGTTTGTGACCGGCACCTACCCCTTCAGACACCACGGCACGCAGTAATGAGCTTAGCCTCATGATGTAGGCTTTTGGCGCTCGATTCACCTCGATCCTGCGAAGGAGTGCCTCTATCTTATCCTCAAACTGACGGAGGCCCTGGACGGGAAGTAAATCAAGAACGTCGAGAATAAAAAAATCTCCGGTCTCATTAGCCCGGCCAATGAGCTGGTGATAGAGGTTGCGTTGATCCTCATCCTCGCCATGGAATGACTTCTGACCCCATTCATTACCTTCCAGCGCATCCTTGTTACGGTTGCAAATATCTTCAAGTAACGTGAGAAGAGCTTTGGCAGCCCCATCGATGCCGTGAGGTGCTCGAGTCACAACACTTTCTCGGATCCGGTTGACATGATCTCGAATCTCTTCTAGTACAGTACTGGCATCTAAGAAATCGACTCCTTTTGGGAGCTGTCCGGTCTGGCAGTAGCGATCGAAGTCCGCGAGCAAGATCCGCAGTTTCTGCTGAACCTTGTCATAGTATATTGCGGTGCAAGCCCCGATAGGCATCGCTTTACACAGACTGGCGTAAACTGCGTCAACATGCACAGCCAGTCGGAACAATGTGGCCTCGAGGTCTCCTTGCACAACACACTGTTCGGGCGTACGTGACTGCCTTGGGTCATCGTTGACTAGATCTGGGCGAAAGTCCTCGGGCAGTATGGCGCTGTCAAAGGCGGACATGATGTCTCTAACCATTTTTTGACGCTCCATGCCTCCGAGGGCCCCAAAATGTGAGTACTGCCAGTCAAATCTGGCCGCAATGGCATGGGGATCGCCATCGATGAGGTCTTTGATGCGACCAAGGTTCGGTAAGTGCCTATTGCTCGACAACGGTATGCTGGAGGTGGGAGGCTCGGGGAAGAGGCAGCCATGGAGCTGATCGTGAAGCCACTTGTGATGGTCAGTATCAATAAGCGATAGAAGGGAATCCCCCAGAAGTAGGTCAGAACAATGCCTCACATAGATATGCTGGCAAGCTATGCTGGTTTGTCCAGAACATGTTGAACAGGTGCAAGTAAAAGCCTCCGAATCTAGGGAAACGCGAGGCCTTTCTGCTAGCTGAAATCCGTAGCCTGTTTGCGTCTCATAGCAGCTGACAACGTCAAAGTGGCTTGTCAATCCCACTAGAGCTCTGGCCTTAGAGCTCAGATCTAGGCTGGCGAGGTCGTAAGCGATGCCTGATTTGCCATGTACAATCAAATATTCGGCCAGGGATTGCCCTTCAGAAACTTCGGAGTCACCTCCATCATCTGAAACCTCACTATTATCGCTGTCCACGGCCGGATATTGCTTCTCTCTTCCGATTCGAGATGTTGGCATGTCACTGGTGATGGACAATCTTCGGAACTGGCGAGTGGGGATAGACATCAAGAGTTGGTGGTGCCTCTAGCGAGATTCAGTTTAGAGCTGTATTTTGGGATGATGCACAGGCGGAGCGCATCTGATGCTGTATTGGCGAAACCGCCATCATATATAGAGTTCTGCTCTGAGCCACGGACCAGAGCGGGTTACTTTGTGCTGTGCCAGAGCCGAAAAACAGCCTCACGCCGCATCCACTGAACAGTACGACCGACTGCAGTGCCACAGCTGGGAAGGTTACAAAGGGATGACCAATGAGCATTAGTTCATAGACATCAGACAGTAGAAGCAAGCCCGAAGGGTAATGGAAAAGGTGAGCCGCAAGAAAGTTTGGTATCGATGAGCGGATAGTATATCCATCCGACGCAGCAGAAACTTGTAATCAACCTTTTGAAACCTATTAGTTCATTGTGTGTTGATCCTTGTCAAACTCTTCAGCAAGATCATCTCTTCGAAACGTCAGTCTGGCACAATTTCCTCACGGCGACTGGTTGTGTAGAAGCCGCCATTGCTCGGAGCCTCGTATTGCGGACCAAATTTCGAAGTGGATCGCAACTTGGCAGCGACCTGTCTTTGTCTGCGCTTGGAGCTTCCCGGTCTTCAGCCTGTCACGGTATGTGCCGGTGGGGGTTGTCATTGATGCTGTGCCGCGAGGCGCATTGCAGCCACCATCAGTATCAGGCTGCGTGCGGCGCATCTCCATTAGTTCCATACACAGTCTCAGCTTACAAATTCCACGTTGATTATTAGCTTGACGAGAAGAGATAGACCGCTGACCGTGCCGCAATTCCATGCATGTATAGTGCAAGTTCTATCTGCTAGAAAGGCTCACTGCGCCCCACAGAAGGGGATAAGAGCCACCTGCGGACATGGAGACATGAACTAATAAACCTCACAGTATTATCAATATAGAGAAAGAAAAGGCTCACTGCACAGGCTCCTATCTACACATCAAAGACATCGCCGGTATCGACGGTGTATGTAACCAAAGGAACGCTGATTTCAAGAGTGACAAGTCTATCTTCATGTGGTCTTCCTCGCAGCATTTCTTTTTTTCGCATTCTCCAATGCTTTTCGAAGTCGCTCTTGATGCTCAGAATCTTCCTCGATTTTGCCCGAAGCAGGCTTGGGGGTGGAGCTGGGGCTTGATGATTCAGCATTGTTGGGCTGCTTGACAGGCTCCCGTGACATGGTTGGCCGTTGTTCTGGGGCAGTTTCGTGACCCAGAGATCGGAGAAGATCCTTAATGCTGGCGGTCACTTTAAACGGCCCTTCTTTTACACTCTCTAGCTTGAATCTTAAATCATCCCGGATCTTCTTGTCTTCTTTCTTCTTTTCAGCCTCCAGTTGGCGAAACACATCATCCTCGGCCTCTGAACAGCGCGCTTCAGCAACGGATACGCTATAATCAGCTTCATTGAGAACTGCATCAGCAATACCGAAGTTCTCGAGTATAGATTTAGAGTCCTCGCCCAAGTATTCAACGATCCGATTGACTGACTCGAGTAAGTTCACAATTTCAGCCTCCGAGAGACTCGAGAAACGAAGGCTTGCAGCGTCGATTCGTGACATCTTCGCAGTAATGTCGTCGAGAATCCTCTGGTTCTCCCCTAGGCCATGCATGATAACATCATCGAACGAATCCATTAATCGATTGGCCCTAGCATCTCGCTCACGAGCAGCTTCCAACTTATTGCGCGTCTCCATCTGATCAAATTCTTGATCCAACCGTTTAAGGGCAGTCGAGTCGCCAATGAACACGAGGGGTCGTCTCTCAGCCTTCTTCCGTCGACGTTCACGATCCAAAGCAATCTCGAGTCGCTTCTGATAGCGGGCTTCAAGACTCTGATAGATCTCATTGACATCCCTCATTGTTTTAGACAGATGACTGTGGTCCTTGACCTTATCTTGGGATGTGCTTCCATCGTTGTCAAGCCGAGCAAGAGCTGCTTCATAATCTGTCTGCAACGCAAGGACTTCCTCTCTCAAGCGTTTGTCTAGCGGGTCGAAAACGCGTGCAATGAAATCATTTAGTTCTTGCCTTTCTTCCTCCAATTGACAGCGCGCCTCTTTCTGGCGAAACTCTTCCTCAAGGACATTTATATCAGCATAACCTATCTCCTTTCCGTTGAAAAGGACATCGATGTGTCTTTCGGACTCCTCCTGACGTCGGGTACGTTCTTTTTCCAGCCTCACTCTACGAGACTCGTTCGACGCGACCCAAGTCTTTATCGCCTTCTGAATGTACGAGAAATCGTCGGTCATCTCTTCAGATGTCTTTCCAGTAGTCGTACTCACGGCACGCATAGATTCTTTGCCGATTGACGAAGACACAATTGAGCGCATTTCGTCCAAGGGGTCGGGTAATCTGCCTTGCCTGAGGGAAGCGGGAAGCGGTGGGAGAGTGGGCAACTTCTGGGAAGCCGTTTTCCGGTAAGCGAGGCTTTTCTCCCTAATGAGACCAATAAATGTCTCGTCCTGCCTTGCATGGTCCAAGGTCTCTGCAGGCAATGGCAGCTCTTCCGACGAAAGGACCAAGCCATTTGACATCACTCGTCCGCTTTCGGCAGATGCTTGACGCAAGGCAGAATAGGCTTGGTATGCTGGACGATCAAAGACAAGTGCATCAGATCCCCTCTGCGGACCCTCTGTGTAGCGAAATGGTGTATAAATCGGTTGAGGGGGATTGCTAGCCAGAGGTGGCAGATCCTGCTTATGTGCCGCAAAATTCATCATAGTGGGCGGCACAGAAGCAGGTCTCGAGGATGGTGTCTGTCCACCGTAGGGTCCGGCCACAGCTTGTGCCGAAGAACTTCCCAGGCCTACAAGACCGGGTGTGTGTACCCTCAGGATCGGCCGACCGCCGGGGCTGTAGCTGCCATCTCCAAAATTCTCCGCAGTGATGGTAGGTTCCTCAGTCTCTACCGGAATCAACCCAGACTCTACAGGAGGGAACGCGTGATCGGTATCGCTTCTGCTTGCATAAGATGTCGGTGTTGCTGAAAGAGGAGTGACACTCGTCTTCTGTTCAGTACCCTTGGAAGCAGGTTCGATATTGTATAGGACTTCACGTAGCTTCGTCTCTTTAGCCATGAAGCTTGTAAAGATCTCAAATCGATCTGAGTCAGTGTCTGCCACAGCTTCCTTTCGCAACATCGCCACATATCGTTCCACGGAAGATCTAGACCAGGTATCCAGATCGTCAAAAGGGTCAGGCCGATCCAGTGCTGGAAGTGTTGTCCGCTTAGAGACCTCCCTTTCGCCAACCTTAGTTCCGGTCAGTCTCAGGTTGGGTTCTCCCTCTTCCTGCGCCGCATGTTCTGGCTCTACATCATCTAGCAGGCCTGGTTTGTGTAGGTCTGTGGTGAGAGGCCGAGTCCATGCTTCAATGACTCCATCGATACTCTCCGCAGTTTCTGACGTAGAAACAGAGCTGGGTATAGATTCACTGCTATTCATTCTGACATTTATCCTAGTGGGTAGTGGTGACTCATGACCGTCTTGTACTGTATCGATACTCACGGGTGAATCTTGGATCTCCGGTTGCATGCTGCTATAACCTGTGTGCGAGTCCGATGGAGGCAGCCCGGAACTACTACGAGACCCATGAAATGCTAGAACTGTTGTCTCAGACAAATCAGAGGAATGTACCGAGTTTACTGCGTGGACCAATTCATGCTTGAGAAGAGCAGGAGATGCCACAACATCGTCAGATCTCCCTGGTATCGGCGATAATTTGCCCACGTCGGGAGGAGTGCCTGGGCCTAGAGCCGAGGCGCTGACCGCGGTTGGAGCGGGATTAGTTTTGGGTGGAACTGGAGGCGCGGCGACTGGCCGCAATTCAGGGGCTAGGCTAGCAGCTGTCTCGTAAACCCATGGAGACTGGGATTCTGATTGTCGCGAGGATTGCGAGAAATGAGCTTGTTGGGCACTTGTAGCTGGAACATTTCCCATAGCAGGCGCTGCAGACCCTACGAGGCTGGTGTCAATCGGTATTGTCGTGGTGGGTTGCTGTACGAGGAAATCATGATGCTGGATGGGGACGGCGCTAGAATATGGCGGAAATTGCAGATAGCTCTGCGCTTGGCTGCCGGGATGGGAAACGAAGTCCTGGAAACCATAAGGAATAGGAGGCGGGGGCGGGCGCTGTGTCGCTGTCGAATGATCCTGTTGCTGAGGCGCAAATGAGGGAACACTCGTTGGCCATTGAGAATTTGGATTCGGTACATGTTGGGCTGCCTGCACTGGAGTTCCCGACAGAGGTCTTGTGGCGTCTAACGAGCCCACGGCAGGAGAAGATGCCTGGATAGATTGTGTGTGTGTTGTGCTTGGAGGTCGAGGCTGAGCGATTCGTCAGTTACGCAAGCCCTCATGTTCCCGCTAAAGGGGGTATGTATGGGTGCTCTACAGTAGACTTACCGGTAGAGGTGGGGGGCTTGAAGCCTGAGACTGCTGCCTGTTATATTTCACTCCCCATGAAGTCGTATCTAATCCTGCCGGATTGAGCGTTGGAGAGGCGGTTGCGCCCCCGTTATTCACCGGGGAAGGACTAGCAGTCGGTCGTATACCACCGGGGTTAGGTGATGGGCGCACTGGCAGAGGAGGGGTTGCCTGCCATGCGGGCTGTGGGGGATGTTGCGGCGTCGCAGTACTGGTCTTGGGCGCGAGACGCCATTCTGGTTGTATCGGCCCGGTGTGTGTCGCGTCTCTGGAGCTGGGCTGCGAGTTCGACCCATACATTTTCCGTTGAGTCCAGAACTCTTGCTCGTGCTTGGAGAAGGGAGGAAACAAAGATGAGAGAGAGAAAGAGACAGAGAAAGGAGAAGAAGTGCTTAGAGTGATTGACGCGCGAAAGCACGAGGAACGAACGGATGGACGGATGAATTGTCCTGCTGACTTCAGGGTGGTGGCACAAGACTGGACTGATTTGACAAGGATAGATTGATTCCTGTCGATTAATCAAAGACAGACATAGGACAGCCCCCCTTTTCCTGGTGAATCAAAGTACATGCGAACTTGTCGTGTCTCATACTAGAAGGATGTTGTGCTATTCGATGGATCTTCGGGTCCTGGTGGGGGAGGAAGACGGAGTGAGCCGAACAAGGCGGTGCCGAACCTCCCTCCCCTCTCTGGATTTATGACTGACCTCTTCCCTGCCTTCTCGTCCCCTACTCAAGCCTCTAGAACAAGTACAAGTGAAGAGTCTTCATTGATTTCGAATCTACCATCATGCAAGCTAGCAGCTCCAATTGATAGCAGTGCTATCTGTTCCGGTAGTCCCAAGTACCGAACCGGAGGGGGTGCCGGGAGCAGCAAACGTTCTAAGCACCCTTTCCGTCCTTTGTTTATGCTTCAGATGCTGTTTTTGAAGACATTTCTCAGGATTGGCACTCGTCCAAAGCATTATTGGTCAGTGAGACTCACGAGCTCATTCTCCATGGTTGCGAGCCTTAGAGAGCCCCGCTTTCCTTTGTGTCTGTATATTCTTTGTCGTTGTAGCTCGGAGAGACCATGTCTAAAAAGGTCACCTCGTCCACCAGTCCCGACGAAAATGCGTAAGTAGCTGTCTATTTTGTACCTGAGAGCTGGCTTCAATCGCGTTCAACTAGCATACGCAAGAACATTTAAATCATTTTTCGATCGTAGTGCCCTGAGTAAAACCAGCAATTGCACTATGTCGACCAGCAGCAGCAGCAGCATCCCTGAGGATTATCATCTCGAGCCTCCCCCTGATGGTACGATAATTCCACCGTCGCTCCCCCCGCGAGCCGATCTCTATGATGAGGTTGCATGGGGACAGCATGTCACGGAGAATGATGCCCGTATTGCTCATCGATTCTGGTCGTGTGCAGATCAGGTGCTCAGGCAGGAACTCATACAGCTTGAAGGCAATGAAAAGCCATTCTTGTACGCGGAAAACACGGAAGAGAAGGAGGCAATGCCTATGCATGCCTTGGCGCACAATGTTTACGAGCATCTGATGCGGCAGCATCTGCTACCACCTGAACCAACCGAGTCGGAGACAGCAGGCATGGATCACTCGTGGGTTGATCATTCATGGAGCTTTGAGGAGATCTTCTTGGAGACCGATGTACCCCGATGGACTTTTTTCGAACAAAAGGCGCCCCAGCTTCTCAAGTCAAACCAGCTCAAAGCAGCTCTCAACGAACGGGGCCTCGATGACCGGGGGACCGTAGCTGTACTGCGCGAGCGACTGGAAAAATATCAGACAGAAGGACCGAAGTGCTACCGGGCCCTGCGTCGTAGTGACCTCTCCCATTGGGGCATTGACAGAACGAATGTTCGTCGCCAATTTACAATCAATATCTCTGAGAACGAGGAAGCACGTACACTTGACATGTACACATGCGCCATTCTCCGAAGTCCATACAATCCGGCGTACTGGCTGAGTCGAGCTTATTGCCACTATCGACACTGCATATTTGACCTTGCCTTGGGAGATGCTTATCGAGCTCAGCTTCTTATTGAAGTGCTGGTCAATCCATTGAGACGAAACATGCAACCCGGTCTCTACACCCTGATCTGGCATGCAATTGAGCATCACATCATGGTCGGCGGAAATGCAACCGAGATCAAGTGGCTGCGCGCTGGCAATGGGGTCAATTATTTCGTCCCAACCATGCGAAAGGCACTGCAGAACATCATCGGTCTCAGTCTCATAGCTCTCCAGTGCTGGCATGATCGATTCCACTTCGAGCAAGATCTGATGAACAAGGTTATCATGAAAGAGCGCGATGCGCAGCCATTCAAACGACGACTTAAGGTTAATATTAATTCATGGGTGAGGGCTCAGGAAGTCAGCAGAGGTGTTTCACGCAATTATCTGTACTACGAGCGATTCAATGGCTGGAATCATGGCGGCCGGCCTTATCCCTATGAAGCAGATGATACAATCAGGCTCCCCAGAATAGGCGAAGGGCTTGCGGAAAAGGCAACAGAGCTTTTTGTGACCAAGAATACTAGTCTTCCCTGGAAGAAGTGTAAGATCGCCATGGAAAGAGAGCAAAGGTACATGATGATAGCGACCGAAGACATCGCCGAAGATGAGCTCATCTGGGTCGAGATCCCTTCAGCCAGGGGCCACCTCACAACGAAAAGACCTAGACTTCCTGAAGGTCACACTCCGGAGAAAAGAATGACTTGTGACAATTGCCAACGAGTGATCACTCGTGATGAACGGCGAGGCCTGCAAAGACGGCAATCCCTGAGCAATACGGAGAGACGGCAATCCGTGAACCCTCTGGACAGAGAGAACAGAAACAGCAAAGAAGCATGTCCCTGTATCGACAAGACGCCTCCTCTTATATTCTGCCCTGCTCGAGGAGAAGAAGGCGATGAGACCTGCGCCGAGAACGCCCGGAGACGCTATCACTTCAAAGCATGTGGGAAGGATTGGGAGTGGCTCCACGACGCCATGCGACCTGTTGTCTATGACTTCAATGTCAGGGTACAATGGCTTTCTCATTCCAACGAGAAACATGGCACCGTATTAAGCCTCCTGCTCCGGGAGATCTTAGATATCACTCTGCTCAGACGGCAGACCAGTCCCGGTCTTCAAGCACACGAGATCGACGAGCTTCTAGCCCTAGAAGGGCGCGCGGACTGGAAGGAACAGAACTTTCCCTTTTCATTCGCTGCCAATATTCAAGTCCCCTGCGACATTTTGCTGAAATTGGGTGTTGATATCTTCCGAGACCTCAGTTTGGACACCTGGGTGATCCAGCTCGTGCTACAGAAACTCCTCGTGAACGCCGTGCCCTGGGACGAGGACTTGCGCTCCAAAACCCCAAGGACCGACAAAACGAAGCGATACTGGATCTTTCCCAGACCCAGTACACAAAAGAACTGGCCGGAAGCAAAGTATGCAGTATATGACCCGAGCTGTAGGTTCATATACTTGTTCCCGGGTTTCAGCTTTTTCGATCATGCTTGCAAGGAAAACACCAATGCGCAATGGGGCTACGACACGGAGGTTCCTAATCGATTGCTTGTGTGGGCGACCAAGCCGATCAAGGCTGGGGAAGAGATTCGCATCTCGTATATCTCGGATGAAGATAAAGACGAGAGAGAATATGTCCTGCAGCGAGTGTTAGGAAAGCCTTGCAATTGCCCGGGACCGGAACATGGCGTACCACAGCATCCCGAATCTCCGTATCCACCGATTCCTGGACCAGAGTCCCCTACTTCATGATTATCCGACTCCTTCTGCTGCCCATTCAGAAAGTGTCGGTGGACTACGAGCACATCCGTTGAGCCTCCGGTACCACGTTGCTCTTACCCTTTCCTTGTCTTTTTCTTCTTCTTTTACTCCAGTATCATCAGATTGTAAGTTGCAGTCCATACTGTTCATTTGTATCACAATCAATTCGCAGACTAGTATTCCAGCTACCAGTTGTGAAGTGCTCTAGTATGAATTGACGAACACAATGCGAAGGAAGACTTCCTCCTGTTGAAATAATATTCCATTAGACGCATACACAATGACATGAAAGCCACGCATACAAGTGAAACCCAATCACATCGAATACACAGCTTGTCGTAGGAGAACGACCAGGAACTATCCATGAAAAAGAAAAGAAAAAAAAGAAAAAGAACCAGTCTATCTAGATCATCACAGACCAATGAATGCGAAAATAAGGGATGCACAGGCAAGACGACATAGATTTTACATACAGATACATACAACGCACCTCTCTAGGACACAGGATGTGGCGAGTAGTGTCTTAAGGAGCAATAGATACTGCTCCTCTCCAGCTCCTCTCCCTGGTCTTCATCCAAATAATAGCCCGTCGATCTAGGCAGACACCGTGAGCCGTCTTCCCAGCTTTTCAAGCTCGCCGATTACACCCCCACCAGCCAGAGTCCACTTCTCATTGACCCACTCTTCAGTGATCTGCTGTCTCAAAAGACCGCTGCGTGCGAAGTACTCCATGAGGCCCCGGGCTTCTTCGCGGGAGACACCGGAGATCTTCTGAAGCTCCAATGTTCCCTCTGTGGGGATGGAGGACTTGGGGGAGTCGAGCGCGGCAAGCACACGCTGGTCAGGGTTGCTGTAGGCGACGGGGGCGGGGTAGTCCGGGCTCGAGGGATCCACGCCTTCTTGGCGAGCGGCCACCCGCTGAAGAGCAACATCAAGACTGTAGACGGAGGGGTTGTTGGAGGCGGAGGTGGCGTAAAGCAGAAGACCACCATTGGGCAAAGCGGACTGTTGGTTCTTGCCAGGCTGGAGGAGGGAGAGAAAATGCTGGACAAACACGAGGTCGTGAGCGTGGATGAACTCGAACTTGGCAGAGCGATACTTGGTGTCCTTCATCCAGTGGGCCAAACCGTCCACGGCAACAAGCATGGGAGGACGCGGTGTGAAGTCCTTTTCAAAGCCAGAAGCAGGGGAAGTAGCTGTGAGTTCGGTCCACAAAGCTTGGAAGACGGGCCAAGCGGTGGCGGGATCTTGGATACCAAGATTCGCGAGATCCTCAAGCGTCGTGCCCGGCTTCACGGGGGACTTGAGCGCCGAGTGTTCTCGAGAAACCTTCAGCTTGTATAGGACATTTTTGTTGGCCGTCACAGTGCGGGACAAGAGGGCGGCAATGGCCTGGTTTTGAACATATAAATGGGGGTTCTCATCCGAGAGGGGGGCGTAGCTAGTGTTGGCCAACACAAGGTCCTGACCTAGATGGTTCAGTTAGTCATTTGTGGGATGCGATGTTTGTATGGAGTAAGCATACATTCGGGAACAGTAACAACAACCCATTCCTTAGTGAAAGCCATTGACATGGCTTGAAGGAGATGAACTGTCTTTCCGGTTCCTTTCGGTCCTGTGATGATTCTCTTGACAACCTTGCCCTTATCCTCAGGTTTGTCGGATATACCATCGATCAACCGACCAAGTTCAAGAGTTTCCCGTCTAGTCACCGTGCCGGGCCGGCGGAAAATAGACCAACCTTGCTTGGGCTTGAAGGCTTGAACAGCCCTCAATTGATCCAGCATGGGCACAGGCAAGCCAAGAATGGTACCACGAAGACGCGAGTCCACCATATTATCTGCAGAGATATCCTGCATGTCTGCAACTTCTAGGGCGTTAGGGTTGCTGAGAACAATGCGTTTCCGGAGCGCTCTCCGCTCTCCGACGGGAGGAGGGCGCGCCCTCTCGACGTGCTTCTTCTTCTTCAGTTTCACGCCTTGCTTTGAACGATATCCCGGGCCCGATGACTGAGGGTTTGCCTTTTTCTTAAGAGGTGAAGCCAAAAGTGTACCCGATGTGTGAAAAGCCGCGACTCGCTGGGCTGTCAGGGTTGGCGGAAGCATAGCCCGGGGAGACGCTGTTGGGAGCCGCGTCAGGCAACTCCAGCAAAATGAGGATACCATTGCCTTTGATGGCGCACTGGCACCGTGGCCAGTATCTAAGAGGACTCTGAAAGGGTGTGGTAGTAGAGAAAGAGCGGGAGGTTGCGCCGGAGACTCGCCGCAATGGCAATGATAGTGGAATTAGAAACTCGGAGGCACATTTTCGAACCTCGACACTAGGAACTTCCTCTGCTCGCCCCTTTGGGATTAGTGCCACAGCAGCATGATTCCGGCAGGCGGTGTACTATGGAAACAGCGGACCGCGCTTGACCGCCCGTCTTTTTTTTTTTCCTAGAGTTTTTTTTCCCCTCTACATTATCGGGACTTCCATCGCGTTGGGACTTTCAGATACTGTTCTGTTCCTGATTTTTTTTTTCCCAGTCGCGTCCGTGACTCGAGAGTGAGCCCAGTTACGAGTGGCTGAGTCTTCAACATATTAATGACAATGGCGACCAATGCTACCAAACCGAAGCCGGAGAGACTGTAAGTCAGATCTATACATGGGCCCGACATACATGACATGTGCTAATTAGACCTTCGCCCCAGTCCCATCACTGTCTCCAAGCCTACCCCGTACACTTTCGATCTTGGCTACTTGCTTGCCAATGACCCCAACCCCCTTGAAATCTCCCGCTCCGAGCCGCTGGAGACCACTTTGAAGGCCACGGCTCGCGACGGCACCCAGTCTCTCCTCAACCAGCTTCTGACGACCTGCCCCATCACCTCTTCACAGCAGGGTGTACTCCTCGCTCTTCCTACCCCTGCCACCGCTCTTCCCCGCCATAAGCCCCTGCCAACGCCGAAGCCGCCGACCAAGTGGGAGCTGTTCGCACGCAAGAAGGGTATTGGCAAATTCAGCAGCAAGCCTGGCGCGGCTTTGGCTGACAAGGAGCGCCGCAAGAAGCTTGTGTACGATGAAGAGAAGGGTGAGTGGGTACCTCGCTGGGGTTACAAGGGCAAGAATAAGAACGAGGATGAATGGTTGGTGGAGGTAAACGAGAAGGACTGGAAGAAGGAGGAAGAGGCAGCTGCCAAGGGCAGCTCCATTCGGGGAATCTCGCGCGCTGAACGCAAAGACAGGATACGGCGCAATGAAAGAAAAATGCGGTCGAATGAGCGCAAGTCGAGAAAGGCTGGTGGTGGTTAAGGTAGGCGGAAAAGATCTTTGCGGTTCGAGAAAGCATGGTTGTATCATTCGAAATAACCCCTCATTTGCCTCATTTCAAGGGGCTTTCTTTATACGGCGTTCGGTCGGAGTCGCTGGTCCACAGGTCTTGAATATCAATTTGCCTACGTATACACCTTGTCGTTGGCATGCCCACAAGAGCAATATTCCATCTTAGTCACCTCCTAGGGTCAAGCTAGCATGGGTATATGTGTAAACTTCGTATAACAGGGGAAACCGGATGGTGTCCAGTGAACTCTCATAATAGGTCTTTGCAATTTGATGTGCGGTCGCCCGCCAAATGGGTCTATGTTACAGCGATGAGTCAAAATGAGACAACCCTCGATGAGCACGGAGGAATAATACAAAGCGAATTGCAAGGAAGAGACAAAAATGCCAACGCGAGGACGAAGAGCATTTGATAGGGCTGTAATGGGGAATATTTATGGGGCTAACCAGGAAAGTGAAGTTACATGCATGCCAAACTGCAACAAGATGGAAACCGCCACCAAGGCTAAAAAGATTAAACATAAGAGAGCCAAGTGATAGTCCAAACTTTGTACAAAAAGCAATATGCTGTATAACAATGACCGACTCCAAAAGCGCCAGCATGCAGTATATGGGGTAGGCTCAAGATAGATGAGATGATGAAACGAGGAAGCAAAAGGAAATGTAGGCGTATTCGTTGGAGGACCAGGCAAGACTAAAGAGGTGCATATGTTGAAATCATCTTTGTATCGATGTTAAGGGCGCAACCGGCAAAGTCATGACGCCTAATCAAATCTGATATATAGTCTCAGTCATAATGCATTACCTGCGGAACCAGTCCGGGAGACAGCACATGACACCTTGTCAGGGTTGAAACCCTTACACAGAATCGTCGAGAGGGAGTGCGACTTTCGGCGCAGCCTAGTCGTTCAAGCAATCGTATTATAGGAGAGTAGTTCGCCTCTCCATTTTGAGTTTCAAAGGGCGCGTCGCTCATATTTGTATAGGCGACAGAGGAGGTCCAAGTTCAGGGAGCTGTGAGACGCTCCGAGTATGCGCGGTTTCAATATTCTTAGGTCTGTGTTTGCGAACCTTGGGCGTCTCCGGATGTGGTGGTTCCTCCTCTAATGTAGGCTGGCTACTCCCAGACGACACAGCCCTTTCATCAGCGGCCGACGTGTGTTGGAGCTGATAAGGCATGCCATCTTGAGTGGAAGCGAAGTGTTCTTTTTCATCCAAATCTTTTTCAAGTTGGAGGTACTCCTTCTCTGTCCAGCAGCCCTGCCAGCAATTCTTCCAATCGCAAACAAGGAAATTGAAACAGAAAGCATCGATCTTCATGCATGGCTGGAAGCAGATGCAGAGGTTCCGATAGTCCATCTTGTTCTGCTCGACATAAGAATGGAGCAGGTTTAAGTGACAGGTAATTGCGAAGAGAAGGTAATAGTTATAAGGCGGGAGTTTGGAGAGCTCATCCTTCAGCAATTGCGGAGCAGTTGTTGCGCCCTCACACTTCTCAGCAATCATAGCCTGGGTCTCTTTCGGGAACAGCTCATCAGGTAGCTCACGGAGCCAAGCCTTGAACATAGACCCGATCGTGTTAATGTCGTATAAATCCGGTTCATCAAAAAGGTTGATATCGTACTCTGATTGGCATATTAGCATCCAAACAGCCCGCGAATATAGCCTAAGTGCGCTGACCTGTATCAAATCTCCTTTGCCAGTGCTTCACTTCCTTACCGCTACCCGGGACACGATATAGCCCTTCTTCCTCGCAGCCCTTGAAGTTGAGATAACTTTAATGACGTTAGCAATTGATATCCTCGATAAACACATTGAAACTCACTCGATGCAGCGATAGGGTAAAGCGGGCATCCAGAATTCAGTCTTATCCCGACAGTCTTCAAGCCTCTTCGCTATTCGGGTCCGACGCGCTTGTTGTATCAAGGGTAAGTTGATCACGGAGCAGATGTAATTGTCATCGTTGAATAGCTCACGTTCATTGGTGCTGCCGCTGCGAGTGATTTTCCCAAAGAATCCTTTCCCGGCTTTTCCAATGCGATCAGCTGCACCGCTGGATGATTGTTTCAGATTATTGAAAAGTGTAGCTGATGCGCCAGAAACTTGACTTAGTGATGCAGACGGAACCATGGATCCGCCATAGGTCTTGTTGCTGCGGACGGAGCCGTTGTTGTATTCTGTAGATCGGTCGGAAGTGTTACTGCGTACTGTAGGATTGCCAGCAGTCCTTATACCACGATCATGACGTGATGTCTTGGACAGCTCCTGAGCCTCCCGCTTACTGCACTCTTCCAACCTCATGAGACTGGTTGATGGTCGTCTATTCGCTATTCTGTTCATAGAAGATTCGTCTAACCTGATCGAACGGGAACGGGAGAGTAAATTGGCAAATCGCGGTTTATTCTTTCGAGCGGCGCTGGCAAGTTCTGCCTCTGTGGAGATCTTCTTCGAGTCTATGGGCTGTAGCTTCTTCTCCTCTGGGAGATCACCACCTGGAGATAGCTAGATTAGCTGTTGCACCAACATCTTAGCATGATGTATTGTACATACGTTCTTGTTGAGCCACGCGCTCAATGGTGCCTGGCAGGTCAGGGGTTGATTCGTACTGTTTCGACGAAATCTGCGTTTTGCGATCCCTAGAGCTACCGCGGCTCTTTGGATTGCTCCCCGAATCACCGGAACCGTCTGACCTCTGAGCCCTATGCGACACCTTCGGCGCCTTGAGATTGGCGAAGAAAGAGCGAGAAGGGTCTCGAGTATGCTTAGGAGAATCCCTCGGAGAGGGAGGATACTGAGGAATGGCTGTCAGGCCCGGAGTAGCAGGTTCCGCAGAAGCAGAACCGGTAGACGTAGGGCTGTTAGGTTTGTTGTGGTTGTTGGACTCTTGTGTGACAGGTCTGATTGTTGCCCCCTTGAAAAATGGCGAGCTCGATGAAGACTTGGGAGAATGGGGTGTCAGGGGACTCGGTCCGTCGGAGCTTTGGGCGCCGGGCGTCAGTGGAGACGAGATCTTCGCATTTCCCTGCAGGGTGGAAGGGCTAAGATCTAAATTGGGAACAGTGGACTGCCTCGACGGCATTTTAGTAGATTGTCACGAGCTAGATGCGTGCTCGAGTGAGGGGTATCGAGTATTGTCGGTCGGTCCGTTTTGGATAGAGTATACCAAAGATCGATCGCAAGGCGGTAAAACCGACCTGACTGCAAGGAACCTATGTCAGCAATTCACTTTGTTTTCTAGGCCATGGCGTCGAATCGAGGCGCTAAACCACTGGTCGCAAGTGGAATCCTAGGACAAGCTTACTTGTTCGGGTAGCGCTAACCACCGTCGGACTAGAAGATCATAGATCTCCTTGCTTTTCCTTCTTCACGAAAGAGCTGCGTCGAGAGCTCGGTTATACACAATGGAGGGTTTTGTGGTGATTGTGTTGAAAGATCGGAAGGGAACCAGCCTTCACCAATCTCTCCTAAAAATTAGGCTGCTGAAAACGGGCCGAGATAGCGCTTGGGAGTCAAATTGAGCAATTGAACCTAGAATGAAGTCGCATGGTCGTTAGTAAACCGAGGATGAGGGAGGCTTTCATCAGAAAATGCTGAGAGATAGAGAGCGGTGTCATTGTCGAACGAACTGCGGTAGAGACGACGATTTGGGGAAGCAACCGCGTTCCTAACGGAATGACAAATTGGAAGCGCAAGAGGTAGACCGCGATGAAGCCAGAGAGAAGCGGCATTGAGCAGCAGAGCAAGCCGCGCGAAAGGGTGGTAAGGAAGTTGTCTGTCACCACACATACCAAGCTGCGTCGCCCCTCATATTAGACGCTGATACCCCTCCAATTTTCCTCTTTTCTCCTGCAACGATACTGGTCGAGAACCCAATCCACACTGCTGCACTTTGGAAAAGCCCGTCGTAGCCGTTGAGGGAAAACCCACGATCGCTCACGTCCGTTGTTTTGTGTGTCTGAGCGGTGGTGAAGAAGGCGGTGGGTGTACCAAGGGAGCCCGGGCAAACGACAGGAACTGAAACCACCAGCGAGGACGGATCGAAGATTGGCAAAGAGAAGTCAGAAAGAGACAAAGAGTATCTTGACCGACGAGTTTTTCCGAGGACGTTGTTTTGGTAAAGATCAAAGAGGCACAAGAAGTAATTGATTCCCGCACGGTGCTGTAGGTGCTCGGGCTCGAGTGTCGCAGCGACGACACATTCCTTGACAGCGTTATGCAAGCGCGGCTGTGTGTCAGGCTAAGAAGCCTCTGTCTTTTAAGGGGTGAACCAGCAGTGGAGATGGCGTTGCAAGGCTCCAAAATAGTTACTGCGTGGCTTCAGAGTGCTTATGGGTTTATGGAAAGCCTATCTGGTTAGCGCACAGACGGACGCTTTGGGGCCGGTCAAAGGAAGACGACTAGTTACTTAGTCGGTCCGGCGTACTAATAAAATCGAAAATTCATGAAAATAAAACGACAGCTCATACACGGATTTGTAGGAAGCGGATATAATGATGGAAAAGAATAATTATTCTGTCGCTCGAGCTTTCACTGACAGAACTTGTTCCTGAGACTAATGAAATGGGAATTAACCAAGCCTTAGCAGATTAGATCTAACCAAAGAACGAGTGTCAATCAGGTCAGGAACTGGAAAAGAGCTTGTGGGCCAAAAATTTGGAAGGGAGAGATGGGCTTATGGAAGAGGAAAAGAACTCGTGGCTGGGGGGGTGGTTTGTGTTGGGTGGAAGCGGGAAGATGACGTTGGTCCACACGTACTCCGTACTGATGGTTCCAAATCTGCAACCACAATGGACGGTGATTCTTCTAGTTGCCGCTTCAGGTGGGAGAGAAGACTATGGGGAGTATCCTCTATACTACTAGTAGTAACGGATTGAACAGTCACAATAATAGGTGTGATGAGTGATTACTAGCATTGGTTGATAGCCTAATTGAAGTACGTAGTGCTGCATTCAACCCCCGGAACAAGTCGATCAAACGTTTTTCTCTTGAGTGCACGGTCTATTTGTCTGGTGAGAATCCGAATTAAACAATTGTGTGCACGCACATCAACAGATAATTTACAGGGGGGGGGGGGGGGGAAGATAGATACACGCACCGTTGTACAGGGCTAGGTACAGCCTCCAGCCCGCTGAATGGAGACTGGATTACACACCGAAAGATCGGTGGGGGAACGGTGAGTGGCTGCCAGTGGCTGCTATGGTCGGGACTGGATACCTATGGTCCACACAGTACTAACTTAAGTAGTTTTCGGTCCACAATGCCTTGGAGCAGCGGGATGATGCAGGACTCACTCCATTGAACCTTTCAACCTGCGACTCAACCATCGACTGGATGCTGTCGAATGGGGCTCCCATTGACCCGGGGGACAAATCAGATGCGTTCCCGGATCACTCGACTTTGTTCACCTCGGAAAGTCAGAAAGAAAGAAAGAATGAATGAATCTGAACTATTAAAGCCCGTACCTGAAGGGTTGATGGCTCCCTTCCCGAACCCTCCTCTTCCTTCCCCAAATGCACTTTACGCAGTCCTTTGACAAGCTCAGTACGGAGTATACACGGAGTCCTGTAACATCAAGGACAATGCTCTACGAGCCACTTATTTGTACGCACAGCCAAAAAAAATGTCTGGCCCAATCATGCAAAAAATCCCGAATAATCTTTCTTGGCTCTGATGCTACATGATCCGGTTACTCGGTTAGTAAATACGGTCACCCACCTGGAAATCCTTTATCGATCGATCGCTACCTACCACAACGAGCGAGCGATTATCTCAATTTCTCTTGTTCTTTGTTATAGGGGCTTTATACCATGGTTCAACTCACACACTATGATACAACTAGTGGGGTGAGGGGAAATCAGTAATGTATTACTCCGTAGATGGCATGTGATTAGCAAGCGAACCATGGAAGAATCGATTCCTATTTCGCCCGCTTGTTGCAGACCACCTATGCAGTATGTATGTACACTGGGTTTAATGCAACAATGGCACAATCCAAATCTGCAGAGCAGCTGCTGGGAACAAACTTCCCCACGGAGTTGATATTCATGCCTTGGCTGTGATCTTGTCTTTGCTGAGCACTGCTTGAGCGACCTCCGTACTCGACAGCATACGGCAGTCATCCATAATCATAGCACTATGGCACAAGAACGACAAGAATCCATATCGACCAGAATTGATGGGAGGTAGTTTAGTACTGAGTGATTCTTGTCTGTGCGCTAAATGTCCTCCTCGCTTACTAAAAAAAGAACTATGTAGTCCATCTTTGCCTGGGGCTTTCGACCGTAAGCTCGAGCTGGCAATGGATAATAAGGTACATTACTGCATGTATAGTACACGTGGGAGACGCCTGCAGCTGTACACCCACAAGTTAGTAACATCGAGAAGTGACAGGAGCCACCGAGGGTATGTGTAGAGTATGTACTCAGCACAATCTTCAAGATGTATCCCCTACTGAGTATTGGTTGGTAGTATTTCGTAGGTCAGTCCACTCCCACCAAGGATTTTGAACAACTGCTGGGAACACCTATGTGCCATGGTGTTGTAGTGCACATCATGGTCATACTACCGATGTATGAAATGTGTACTATGAAATATTTCAGAGACCATGAAGACTCGAAAACTTGACTACAACCTCCTAAACTAAAAAGTATGAATGATGGGAAAAAGCACACAAATTTGGTCACATTAAGATTTCTCCTCGGTTCGCATGAAGAAAATGATATAGTGTTGCAGGCAAAAGAACCACTGAGAGAAGCAGGGACCCAGGGGCAACCTTCATCTGGCGCTCAGGGGTTTCACACGGTCGCACACCGCTGTCCACGGTCCATGGCGATCCCCGCCCTAGGCTACCTTAGTGAAAAGCCGGGCTGAAACACCAGATCCACTATATTACTAAGCTTGCTCCGGCAGCTGCTTTTGGTGGGCATCATCCCACGTGACCGAGAGCCCTCTTGATTTCCGACTACCGGGGCGCATCCGCTACCAGTTCACCTTAGGTTTTTCTCCCCTTCGTGTATCTTCCAGCTGTCTACGACGAGGAATGAACGTGCTAGAGTTCCGCCCTTCCGTGCTTCTGCCTTTCCACTCAATCATCAGACATTCTAGTGACACGAAAGGTCAGCTTTCGACTATCATTTTGATTTCCGCTGCGGCGGGCGTCATAGCCTGGACACCAAGACCATAGCACACATTTGAACAGCTCCTTTACCTCTTCGCTGATTTGATTAGAGGGCCTGGGCTTAGCCTGATCTCATTTGCAAACTAACTTTCCACAGCACCAGAACCTTGTTCTTTTGCGTGCTGTTGCTGCACTTCCAGTGCCCCGAGAATGTCGCTTGTCTCAGGACCGGGAAAGGCCGCGGGTTGCCCATCCAACCAGGAGCTCTGCACTCAAAAACACGTGGAGTACATCAAAAACCTGGATAGCGTGCGTAATTCTTATTCCGACCATAAACTCCCACACGGTAGGGAAGGCGGTTGACAGGTGATGCTCTAGAGGAGGGATGAGTTGGAATACTGGCTCACGGAGCACCTTCGTCTGAACGGAGTTTACTGGGGCTTAACGGCTCTGCACCTCCTGGGTTATCCAGATGCTCTGCCCCGCCAAGAGACCATTGACTTCGTCCTCTCATGCCAGCGAGACAATGGTGGATTTGGAGCCGCTCCGGGCCATGATGCCCACATGCTGTACACGGTGTCAGCCGTGCAACTTCTCGTCACATTAGATGCCGTGGACGAATTGGATAAGCGTGGTCTAGGGGGTAGAGAGAAAATTGGCTCTTGTACGATATGACTTCACCTGGGTCTGCATCTACAAAGTCTCACTAAACATGCACAGTCATCGCAGGATTACAGGACAAGGAATCTGGTGCATTCCAGGGAGACGAGTGGGGCGAAAAAGACACTCGGTTCTTGTATGGTGCGTTCAATGCCTTGTCACTTCTGGGACTCCTTGACATGGTCGACGTTTCCAAGGCAGTGGAGTACATCAAGGCTTGTGAGAACCTGGACGGTGGCTATGGCATCCGACCAGGAACCGAAACACATGCTGGTCAAGTTTTCACTTGTGTTGGCGCTCTGGCAATCGCTGGGCGACTTGACCTGGTGAACAAGGACCGCTTGGGCGGCTGGCTTAGCGAGAGACAGGTGGAAAATGGGGGACTCAATGGACGTCCTGAGAAGCTTCCGGATGCTTGCTACAGCTGGTGGGTTGGTGCTAGTTTGGCGATGATAGACAGGCTGCACTGGATCGATAGCAGAAAGCTTACTGCTTTCATCCTGCAGTGTCAGGTAAGTTGTGTTCGCTTCAAGATCTCTTTCTACATTGACTAACGTGCTGTAGGACTCGGACGCGGGAGGTATCGGCGATAGGCCTGGTAGTATGGTCGATGTCTTTCATACTTGCTTTGGTGTCGCCGGTTTGAGCCTTCTCAAATTCGATGGTCTGCAAGAAGTAGATCCAGTCTAGTAAGTGCTTCAGTGAGAGTGGTTACTCTATGTATGTACATCATGCTAACCGGTTGGCCAGTTGTATGCCGAAGAATATAACGATGAGATGCCTTGCTCCGTAATTTGATCTTCCTGTATGTGGTACTCTGGCTTCATTCATCAGCCACTTTCGTAGTCTCACCTCCTGCAATCTAATAACCCATGCTACCTTCTCCTCAGTGGATCATGGGATACAAGGCAGGAGAAGAATGACTGGCACTGCGACTTATTTCCGCTTCACCCCTCTACAATGGCCTGTCAAGCGGCCGTTAAGACGCAATGGCACATCATTTTCAGAATTGATTTGCCGAGATCTAGCTCAATAGTCAATAAATCGATTTCGAATAGGATTGTTATTTTGCCCATTGCCATCTTGCTTCAACCGCAATAGTTTTGAAAAGTCGCCATCCGATCCTATACCTGGTACTCTGGCATTTGTCCCAATTTGCTCTTGCGCCGGGGATGCAGTACCTGGCTCCAGAGGTGCGAGGAACGACACGGTACGGTACGACCTACCAGCCGTTGTGACCTTACTAAAGGTACTCTTCAGTACCAACAGAACTAAGTAACCCATCATCTTCCCTCATCTGTCGCGCGCTGGTTCCTTCTTTAATTGTTCTCGGCTAAGATGTTAACAATGGACGGCAGGCACGAATGTCAACGCCGGTAGGGAAGGTCCTCATGCTGTGTGCCAGTGCTGTCTCCCATCCACGTATTGGTGGACTTGACCTTCCCACACTATCCTGTCATGTCCAGTCTTTCTATATCGGTCTCTATTCGAGCACATTGATCGGCTCCTATCCATGCAAGCACTCCTCTGGAGTGATCCCTTTGTGGCTTCCCTTGACAGCCTCGTACCAATCCAAGTTCTTATTTTTTCGAATCTCTTTACCATGGATGCAGCTGCTCTTTTATGCAACATCTGCCCCAAGCGTCCCACATTCAGCGATGTTTCGCATCTGTTGACCCACGTCGCATCAAAAGCCCACCTCTCCCATTATTTCAAGCTTCAAGTACGCAGCCATCAAGAGCAGCAGGCAGTTGACCTACTGGACGAATACGACCACTGGTATAAGGCCAACAATCTCGCGAGGTTGCTTTCGGATCGAATGTCCTCAAAGGAGGCTCGAAAGAAGAAGACATCGGCCAAGTCTATAATTCAGGCTGAATTTAGAAGCGAGACACCGGACCTGCCTCTGTCTGTTCTTCCCTCGCCCCATGACTCGTTTCCGGACTATATAGACCCACGTCTCGCTGATGGCTATGTTGAACAACCGTCGGGACTCCCGCATGCCGGATTATCCTCTTCAATGTCTTATGACGCACAGGCTGACCCTTCCATTCGCACATGTCCGCCTTACACTCATACAACACATGGATTTGACCCTGGAAATTGCGAACTGGGGCTCTGGAAACACGAGCCCAGAGGCAACGCAGATGCAGACGACGATAGCTTCGCTCTTATGCCGTACTGGACGAATGCGAAAGAGGGCGAAATCAATACCGGTCTAGATTCATTGCCAAGTGGATACAGCATCGATCCTTTTCTGGACGATACTGAGAGCACTGATTGCCTCCATTCTAGCCTACTCGACAAGGAGAGAGCAGATGAAATAGCTAGGCTGAAGGGTGTTCTGTGGCCCGGCATGGACATCTTCGACTCTGCCACGGAACAGATGAGGCGTCGACGCAACCAGAAAAAGGATGAGAGCATCCTGAAGATGATGGAAAAGACCTCCCAGTGTGTTGAGCCCACCGAACTTGTTTTCTCTCCGACCGGAATTTTACGAAAGCAACGCATGATATCTGGCAATGTCGAGGATAGTAGCCCGCTCAAGGGGGAAACGCCTATACCGAAAAGACGAGTCAGCCGGCCTAAGAGAGTCCTCTCCCAACTTGATGCTAACATTCATCGTCGCCAAGTCGGATCAAACAAGAAGAGAAATAAGAAGATCGGGAGGCAAAATGTCACCTATGTTGCCGAACCTCTGACCCAGAGTGCTGCTCAAGAACACCACGATCCCCTGGCTTCTGAGGCTTCCACTCACCAGACTAACTGCACAACCGGTCAAACTAAACATGCTCCTTTGAAGAGAAGAAGCGGATTCAAGGACCGTAACGAGTTCTCTGTTTACCGTGACGAGCTGGGGCAGCAGCATTACAGCTCGAAAAGCCAGCATACGAGTGATGGCTTGCCTTTTTCAACATCTGCTGTTTCTCATCCTATCTTCCTGCTACACGAATACACGGCTCGTGCTGACATCTGTGCATCCCGCTCTATTTCTCATGTTTTTTCTCCAACTGGAAGAGCCATTGATGATGATGCTATGAACAAGGAGAACATGGAACCTCTCTTCAATGTCTGCGGTCGCATTGACCCTCTTGTCGGTTGGCATTCCCCTCCTGTGAAGCAACATCTAGCCAACGACATCGGCTATCCACCACAGCTCTTCTACCAGAATGCTCAGTCTGCCGGACTGAGCCCATTTGGGAGTCACGACAGTCCTACAGGATATCAACATAATCCTTTATCAGTCTCGCTGAGCAGACTGCCCATTGAAGAAACTAATTTGTGTAACATGGACTTACAGGCGAGACAGGCGGGAGGTGAATACAAGGCACGGCACAATTCGCCAGAAGACACAATCTCAGAAAGCGAGGAAGGGGAATTTGAACGGCTCTACCTGACTGGGAGCTCTTATTGATTGACTACGTCTGCCACTACTGCGGCCCTGACTGTATCTCCGGGATGATGTCCGCAACTCCCCGTCCGGCGGCAGGCGATGGAAGGAATCGCTGCTTTCGGAATGCCACCCAAGATTTTATAGCGTCCTTAAATCATACATTACCCATTTGCCGTCAAAGACAATCACTGCATGGAGGCTGATTGTTAACATCATATTTATTACCTTGGCCGTTGAGCTTTCGCGCCCAAATTTATAGGACTGTAGTGTGTATTAGCAGCAGCCAAAAGAAGTATACTCGAAAAAACATTGTTGACAGGTGTAAATCGCAGGTGTCAAGAATTGCTTTCACTGTGCCAAATGTGTCTCAACGGTCGGGCGGGACACACGGTCAGGCGGGCCACCCTGGTATCCCATATAAAAGATGACTTTTTAATTCTATTATATATCAACCAATACTACTTTTAAGAAGTTCTAATATTGTATATAGATTATATATATAACAATAGATGTCCTATAATTTTTTTAGAATTTTCAAACTATTTATATATATAGTTAGATCAAATTCTTATATAATATAAATAAAATACAGATATTATAATATAATAAGTTGATAAATATATCTATACTAATTTTTGAAAGATATATAAATAATTTTAATATGATTTAAAATCTATACAGAATAAATTTAATCCTTCTAGACTTTGCTGGTTGAGATATATTGTGTTTAAAAAAGTACCTTTTGTCTAGTATTACCAGATGGCCCGCCTGACCGTGTGTCCCGCCCGACCGTTGATTACGTTAGTGTCAGTGATGGATTATATAAGCTAAATTAGTGTAAGTTAACTAACTAAGTTTGGAACTAGTTAGTTAATCACTCTTCGTCTCGAGACACGAAGGCGCGTTGGCCACGCGTCGAGCTCTTGAAGGTTAAAGCGGCACTAGCTTCGCCGAGGCGGCCTTTCAGAAGCTTTGTGTGGACCTGCATGCGATGACGGAATCTGAAAGCGACAAGAGTGAGTGATCAGAAAGCATAGCCAATTCCGACACTGCAAAAGGCTGTGAGGTATTATCCCAGCTCATGACTCCACCAAGTCGGTCCCATCGCCAATTTCGCTGAGATCGATGGTCCACGAAATCGCCTTGTCTTCCCTCGCCTGAGTGGCTCCAAGTCCATATCAAATCCCACAAAGACTGACAAGCTTTGGAAAAGAACGGAGGAAAGATGCCTCTACCTTCCTCATCACCTTCCTCTTCCCAGAATTCGAAGCACAAACAGTCGACCCTCGCGAGCTTTTTTACCAAGAAGTCACAGCCCCTTCAACACGGTTCGGCCAACAACGTCGATCGACAGACGAAGCCTACGGGCAATGGTCCGGAGGGCACGACACCCTCTCGAAAAACACGAACTCGGCAGGATATTTTGACACATGACAAGAATGATGATAACGAGGACGAGGATGATATAGTGGCACCGGCTCCAAAACGAAGTAGGCTGAACGGGTCTCATTCTCAAGGGAATGGCCAGCAGAAAGGCCCCTTGGTCGTGGAAGAACATGTTCATATGTTGCAGAGTAGCCAGCGGACGGATCTCTCCAAATTCGCTAGCTCACCCGCCTCTACACCAGGAACCGGGAGACATCAAACCCTGAACTCTGCGGAAGCAAAACCGAGGCAGAAAGAACTAGATGACTTACATCAGAGATTTGTGCGCCGGCTGGGTGGTGCAGATTGTTTGATAGGCATTAACAGGCATTCTGCCCCTACGGCTGATGCTCTTTCTGCCGAGGACCTTGCTGAAGGGGAGGAAGATGAGGATCCAGCGCCCCCTCCTCCTTCTAAAGGCAAATCTGCTGGCAAGAAGGGTGCTAGTAAGCTTACACCGCTGGAGAGACAGGTTATCGACATAAAGCGTAAGCATAGGGATGCTGTCCTGGTGGTGGAGGTCGGCTACAAGTTTCGGTTCTTCGGTGAGGACGCAAGGATCGCGGCCAAAGAGTTGTCAATCGTTTGCATTCCGGGAAAGCTTCGATTTGACGAGCGTAAGTTAATGATCTGACTTCTCTCCACTAAAGATCACTAATGCATGTTGTTTGCCGTTCAGATCCTTCAGAGGCACACCTCGATCGATTTGCGTCTGCCAGCATACCTGTCCATCGACTACATGTGCATGTCAAGCGATTGGTTGCTGCTGGCCATAAGGTTGGGATTGTGAGACAGGTTGAAACGGCCGCGTTGAAAGCGGCCGGCGACAACCGCAACGCGCCGTTTGAGCGTAAACTCACAAGCTTGTACACGAAAGGTACCTACATCGACGATGTTGATGGTCTAGAAGGACCTATGCCTGCAGCATCTGGTGGTGCTTCTCCCGCAACAGGATATCTGCTTTGCATCACTGAGACAAATGCACAAGGTTGGGGTAATGATGAGAAGGTCCAGGTGGGCATTGTCGCTGTGCAGCCTGCTACAGGAGACATAATCTATGATGACTTTGAAGACGGGTTCATGAGGACGGAAATCGAAACCAGGTTACTCCATATCGCACCATGTGAGTTGTTGATTGTGGGAGACTTGTCCAAAGCTACAGAGAAGCTGGTTCAGCATTTGTCGGGTAGCAAGTTGAATGTCTTTGGTGATAAGACCCGTGTGGAACGGGCTCCCAAATCGAAGACCGCGGCAGCCGAGTCTCACAGTCATGTCTCGAGCTTCTATGCTGGAAAGATCAAGGCAGCTAATGCTGAAGACGATGCGCAGGCGAGTAGCCTGCTTCAGAAGGTGGTGAATCTACCCGAGCAGATCACTATCTGCTTGTCCGCTATGATAACCCATATGAAAGAGTACGGCCTGGAGTACGTTTTCCAGCTAACGAAATACTTTCAACATTTCTCTTCACGATCGCATATGCTCCTCAATGGGAACACCCTTATGAGTCTGGAGATTTACCAGAATCAGACTGACCATACTACGAAAGGCAGTCTCTTCTGGACACTTGATCGAACACAGACCCGTTTTGGGCAAAGATTGCTTCGGAAGTGGGTCGGGCGCCCTTTGCTGGACAAAGCGACCCTTGAAGCAAGGGTCAACGCTGTTGAAGAGCTGCAAAGCGCGGGAAGGACTGTCATAGTCGAGCGACTTAAGAGTCTGTTTGCAAAGATCAAAAGTGACTTGGAGAAAAGCTTAATTAGGATATTCTATGGGAAGGTCAGTCCTTGGATCACATCCCATCAACATTATGTTCGTGGAGATACTAAATTATAATTAGTGCACTCGTCCTGAGCTCCTCACTGTACTCCAAACAATGCAAATGATTGCGCAGGAGTTTGCGGATATCAAAAGCCCCGCAGATGCTGGATTTGACTCGCCTGAGATAAATGAAGCTATCGCCTCTCTTCCTACAATCCTGGATGATGTTGTATCATTTTTGGACAAGATCAACATGCACGCAGCAAGAAATGATGATAAGTATGCATTTTTTCGGGAGGCTGAAGAAACCGATGACATTAGTGACCACAAATTGGGAATCGCAAGCGTTGAGCATGATTTACAAGAACACCGCATCGTAGCCGGTGAAAAGCTCGGCAAGAAGACAGTGGAGTATAAGTCTGTTGCGGGCATTGACTATCTTATCGAAGTTGAAAATAGTTCACCCTTCATCAAGAAGGTACCTGCATCATGGGCGAAAATCAGCGGCACTAAAAAAGTGTCGCGGTTCCACACACCCGAGGTTATTCAACTTATTCGACAACGAGACCAGCACAAAGAGGCGCTGGCTGCGGCTTGCGATAGGGCCTTCCGTGCCCTTCTTGCAGAGATAGCCGCCAAATATCAAAGCTTTCGTGACTGTCTACAATCTTTAGCCACACTGGATTGCTTGATATCCCTTGCTACCATCGCGGGCCAACCTGGATATGTGAAGCCTCAATATACTGAAACCACGTGCATCACGGTCGAGCAAGGTCGCCATCCTATGGTTGAGCAGTTACTGCTGGACAGCTACGTGCCGAATGATATCAAATTGGAGAGCGAGAAGACCCGCGCGCTCCTAGTGACTGGTCCCAACATGGGCGGTAAGTCCAGCTATGTACGTCAGGTTGCCCTGATTGCCATTATGGGACAGATTGGGTCATATGTGCCTGCGGTGTCTGCAAAGCTTGGAATGCTTGACGCCGTGTTTACTCGCATGGGAGCTTTTGATAATATGCTAGCAGGAGAGTCCACCTTCATGGTTGAGCTCTCCGAGACGGCGGATATACTCAAGCAAGCGACCCCTCGATCGCTCGTCATACTCGATGAACTAGGCCGGGGAACGTCAACTCATGACGGTGTCGCAATTGCCCAAGCGGTTTTGGACTATATGGTTCGGTCTATCAAAAGTCTCACGTTGTTCATCACACACTACCAACACCTCTCAGGACTCGCCCAGTCGTTCCCGGCCAATGAATTAAGAAACGTGCACATGCACTTCACCGAATCAGGGACCGGCCAGGATGAGGAGATCACATTCCTGTACGAAGTGCGGGAAGGAGTTGCGCATCGAAGTTATGGACTCAATGTGGCGCGATTGGCCAACCTTCCTGGTCCGCTCTTAGAGCAAGCGCGCCAGAAGAGTAAGGAGCTTGAGCAGAAGATCCGTTGCAGGAAAGTGGCAGGTCTTGTGTCGGCAGTTGAAAGGGTAGTGGGGGATTTCAATGGTGGCGACGAGGGCTTGATGGACCGGCTTATGAGCAGCGCGGAGCAGCTGTAGTTGACATCACTTAGCGTTGTTTTAGCACTCTGCTCATGACCCTTGATGCAGGGAGCGCTGGAAAATTGGCAGATAACGGTCATTATGTACAAACTTAACAATACTCCGGACTTTGTCATTCTACGGCATTTAGCTTCCCAGAGTTTTATGGACGCATCTACGCCTGCGGTTTTTTCGTAGTGTCACAGGTTTCACAGCCATCTAATCTAGAACAGCCAGACAAGCGCATAGCCATTCCATGACTGATTCTAGTTCGAGCACGGAAACCTTGGGTATATGGTTTTGCAAATCGTTATAGTAATTTTCAGCCAGCTCGGAGAGCACGCGAGTGAATTTGGCGACCGACAAACGAATCCAAAACTTGAGGCAGAAAGCAGAGCAAATCATATATAAGTCCGATGGCGACTCCAGCTCGTGGGCCGCCGGATATCGTGAAGGCCGTTTTATCTCAACAGTCCGGTGGATTTCCAATTTTTTTCCTTTTTGTATTTCAGGTTGATCTTGGTCTCGTTTGTTTCTTCTATGGAACCCTGGTATATTGGAACACAGAATGATAGCAAACGCAAATCATCACAACCCGGATGCCGCATCAGCCCATGATATGTTTTTATTGCCTTCCCGACCCCCCAGAATCAATTCCAACGCAAGCAAGGGTGCATAGCCTCGAGACGGAAGAAAATAAAGAAATTCGGAGGATTGAGGAGATTTAACGGAGACGGCGGGCCTCGCGTTCGGACTCGAGCAGGCAGAGGATGTCGTCGACCTTGACTGTAGATGCGAAAGAAATTTGTGTTAGCCTCCCATATTTGCGACGTAACAGTTGTCGGTTGCCTCTGGCGGTGGCCCGAAATTTCTTTCCCGCTTTCAAGAATATCCCAATCTGCCGCGATTCAAGCTTCGTGCATCGAGTTTCGTGCCCACCATCAAATGTAGCCTCGAATTTCACTGGTGGTTCCCGGTCGCATTGCTCTTTCCATCCTAGCTCTTTCTTCTTGGGATATATCTTGGCGGAGGGTTGAGATTTCGGGCCATGCCAAGCGCAAGCGAACAACGAAAACTGATCAAACGGAGAATCGCATACCAGGGCCCTTGACGTTACGGATGATGCTGCGGGAGGTATCGTCCATGAACTCGACGCGGACCTGGGTGACACCACCACGGGAACCTATTGCAATGAGCAGTCAGCGTTGACCGCGCGGCGAGGGACGTTATGGCAGCGCGCGACTGCCGGAGAGTGCTTTGTCGCCAACATACCGGTACGGCCGAGGACACGGGTGACCTTGACGAGCTTAGCAGGCTGCTTGGCGGAATCCATCTTGACGTTGGGCTTGACGGCAGCAAAGGACTGACGGGATGGAGGTGAAGATAGCGAAGGGGGGACCGGGTTGATAGAAAGTGAAGCCGTTCGGTGAAAATGGAACGGAATTGCGGGCTTGTGTGGGCTGCATTTCTTTTTTGGGAAAGAGACGAGGGCTCAGGGCTAGTTCTGCCTCACCCGTCAGGCATACAGTATTTGGCCTGGTATATCAGGCATGGGCGGGGAGGGGCAATATGCCTCAGGCATCAGAGCATTTCTCCGGACCCACGGGTCCGTCTCTGCCTTTTCTGCCGCGATGATGTCCCGGCTTCCAAGTCGCTGACCGGTCTTTACCAATTTCCTCTTCCCTTCCCCTCACCAGTTCTCAAAGTGCCTTCTCGCTGGCATACTGTACTTTGCGATTACACTCGCATTATTACGAGATTTCTCGCCGCGTCAATCTTTATCAATTACCCTCTGCTAGGCCGCTAACCACCTTCCTTACCACCTGAACGATTTACCCCGCGCATCATTGATTGTCAACCGAAATGGATCTTGTCAACCAGTAAGTGTCAATTGGTTACCCAACATGGCCTGGGGCGCGAAACCTGCACAGTAGATCACTATTTCGATGAAATCTCAAGTGTGTTAACCGTAATTTTACAACAGCCTCGAGGGAAGACTACTTTTCGCCGTCCCTAAGAGCAAGTGCCCGCCATGACTCACTCTCCTCCGTCCTAAGAAGCCTCAATGCCTCCCTTGACATACGAGCGCTAGCTTGTTGCATCCCCACAAGACAACTCAATTGCAAAAGGCAGCTAAAGCTAATACTCTTCTTGTCATTACAGAGGGTCGTCTTCAACAAGCTACCTTGGATCTCCTGGCCGGTGCTGACATCCAGTTCCGTCGCGAAACCCGCCTGGATATCGCCCTGGTAAAGAACTTGCCGATCGCACTTATCTTCCTCCCCGCCGCCGATATCCCAACTTTCGTGGGCGAAGGGCGTGTGGATCTGGGTATCACTGGTCGGGACCAGGTCGCCGAGCACGATGCGCAGCTGCCTCGTGGTGAGGCTTCCGGCGTTGAAGAGGTTATGGACCTTGGCTTCGGCGGCTGCAAGTTGCAGGTTCAGGTTCCTGAGAAGGGCGAAATCACGGACGCCCGCCAGCTGGTCGGCCGCAACGTCGTCACTAGCTTCACTGCCCTCACCGAGGCCTTTTTCGCTAAGCTCGAGGGTGAGATTGAAGGCAACCTGAAGACCAAGATCAAGTATGTCGGCGGCAGTGTTGAGGCTGCCTGCGCTCTGGGTGTGGCTGATGGTATCGTCGATCTGGTTGGTATGTGCAGGCTAGTATCACCTCGCTTGGAGGATGCGATAGCTGATCCGTGTTTCTGTATAGAATCCGGTGAGACCATGAAGGCTGCCGGTCTCAAGGCCATTGATACCGTTGTTGAGAGCACATCCGTTCTGGTCAAGTCCCGGAACACTCAGAATCCTCTGGTCGAATTGATCGCTTCCCGTATCCGTGGTGTTATCAGTAGGTCATTTCACTCCCACGCTGCCGGACAACCCCATTAACAGATCCCTCTCTTGCAGCCGCTCAGAGATACGTTCTGTGTCAGTACAACATCCCTCGCGCGGAATTGTCAACCGCCTCCAGCATCACGCCTGGCAAGCGCGCCCCGACGGTGACTGCTCTGGATCAGGATGGCTGGGTGGCTGTCAGCGCCATGGTCGAAAAGAAGAAGATCGCTACCGTCATGGACGAGCTGATCAAGGTTGGCGCCACGGACATCCTTGTCTTGAACATCGCCAACTCGAGAGCGGCCTAAATCATATGTCTATAAACGAGGGCCGCTTCTGTTTCGATTTTTAGTTTAAACGTTCATGATGATCTTCTTGGTATTGGGCGTGATATATTTTTCTTTGTTTCATTTCCTCTTGTATGATTACCCAGCATTTTGTTCCAAAAATAGAAGGATTGGGTGCACTTGTCAAACGGTTGCTTCGAATGTACAGGTTGGTTACTCGTCAGATACTATATATATAGAGATAATGATATTTGTCACCTAGAACGACGTTTTTACGTGGCTTGTACTAAAGACATACATTATGCTGACTACGGGACCTTTGCCCACCAACATGCAGAATCAGAGCTCACGGCAGCACTCGTGGTTGAATTTCATTTTCGCTCGGTGCGTTATCATTTATGCATATATGTCCAATCACCTTTTCATACTGTTCTCAAGAATGACAAGTAATCTTACTTTTTTAATATCCAGAGCCCAAGAAAATTGGTTGAGAAGTCAAGTAACAGTGGCCTGAAACCGAGGGCTTACCATCATGTGCCATCCTGACAAGAAGTAATCCAACCGCACCCCGGTTTGACTTGAAACCACTTCACTTACCAAAGCTTGAATAACAACACAACTCTCTCTGATCGCAACGTGTCAACACTAGTCTCAATAGATAAAATCTGAACTGATGTTTCATACTTTTGACCTAAACCCCAAGCTTCCCAAGCCTGGGAAAGATGATCGTGCGCCAGCGGGCCACAATGATCGCGTTCGCACAGCATGTGAGCTGTGTAGACAGATGAAGGTCAAATGTGACGGGGCACATCCCTGCAAGCATTGCGCTCAATTCTTTCATGGTAGGAGATCTTTGAGCCCCTAAGGCTATTGCATGTCTACACGCTCGGTACGGCCTCCAATGTACTAATGACCACAAGAGTGCATCTACCGCCATCCGCGTCGGAAACGACAAGCCGACCTGGATCACGGGAAGTTCGTCAGACCAGGCAAAAGACCCAAACTGCAAGAAAATTCAAACGAGGTTGATGGCGCTGCTGCAGGTTCTTCGCTACATGTAGCCTCTCAGCAGGCCACACCAATCGACAGACATGATGATGCTACACAAAGTGACCATTTGGAAGCACGACACCATGGGTCATCTGGAGAACGATCTTTCATAGAACGACTCAAGATAGAGTTTGGTGACTGGCCGAACATCGAATTTGAAAGCAGATTGCGCGTGAAAGAGCGAATAGCTCCCAGGCTGTTTCTCTTGGGACCCCAACGTAACTTGTCGATAAAACTTGCGGCTCTCCCACCGCATGAAAGAGCAGAGCCACTGGTCAATCGAGCTCTGGACGCGCACTTACTCTACCATGCTCTGCATCGACCCACTTTCGCTTCTGTCTTTCGGTTATTGTACTCTCTCGATAAGGAAGATTATGGAGAGACAGAGAAAAGCCACATTCCTCTACTTTACGCTCTAATGGCTGTTGGCTGCCTGTTCGAGAGACACACTGGGAATAACGCCGAACAATCATCAGAAAGTTCGATTGCAGAGGGGTGCGTCAACCCAGAGAAAAACAAGTCGAGTTGACCACTCACTGACAGTAACAGATTGAGGTATTTTGAGATCTGCCGCGACAGCATTGATCTCGACGCTTGTGATAATCTTTTCGCCATGCAGGCCATATTCTTCATGAACTTATTTCTCATCAGCACATGTAGATTATCTCGGTGCTACACCTATGTTTCTCACATGCTCTCATTAGCTTTGCGCATGGGCCTTCATCAGCCCGGTAAGACGGACAGCTCAGTCGTTAGTGAGACCAAGAAATCGCTTTTCTGGGCCATATGGCAGCTCTTGGTCACCGTGGCTTCCATGTGCGGCCTACCCAAACCAATACCTGCTGATGAGATAGGAATCGACTACCCGGAGGATGTAGCCGCTGATTTCGACTCAAATCCATTAACGTCGAAAGCAAAAGAGAACGGCCTATCATCAGAAACAATATCCAGTCATTTGAGTTATGTGAAGCTTCATGAGATTCTTTACAATATCGTGAAGAGCCTCTATCCTCCGAGCACTAAGAAAGACAAGGACGCAAGCGGCTTATTGAAACATTTTGTAACGAAGCATACTATTTTCAAGTTCGAGGACGAGCTACGGAGCTGGACCAGGTTTCCGTCTATTCGTGCTATACTGGGCAAACATGAAGATAATCTTTGGGTCCGAAGGTAAGGGTGACCGGGAGATTTTACACCGATGCATGTGCAAAACTGCTCACAAGCTATAGGGCGCGCTACGAATTGTGTATGACATACGCTCATAATCAAGTCTACTTATACCGACCCTTCATGCACTACCTCCTGGAGTACCACAATCAAGAGCAAGAACCACAACAGTACGCAATAGCTGGCATTCGTGCAAGCTGTAATATTATCCGCCTTGCGCAAGACATGCAGCGTCATGGTCTGCTATTCGGTGCGCAATGGCGCGTGGCACATATGCTTTCGACATCTGCTCTCACACTCCTCTACGTTCTTCTGATCTGCAAGCCATCGACGTTGGCGCCATTTCTCAAGGCCGAGCTGGATACAGCCAGGGCTATGATGATGGCTCTTCGACCTTATTGTATCCACTCACAACGCACACACATTGCAGTGACGGTACGCTGTATTGTCTCATTGATCTCTCAATTGACGCTAACCAATTTGTCAAGGTGTTAGCGACTGCACTCTCAGATGAAACGAAGGTGCAAGATTCAGCGAGTGTCAATGACCAAGCTGACGTCGCTCGCGAACCACACTATGTGGGGACTCGTGATTTGGTGGCGAGGACATTTGCCAATTCATCGAGTCCTGAAGATATAAGAAGCCAAGCAGAGATGGAGAATGTCAACCAGCAAAAGCCTTTAAGGTATCCATGGGAACAGACTGTTCAAAGTCAATCGCCTGCAGCCAACGCAGCTTCGCAGCGAACGAGGTTGCCCGATGGGCACTTTGGTGATTCCTCAACCTTCGGTTCTGCGCAGTCTCTGATTGAGGGGATCGCGGCCATGTCAGAGCAGGCAGATGTCCGAACGAGTTTAGTCGCAATGCAGCCTGAGATGACGATGTATGGAGAAAGCTCAAGCACAACAGAGAGCACGGATTTCATGGAGGCACGACCTTATATCGATCAGCACATTTATGAACAGTTCGACTATTATGCACAGTCGGTCGGCTACGAGAATATTAATTTCTACGGTGGAGACGACCTTTTTTACCCTTTCGATATCTGATCCCCGAGTGTCCTACTCGCGAATACGTTCCACCGACCGTTCAGCGATGACAGCACAAGCTTGCCATGATTTTCCTTTACTCATAAAGAGAATACCCGAACGGGTTGATGGGTAAAGGCAGAAAGACACTAACCCGATTATCGGATCTTGTGCCCGATTCGGAAGTGTATTTCACTGCCGATGCCCACCAACTGATGCCTTTTCAACTGACACGCAATGTTGTAGGCCAAAGATAGAAAAGGATGATGGTCCATCAAAGTCATCTTCAAATATACTCGGGCTTGTGGCTGTGCTTTGGCGAGCAACCATCTTAGCTTCATTTGTTCCAGGTTAAGTAAGTAGCACAAAAACAGACCAATTTTTTCTCATACCATGAAAGAACATGAGAAATTGGGGTTCCCCCTTTCCAACAGGCGAGGAATCTACGAATCAGAAGTCGAGGTGACATCACGCTCAACAGGAGAGCAGTATCCGGTGACCGATCTGAGCAAAGGAATCGTTGGATGGGAAAGTCAGGATGACCCTTCGAACCCGAGGTCAGTGATGGTCGGACTTAATAACGTCAACAGCACTAATTGTATGATAGGAATTTTCCGGCAAGGCGGAAGTGGTTTTTGCTTGTTCTAATCAGCATGATCACGCTGATCAGGTATACCATCTGTTGACCCAGGCTCCCATGCCTCCTATAACTCACTTCACCAACAGCCCCTTTGCGTCTTCTGTGTTTGCCTCAGCTGCAGTGCTCGCCAGAGAAGAACTTGGAAACACATCCTCGATCCTAGAGACTTTTACTGTGACGGGTTATCTATTCGGTTACATGGTACACGTTCTAACATGGTGCAAGATTTCGATACAGCGCTTACTAGAAAACCATAGGCTGGTCCACTCCTCTTTTCTCCGTTGAGCGAACTCTTTGGACGTACAATCATTCTCAATATCGGAACGACTTGTTTTGTACTGTTCCAGGTTGGCTGCGCGCTGGCTCCGTCTATTCGAGCATTGATCGGCTTTAGACTTCTGACAGGCATTGGTGGCTCCGCATGCTTAGCTACAGGAGGCGGAGTTGTTTCGGATCTATTCGTAGCTGAAGAGCGTGGGCTTGCAATGTCCATCTACCAGGCAGGGCCACTTCTTGGGCCTGTCCTTGGACCCATCTGTGGCGGATTCATCGCCGAAAGGGCCGGCTGGCGATGGGTGAGTGCTTTGTTGCATTAGCCCCCTTCGCCGTGTGCTTGCTTAGGCCCCCCTCAGGATATCTGACCATATACAACTAGGTCTTTTGGGTCCTAGTCATTGGTGGTGGAACTTTAACTTCTCTTGTCATGGTTTTCAATCGCGAGACAAATCCCACGGTCCTGATTCGGCGCAAGACTGCACATTTACAAAAGGCTCTTGGCAAAGCAGATTTGCGAAGCTGTTTTGATACACAGGGCGACAAGCTGCAACTACCCCTAACTCGCCGACTATCCATGCCTCTGCAATTACTATTCCGATCGCCCATCGTTTCGATGATTGCCATTTACATCGCTATAGTCTACGGATGCATGTACCTCCTCTTCACCACGGTGACCGAAGTCTTCCAAAGCACATATCACTGGAGACTCGATATTAGTGGGCTGTCCAATCTTGGGATCGGGGCTGGGTTCATCGCCGGCCAGCTTGCATTCGGCCTGCTGAGTGACCGCATGATCGCGCGGCAGAAGCGGCGCAACAACGGTGAATATGAGCCGGAGATGCGGCTGTCTCTGAGCATCTACTTTGCGATCTGCCTTCCAGCCTCTTTCTTTTGGTATGGGTGGTCAGTGGAAGCCAAGACCCATTGGATAGTGCCAATCGTGGGCCTGTTCCCCTTCGGATTCGGAATGGTAGGCATCTTTGGCACACTCCAAACATACATCATCGATTCCTACCCGCGGTATGCGGCGTCGGGAACAGCGGCAGTGACCGTGACTCGCTCCTTGCTCGGGGCCCTGCTGCCTCTGGCTGGATCGCCCATGTATGCGGCTTTGGGTTATGGGTGGGGAAACTCGTTGCTCGGGTTTATCACGTTGGCTCTGCTTCCCTTGCCCATTGTTTTCGGTCGGGTTGGTAAAGGCCTTAGGCAACGGTTCGCAGTGGCATTGTAATTGTTTGAGCATAATCCTTTCGGGATGGGCTGATCTGGACGGGCGGAGAATGCAGCTAGGTTGTGTAGGATCAGTGGGTCAATTTTGTTAGCGAGGGGAGGCATCCAGATCGTTGGATGAGTATATATGTTTGATCGGCGTGTCCTGTCAGGGCACTCGACATTTTACACTTCTAGGTAGTAGTTATAACATGAACCTTCCATTGGGGGTCATCCTCAGCGTGTGGAGACTGCCTTTGCTTAGGTCAATGTATATTTCTCCACCCCGAGAGGAAAAAAATTGCAAGCTAAAACTGACCTGACTTACTGTCCAAGTCTTTCAGTTCATACTGGGACAAATGATTTGTTGGTAGTAGTACGCGCGGATCTCGGACCCCGACCCCGCCCCGATATTGAGGTTAAGCGCCGCGCTAACCCCAAATCCGAAGACATCAGCAATTAGAAGTATACTCCGTAGTTAGTGCTTCTTGTGGCCGCATGAATGGGAAGAAGAGCCCCAGCCTTTTCCCCTCGCAAGCTCGCAATTATCCACGTAATCAGCGCTTAGAGTACTGGCAAGAGGCAGTGACTTGAGCCCAGTTTCATCCTCAATCTCCGTAGATGATCCTAATGCAATCAGCAGTATAGAAAAACGCCTTCACACATATCCAACTACTACACATTACTAACTCTCCCGAACAAGAACGGCTGGCTACTCATCCAAGCCTTTCCGCCTTCCCTTGATAAATCAGAAAGGCCGATACTTCTGGCCCTCCACATCCTCCAACACCCTCACAGCCCTCCGATACCCCTCCATCTCCCTCAGCGCCTGCACGTAAGCCTTCAACCGAGGGAACCTCAGCGGGTCGATCGCGTTGATCTCATCCGCGATCACCAACGGATAACTCATCAAGATATCCACCGGCGTGAATTGTGAGCCCGTGAGGTACGATCGAGGAGATGTTGTCGTTGTCGTTGTCGTTGGCGTCAACTGACCCTCCAGAAACGTAAAATGCGTGTCCAGGTTCGGGCGCGTGTACTCCTTATTCACGATGGCGGGGACGATCCCCAGCAAGGGTTTGACGAAGAATGGGGCCGGGGCGGTTTTGACCGCTAAAACGATTCATCCAGATAAACCAGTCAGTTCAGCCAGAGCTAAAAAGCGCGGGAATAGGGAGAATAAATTCATTAGTCGTCGGAAAATGACACCGGGAAAGAAAAAAGAAAAAAACACAAACCATCCATCACAATCCTCGTCACCACCAACGGCATCAAACTCCCCTCCGCGTAATGCATCAGATATCGGTACCGGAGCCACGCCTCCGTCTCCCCGCCTACCTGGCCCTCTTGCCCGGCCTCCCAGCGCGGCGGCGTGGTCAGCCCAGATTTGAAGCCTGCTTGATCCTCCGCGGGGTCGGATTTGGTTGCTACTGCTGGTGGTGCTGCTGGTGGTGCTGCAGGAGGCGGGAAATGATCAACGAGGTACTCGACAATGACGGCGGATTCGGCCAGCAAGAGAGCTGGCTTGTTCGCAGCCGGGGCGATGCTAAGCACGGGAGCTTTGCCGAGCGGGTGCAGGTCTTTTAGGGACGGTGGGGAGCGTTGTTGGGCGTCGCGCTTGTAGGGCCGGATTTCGTAGGTGAGGTTGAGTTCGGTAAGGAGCCAGAGGATGCGTTGCGAACGAGAGCGTTCGAGGCTTTTTTTTTACCCCTTCTGTTAGCTGATTAGGGGGGGAAGGGAAAATGCGGGCAAGGCTTTTACTTACGAGTGGAGGATGATTTTGGCGCCGCGGTTGGCGTTCATGGCTGCTGACATTTTGTGATTGATGGATGAGGGAGCAGAAGGGAGACAGTGGAGGAGTTGAAGAGGAGAATACGAGCGCTTATATACGAGGGCTAACGATCATGTCATGCTGTTTATATTGGTGCTGAAGGGGAAATCCTTTTGGGGCCGTTGTGCTGCAGGATCGGAGTCTGTAAGCGCTAACCCCGTGGTTGCCTCGCCGAGCCACGAGTCGGAGTCGAGTCTGGACAACGTTTACATAAAGTATTTGCATATGTACAAATGGTTATTTTCTTCAATACCATGGTACAGAGAGGAGATCCAGGCCAGACATACAGCGCCCAGATCCCATGATATCACTTTTCATCATGTCATCCATCATAGTCATATACAAGAGTTTAAACAGGGTATCGAAATCTAAGCGGCTGGCTCCCCGACGAGCAACAACCGCGTCTAATGCAGAGAGACAAACCAAAAACCAAAAAAAAAAAATTCAAGAAGGAGCAGACTGCCCCAGTCCCACTCCCTCGCGGCGGCCCCGGATCAATGCCTGCAGGCATTTACCCACACCCTCCAGGTCGCCCAAAAGGCCTACATGGCCTCGATCGCTTCTGACAAGCCCGCCCTTGATAATACGGTACCCCGGGGGTAGCATGGCCGCCGACGCCAGACATACACCATCTCCCGCGGCAAAGGCTAGATCATCGTATGCATCCTGCTGCTTGATACTTTCTCGGGAGGCCACGCGCGCTCCGTAGACGGTAGGCACGGACTTTCCGTACAGCACGGCGAACGGGGGGTATCGATTGTTCGCTTGATGCGCTGCGTCAAAGACCAACTCTTCTTTGAAGCGTCGCACCTCGGCCAGGGTGCGCTCTAGGTAAGTGATGGCGGTGGCGCGGGGAATGGTCACAGCCGTCGTGACCTTGGTGTTGCTCGAGCCGCGCAGGCTGGAGCTGGGACCAATGGCCCCTTCCACGGCTGGGGGTGCCACGGGAGCGGGTTTCATTGCGGCTGCGGTGGGTGGGTTGGCACTTTGATTAGGGGCGGGCTTGTTGGAGTTGGACGCTTCGCCGCCGTCGGACGAAGAGGCTGATCCGCTGCTCGGGAGACTGTCCTTGCTGCTCAGCACTGTCGAGAGACGTTTGCTGATCAGAGGCAGGTTGTCCTTGACGAAGCCCCGGCTGGGACTACCAACCGGCAGGGCTGGGTTGATGCACGGTGATAGTCGATACTCATCCCAGCTCTGCACATCGAAGAAGTCAACCCGATACTCTTCTTTGGTGCGCTGGTCGATAAAGCAGTGCCCATCTTCGGGCAACAGGGCAAAACTGGTGCGAAAGGTGAAGTTCACCTGGGCTGTGAGGACACGGGAACTCAGCAGCACATCGTCACCGTTGCGCAACGGCCCGAGGATGTTGACGCAGTGCTGCGGAACACCGGCATATAAAACACCCGCGAACAGATCTGGGCGCTGGTTGACGGCATGTCTGGTGATTAATCCTCCGAGACTGTGCGCAATCACGTATGCTCCGCGCTTGTGACGGGGTGTATCCGGATCATTACTGGGAAGGCCTTCCAAGAATTTGATTAGGCGCTTAGCCAAAAGATGGGGGCTCAGGCGCCAGTCATAACCATAATCCCACACACGCAGATCTCCGCGCGTCGCATTAGGGCACTTCCGCAGCCGTTTCATCAGGCGGCGGCAGATGTCTACAGGCCCAACGTGCGACAGGACCCCAGAAGGAATAATAGTCTCCTCCATCCGTTCCTCGTCCTCGGGGTTCAAGCCCACTTCGAGGTCGACCTTGCGCAGATTCAACCCGACCTTCATTGGTACCCACAACTGGCGTTGTGGAGGTTTGGCAGATCGTAGAACCGAGCCGCGGTAGCCGCCTAGGATGACTACGTCGCCTGTCAAATCCTCCATAGCATCAGACAGGCGAGGGTGCTGGGCACTAGAGCTGGATCGCGGGGACCGCGTGCGTGGTGGTGGTGGTGGCAGCGACGACGGTCCCATCGGGTCAGCCGGCGGCCGTTCAAGCGGCGCGATCTGTTTCTCCTCGTGGATCTTTCGAGGATTGACCTCAGACAGAAAGGGCCGATAGCCCCAGTCGCTGCGGAGATCCTGCAGGTGCAGGGTAGGCATGCTTAAAAGCCGACTGCTGGAGTCCTGCAGACTGTCCTTGATCGCCTTGAAGCGGCTATTCACCTGGGAATGGATATGCTCATAGCGGGGACGCTGCTCGAGCGAAGAGGCTGTGGAGGAGCGTCGCAAATAAAGCGATTGATCAGAAGATGAGCGCCGCAGCAACGGCGGCGTTTTGCTGGAAACGCCGGCGCTAGGCCGGCGGGCATAGGAATGGCGGGCAGCGGTGGCCCCCGCTAGAGGCCTGAGATCGGAGATGGGTTCGTCCGTGGAATCCTCAGTCATAGATCGTCGGTGGGCCGGCTCTGCAGCGGGTTTGACGGTGCGTGGAGAGGGCTGGCTAGCGATGCGCTTCGTCCACGAGTCCGGCAGAAACTTCTTCAGACGAAGGTTGGTGATGGAGTCGCCAGACCAGGCACGAGGGCGCAGTGGCAGACTGGTCTTGAGGAGAGAGCGGGTGAAGCTGGACCGATGATCCTTCAGCTTCTCCCTAGCGCCTCGCGAAGGAGGCGGTTGCGAGGGCTGCTGAATCTGTTCGGGTTCTTGTGTGAGTTGGCTGGCAAAGAGACCATTGTCGGATTCGGGAGAGTCGGGAATGGCATCAAAGAACCCGCCATGTTGATCCATCAGGCGGCTTTTCTCGGCAGCTGGAGTGCGACGGGCCTTCATGCGGCTCTGGGTTCGACTGATACTGATGCCAACCATATCATGGGCTTCATCTTCGCGAGTGGGATCGCGGAAAGACAATTCTTCGCTATCGGAGCTAGTATTGCCACTAGCGGGTTGCATTTGCACCGCCATATTGTATATGAGTGTTATGAAGTTGTTGAAGGACAGTGGTCACCCATTGAAAGAAGGAACTATGAGTAGTAAATAGATTGGGAGAACTGGGAGAAACAACGAGGCAATGGCGAGATGAAAGAGGCTCCATGTGAAAGTGGATGTGGTCGGGGAGAGAGAGGGGGAAGCTGAAGCTAAAGTAGAACTACGGAGTCGGAGGAGGTGGAGCCATCGCTAGTTTATTGAATTGATGATAGAAGGGAATCAGCAAGGAGAACAGAGGAGTAATTGAGATGGGGAAGACAAGGGGGGAGGCAAAACAGCTCAAGATGATGTGAAAGAGGAAATTTGAAAATAAGAATGAGTACGAGATAAGCTGAAGAAAGAAGAAGAGAAGAGAAAAAAAGAAGAAAAGACAAAAAAAAAAAGAAAAAAGAGAAAAAGAGAGCGAAAGAGAGAGAGAGAGAGAGGATTTGAAGGATGAGGAAAACGGTTCCACCGGCACAGCCCCGGGAGGGCCGGAATGGCTAAGACAACCATTCACGCTACTGTTGTGGATCAGGGCGAAGCTTTCCTCCCTCCCCGTCATATGTGAGATCTGAGAACCAAAAACTACAGTACGTATTAATAGCAATAGCATTAATGGCATGCTCGCCAAAGGATTGAACACAGCCGAGGTGATTGGTGGTAGTTACGTATTGTGCTAGTATTAATGCCGATGGCCCCATCTCAGCCCGCAAGCTCAAGGAATATGAACAACCTGATTCATTATGAAACACAAGAAAAGAGTACAGTACAGTAGTACATCTTTGCTACAGTGTGCTAGTAGTCAACCCTGAGCAGGCAGCCATTTGACCGGGTCCCACCCCGCTCAGCTTATCAACAATAAAATCAAGCAACAAGCATTAGTCGTATCATCGTAATCGTATAATCCTAAACACGAGAGGTCAATCTATTTCAATACCTGCTCCCAAACTGTCCGGTCTGGATCTCTCGCTCGCCCTTGTCTGCAATGGCTTCGTTCTTGACCACCCCATCATTGTGGCCGAAGGCTGAATCTACAGCCGCGTTGATTCCACCGCGTAGCGACTCCCCGGCCCCCTGTTTATGGCCCGTCAGCTACTGCAAGGCTGCAATCAGTGACTGATCGAGATTAGTGACTTACGTGGATCCCCGCCGCTGCCGACTTAACCCCGCGCCCGACGCTCTCGCCCGTGCGCGCCGATTGACCGCCAGCGGTAGTGGTAGTACCGGTAGTGGGATTGGCACCGCCGACTGTCCCCGTGCCCTGGCTTGAAGATGAGGCCGTTGGCTGATAACCCACTCCGCCCGCGGTGCCTGTCGTATCGGTGGGTTCGCGCATCGCACCGGAGCCCGTTTGGTTCGTGGATTTGGTAGACATCTCGCCCGTGCGGCTGTTTACACGAGGGTCTAGCTTATTCAGCAGCGATGAGCTGTGTGGTCCCTTCGTCGAGGTGCCCGAGGTGGAAGTGGTGGCAGTCCCGGCAGTGGCCTGCGGGTGCACGTTGCCTGTGGTGGTCGTGCCGGGAGCGTACTGGACGCGGTTGTTCAGATCGCTGTCAACTCGGGGATCCGCCTTGTTGGCCATGTCGGAGCGATGCGGTCCAGCAGTGGTCGGGGCCGGGCCGGTCCTGGCCTCGCCAGTGCTGGTGATGCCAGCCTGGGTAGCAGTACCGGTGGCCGCTGCGTTGGTGTCATAGTATGGAGTCTGGGTAGTGTTCATCGTGACTGTAGTGTGTAGTTTCGATTGGAAGGGGTTGAAGTCTGGATTTGTGGTACAAGCTTTGCTAGTGCACTCCACCTGTCACTTTCAGGGCATTATATAGCCATTGTTTTGAAGGCAAAAAGGAGGGACAGGCGACATCATCGCGCGTGAGCCGGTGACGTCAAGCTGACCACAATTCACAATTCTTGCAAACCGTGGAGAGAGAGGAAAGTGAACCAGTCAAACAAAGACCCTGGAGATCGGCTCAGAGATCGACAGTTCGCCCTCCATATCGGTGACCCGATGACATCCATGACTGAATGAGGGTTGATCATCACTTCAGGTGCCTGCCTGCCTGCCTGCCTGCCTGCTTTGCCTCTTTACAACAGCCGATCATGTGACCGATGAAGCCTTATCGATAAGCAATGAAAAAAATGATGTCATGCTGCGTGCATAACTTATCAGTTCTTTTGCTGCCTCAGGCGTCACTACTTCAGACAATTATGCACCGAGCAGTTTTCATGGCAGCAACCCAACGCTCTACCGTGGAGATTTCGGTAGCCAGCATATCTATCATGTTCATAACCTCTTCTCCAGCTAGATTTGACTGAATCGCCCAGACCCCCGAATGTCACCCTGCCGCGGCTGTGCGACTCTCCGGTCGGACATCTTACCTCAATGAGCTTCTACTCCATGAGCCGAGGTTCAATCCTCTGAAATCCATCAACGACCTGCCTGCGAACCCCCGGCGACACCCCCCCCCCCCCACAAAAAAGCATCCATATCTCTTCTAAACTGTTCTACAACATATTCCCAAGTCCTGACTTGTTCTCAAACATACTTCACAATGCCTTTGGAAAACCGCCAACTCATCTACACCAACCCCCCGAAAGCCGCAATCGACCCCTCGCTAACCGGCAACGGCACCTTCACCCTCAAAACCCAGACCCTCGCCGACGATGTTCCCTTGAAGGACAACCAAGTGCTGGTGCGCATCCACTACCTGGCCCTGGAGCCGGCCATGCGCCAATGGCTCACAGCCAAGCGGTCGTACATTGCGCCCGTGGAGGTGGGCAGCGTGATGCGCGGCCAGAGCATCGCCCAGATCCTGCGGGTCAGCCCGGCGCTGGCCGGCACCTTCCAGGTCGGCGAGTGGGTGGCCGCGCACTCAGGCTGGCAGGAGTACGCCATCCTCCCGGACAAGGCGATTCAGAAGATCACCATTTCGCCAGGGTGCCAGCCCACTGACGCCTTGTCCGTGCTGGGGATGACGGGGTTGACGGCGTACTTCGGCATGACCGAGGTCGGCCAGCCGCGGCCGGGGGACACGGTGGTCGTGTCCGGGGCCGCGGGCGCTACGGGCATGGTGGCGGGCCAGATCGCGCGCATCAAGGGTGCAAAGCGGGTGATCGGCATCGCTGGCAGTGCGGACAAATGTCGCTTCCTGCGCGAGGAGCTGGGCTTCGACGCGGCCATCAACTACCGCGACCCGGACTGGCGCAAGCAGCTGAAGGAGGCGACCCCGGACTACATCGATGTCTTCTACGACAACGTCGGCGGCGAGATCCTGGATGCCTGCTTGTTCCGGGCCGCCAAGGGGGCGCGGTTTGTGATCTGTGGGGCGATCAGTCAGTATAATGTGGAGAAGCCCGAGGGACCGAGGAATTACTTGATGGTTATTGTGAGTACCTAGTTCCTTTCCTGTCCTCGCGGTGGTGCGGGATAGTGGCGGCTAACGAAAGACAGTCGCAACGGATCACGATGCGTGGGTTTATCGTGTTTGACTACGAGGACAAGTATCCGGCTGCGCTGAAGGAGTTGGGTTCGTGGTTGAGTCAGGGGAAGATTAAACGGAAGGAGCACGTTGTAAAGGGCGGGTTGGAGACGACCCCTCGAGAGTTGGTCAATCTGTTCAAGGGGGTGAATACCGGCAAGATGATGGTGGAGGTAGTGCCAGAGAGCGAGGCCATCATCAAAGTAGACAAAGCTAAGCTGTAGCTTGACGAGTACTATACGAATCCACGAGCGCAAGAAACCCCTGACCCTCAGGGCGCTTTCGAATAGAAGAGGTGATGCAAAAGAAGAAAATCACATTTTTGTCATTACAAGACATTAATCGTATCCATAGGCATTGATGTACACATTCAGACAGTTCCAGCCGCCAGAACATACCCTCCGTCCACGACCAGGGTCTGACCGTTCAAGTACTGGTTGGTAGCCGCAAACAAGACGGCACTGGCCATATCCTCATCCTTACCAGGCCGAGCAGCGGGGATCTTACCCTCATACTTCTCCTTCTCGAGCGCACTCTTCTGCTTCTCATCACTCTCCCCGGCCGTCATCTCACTCGGGAACACGCCGGGGGCGATGTTGTTGACGCGGATGCGCAAGCCGGAGCTGGCGATTTCATGGGCCAGCATCTTGGACAGATGCACGGCAGCGCCCTTGGAGGCGTTGTAGGCGAAGTGGTGCTGGCTGACCTTGACAATGCCCGAGATGCTGGTGATGTTGATCACGGTGCTGCTCCAGCCCTGGGTCTGCTCGCTGGCCTTCTGCAGCAGCGGCAGGAAGGCCGAGGTCATCAGGTAGGGGTGGACGACGTTGGTGCGGTAGACGCTCTCCCACTCCTCGGGCGAGGAGCCCTCGTCGAAGAGCGACTTGCTCAGGTCTGCGGCGTTCTCGTGCTCCGTCGTCTGGGTGCTGCTACTGATGCCCGCGTTGTTGATCAGGATGTCCAGCCGCGACTCGCGCGACTCGAGCTCCTGCACCAGCTTCTTGATGCTGGCCTTGTCCGTCACGTCCGCCGCCAGCGGGATGATCTCCCCCTTGGCAGACTTGCCGTACAACTCCGCCACCCGCTCCAGCTTCTCCGACGTGCGCCCCGTGATGTAGACTTTGCTGCCGTTGGTAGCCAGCGCCTGCGCGGCCATCAGGCCGATACCGCTGCCGCCGCCGGTAATAAGGGCCACTAATCGTCTCGTGTTAGTAAGACGTGTAGCACAAGACTCGAGCTGCCAATGCTGTTGAGTTTGAGTGTTGGGGATTGTCCAGTCATCAGGGATGTTTTTAAGGTGTAGCCAAAATATCACACGCGAGGGTGACGTACCCTTATCCTTCACATTGAACAGGCTCTCCAAGGTAAAGTTGGCGTTGCTGACTTCGGCCGCCATTTTGGTGTTTGAGTTCGCGAATTGAGGGGTGCTTGCTGTAAATAGGGTAGGTCGTGAGGTCGTGAATGTTCTGACTGCAGTAGTGCTGATGGGAGGAGAAAGACGACTATATAGTGTGGTTGAACGATGGCGTAATGATGCGCCGACGGAGCGTGGCAAGCGAACACTGCGATTGAACATGATGGCACCTCCACAGAATCTAGAGTAATCTACTGGCGTGATCGAGTGGGTTTAATGTAGGAGTGGTGGTGAGCTTCATCAGTATGACGTTTGGGCGCTGGGGCGGATGAAGTCATGGTGATGGATTCGGAGATGGGGAGGTAAACTTACTCCTTTGTCCGAGTCTAATGCTGTCTGTCCCTGTTGATCTCATCATCCCTCATCCATTTTAAAAGTCCTATGTATACCACAAGTCATGTGTCTATTCAGGGACGACTGTCCTTATGCATCTATCTACACTTAGCTTGTAGCCCGGCCAAGCTTGAAACAATTCGTCGAGGAACAACAGCACTTCCTATGTATACAGAGCGAGTTCGATTAACTACCCACTGGAATAAGACAGATCCAGTCCATCCTAGTATTAACAACTGCAGCTATGGTCCGCTGCAGCAGAATTATGTTCAAGATTAAAGAAACGAGAAGCGAATCAAGTAATCACCGAACCTTCCCTGCCTCTCTCACCTCGCTCATAAACCCATCCTCATCGCCTGCGGAGGAGAGCAGCCAGTAGTCACCAATGCCGGAAGATGCTAGACCACCACCACCAAAACCTGCCGACGTAGAAGCTGCTGGTGCACTGTGGCGTTGCTCCTTGTTACTGTTGGTTCCCGCCTGACGCGGTCCCCAACTTAGGATTCCCTGCACCGACCGTCGACTCTGATCGTCGGATTTCGTGAAGCCGAAGAGCTGCAACTGCAAACTGCCTAGAGTCGCAACTGCCGCGCGGATCATGATGCGGTCTCCTTCAAATACCCAGCAGTCCCAAACCCGGCTCAGACGCTCCAGGTCTAGTCCGTTTGTTAGGAGAGAGCGGAACATAGGCTCCCAGATTTCCTCGTCGCTAAGACGCAGTGTTTCATATAAATGCGTCGAGAGCCGTGGGAATTTGTATTTCAGCGTCGCGGACGCCAGGGAATATGTCCGACCGATAGCCCCGCGGTCGAGCGTCAAGAAGGCAACAGGAAGGGGGCGATTGAGCGCATTAGCCATTGCAAGGAACGCCGAAGCAGGCGACGGGAATTGAAGGACCAAGAGGGCTGCGATGGTATGCAGTCCGCTGATGTATCCCACATCGCTCCGATACATCGAATAGGCCTCCAGAACATCGATTAACGTCTCGCGGAGCGGACCGCCAGGCTGGAAAAGTTTCAAGTCGGGAAATGCCTTGGACACGTCCTGCTCAATGGCTCCGAACCACTCCCGCATTCGCTTGTTGCTCTCGCCTGTATCGTTGTCAGGGCGGGCGCGCACATCCTTGGCCCGTTGCAGTGCCTTTTTGTACGTTTCTTCGGAAAGAGCCAGCTCGTTGCCGATAGCCCGCTGCCAGGTTGACCCGCGGAGCCGCGGCGGCACACCGCGCCACCAGAGCTCTCGGGTGCGCGGCTCATGAATGACATTATCCCAGTTGGGATAGACATATTCGTCCCATATTTGTTGGAGAGTTTCCCGGGTATTGTCCTTTTCGCACTTCACGGAAGCAGCTTTAGCAGCTCGACGTTTGTCTGGGACAGATGTTAGTGATCTGGTGAGGGTTGTCGTTAAAGGAGAACTTACCTGCTTCCCGTGACTGCGCCATCATCTTTCTGTACTCCTTCAGATGCCGCTTCTCCTCCAAGGGGTCCTTCGGTGGTAGCCAGCTTGGCCGTGTCCGACTTAATACCTTTTCTTTCTCTTTGCTAATGGGCAAAGGGTCAATCATGATATTTGACTTTTGAAGTGGTGGCAGCTCAATCGGCGTTTTCGATCCCTGCTTCGAGTCCGTGCTAGACCTTAAAGAAGACAGCCCGCTCTGCAAAGTCTCTCCACGCCGACGCTCTCGCTCATCAGCGTGGAATTCCAGCGCTTCAGTGATGATTCGAGCCTCTTCCGACAGGTCTGACATCATGCTGTTATATGAGTAGGCTCGGGGATTGCGTGGAGAGATCTGACCTCGTTCCGGCCCCGCAGAGCTGGAACGTGCCTTGGATCGAGCGTTTCGGGACGTGGGCGATCGCGAACCTGAGGGGGATTTTGGAAGAGTTACATCTGAGACAGAATGCGACAGAGGTAATGGCCGGGGACCAGGACTGCGACCGCTTGGACTTGTGCTCCGGGACGGGGCTCGATCTTGCATCGGACGAGGGGAAATGGGAACGTTCCAGAGACTGGCATCTTCAGGCAAATCATCATCAGAATCGTGATATTCCTCCTCAAGATCTTTAAGTGTTCTCCGAGTACGCTGCCAGGATGGTTTTCGGTTGAGTGTTGGGGGAGTAGCAGGCGTCAAGGACAAGCTGTGCGTGGAAGGGGAGGATCCTAAGTTCGAAGTAGGTCGCAACGGCGAGTTCGATCGCGACCGACGGGGTTTAGATACTTGCAGCGGTGCGTGCTTGCCCAATGTGGCATCCCGCTGAGTCCCGGTCGTGACGCCGTGCCCGCCACGGCCCGGTTGGGCCAAGGATCCATTGGTCTGTCCGGGCAATTTACTCGGTTTCGTGGCGGTCAGGTCGCGGGTCGTGACCACAGCCGATTTGGCTTGCATCCTGGTCGGAAATGTCTGCGTGATGCTGCCTGCTCGGCTGAAGGGTACCTTGGTTTCCATATAGGTGATTTGCGCTTCGTCTTCAAGGTCAACTTCTTCGAAATTGGAGATATCGGTGAAAAGAGCCTCGGGGCCTGAGTGTTGGGAGGAAGAACGGAAAGAAGACGATTTAGAGGACTTGGACCCGGTCAGATCGGGCGGAGAGTTCGGAGTCGAGCAAATAGTCGTCATCGCGGAGATTACTTCGATTCCGGGGACTGCTTGCTCCAGCAGCAGGAAAGACGAAACCGACGATAGACTTCTGGGGAGCTGTACACGGTCGGTCTAAACGAGAAATCACAGAGGTTTCGATCGCGCCGCGAGCGTTGACCAAAGCAAGACAAAAGGTAGATATATGAATCGTCCGACGTCGCAGGTTGATATACACGAAGAATTGCGGTCGAATGGCAGTCGCGCCCAAATGAGCACCGGACCACGGGAGTTTATTCGGGGGTCAAGAACAGTTCAACTGCTAGACAGGGAGAACAGGAGTTAGCTGGCGAGAATGAGCGCATTGGGGGCCGCAACAGCAGGGGGGGGGGGGGAGAGAGAGGGATGAGAAAAGGAGACGGGAGAGGTACCGAACACCAACTACAGTGAGAGCCGGAGAACGAAGGAATAGACAGTAGAAGAGATACGATTGTTCAACGATCGACTGACAAGCGAAGGACAGGAATGTAGGGAAACGAAAGGAATAACAGATGGAAGGAGGAAAGAAATGAGGAAGAGATGGAATAAAGAGTTGGACAAAGCGGAAACAGAAGAAGGGGAAGGGGAGGAGGAGAATTAGAAGAACAAATGAACGGGGGGGGATAAACTAAAGTGACGGGGAAATGATGAACTTGCTGCATCCGGTGATGGAGAGTGGAGGAGGATGGAGAGAGAGAGTGGGAGGGAGAGACAGAGAGTGGATGCAACTTCGTGAGTTGGTAATACACATACGGGAGGTAATCGTCGAGCTCCTCTACATGAGCCACCACTGTGCATAATAAGAATTAGAAGCCTCATGTTATACTGTATGTACAGTACACACTACACCCGTACCACTGTGTACGCCCAGTGCGCCCCAGGAGGTTAGCCAGGCTGCTGGCACCTGCTAACTAACTAGCTATGAACTAGACTGTTCCTTGTCTAGTTCAATCGTCGACAGTGTCCACTGTTATTGTCGGCGACGGTCTCGCCAATCCGCTAACACCGCACCAAATGAAGCCCCAGCGATACCATTTTCACCTTACAAGCTTCATTGGCTGGCTTCAGGCAGGATGAGTTCCAGTATATGCCGCCCCTCTCTTGTTCAATTTTACCAGAAGATTACCGGCTCTCACGGGTTAGCTTACCTTGCACATACCAGATACAGATAAATCTGCTGAGCTTCGAAACCGTTGTGACTCTGTGAGTAGCATCCAGGACACCAAAGACGAGAGATCGCAACCGGCCCGCTCTTTCATCAAGAAATGAGGAACTCCCGGGGGAGAAGCAACAGATGCAACGCACCGCCACAGGATCGCTGGTCTGCGAGGAGGTGCTGCTACTCTCTTCAGACGCACTCGGTATGTACTAGACAATAAGGTAAGTTCACAATTGCTGCTCCATATTGAATTTGCCTCCCCCTTTTCAGCTTCTCATCTCTCAATTTTCATCTTCGTTATTATGAAAGGCCTCAAGACTATCCCTTCCTTCTTGCTGTTCTTATTTTTCTTCACTATTTCCCCCCTGGTCCAGAGAATCGTTCGTCCCTGTGGCCGAGGTTCCGTGGTATGTCCGTCTGGGGATTGCCAGGTACGTACCGTACGGCAACGAGCAGCTTCGGGGGGTGGACCGCCACTGACCTCGGTGGAGGGGATGATTTTGCGGTACCTGAATTCTCGAGAGGAACGAATCTCCACCGCAAAGCAAAAGCTACTAACTACGGAGTAGTCGCTTTGACTCTGACCCGTATTGGACGATCCACGCTTGCGGTAGTTCGGTCTATTGGACGAAACGGATTGAAGTGGTAAAGGTTAAGTAACCCACCCACTACTGTTACATCCCACATACACACACACACACACAACCACCCCCCCCCCCCCCGGAAACAACAAAATGAAATGTCATGGAAGCAGAACAATAAATGCAATTTCATTTAACTAATTCTGTCTGCTGCGGTCGGATCCGTGGGGGGCTTCATCTCCGTCCACGGCCACAAAAAAATAAGTCAATCTCAGACACCATGAGATCTCATTTCCACGGACCGGCCGAGATTGCCGATCAACGGACCACTCTTTACCTGCTGGCGGATAGCCCGGATTTCCTGCTTCCGTCGTCTCTGTAGTAACCTTGTCGTCATTCAAATCCATCCTCTGAACCGGTTCCCGCACAATGCGAACCATGATATCTGATTACATCACTGTTCTTCTGGAACCCTGTTCATACAAACAATATCCCAGACGGGGGCCTAAGTTACTAGCTACTTCGAGACCTTGACTCCATAATCCCACCTATTAGTCTCCTCACTCAAGGTAGAAAGCGTACGGTCGCTCAGCCAAGCGAGCGCCACGGAAACGCCTCCCGGGAGTCTATCAGAACTTCCACTTGTCATAGACGGCATTGCCGCGGCGCACCACTGAGACCAGCCGGGCAGCGGTGGCCGTTGACTTGGGATGGGTCTCGCGTATAAAGCCTTGCAGCCAACGCAGGACAGCGGCATACCGCGTCTGCTTGCGGCCAAGGACTGCTTGAAACGCTGCTGCCGCTAAGTACTCAACCTCGGACGGTTGCGCAGAACATATCGCGGCCGAGTTGACCTTCTCTTGTCGCCGACCAAGAATCAGACGATTGGCTAGATACGTGAGATCACGTATGATTCGAATTACCACCTCTTGGGTAGGCTGCGCTCGTACGGACAGTAAACGCATGTACCGGTACATCTTCATGCCTGAGATGACAAAGCTTGCATACAAATTCGCCAACGCGACTTCGACCGAGTTGTGCTGGGTATCCAGGTACATCGGATGCATGAGTGCCTTGAAAGACGTTAGTGTCTTGCGGTGCAGGGAGCGGGCGGGCGTTCGTGTCGAATCCACAGTCAGGGAATTGGCCAAACTCGCCGCCGCCGATTCACCTCCGTCGAGAATTCGATCGTGGTCCTTGTGCAGCTCTAATGTGCGGAAGTCGATCAGACTACCACAGTACGGAAACAACCTAGCGTCTACGATGCGGGGAATATGCGCGCCATCCACCTTAATGGAGAAGTTGACGAGACTCTTGGCTGGGTTTACCGAGATCCCATACGCTGGCAGGCCCCGGATCATCACTAGCAAGAAACGCTTGGCCTGGGCGAGGTCCGTCGTGATGAGTAGAAAGTCATCGATCAGGCGAAGAAGCAGGGTTTCGTCGGGTTGAAGAAAGTTCAAAACCTCCCGTTCCATATCCGCGTAGAAGAGATTGCACAGCAGACTGGAGATTACTGAGCCCTGGGGAATACCGCTGCGCTGGCGGAAATAACGCTCCCCGAACTTAACCAAGTTATTTCGCACATGCTCCTCGAGGAGATCGAGTAGATCGTACGTCTGCTTCTCTGAATGCCAGAATGTGTCCACAAAGACGGTATTTCTTCGTTGGCTCGTGCCTCCTCTGCTGACCAGCTTTTCCAAATGCTGGGGATTACTGGTTGGAGCTGCTCGTCCCACCCATCTCTTCCAGGCCCGGCTTTGCCGCTGCTGATGGAGTGGCCACGTATTGTTGAAATCCTCTGCCGGTTTCATCTCGACGTACTTCGTTATATGATAAGCCTCTGCAGAGACTAGTTTGTCAATAAGCTGAACCATGCTTTCCTGTGGGATACTGTCAAAGCAGGATTGGATGTCAAGTTTGACCAAGTACAGCCGAGGCAATGAAGGTGAGACTACAGCCTCCGGCTGTCGAGCGAGTAAGCTCTTTTTGAACACCTTCAGCCGAGAATGCAACTCGCCAACTGAGTGTAGACAGGAACCCATTTGGGCGGGGTGGTGCATCCTCTCGTAGTTCAGCACACTATGGATAGGGCTGACTGTAGAGTTGACAGTGCTTTTGGTTGATGGCATCCGTCTCTTGAGATTCACAATAGGGCGGATACCAGTAGCTTTGGGTAAAAGCCTCAAAGAACCATACCCGAGCGTCCTTTGGCGTAGCACCTTTTGAGCTATTTCCGGCATCAATTCTTCAAACATGTTTGCCTGCATTTCAGCTAGCGGCTTTTCAGTCAGGGTGCGCCAGACGTCGTGTCGGAAATAGAACAACCGGTTCCGATGGCACTGGGACTCAGTGACATAGAACGCTGCCCGAACCAGAGGGATGAGAATAGACTCGAACAAGTAATATATGAACTCATGAAGCAGTTCGGTACGTTTCTGCAGGTCGGAGAGCGAAAGTTTAGGATGTGATCGATCAGCTGGAAGTTGATGGCGGCCAGCACCGGGACCGAGCCAGGATATGCAAGATATCTGCAATTAAAAATCCGCCCGTCAGTATGCATGACACGAGTTGGATTTGAGTTTGCGCAAACGAACCTTAACCCCCTTACACACTTCCTGGAGACTCAGGTTTTCGAACCGTCGCATACGAATAAATTCGTCGACATTCTTCAGAATCACACTTTGATTGTTGATTCCGTTCTGCCCAGTCCCATAGAATTGTGGTGGAATCAACTTTCGGATCACAGCTTGGCAATAGGCCGAAACAGAAGAGGCAGGGGTCGCGTAGTACGTCAAACTGGGCTTTGATACCACAGCCGGCTCGCTCACCAGATTCACTGTATCAACTGTGGGTCGTGGGATAGAACATGATGTCTTCTGGGCTTCTGAGACAGCAGCATCCGCATGTAGAGCTTGTTTTCCCGGCCCTTCAAGCTGAGTTATCAACTTTGCGGACCCAACTGGATTCGATTGAAAACTCGACTGGGAGTCGTAGGCGCCGAATTTCCAGGGGCCAACGTTCTACACTTTTTAGCTTATCTTGTCGATAGCAGGGTTACAAGCTGCACATACCGCTGGAGAACAATAATAGTCCAACAAGTATCTGTACTGGCAACGTTTATGACGATGAAGTATCTGTTGAACCAGGTCTAAAGCCTGTCCTCGAAGACGTTTTGGGATATCTGCCAGCGGAACTTCATCATTTGTATCCTGATGCACACAATTTGAGGCAATCCATCTTCGCTTTCGCGATCTGGCTGCAATTTCATCTTCGCGCGAAAGGTATTTCGAGTCATTCTCGGGGTCAGGATTGAACACGTTTGTCAGTCCGAATTGTGAAGGGAAGATGTGTTGCATAACATGTATGGCTCTCCACTGCGATTTAGGATAGGGACATCGATTAAGAACATCTAAACCACTGGTAAATATACTGATCGCGATGGATTGCTCTGAGATTGTATGGCATTGACTTACGGCTTCCTAACCCCGGTTGTGACTTCCAGTTATTGGCTTTTTTGGGGAAAGCGTAAAGCATGCGGTACCGATTAAAGAAAATCGAATTCGGCGTTCGACGTTGTGGTTGTTGGTCGGAATGGCTGCCTACCTTTTTTTCTTGCTGGCCATCCGCAATTACTGAGGATTTCCCCTCAGAGCGGGTGCGGGTTGGCTTCAAGGATAGATGTTGTGGCTTATTGAATATGGGTTCAAGCTTCTCCAAGGATTGTCCTAGGAGTTCAGTAGTCAATACACATAGCTCTTCGACATTAGCCGGTGAAGATTGCATACCGCAGATTTGATGATAGATGCCTTTACGTGAGTCTAAGGCTACGAAAATCCCACAATCACATAAGAGACGCAGCATAATAATTTCACCATTGCTGCCCACCAACCCCAAGACCTCCGTCCAAGGAGAACTCTTTAGCTTCTGAACATTTTCGTTTGGGAAGAACGTCTCGAAGGGATTTCGGAATCCCCGAGTCAGGAGATGATGTGGCCTTTTCTTGGTTTCCGAGAGAAATGGCTTCCAGATCAACTGTATGGCACGATCTACGAGCTGTAGGACCAAAGTCAGCATTCCTGTAAGAGTATCCATGCATTGTTGCGTTCCGAAAGTAGCTTGCCAGGAGTGAAGTCTTAGAAGCTAGGCCGCAAGCGACCACAAGGCTGGTAGAAAACCCAACGCCACTATTGCTGGGATGTAATGCTCACCTCTGCTTGTGCACATGGCGGACCAGTGTCTGTGCTGTCCAGTTGAGAGTGGGGTTGCGATTTGCGCAACGCAGCCAGCTCTTGACCTCGTTCCTGATCACATGCAATAGCTGAATCTTGTGGGATGCCCACCAGTGTGGAATCGAGCAGAGTGGCTAAACCACACTGTGAGCTTAATGACAATTTATCCGCGCCTTCTGAAAGGTCGGCTCTGATCGATGCGATCCTTCGGCGGCGAGAACGTGAGGCTGCTGGTATCTGGCGTAAGAGGAACTGCCTCAAAGTTACCACTTCATTATAGTAGAGCGATATAACCGGGTGGGTGATTTCGGTCGCACGGTCAGAGGCGAAGCCACTCTGATCCCTAAAATCAGTGGAGGCTGCAGTGATGCGTGTCTGCGACGAATGGGCTTGCGCACGCTTGCCCTTCACGGGCCTCTTCCTCTTTTTCCCCATATGACTCCAATGGAATCACTTCACTCGACCGAGAGGCAGATCACCCGGTCTCTCTGCTGGAGTAGAAACTACTGTGTATGACGGAAGCCAATGACCCAGTCAATGGTAAGATAGGTTGATACCTTATCTATTGGCGAACGAGGAAGCGCGCGGTCGGGGACGCGTCAGGAACGCGACACGAGGAGTACTAAGCGAAAAAATAAGGACAAAAAGGCATAGGCTCTCCCAATTACCAGTACTAATGCCGAGCCAGCACCGTATCAACCCATGGCGTGTAGTGATGGTCTTTCACTGATAATGACTCTGTAGTCCGTACAAGCTAGCAAGATACGGAGGAGTTGCGGAGTACTCCGTACTTACTAATTACCAGTGACTAACTAACTACGGACACCTACACACGTAACCTAAGAAAAGGCGACAGCCTTGCGGTCCCTTATTTTTCTCCAGTTTGACGATCCATGTGAGCTATTCCGTTTTGGGTGATCTAGTAAAGATGCTTGTCCGCAGTGCGGTGGTGGTGTTTTACAGTGAGACAAAAGAAAAATAGAACACCCCACTCTTCAACAACGCGACTATCCCTTCCATGGAACCCATCTTCAATAGTTAAGTATTGACGGACTTTGAGGCTGGGTAGGTACAAGTTGCAGACTTAGTACGAAGTAGTATTCTTGCAATGCGCATAGCCAAAGAAAGGGGAAAGAAGAGGGGAAGGGGGTAGGTACTCTGTCTTCATTGAATCTATCGACGTATTCTCTCGCTCCCCGTCTAGAACGCAGTGCGATCCTGCAGCCCGCGAACTCTAATACATTTAGGGTGTTGAGGCGATCGCCTATTGAGTATTGTCTACATAAACCTTGACCAATTTGCGATATGTCTATATTCTAGGCTGTGAAATCCTACTCTGTATTTCAGTGAGTTGCCAGGGGTGCAGATCGTTCAGCACAAAATAACAACGATCGTGAGGCCCACGTATGGTTTGAAACTGCCGACCAGTCATCTTTGCACATAGGGGTAAGAACACTAGGGGAATCCTCGGTACACACACTATTTAGCATTGAGCTGGATGATCTTGTGGGCTACAATATACTAGAAGTGGTGAACAGAACGATTGCTTCAGGTGCCTTGCCAATGGTAAACCATGAAAACCTTTTCAAGCGACTGCCGATCTTTATTCCGTACTGGCTCAACAACCAGTAGACACCACCGAGAAAATACGCCTCGTCGTCGAATTCATCGAGTGCTACGGTAAACGACTTCCATATTAGTTTCACCGGAAGGTTTCGAATTTGATGGGATCCCATTTCGATGCTGTCCCTCGCAGCCAGCGTTTGCAGGTGTCTGTCAAAAGGGATGCGGATGCAAGAGAGCGACATCCGGCGGGCCGACGGGTGGCTAGTAATAACAGTCATTATTGATTGAACTCCCTCCGTTGTATTCCGTACATGTATTCCAGTAGGAGGGGGGAAATGTCCGATGCAGGCGTCTAGACACTCAAAACCTTGCGGAAATTCTGCTGTCTGCTACAGCTTGACATGTCTACATTATTCATGATATTTCCCTTTGGCAAATGTGCTGTCGAGTGAAGACAGAACCGCCGAGATTTGTCTTCATCTTATTTTGTCGCCGCCTTTGTTTCACAGGACAAAAAGCCACGAGTGATCGGATAATGCATGGGAATCTCGGACCCTTCAGTCAAATAGACCAGGAGATCGTGGCTCTGGAAGAGTTAGTAGTCCGTAGATATGGGGTAAAAGGGGAAGAGACAGGGGGCTAGTCACGAGTTGGCGACGAGACCACCCAATAAAAAGAGGATTACAATGAGGTTGTTCTCCGGCAATAATAACCCCGATTATCATACATAGCAATATTCATAGCCATGGGTGCTCGCACGGACAAGGATGGTCGGCTGTGCCAGATCCTTGGAACGACGGTGGTCTAGAAAGGTCGTCGCGCTAGGCTTTAGCTGCGGCCTACGTCGCAAGAAGAAAACCACCGTCGCACCGCGGTCCCACAACATCAGCCTCGCGATCCGGTATGCTCTCCTAATTGCGTCGAGATCGTTAGTGTTATCTCCGCGGAGACTGGGGAATTCCTATTGATAGACCTACTTAATGCTGAGAGTTTATTGTATGGTCCATACTGGTTCGAGTCTGTTTTCATTACGGATATGAGAAAAGAATAGCAAGCCCTCAAGCTTCGCCCTGGGGATGCAAATGTCCTGTAAGACACGTTCGTCGAAGAGAGGCGGTGTGACTCCAGGGACATCCTTGACTGTGAAAGACAGGGATACCTCCGCTAAATGTGCTCTTTATCCTCGAGGAGCACGTAGAGACTGACCAGCCAGTGAGATATCAAATATCGTCTCCAGTCATCTGCCCTCGCTAGACGTCCTCAAGATGGGCATCATCGGATGGGGCCAGTCAGGTACAATGCATCAATTTCTCTGTCCTAAAGTGTCGAGGCTGGTTTATATGTCCGGGAAGGACATTGGTCCAGTGCAGATGCAGGCTGCAAACGAAAATGGTCATTCTGCCATCAGGGGTCACACCTTAGAAGAGCTTTGTATCCCAGGGAAGGTTCGCTCAATCGATGACATGCAAAGAGACTTCTTGTGTAGGAGGAGCACATGTGCGGACTAACTCGAATCTGAACCACCAATACAGCACATCAGTGCATGCAGACAAGTTCGAACTATAGAACCTACAGTATTTTCATACCCTAGCCACAAGCCCCACCTGGCATCGCAATCGGTCTTCCTTAGGTTCAACTGATCTAACTAGGATAGTCGACTAAAATGACTGAATAACATGGCTCTTGTCCTGTGTACCATCAGGGTTTTCATTTTCGCCTATCTTGTCGAAGCATTCGCTGTGCGACCGTGATATTAGCCTATTGGGGCAGTTCTCACTGCGCTCGTGGTCACTGATGAGGTTGGGCCGAACCTTTCTTGCACCTTCTCACTGTCACTGTCGTAGACCAATATAAGCAGAACATGGTGCGGGCTCGGAAACAGCTTGCGAAATTCAGAGGGGAGTCAACTTCCGATGGCACGGTCATCCGTCGTCCATTCATCACCTGCTTATGCTAGCTCTCTGTAATCTCTGGGGATTACAGGTCACAGACGCTGATTAGTGACTTGGCTTGGCGTGGATTACTATGCAGGGCCATGACGCACATGGCAGGGTATTGCTGAGTTGTATCATTGCTCGTTGACGACTTGACATCCTAGTAAGTAATCAGAAGTGGAAAATGTTATTTGAACGAGTCATTTCTCAAAAAACTGCGGACGTGAGGAACTAGCACAGGATGATTAGTATATATAGCACCGCAACAGGTCATCGAAGTCAAGTCGAGCCCTTGATTGCCATTACATCTCCAAGTCAATGATGAACGTAGATGATGTAGGCATAATGTAGGTAGTTACAGTACCTTCAACTACGGAGTAGTCCTCAATACCTGAACGATAGACGCATGGCGAACAAAGCTCGGCGAGGAAGACGTTCCATGGAACCCCCGAAGGGACGACGAGTCCCGATCCGCCTAACACCACCAACAACTGTATCTTTCATGAAAGGGAATGACTAAGTTCATATGCCAACTTCTTTATGGCTTCCATGCTCACCCAGACCACACCAGATCAATCAGATTCTGTCGTCTTTCAGACTACGGAATATTCTCACCATGCCAGTTTCTATCTGTGGTCAGGCAGATGCGAGCCTACCTATCAAGTTGATTTCCGCAGGGGGTACCGCCACAGGATTCGTGGGAAGGTTGAAAAGTCGACTCATCAATACCTCACTCCTCTACTCTGTAGGTATATTGCCCACACGTTGCCCCCCTCCTCGTCACTCCATACCAGGACTCAAGCCTTGGGTTCAACATCTGCAGGACGAGGAGCCAAAAAAGATGCGTATGATCGCTTGTTGTTACAATTTCTCGAAGGCTGAGCCAAAGGCTGAGCCGACGGGCGAAATAGCGATGACTAGGTCTGGATAAACACCGGTAAATAGCCTCACAAAATTCTGATTCTTGTACCCTATCCTTTCATCGCCTTGTTAGTGAGTTTCTTTCGTCACTAAACCCTCGGCGGTTTAAATTGGCTGGGACCGTTCAAGTCTGTAGGGGCCCTTGGGCTAACATTGTTATTATTATCCTCATTATTATTAGTATGATTATTACGGAGTACTGTGCCACAGTACACATTTCCTATATCACTTTTCTTTGGCTAGTACTAGTTCTAGAAGGGGAGGGGGGTTGCTGCATAATTCTTTTTCTGCACACCCGTCAAGTCACCTTTTCGTCTCAGATTGTGGTCGAATCCCTGGGTGGACTCCCCTCGCTTTTACTCCTGATTATCCACCTTCTCCGCACCCACTCTCAAACCCAAGGTCGATTCTTGCCGTCACTAGTACACAGTAGGTTACTCTAGTTAGTCGCTCACCAGTACCAATGATTACCGACGCATCGAGTAATCTGTACGGTGCACCATGTACGGAGTAACGAATTCTTGTTCCCTTACCCTACCAAAATCAATGGAGAAATTCTCGAATCCCAGAAAAACTAAATCGAAACTAAATCGAGAAAAAAAGAAAGAAGAGAAAAATAAGAACAACAAAAAAAATACTATTCAACCACTAACTCCGTAGAACGACGAACGTACACCCTTCATCAAACGGGGGCATCTGAAAGTAGTCGGCCCACCTGCAGCCCTTCCCAATCGATAGGAAGCAACCCGACACTGGATCTGGGCTTTTCTGTCGATTACTTGATGGGTGCTGTGGAATTGCTGTCCGTCATTCATCCATGATTGAATGGATGTTTGATTTATTCTGTTCCTCTTTTATTTGACTGCGGTCTTACCCTGCCATTTTGACCTCAACACACCCCTCCCCTCTCGGCCCGCTTGTTACCTTCTCTCCCACACCCTCTTTCTTCTCTTGCTTTCACCATTAACCTCTAGCTTTACATCCCCTCACCCCTGCTCGACGCCGTGCAAACGTTTGTCCCGCCCCGTCGTCTGACCTGACATGAAATTGTTCTTGCCGCTGCTTTTCTCCTGTCGTCCTTTACCCACCCTGGGGTCCTATTGCTGACAGACGGCTGTCTCGCAGTTTGTTGTTCCTTCAGAACAAGCTGCTTCGCATCTTAGCGTTCGACCTGCTCCGCTTCTATTTTGAGCCCAGCAGCTTGACAAATCTTCCGGTCTTCGGGGGTCCAGCTTTGGAATCATCCCTCTGGTCTGGAGGTCTCAACTTGTCTCAAATATGACGCCGTGCTCGGGTGGTACTATCCGGTGATGAATGCCTTATAGTTCTGGCCCGGTATTCCTGCAACCTCATCGGTGGCCTACCAGCGGCGAACAACGCATCAAGAGATTCGTACCTTTGACCTGGAAAATAACAACCCCCCTCCCTCCTAACCAACCATTTCATTGGGTATTTGCTCCTTTTTTTTTTTTTTAAAAAAAAAAAAAAAAAAAAAAAAAAAAAAAAAAAAAAAAAAAAATTTTTTTTATTTTTTTCTTTCCGCCTTGAATCTTCCTCGTCCAGCCTCCTCCCTTGTCCATCTCTCGTTTGGAAAGGGTGAAAGTCAAGGAGGACGGTCCCGCTGACTCTTTGCGTGAAGGATGCAAGATGTCCGGGAGTGATGTTGAGCACGCTTCCCGGCTCTTGGACGTCAGCCCGCGCCTAACTTCCTCGAACACCCACGATGTTCACGATTCCTATTACAGTCCTCTGTCAAACAATCCTCACCACGTCTCCCTAGCCGCACCATCCTTCTCTCCTGTTCCTTCTTTGTCGAGTAAAACGTATCCCGCCCAACCAAGTCTCACAAGCCTCCAACCCTACTCCCTACCTGCAACCCTTCCCTCCGACGATCACAAGAACAATTCTGGTCGATCTTCACCCGATCCCGACGACTTTTATAGATCGCATTTGGCCACGGCCGATGGTATCGTGAATAAGGAGGATGCCGTGGTGGAAAACGAAAGTGACGTAATCGCTGAGCAACGTTCTCATCTATCCCAGCGTGTCAGCTCGGTACCGATACACTCGATAGAGTCTCCGCGTGGGAATTCGAGTCAAGGTCGTTCAGTTTCCGACTCATCTTATAAGGGTGTTGGCGGTAACTCTGCTTGGGGCCCTTCTGCGCGCGCCTCGACCACAAGGGCCAGACAGACGTCATTCAAAGACCTGATCAACAAGTTCAACAACAATAGTGATCAGGTTCTTCCCGTTCCTTCGTCGCTCACAGCTGGATCTCGGGCGCCCTCAAGGCCCGCGAGCCCAACCAGTCCCGTAGCAGGGCTATTTCGGTCAGGAGCTATTCCTCGTTCGCGTGAAGCTCACGACACGGCCAACACGCAGGAGCTTCCACGCTGGCATTCTCTGGACACCTTTGGCGACGATACGTTGGATACGGTTTCTCTTCCGCTCAGACCCAACGACCTAGGTTCAGATATCCTAAACAACCGCAATTCAGAAAGCGATTTCCGACGACCAGTCTTCGGCGAGAAGCTCAGCGTCGATACAGGATTTTTGAGCACTGAGTACACTGCTCCGCATCGTCGCGGATCTGAAGGGAATATACTTAGCTTGAGCCCAGCGTTCTTAGACCGCCTGGACGATTCGTCCGGCCCAACACCGCTAACACCTACTGCTTGGTACCTTGGACGTACGCCTTTCTTGGAAGAAGTCAGTACGATCACGGGTTCAAACAACCACAGGAGAACAAGAAGCGATTTTGCCGGAAATTGGTCGGTGAGCGCGGTGGCGCACCCATCTGATTCCCACATGGCTGTTCCAGCCCCCTTGCAGTCTGGCTCCCAAACATTCCAGGAGCACTCACATACAAAATCCCGCATACCGATCTCATCTCACCGCCTTCATTCAACATCGGATTCAGACGAATCTTTATCCCCTTCGAGGGCCGGTTTTACGGGGTCCGGAAGTCGTTCGACAGTTCGAGTTCCCCTGCCACCAAAAGGCACTAGCCGCCTTCCCAAACCGTCGCCGAAAACACAGCGAGACACGTCACATGATGATCGTCATACTTTTATAACACCACCGCGCACCCATGCCCGGTCCCGTCGTCAGATACCCGAGAACAGTGGTCTTTTAGAAGCTTACATAGCCGCACCTCCACCAGCAAAGTCGCCCCCCCTCCGGAGTTCCCGACCTCGCCAACCAGTATCACATACGAGCCTCCAAACTCCCCGGTCAAAAGTCGTTGAAACCGTGTCGAACTTCCAAAGACAGATAAATCGAGACCGAGAATCCAGGGACTCGAGACCTCGGGATCGCCGGCTACCAGAGCTGGGTAATGTGGACTTCGCGACTCGACGCGAAAGAATTCAACAGGCTTTCAATCGCACAGTTCAAGAGAATGAGAAAAAAGAGGAAAAGGCGGCCGAAATTCGACGTCGAACCAAAGCATTGGAAGATTTGGAAGGAACGGACGCCTTTGAATCCGAAACATTGGAGACTGAGCAGCACGACCCAGATGAGTCTGCTGTCGTAGACGCATTGCCAGGTGGAAGTGATGAGCGATCGCAATTGGAACAGGACTCTGAAGAGACTCGGACGATACCCCAATTATACGTTGATACAGACGTGGTACTGCCGGGGAAGCAATCCGGTACCTTCGATTTGCACACAACCATGGACTCTCCCACCCTAGGGCATCAGCCTGTCGAGCTAGGGATTGACTGCGACACACATGATCCTCCCGTGTCTGCTTCAACCTCGGATTCCAATGAGACACATGTCACCGCTTTCGACATCGAGTCGCAAGTCGAATTGATGCAAGATAAACATGCCTCGCATCGAGCATTGTTAGATCAGATCATGCACATACGCGAGTCAAGCTCCAGCAGCTCATCGTGCGATGAACAAGATTGCAGCCTCTCTGACACTGATGATAAAGAGTCGGTGCACATCATGCTACGGGGTGCGTTGGGCTTTGATGATCATACCGACAATAGCGAAAATCAGGAGCAGTGTGAGATCTACACGCAACATGAAACGACTGACAATGAGATGTCCAACCGATGGAGTATCAGCTCTTGGTCGTCTTCTCTCCACATCCAGCACTCCACGGATGAGCAGTGCGATGGTGGTGTTGATGATATACTACAACCTCGCCGTTCCGCTGATGATGGTGAACTCGCAACTCAATCATGTTCTGCGTCTTCCAGTACGCCTTCTGTGACTGGTCAACCGCTCTCGAACCCATTGGTACAACAAGAAACAAAGATAGAAGCTGCGTCTCAAGCCAATCTTTATGCATTCACGAGTGCACCCAGCTTGGCCAGGCTTGGGGGGTGGGATTCCAAGCGAGTCAGCCAGCTCTATATTCAAGAGATCGCTAACGGCCGAGGACTCGGACTTCCTTTGCCAGCTATACGCGCTTCTCCGGAGCCTCAACAGCAAGACGTTCCTACGAGGCAAGATAATGGGTTTGAGGATCCGACTATGGTCCCTCGTAGCGCGGATATGCCCGTATCGGAAAGCACGAGGCATGCAGCCAGCCTAATTATGCGCGATGACTGGGAGCACGCATCGCCTTCTATTATGGATTGGATGCAGGTTGCTGCCGCCGAAGGGTCAACTCCACAAGGCGAACGAAGCGATTCGGCGTCTAGACTCGACAGTGCGTCCACGCCACGGCTAGAGACATCAAGCGCCCGGGTCTTACCCCAGGAAGGAATGGAAGAACGGCTAGGATTGGCAATCAATGTCCGGATTCCGCACGGCTCAAATCCCCACGAGCATGAGTCTACCACTGCTCATGAAGGGGCAACCGACATCGTGCAGCCACCCAGTCAGTATGATTTGACCGCCACTTTCGCAAACCAACGCTTCAGCACCTATATCAATGGGATATTCTCTCCTCTGGATCCTATAAACAGCACAGGAAGTAGTGATAACTCTTCTTTCCAGCGGCTTGAACCCACGCTCTCCCCCGAGACACTGCATTCATCTGCGACTTCGCTAGCACCTTCAAGCTCTGAGCACCTCCATTCAAAACCTCAGTCACCATCACCGGAGCAACGGCGTTTGAAAAAGCGGCGGAACGTGATCAAGGAGCTAGTTGATACAGAATACACTTTCGGCCGGGACATGAAAGTCGTTGATGATATATACAAGGGAACCTCGAGTTCATGTTTGGATCTATCATCTGAAGACGTCAAAGTTCTCTTTGCCAACTCAGATCAAGTCGTTCAGTTCTCACTGGCATTCCAAGATGCCTTGAAAGAAGCCGCTAAAAGCGTTTATGTGATGCCTAAGTCGCAAAGGTGGAGCAGCAAACGCAGTGCACGACACCGTCAGACTTCAAGAAGTGAAGAAAAATCGGAAAATACGGGTCTCTCAGACCAGGAGAAGGATCGAATGACATTCATCGGGCAAGCTTTTGTGGCGCACATGGGCTATATGGAAAAGGTCTATGCGGATTATCTCAAAAACCACGACGCTGCTAACAAGAAACTTCAAACTCTGCAGCGAAATCCCAAGGTGGCGATCTGGCTCAAGGAATGTCGCGATTGGGCTTCTGATCTCACATCTGCCTGGGATCTGGATTCTCTGCTTGTGAAGCCCGTTCAGAGGATTCTGAAGTATCCCCTGTTGCTGTCTGAACTTCTCGACTCGACACCCAATGATCATCCCGACCGGGCTGCTCTCGTCACCGCTTTCGAGGAGGTGACTAACATCTCCGTCAGAATAAATGAGATGAAAAAGCGTGCAGACCTTGTAGGTCAGGTGGTCGGACGCAAACGCAAAGAATCCGATGTTCGGACCGGCTTGTCGAAGGCTTTTGGCCGCCGTACTGAGAAATTAAAGCAACAAGTGGGACTTATTGATTTGTTTGAGGACAAAGAATATGATAGTCTGTCGCAGAAGTTTGGAGATAACTTTTTCCAGCTGCAGCTTGTCATGCGCGATGCAGAATCATACACTAAAGAAGTCCAGAGTTCGTTGGATTGTTTCAGCGAGTTTGTCGCTGCGATCGAAGGATTCGTCGATGTATCACAATCCAATTATGCCGAGCTGGAAGGGAAATGGCGGGAGCTTAGAGTCTCTGTTCAAGCCATCACAACGGTGGCGTTGCCCGACCATGTAAGTGAAACTCCTTGTTTGGGAAATGAGGAAGTCCAGGAACTTCATTAACAGTCAAATCTTCCGTACTCCAGCTTTTAGTGGTTCGAAAGAGCGTTATCGACCCGATGGTGGCTCTACTCAAGCTTCACGACGGTCCACAAAGAGTGATGAAAAAGCGCGACAAGAGACTAATGGATTATGTTCGTTTCAAGAGCATTAAAGATCGAGGAGACAAGCCAGACAAGAAGACGACTGAACAAGGGGAACAATTCATTGCCCTCAACGAGACCCTCAAGGATGAGCTTCCGAAGCTATATGCCCTCACTGCAAAATTGATGGAGGCGTGCTTGAAAAACTTCGTGCAGATTCAAACTACCTGGTTCCATCAATTGCAGAGGAGCCTTGGGCCTTTACTCGAAACATTCCCTGAGGATATTCAAAAAATTGTTGAGAACTGGTCCTCCAAATTTAACTATGCTGAAGGACAGGTACTTTCTCTTGGAATCTGCAATGGATCCTTGCTTGCTGATACCGTGAACCTTGTCAACTTTAACACGCCCTCGACCGGAGCGACAATCAGCTCGCCTCGACGACCTTCGACAGTGAATAGCGTCAGCACGCGAATGGGTTCGACGGTTGAAGAATCCCCCAAAGTATCGCAAGATTTCAGCATTGGGGGCTATCCTTTCCATTCTCCCAGTATTGACAGCCAATCTCAGGTATCTCTGGGGCGCCTCAGGGCAGACTCGGCAATTTCCGGCCGTGCCCATGAGTCTGCTGAAAATTCCAGGAGCCAGATGCTTCAACAAGTTACCAGCACGTCAACAGGGTCGCTTGCAACGTCCAACTCTAACACTGAGTCATTCCCAAGCTTGCCTAGACTGAGCCTCGACTCCCCGTTCTTGGTCGATGTCATTGGCCCCTCTCAAGCGGAGACCAGGGCTGATGCTGAGCAACATGCGCCATCCAGTGGCCAGTACTCGAGCTTCTTTTCCTCTGCGATGCCAATGTCGGACAATCCTCAAGAGAGCACTCCAGTACAGAATGAGCCTCCGAAAGAACCAGCCGTCCTTTTTCTCGCAGCTAGCATCTACGAGTTCAATATCGATCGTGCTCGAAGAGAAGCTGGTTACCCATATCTGACATACGTTGTTGGCGAGATTTTCGATGTCATTGCGGAGAAGGGCGAGCTGTGGCTGGCCAAGAACCAAGACGATCCCGATCGCCAGGTTGGCTGGATCTGGAACAAACACTTTGCGAAGCTCACGAACTAGGGAATTCTCTCTGGAATTCTTTCATGATGAAATCTGGGACCATTTCTTGACGCGAAGTTTTGTTTTCAAGAACATCTTAAATCCCACTTTCTCTCATCTCCGCATATCTCACACATCTATCACCTTAAGTGGTGGTATTTCTATTTTTATTTCTTTTTTTTTTCTTGTCTGTGACACTGCGGCCTTATGCGAATCTTCAAGTCTTATATCTTATTATCTTCTCTCGTTTTGATGTGGTTAAGCGTGTTGGGATGAAATTCTATATCGGCGGGGTTTTCGGGTTTCTGGTCTGGGATTGTGCTTTCTCGCTTGATATGACTGGAATGAAAAGGGGGGTGTATATGCATTGTTGGTGAATTGTGTGTCATTTGCGAGGTTTCATATTTGTGAAGATCGCTGTTTCGAAGAGCCTGCATGCATGCCTTTGAAGATTTATTTTGTTTAGATACCCCAGGGATTAAGGTGAAGAGAGTTTTTTTTGCCAATTACTTCTATTCAATGGACCGATTTGCATTAGAGATGTAGACCTCGCTTACCTGCCTGACCTTGTACTCATAGAGAACGTGTATCAAGCCACAGCCGATGATGATTTGGAGAAGGATGCTCAGCCACTGAGGAGTGTGACGTGCATGGCGTTGCCGTGTGGCTGGTGGGGGTACCTCCCTCGTTTCCCACCAGCCAGCCAGGAACTTCCCGAAGATAATAACAGGCCCCTCCCTCCCTTCCTCTATTCTCTATGATGTCTAGTCAATTCTCTCGCTAATCCCATTCTTCTTGTGGGACTATCTCTACAACAGCTTGTATATTGTGTGTTCCCTGTAGCCTAATTTGATCTTACCCTTGGTCCCCTGCACATCCCATATCTTCTATGAAATGAACTAGAGCCCGTCGGCTGAGGTCCAATTAAGCTGTTCAACTTTCGATTCCTGTTGCATCCCTCCGCCCCCCAAAAGCACTAGAGAGCACGATTTTATGCTTAGATCTATACCCCACCGTCGACCATAACGATTCAACTGCCACGATAATACGAACAGCAATTCTCTGAACTCAAACGACCACGTTCTCAGACCTATCCCTCCGCATCGCCGTTTTCCTGCGTCTGCAGCTCACAAAAGCAAAAGCAGAACTTATCCCACGCCGAAGAACTTATCCTCGAACTCAGTCAATTCTGCGAACTTGGGATTATATATCTTTCTGTTGCATAAGGCACGATCAGGTTCGACGCGGGATTTGCGGCTGAGCTTTCTCCCTTGCAATCACAACGACACCCGGTATTTAACTCATCGATCACGTCTCACGATGCGGGACAGTGGCCTAGGAGGCAAACTGGTGAAGAGGATGAAACGCTTTGGTGATACCGTGAGTTCCTGCGCTACGACCATGCAAACACACACTATCGGACATTGGGCTAAGTGAAGCGGTCTCTAAATGCAGTTGAACCCTGATGATGCGTATCTAAGCTGTGAGTTCATCTTACAGGCCCTTATAGTGGATAGGAATTTGTAGTGTTAAACAAAAGTCTAATCGCGTACGCTCATGGTTAGATCATGATATTCGATGTATGTTCCTCTCGTTCCCCGCAAATGCTGAAGTGAATCTGACAAGACATCTAGTAACGCGAGGAGACATGCAATCTTTGAAGGATGACTGGCTTACTGATAATGTTCGTGGTACATTGTAATCAACGGCCTCTGATTCGCATTGGTTGTGGCTAAATTCGAAGCTGACATGATATACCTTGCCCAGGTAATTTCGTTCTGGGAGGAGTGCGTTAGCCCCTGATGCTCTCCCTTCAGATTTCGACTGATGAAATTCGCCAGGTATCTCGAGCGCGAATTCCTGAATCATTCCAAATCCGCCAATATCGTTCTTTTACGCCCCAGTATGTCCTTCATGATACTTCAGACCCCGGATCCTCGGACTCTCCGCGAGGCACTACCGGATTTCTCCCGAACCACGCATGTCTTTCTACCTATCAATGACTGCCGCAATGTCAGCGAAGCTGAAGGAGGGACTCACTGGTCGTTGCTGCTCGTATCGATTGTTGACGGACTCGCTTTTCACTATGATTCCCTCCCTCCTGGAAACTTCTGGGAGGCGCGCGCCGTGACGATAAAGCTGGGGAACTTATTGAATCGAAGTATTCGATACGTCCACTTGGATGATTCGCCGCTTCAAGAGAACGGAAGTGACTGTGGAGTATTCGTCTGTTGGAGCATGCGTTATCTTCTTCTGAAGCGATTGTTGACGGCTAATACGAATGAGAAGGTTAGTCTGAGTCTAGGTGGAAGGAAGGTCGATGCTAGGTCTGCAAGAAAGGAAATTGCGCGGATAATTGAGGGTTTCCGCAAGGAGGGAGAGAGGCGAAGATCGTACGTTTTCCCTTGGCTTGACGCATCGTTCTCACAGTTGTGGAAGTCCTGCTAACTGATGGATGAGTAGGGCGAGCATGAGCCCTATGGGTCATAGGTCGACCAGCCCGCCAAGAATCGAATGATGGGCGTGGTCCCTCCTATATCCACCAAGAGGATACTTCTAGAATGATGTTCCTAATGTGAATCACGTCTGCCTTAATACCTTGTGTTTTTTCAGTAAAGCCATGATACCTCTACTTCCTATGGAATTAGGTTATATGAGTTATATATGAAATGACTTGTGTTTCAGCAGCTTTCTCTTTTATTCATATTCGTTGTTCCTTCCTCGACGACTTCACATCCACATCCCAGCAGCACCTTCCTCATCATCGCAACAACATGAACGGGAGACCGACAATTCCCTCTTCTTCTCCTCTCCCCTTCTCCCTTTTTCCTCCTCTTCCTCTTCCTCTTCCTAACACTCTATGGCGCCTTGATGCTAGTATCGTGATTCCACGCTCTGCAAGATATCAAGCTCTCATACTTGTTACTTTGGCCTAACAGCTATTTTCTCCCCATCTCTTCTACTCCGCCTCCCTATCCCCTTGCATTACCTTCTCGGTTCGTTCTACAGGAGTACCAGATGGCACGTCTATATATTCCTGGCCTTCCTTTCCGAAAGGATCCAGTCCCTACCGCGTCACGGATCAAGTCCCAGCCGGCGTTTCGTTCATTCCCTTATCACCCGTCGGTTATCTTCCGTCCGAATGTCCCTCTTCCCGCCACTCGTCCTTGCTTCTCTTCCCATGTGCCGGTTTTCTCTCCGAAGTCCGCCGTCCGTTCGTTTCAGGAGATGCGAAAGGGTTCGAATCTCCCTGTGCGTTCTCAGGTGAGAACCACGTCCACTCCTAAACCCCCGGTTGTTGGTACTACTGTAGTCCGTCGTAATCCGGTGCGGCGGGGCGCTGCAGTAGAGGATCAGCTGAAGGAGACTCTCTCTCGTCTTCATGAGAGAAGAGCAGCTCGGCAGGCTAGGTCGAGACCGTGGGCCCAAGCTCGATCGACTACGAAGCCGCCGCTCCCTCAACGACCCGCACCTACGCCAACTTCAGCTACACACGTGAGAATGACTGCTCGCGAGATGGTCGCGAAGATCGATGCAATCCTTGCAAAATACGCAGCGCCGCGGGCTCGGGTACCTCGTGTGCCTGTCTCGTGCGTGCCTGTGGTTCGTAAGGACAAGTCGAAGAAACGTGTCCGTTTCTGTGAGACCACAGAAGTCCTCACCGTCCCCCGCTGGATCGAACGGAAGGAACATGTGTTTCCCGGTCCCCTCTCATGCCTCGGGCACTTGCAGGGATGGAAGGTCACACCCCTCCGTGAGCCTGATGAGGATGGCGAGATGGAGAAATACACGACATATTGGGGTTCCGACACCTATGTCTGTCTTTCTTATCACAATGCCAACTCTCCCTGTAACCGTTACATGTGCGCATGGAACAGCTTGGCCCGGATCCAGGCAAAGCGTCCTGCGTGGCAACCTCCAATGGTTTTCAGTGGATGGCTCAAGATGCGAGAGAAGCTTCGGGAACAGGGTGAATTCAGACTGTAGGTCTCATTCTTCTGCTTCCCTATCATCCGTTTGCTTCTTTTCTTCACCACAATCATTTGAATTGCTCCACTCCTTCCGTCTGCCACTCATTTGTCGATTCACTCGTTTGTACCTTGGTATCTTCTGGTGTCGTCCACTCTTACCACTTATTTGAGCCTGGCCTGGTGTGCCGACCAGCCAGGTACTGCTGATCGGGTCACAGATGAGCTAGTTCTGATTGCAGAGGTTGTCCGTCGTGGACGTAATAACGCAGCCACCGTCCGGGGTGATAAGTCGTATGCCCTCGCCGGGCTAGTTCCACCCTCCGAAAATGAGGATCGACTGACTCACCAGTACCGACGACGCCGACTGATTCACCAGTAACTTGGTGGTCCCGTCTGTGGGATTGCGAGGTAAGTAGTCTGCCTGTTCTTCCTGCGAGATTTTATTTGTTGATGATTGTCAAAGAAATGATTGTAATCGGCTCCACGACGAGTCTCCGCCCCCGAGTGACGACACCTTGAAGGGAAGTTAGCAGGTAGGTGTTGAATGAGGGACTCAGATGCGATCATTGGTGTTCTGCCTCACTAACAGAATGCTTGGCAGATTGGTATCGACCCTTCTAGGTCTGTGTACGAGACACATGGATGGGGAAGTTTTCTTTTGCTGTTTCCTTTGTATAGAGTTTTTGAATATACTGGCACTGGGTGCATGGATCTCATTGGTTTTCTTATCTTGGGCCTTGAAATTCTTGCGTGCACCAGGGTGACTCGCTGTATCGTCTCATCTAGGCGTGGATGGATCTGCAATGTACTCTGGGACTGTGATACATCAATGTCACCTGCCCCGGACTTTTGGACCAGCAGTCTGTAGACTCAGGCGGCTGTTGACCACTTCGGAGTAAGATGGCTAAATCTCGCGATCATGCCCGTGAGGCAATAACAGACTGGAAGATGTCATAGGAGAACAAGAATGTAATTGAGAAGAAAGATACTAAGTGATTATTTTCTTGCAGTAGGGTACGACAAACGACCAATATAGTCGGTTCGTATAAGCGCGTTTGCCAAATCTTTACATCACTTGGGACGGAGTAGCCAAGCATGGATCTTCGACCGACTCAATGGGAAAGAAAAATAGATTCTTGGATGGAAAACGGCATCGATACTCAACACGTTGCGAATAGATAGGGTTGATCGTCCATGTAGGATGATCTCATTTCGGCGGCGAGAAAGCCTAGGGAGAATAATTCGGAGAAAACAAGGGAAAGTTAAGTAAGCTGTGACTCTTGATGGGATGAGGACCATGCATACAGAGGTTGAGTCGCTGTTGACGTGTCACGGTCTCGCTCGAAGAACTAGTCAACCTGGACTATATACCACACTATGATATGTGAGTAGTGTAGTTCAGGTCCGCGACCGAGTCTGGCAAATTTGGAACGATGATCTATTTCTTCATTCGACTCAATATGTTGGATGATGGGAGGGGGGTATACTATAATATACTGTGTATGTCCAGAGCTTTATACTCCCTAAACTGTAGGAGCTTGAGAGAAGCGGGGGCAAATATATCAATGGCATCAACTAGTTGAAGTAGGGCATAAGTGAGCCCAGTAGTCGCAGTATTCTACTTCTTCCATACAAGTACTGTACTCACGGGAGAACACTAGCGAAGTTGAAGCGGGGAAGCAGGGGGGGGGGAAAGAGAGATTGGACGGTCTATGGTGTGTGTCCAGTGCCATGCAAAGCGGTTTGATGTTCTTTTCCTCTTTTCTCTCTTCTTACAGTGCTGTGTGCACTCTGTTAGTTCAGTGATGAACAACCAAAAGCCTTTACTACTGGATCAAGCTGGGTGGGGGAAGGGCAAGATGATCGATCTCCAAAATATTGGGCAGGCTGCACTTTACAGAGTACACAGTACATCCACGGAGAAGAGTACGGTGTAGTCAGCGTATCGATGGCAATCACACAGTACTCCGTAGTGTGTGTGTGTGTGTGTGTGTGTTTGTGTATGTTGAATGATTCGGAGTTAAGTTCAACAAGGTCATCTCCACTTTGACTGAGTGTGTCGGTGGGGATAATGATGTAATGCGGTCGTCTACACATAACTTAGGAGTACTCTGTATACATAGGTATCAGTCAGTTACTGTACCTAAGTCAAAACACCGGGGGACACTGTCTGATCACAACGGATTCTGTGCATACGAGACAAGCGCAGTACTTGTGCTAGTGGGAGAAAGCTAGAAACAGGAGGTGGAATAATCCTGCCATACTCCGTATACTGTGTAAGGACCTTGTCCTCTGGAACCCTGGAGGCGGCGCGCGGGCTGATATCATTTCGGTGGGGAAGGACAGCGCTGTGGCGGGCTGTGGCGAGGGTGGACACGGGAGGACAGGAGGCGGGGAATTGGCTGGGAGTCATGACATAATGATGTCAAAGACATCTGTGAGATCGCTACACAAATACCTACTACCGAAGTGAGCAGAGATGCATGCTTAAAAAGGCACATAGAAGAGAAAGCCGAATTATTTGTCCACAGTAAAAAAACTTGCTCTATCAAGGCATTCAAGTGCAATGCTTGAGACTAGATTCACCCGCGCAAGAAATAAGACATAACAGATCACGCCACAAACGCCGTCCCGATGACATAGCCAGATTATGCGAACTTCGGAATTGACGAAAACTTGTATACATATGAGTAGAAGACAAGTCACTCGAGCATCCAGCGACGATCGAACGTACCGGCCGCAATGGAAAGTCTATAGATAGATTGCGATCATCGTTCTGCCAGGAACATGCGTGATTAAGACAGAACTAACTATGTACCAAAGGGGATATGGGACGCCAATAAAAGGTAGAGTAAATCAGCAGTCGATACGTACATCTGCACAGGAAGCCAAGGGAAAGGGAAATAGTTCGCCTGTCGAAGGAGAACTTGATGTGTGATAGATCCAGAACCGACATAAAGCGCGTCATGGTCACGCATAGACCATCTAGGGTGGAGTGGGGGTTTGGCGAACCTCCGGCTGATCGGGTCGGTGCTTCTCCCGCGTGCGCATGTACATCCCGTCGGACTGAGAGTCCATTGTTGGAGCGGCGTGTATTGAACGAGGTATGCCCGTTTGCGATTGTTGCTGCTGCTGCTGCTGCGAAACGATCTCCCGAGCGTAAAACTCTACCAGCATTGTGCCATACGCCTCAAGCTCTTCCACAGGAATCGAAAGACGAAAGTCATTCAAGAGAAGAAATTGAAGCTCCAGATGGTTGAGCTCAACCAATGGTAAACCCCCAACCTGTACGCAGCATTGTTGTCAGTTCGGTTGCGCCAACCAATGCTATGGCAGCAAAGGGGAAGAAAATAAATACCTTTGCATATCGCGAGTTTGTGTAAAAAACGTCCGAGAAGAATTTACTGGCACAAGTCACGCCTGCGATGACTAGCCGATGAATATTGAAGCTATCGACGATGAAGAAGTGGGAAAGCGCCTCGTCCTCGTCCTGAGGATCTAGAGACGGTGATAAGGACGAGGGTGTGGACGGGTCCTGGGGGGCAAAATTCGCTGATGACGGCGGAGTTGCCAATGGAGATGCATCTGTCGTCGACAGCTGGGAAGTCTGAGGCCGGTCACCATTAATCCCCAATGAAGCAGCCGATCGGGCCTGGCGACGCCGTAATCGCTCAAGCTGGACCCGGTTGACCAACTCCGTCATACGATCAAAATACACCAGAAGACTGAGGAAGACTTCGTAAGTCGTGGGACAATATTTATGAATCCTCGTCAAATAGCTGAGAATGCTGATACTCGGCACATTCTTGCCGTGGAAGGCAAGAACACTAGCGGCCTGCGGGCTGAGATTAGAGGTCCCGTCCGGGGGTGGTATGTGGCGATGGATGTGCTCATGGTGCATGTCGTTGGTAGTAGTAATTTTTGTCAAGAGCCCAGCCACCATCTCGATGATGTCCGTGACCGGCATGGAACTGATTTCGTACTGGCGCTCTCGGGATCCCCACTGACCCGTCATGCAATCTCGGTGTGCCAACATTTCCTGACTTGCAAAGCTTTGTATATGGGACAGATCGCGTACTCGGATGCGACTGGGTGAATTTGCCTCCGAGCCGCCTAAGGAGCGCAGAGACTGATGGGTGGGCCTCAGCTGCGGTGATGCTGGGGAGGAGTGATTTCGGCTGTGTGGCGCAGATGTCGCGGTCGCGTATGCATGGCTGGCGGTGACATGAGGGGCATACGTTTGAGGTGCGGCGTGGGCGTGAATATCGGAGCGAGATGTATGGCTACCGCTGGTGGTTGTGGTCATTGATGCTGAGTTCGGGTGGGCGGTTATTATACCCGAGGTGGTTGAGGAGGCCCGTGATGAGGGGTAAGAATTCGAGTCGGAAGGGTGATAGATATAAGGCGGAACATCCTGGGTGGTTTGGTGGGAGGGGAGGCGAGCTGAGGCGGACGTTGACGGCGGGGCTGTGGACGAGGTGGGGGTGGTGTGAGACGAGGCCGACCTAGAGGCGCCGCCGGTCTCCAGATGTGACGAAGGTTGGAGCGAGGCTTGGGCCTGCGAGGAAGATCGATAGCCAGATTCCGAAGTAGGTATGGCGCCTCCCAGCATGGTGTAGGAGGAAGTATCAAGTTGATTCGGTCGCAGATGATTGACAGCAACGGATCCCATGTCCAGTTCAAAGAGACGTAAGGGTAATAATTGAAAGGATGGACAATCGATTGAGGTTATAACGTTGCAACTAAAGTCCAGGCCGGGGAGCGACGGTTAGCGACAGAAGGCGACCGTGGGGTCATTGGGAGTCCAAGCAAAGACCAGAACAGAATACGATTGACAGGAAGGATGAAATTAAAACTTAGGTAGTGGTTCCGGCGGAGGGAAAGAGAAGAAAAGAGAGATAGGGAGAGGGAGAAGTACGAGGTCCAGCGATTGATAATTGATGGATCGATTTAATTTAGTCGTTCAATGAGCGAAGGGGGAGGGGAAGCTGCAGCGAGAGGAGAAGGGGAGGGGGAATGATGAGAGAGAGGGTCTGGATCTGGAGATGCGGCGAGTGAGGGTCAGAGCACTGGGGAATGCTCGATAAACCCGACCCAAGCCTGGAACGGATAAGGAATCACAGGCAATTGACAGCGGTGGAGATCATGTCCATTGCTTTGAGTTTATGGGGAGGAGGAGAGACAAGGTAAGATGAAGGAAAAGGGATGGAAGAATTTGCGAGTGATTGGTCGTTAGAAGGCAAGACTTATGGGAGATTGAAGTGAGAGGTAGAAAACGAGTAGAAATACTCGGGATGAGTAAGAATGGGAGGGAGCGAAGGTAGAGAGAAAGAGAGAAAAGGAGAGAGACAGAGAGAGAGAGGAGAGGAAGATGAGATGATGATGTTGTTTTGATGATGCAGCCGTAGCCCGTCGCCGCAACACTGCAGCAGCAGCAACAACAGCACAAGAAACCCGGGCAAAGAAGGCTGGGGTCCACCACGAACGAGACTTAAGAACCACTTAGCAGCAACTCACTCTATCAGCCAGCAAGACCCAGACCCCGGGTGGAGTTCTCTAATTGATTCAATGGGGGATTTGCTCTCCCTTTCCCCGAATGCAGTAACTAAGTAAGTAGATGGATCAAGCCGAGGACCAAGAATTCCTCCCCAAAATCAAGGCAGCTGAGCTTCCAGATAAGATGATTGAGGTGGTTAATGCAAATGACATAGACGAAAGCAAACACAATAGTCAAGAAAAAGGAGAGGAAGAAAAAGGAAGTGAAACCAAGAAAAGTCAACTTAAGAGAAAAAGAAACGCTGGATAGGATTTTAGACGAGGAGAATTGCAATATCATAAGACTTGAGATGATCCATCAATTGGGAAGGGCTCACTCCTATTACCAGTCCAAATATACCTCCAACTCTGACACCTTGCTAAGTACCTGCGGAAGACTCAATCCCGGGACCAGTCGAGAAAGAAAACAAACACAGTGCATGCATGCATGCCCTCGCGTCGAAATGCTTCTGCATTCAATCAGACCCGGATGATTTAGTCCTTCTTGTCCATTTGGTCTGTATTTATCCTATGACTTTCAACTGATTGAGGCATTCATACTACGGAGTACTACTGACGGTAGACCAGCCTGCCTAGAAAGAGCCGGACAGGATAGTCGCACTTGGGATTATCCTCCGTCTGAGGGGCAATGGGCGAATCGCGGCTCTGGAGAGGCACAGGTGTTCCTCATTGCAGATTGATTGGTGCTTTCGCAGCTGAGAGTCCTTAATGCCATGGAGCTGTCACATCTTTAACCCCTACTACCTAGTGGACGAATGCCCCTTTTGGATTGATGTTCACCACGATAGTACTGCTGCGGATTACTGGATGCCCATAAAATATATTACCTTTATTTAAGGACGATTGGATTGAGGCGGTACTACAGAGTAGAAATGTCTCTGACCGCCAAACACATCTGAGGCTTATAGCAGCTCAATCTCCTCCTAAACTGTCAAGTAGTTATCTTCCGCCAGGAGCCGGAGTCGAACTGGCCGAAGCCCAGTGTGGTCAAATGCCAAGTCAAGCCATGCATGCAGTGAGATATCACCGCGCAACTTACTAAAGACCTTCCCCGAGGATAGTTACCTTGATTAACCAAGTCTCATCCCATTCGCCGAGAAGCACGGCCTGTACACCGCTTACTTTTGCGGCGAACTCATGTCCAAAGTGAGACCGTGCTCAGTGCTAAGAGGCAGAAAAAGTCATGTTTGTCGAAAGCTAACAACGATATAAATCATCATTCCATAAGGGTACACTCATTAATTGGTGAGACCTGGTCCAGTGTAACCCGTGTCTGGCAAGTAGAGATGTCGCTGAGCGCCCTTGGCCGTCAAAACCACCATTCGGATCACACCACCAGAGCTGCCATCCCACTTAATCGCCTCCTGCAGAGATGACCGAACAAATTGAATACCTTCTTCCTCAGTCATGTTCTCCTTCCAGTTCGCATCGCAGTATCCGTAGATGTAAGTTGACCCAGACCCACCGATCGAGTACGGTTGTTTGTGAAGAGACCCGCCGAGAGGTATCGAGTAAACCTGCCCTCCGTGTCGAGGATCATACCCAGCAATGATAATTCCGGCACTGAACACCGACAGAATCAGTAAATCATAATCCAGTGGCTGATGAGGGCGCCGGGTGCTTGCCTTAGCATGTCCTTGTTCTCATAACACAGCTCCTGGAACAAGGCGGCAGCAACCTGAGTGCTGGGTGCTTCGTTATTTGTGATCGAGTACATGTTCAGATGGTAGGATACAATATCGGCCACGGCCTGTGTGTCGGCAGCTGACCCCGAGCGGCAGCACCAGATCGTGTCATGTACCTGTGTCAATTTGTCGGTAACCCGGTTGGCGATGTAAGCTCCGGTAGTCGTTCGGCTATCGGCACCCAATATGACACCGTCCTTGAAGTTGATCGCCATGCTATTGCCGGTTAATGGGTGCCGTGATGAGCACAGGGCAAGTCTCACTCACATCGACGTTCCTAGGCTTCACAAACAAGGTAAGTCAGTTTAGAGCCACAATTAAGATCCCAAAACCCAGCACTTACTTGACCTCACCCTTCTTCAGGTGATTCATATCAACATGGATACCATCTATAAGAGCTGTGAGCTTTTGCGTGATGTCTATTAGATGGAGCTTCCACTGACCTTCACCGAGCATCCCCGTCATACCGTGACCGACCATACTGACTGATATTTAAAGAAACTGGATTGAGTAGGGTTTGTTATGATTCAGAATCAAGACGTCGTTTCTAGTCAAGAAGATTGATGAAGGAGGATATATGATGATTCCGTCCACAAAATAAAGGTTGGAGGAGTCAAGTGGATAAGAGCTCTGACGAAGCTCAGGCAGGCGAGCGCGTTACGTTGTCAGCAGCTGGAGCTGATTCCGCCGGGCGGTGAGGCGGCGTATCTTTCCTACTGGACAGCTCCTCCATCCCCCGCAGGTCTCCTGAACGACTCCCTCCCCCAAGCCATCACTTCCGATGAAACGAACCGACGCCTTAATCTCCGTTGGACAAGTGTCTGGCCGCTTGCGATATTCATTTTCAATATCTTCTTTACCATTTATTTTTGACTTCTTTGTCTAGCCATCCGCGCTGGCTTCCGCTTGCTTGATTGATTCAACCCTTCAGCGCCGTCCTGTCGCATCGGCTATACTACTCCGCTCGCTGCCATGTCTGAGTCGCCGCCTCCGCCCTCGTGGACTATCGCCAGCATGGCCAATAGTGCCGTCCAGTTTTTGCGATTACCAGTTCTGGCTTCATCTGGTCTCGCTGTGGTGGCCAGTGGCCTGTTGTACTTCAAACAAAAGTAAGCACTGACTCGCATTTGCTTTACTGCAATGAGAGCGAAGCCTGAGATCTAACCCCGTGCGCAGTGAGCTGATCTATCCTCGAAATGTCCCCATCGACGCCCGCTCCAATGTCCCCAAGCCACAACAATTCGGCATCACAGATTATGAAGAACTCCATCTACCAACTCCGGATGGTGAAACACTACATGCTCTCTTTATTCGTCCCATGCGCAAACGTATCACGCAAGACATAACAATTATGATGTTCCACGGTAACGCTGGAAATATCGGTCACCGTGTTCCTATCGCTAAGATACTCCAAGAGATTCTTGGTTGCAATGTGTTGATGTTGGAGTACCGCGGCTATGGCCTATCGACCGGCACTCCAGATGAGCCAGGCTTGAAAATTGATGCGCAAACCGGTCTAGACTACCTGCGACAAAGGCCCGAGACTAAGAATAACCAGATAATTGTCTATGGACAAAGTCTGGGCGGAGCGGTCGCGATTGATCTTGTCGCTAAGAACCAAGACAAGGGTGTAATTGCCGGCTTGATTCTTGAAAACACCTTCTTGAGCATTCGCAAATTGATTCCTACGTATGTTCGACTCCAACCCCCGCCGCTCTAGTTTCGATTTTGCATGTGACACAACTTTCTGATACATCTTAGTGTTTTTCCACCCGCGCGATATCTTGCTCGCTTCTGCCATCAATACTGGACAAGCGAAGAGGTATTGCCCAGAATCACGAAAGTGCCCATCCTATTCCTTAGCGGGTTGAAGGATGAAATCGTACCGTAAGAGCAGACTGTCTTATTTCCTGTGATATCGAAAACCTAACAGGTTGCTTACGCAGACCGTCCAATATGACCCAACTGTTCGCCATCTGCAAGTCCAGCCGTAAAGTCTGGCGTACTCTTCCCAATGGTGGCCACAATGACAGTGTCGCTGAGCCAGGATATTTTGAGCATATCCATTCCTTCATCATGGAAGAGGTCGTCCGACATGGACATTGAAGGACTGTTTCGCATTCGCACGTCCTTCTCATTTCAATCATCCGTTGTGTTTGTTGTTCTTATGATGAATTATGTTTGTCGCACCTGTTGGGTCCATGCCGCTCGGGCTGTCTGTGATTTTGCCTTCCCTGCTCGTTTCGTGATTTCCCCTTGTGTTGTTGTTAGACTGGTGTTTCGGATGCTTCTGGTTGGCTGCTTTCATTTTCATTTTCGGGATCCTATGTTTCGACTGCACATGCGATGAGGATCCACTGCTTTTTCCGAGAAAAATATATCTCGATACCTTATGAAGAAACTTTTTATGAAGCGGTGCCACGGACATTCCATAAGTTGCCCGTCCCCTTTGCTTGTATGAGTGAGGTATGAAGGGTGACCCGCTATGAGTAATCTGGCGGGCGCGATGAGTCGAAAGGCGCAGCACCAAACCAGCATGAGTCATGCTGCTAAACAAACTAATGTGATCTGACTGCGACAGGGTCTGATCCTCTGATGACACAAGGGAATACCTATTAGTTAAGATTAGTTAGAGCCCTTTGTAGCAAATTCTGCGACTCACTGAATAATCATTGAGTGTGAAGCGATCCGTCCAGCCCAGGAGGCAAACTGCCGCCACCCGAACCAAATCGCAGGAACGAAATCACCTTCAAGTACCACCAATTTCTTTTGCTTTTCAGCCAAGTGTCGCCTCCTGGTCTTCTTTTCAGTTTGCGATTGCCGATTCTACTCGCTTTATTGGAATCGATCAGTTCACGGTTTCTAGTTCCACTAGAGCGAAAGGCTATATTTGATTAGTCCGCGGTAACCGGCTTTTGCTTTTCAAGTTCCTTATCAAAAGGCCAAACTATTCGCACTTTCACTGTTTTGCGTTCTATTTTCGATCTTGGATGGACGTGCTCTCTCCGCGTGCAGCTCCGAACCTTACCTCATTCTCTTCAAGGACCTTGGAGGCAACAATGTCGAATTCTCCAGCACCCGTGGCCGACAACGCTACCCCGCGCACAAGGTCGTCCAGGCGCGGAGGCAGAGGCCGTGGTGGCGGTGGCTCCCACAGACCTGCGTCGCAGCATCAGACACAGAGACAATCCCAAGAACAACCGCCCACACATTCGACTACAGTTATTTCACCGCAACAGAACGAACCATCAGCGATACAAACCACGCCCGATGCATCCCACCCACCACGAGGACCAAGGGAAATCAGAAGGGGGGCCAGAAGCGCAGGCGCACAGTCGAATGGAGGCCGACGGCAGGGTCGAGCACGCCGTGGTGCAGACCTTTCAACGACCACCACCGGAGGACGAAGATTTGAGGGTCGATTAACGAAATCGGAGCAGTCTCCAGAGCATGCTCAGAATGTCGGTTCTCATAGTGCAGGTGGGGAAGACATTGCCGGGCTGAGAGCGGATGCGCCAGCATTCGTCCCTGGAGGGCCTGCGGAAGAGGTACCTCGACAGACTGGACACGGTCCATCAAGAGCAAAGGGCAAGCCGAAAGCGAGGAACCCATTCCAGCCTCGATCAGCGCCACCTGTTCCGCCTGCACCAAAGATCACTACGAAGTCATCAGCGCCGGACATTGCAACCCGCATTCACGAAGACATCGCCCATAACCTCTACGAATGTCCGATATGTACAGCCGAGCTGGGTAAAAGGTCTCGCGTGTGGTCTTGCGGCTTGTGCTGGACTGTCTTCCATCTGAGCTGTGTCAAAAAATGGTCGAGAAACGAAGGCGCGGCAGCTCAGGATGCGGCTCGGCGCCGGGGCGAAGAGGGGGAAAGCAGCGCTCCTCGCGCTTGGCGCTGCCCGGGCTGTAATTTGCCTCATGAAGTATTCCCCTCCTCTTACACGTGTTGGTGTCAGAAGGAGGTTGATCCCCGCCCGTTTCCTGGTCTCCCGCCCCATTCATGTGGACAGACTTGCGCGCGATCGCGCAAAGGCTGTCCACATCCTTGCGATGCGACGTGCCATGCTGGTCCATGCGCCCCATGTACGGCCATGGGTCCTACCCAGGACTGCTTCTGTGGGAGAAACTCATCTACAAAACGTTGCCAAGACACCGACTACGATAATGGGTGGAGTTGTGGTGAGATATGTGGTGACCTTCTGCCTTGTGGTGAGCATATCTGTACTCGTCCGTGCCACGAAGGGCTTTGCGGCTCCTGCGAGGTCAAGGTTGATGCGCGCTGCTACTGCGGGAGACAACAGACTGAGATGCTGTGCAGTTCTAAGGAAGAGGAAATGGAAAGTGAGCTTTTACGGGACGTCGAAAACGGAGGTGAAGGGGAGCTTGAAGAATGGGTTGGATGCTTCACTTGTGGCGATCTTTGTAATCGACAATTTGACTGCGGAAAACACTCGTGTCAAAAAACTTGCCATCCCCAGGATGCGCATCCGGCTCATTGTCCACGGTCGCCCGATATGGTGCTTTCCTGCCCTTGTGGGAAGACACCCCTGACCGACGTTGCGGGTTATTCAGCACGGGTTACCTGCGATGATCCGATACCGAATTGCTCAAAGCCTTGCGCGAAACCCTTACCATGCGGACACTCTTGCGAGCAAGTCTGCCATACCGGTCCATGTGGCCCTTGCTTGCAGAAAGTCACAATTCAGTGCCGCTGTGGGCGCAATGACTTCCAGACGACCTGTTTCTCGGGCGATTTCGAACCACCTCAATGTTTCCGCATCTGTAAGGCAGGTTTGCACTGCGGTCGGCATGCGTGCGCAGAGCGATGTTGTCCAGGCGAACAGAAAGCAATTGAGCGTCAGGCTTTACGTCGAAAGCTCAAATCCCACCTTCGTCCTAGCGACGAGGATTTCGAGGCAGAACATATCTGCACCCGGGTGTGTGGCCGTATGCTGAAATGCGGACGGCACACGTGCCCCGAGATCTGTCACAAAGGACCCTGCAACACTTGTAGAGAGGCGATATTCGAGGAGATCCCGTGTAATTGCGGTCGATCGATCCTGCATCCGCCTCTCCCTTGTGGGACACAACCCCCCGCTTGCTCATACCCTTGTGAGCGCGCCAAAACGTGCGGCCATCCACAGATGCCTCATTATTGTCATACGGATGATGAGAATTGTCCAAAGTGCCCTTTTCTGACAGAGAAGACGTGTCTGTGCGGTAAACGCGTTTTGAAGAATCAGCCGTGCTGGCTTACAGATGCGCGTTGCGGACAGATTTGTGGCAAGCTTCTCAAGTGTGGCTCTCACACTTGCAAGAAGAACTGCCATCGATCGGGTGATTGTGAGGATGCCTATCACCCTTGCCAGCAAGCCTGTGGGAAGACTAAATCGCTGTGTGGCCATCCCTGTACTGATCAATGTCATGCTCCTTATCCCTGCTCGGAAAAGACCCCTTGTTCATCCATGGTTACGGTGACATGTAGCTGTGGACGACTTCGACAGGAGCGACGCTGCAATGCAGCCAAGGCTGTCGTGGTCAAAGGTAATCTCCAGCAAGCGCAGCGACTGCCGTCATCGTCACCTTTGGTGTGCGACGAGGAATGCGCCCGTCTAGAACGGAATCGTTCTTTGGCGTCTGCGCTGGGTGTCGATATTAACCCAACGACGACTGTTTCCCAAACACTCACCTCCACGAACCTACCTTATTCCTCTGAAACACTCGATATATACCTCCAGCTTTCATCGTCGTATCCCCTCTCCACCCTCCAATCCTACGAATCCACACTCCATACCCTTGCCACTAGCAATAACCCGGCGAACCGCTCCACCCGTTTCCAACCCGCCAAAGCCCCGCTTCGTGCCTTTGCCCATTCCCTTGCTGCCGATTGGGGCTTCGCCAGCGAGAGCTCCGATCCGGAGCCTCATCGCCATGTTTTCGTTCTCAAACCCACTTCCTGGACTCCTCCACTTTTGGGCATGGGCAATGGTACCACCATAGGTATTGGCGGCATGAGCGTTGGTGAATGTGTGAAGTTACGTGATCGTCAACGCCTCAAGGAGCAGGAAGAACAGCGGCTTGCTGCGGCAGAAGCGAGGGCCCAGCGCGAAGCCGCACGGGCCCAGCAGACTGCGAACGGTGAGGGTGGCTGGGCACAAGTTGCAGCTTCGAAGAGAAATAACGGTCCCGGTAGCTCGCGGAGCAGTACGCCTGCTATCCAAGCTACTGGTAGTAGTCCTTGGTCTACGACGATGTACGCTGCTCTTGCGGAAGATGACAGCAGTGCTTCTTGGGATGCCCCCGTTCCGCCTCAACCCCAACTCAAGAAGGAGAAACTGGTGTTGCGATCCGGCGTCAAGCAATTGAGGACTTTGAGCTCGAGTAGAGATCCGAGCTCTGGCGATTTACCGCAAGATCCTAGATCGGACGGAGAAAAAGAGGCTGCATGACCTACTCGGCAAAGCTTCGGTCTCGAAGACAGAGCCCACAGTGTTGTCTATGCTTTCATCGATCCTAGACCTTATTTCATGGCTGGTCACGATATCATTCTTAAATGTTTCTTCAACATCATGTCTGACTGTAATGCTTGTTGCTGCTGTCACTCATCTGCTATGGTTAGCGTGCATAGCTGCGCTGGTCGTGTATTCTTACTAGAGAACAAAATCGATAGATTTGGAGTTGGCATTTCTGCGTTACTATGTGTTTGTTGTGGTTGTTTGGCGCTTCTTGAGAGCCAGTAGAGTAGATGAGTCTATCTGTTAAGATCCTCGTGCTCATGGGGTGAAGTGGAATCCCCTCCCCCGTTGATCACAGCGCAAGTTGGCATTCTCCGTACTTTTACGGAACACACAGTATTTCTATATAGACCAAAATTGCAGCACCCAGATTAAATATCAGCCAATGAATTAACAACAGCTCTACTTCGGAGTCGAAAATCTTGGAACCACCGACGAAGCCGACAAGTACCGGGGCTTTCTGTAGCAGATAATATTTAGTGAAGTCTACTCCATAATAAAAATCCACCTAAGGTATTTGCACTGCGCGCATGTCCCTGTACAAATCTAAGCATAAGCACATAGTTAGTCAGCCTGTCTGGCTGACAAGCGAATCAAAACAGCCTGCTAAAGGCCAAGGCCGGTTCAACCTTCCCCGACTGGTCACTGCTCGGCAGCAACTGCCTTTACGTAGAGCGCAATCATCGCCTCACTCGTGGTGGTGTTCCCCATCAACCCTATCAAATACCAGCAAATTGGACTCATCCCAGCTCTTGGACAAGTCGTTCAATTGCACGTCATCGTCCATAGATTTTCATAACCCGAATCCTGCCTTCACAGCGAACGATTAATTGCTTGCTGTTTGTTTTCGCTTGCATTTAGGCGCACTCGACCGACGGTACTTATACAATAAATAACCACTGCATTATCTCATCCGGAAGAAGTTGGTGAGCTAGCCCGGAAAGCTACACATCGAGTCTTGACAGCCACTCAGACGTACTTCCAATTTGGAGTCAACTCAAGTCTGAATGCCCTCGCGACGCAGCCATACCAAATCCCGCAAGGGTTGCATTCAGTGTAAGAAGCGACATGTAAAGGTTTGCCATTTCCATCTCGTACTAGATGTTGCGGTTCTTGCCCACTATTACCTTCAATGCCCTGCTTTCCTGCCGACAGATACCTTGGGGTTCACTTGCCTGACGCTCAACCTTCGCTTCTGGCCAGAACAAAGACTCAACTCCCAGCCGCTGACAGCGATGCACAGTGCGACGAAGAAACGCCACAATGTGGTTTGTGCAAGAAGAGAAAATTGAGTTGCACCTATCCATCCAATGATGCCGATAGTCAAAACCCTTCGACGCCACAGGATACCGCTGAGACAGTATCGAGCCCAGAAACAGATTCGTCGCAAACACGCATGCTCGAAATGAGGCTCTTTCATCATTATCTTACGGAGACATATGTCACCCTTTGTCAAGGCCGCCTCGATGCACATCATTTTCAAGTCGTAATCCCGCGGATTGTGGTGTCCCACCCATTCCTAATGGACAGCCTCTTGGCATTATCTGCTCTTCATCTTGCTTATCTGGAACAACACGACAATCGTTCCTGGCTGGAGATCGCCCTGAAGTATCAGAGCCGCGCCTGCTCGGCGTTCAGTCGAGTCTTGGCGGACATTTCACCTGAGACCTGCGGACCAGCTTTCATTTGCTCCATTTTCATCATGCTTTGTGCAACGGCGTATCCTTGTGTTTCAGAGGACAGACAGACATTCGAACCGCTGTCTCATGTGTTGGAAATCCGTCAGCTTATTGCCGGCTGTGCCCTCTTGTTCGTGCAACTCAACGGTATGGAGTACCGTGGTGACTTGCAGGGATGGTTGAAGTGGAAGGATGATGAAGTAGATCAGGATGGAAATCCATATCAGTAAGTCACCACATTCTAAACCGCCGACCTTCACTCCGTTATTGACTTTCTTCTAGGGTACGGGAATCACAACTCAATCTTCGCAGGTATGTTTCTTTCTCTAGTGTTTATCTCTAGGTGCTGAAACACTTTGAGTGCGGTCATGGATTCTCTGAAAGGCGTTCATGAAAAATTTACCAGTTTTGGCGGATCAAATCAGCCAACATACCTAGCCACTTGGCAGGTATTGCATGAGGCCATCAAACGATGGCCATTCGGGGGTCCAAACGGCGGCATAATCGCGTGGCCGATCAACATCAGTGAGGCTTACATCGATCTGCTCAAGCAGGGTGATTGGGTAGCTCGAATCTTGTTTCTACATTACGGTGTCGGACTGCATCTTCTGTCAGACAAATGGTTTGTTCGAAATTGGGGCCGACGTCTTATCGAGACCGTTTTGCAATCAGACGATGAAGTCCCCTCAATTTGGACGGATACCATCTCCTGGACCAGGAGTGCGGTTGAGCTAGAAGAATAAATGTACCCTCATAAGTATGACCTTGCACGCAACTTGGCATGATATGCATTAGGTTTGTTGCGGAGGATAGCTGATTCATGGCAGCCTGAGATTCGGGCTTGACGAAACCGGCATGGCAGGCACAAGAGCAAGTAACCTCTTTATGACGAAAGACTTGCGACACCCAGCATTCCAACTGCCCTTCTGAGATGTTTGTACATTGGACTTGATATCTGGATTCCTGCTTCTTTCTACCCGGAAATGCCTCCCGGAAACTTTTCTCGGTCCCGAAGTGATTTCTTGGGTACGGGCTGCCCGGGCATTATCTAATGACCCGGGACAGTGTCATCGAAACTTGCAAACGAAATCCACTTACGTCTTGCATCATAAAGATACTTTATGACATGATCATTGTCAAGAGGGACTTACAGGCGGCCCACGGATTATAAGCATGGTGTTCTGGACGGCCTCCACGTGTTTTCAAAGACGTGTTCACGGGGACATACTACTAGGACGTGGGAAGAGGCTTATCGCAACTATTTTCTCCCTTGATAAGTTTTCTTTTGTCCAGTCATAACCCCTGCGTGGCCAAATCCCCACTCGATGTGCGTGGTTGACAACAGCAGAATCTCTCCGGCTTTCCGAAATCTGAGCCATGGTTTGCAGGATAGTGTATCAAGTTAGAGCAATATGTGCTCCACCGACCCGGAGACTTCATGACCCCAAATTCTGCAGGTCACGTTTGGGGATGAAAGTAAAGGAACATGATTGGATGGCAGGGCTATTGCGCCTTTGGATTAGAAGTTTGAAGTGCCATCGGGTGACCTGGCCGAAGTGGCGGTCCGAATTACTGTTGGTCGAGCCTGATAAGGGAATGCAGGCAAACAATCTACTATTGCGGTGTCCTTATCGCCGACGGGGGTCTGTCCGATTATGGGCGAGTCAGAAAGCCCTCTTACTTAGATAAATGATTGCTCTCGAAGCCTCCTCGTCTTTTGTTCCTGTCTTTATGTAAGTACTCTATGAATTAAACAACCTAACCTTTGTGTCCTGCCCAGTCAGACCGACCACCCCGCTTGCCGATCTTTCACCCTCTCTAGCATTTCGTTCGGGCTTGATAGTCACTCTTTTCCAGTAACCGCATCCGGCCACTGAGTACCAGATATACTAAACATGCAGGGTTGCAGACCGAATCTCATTGACAGCCAAGATGCGGAGAAACAGGTACCTAAAGAATATCCTTTTGTTGACCTCTTTTTCTATTTCCCTCGTTTCCACAAGTACTGAAACCTCTAATTTGCAATTTCCTTGACAGCCACTTCTCGGGACCTCCGAACGCCCGGTCGCGTGCACGCAATCGGCTTCATACAACGACAATTTCGGAAACCGGTCAAGAATGTTTCATATTCTACGATTCACTCTGTCAACCTCGCTAGTCTTGATTGTACTGGTTATACACTTGCCCAACGTACTCACATCGCCTCTTACCTCTGCTACGCATCAAATGGGCCATGACAATGCATTGGAGGTCGGCAAGCGTGGCGCCGTAGCCAGCGAAAGTGCAATATGCAGTCGCCACGGAACGAATATCCTGTTGAAAGGCGGAAATGCGGCTGATGCTGTGAGTAATAGGATCTCAGGAGCTCACAAGCGAGAGACTGGTTCCGCGTGAATCCCCATCAAACCCAACATGGGTGCTGATCGAAAATGTGGTAGATGGTCGCAACTATGCTCTGCGTAGGGGTTGTGGGTTAGTTGCTGTCGTGTCCAGATAGCATCAGGCTTGTGGAACTAATCAGTTCTCATAATTAGGCATGTATCACAGCGGCATAGGAGGAGGTGGCTTCATTCTAGTGAAAGACTCCAACGACGCGTTCGAATTTATAGATTTCCGCGAAACTGCTCCGGCAGCTGCTTATGAGGAAATGTTTGTCAATAACACAGAAGCCGCAGTTCGTGGGGGTCTTGCAAGGTATCAAAGTCTGCCTCATGAAGCCACACCTCGATACTAATGATATTGGTAGTGGTGTTCCAGGCGAGCTTCGTGGTCTTGAATATCTTCATCAGAGATATGGATCACTCCCTTGGTCGACTGTGCTCCAACCAGCAATTGAAACTGCGCGTGAGGGCTTTCCCGTGGGTCCGGATCTTGTACACTACATGGCTGCCTCGATAGCCGACACCGATGACGACTTCCTGACTCGGGATCCTGTATGGGCAATTGACTTTGCTCCCAACGGGACTAGACTTGGCCTAGGCGATACCATGACACGAAAACGGTATGCGAGCACTCTCGAGACGATAGCAGAGAAAGGATCCGATGCCTTTTACTCTGGACCTCTTGCAGAGAAATTGGTCAATGCAGTGCAAGCAGCGAATGGCACAATGACTCTTGAAGATCTTCACAATTACACCGTCGCAATCCGCAATACTTCGCAAATCGATTATCGTGGATATCAGATTACCAGCACCACTGCACCATCTAGTGGCACAGTCGCCCTGAACATACTCAAAGTTTTGAATACGTATGACAGCTTTCTCGGCCCAGGCAATGTGCATTTGAGTACTCACCGGCTTGATGAAGCTATTCGATTCGGATACGGATTGGTACGTATCACCCTCGAGACAAATCCTTCCAGGCCTTGTGTAACTGTGACCTAAGTCAAGTGTAGCGAACGAACATGGGAGACCCTTATTTCGTAGACGATATGGATGAATATCAGGAAAACATGCTTGACCAAGCCACTATCAATGAGATCCGAGCAAAAATTTCCGATTCTAAGACACAAGACATCTCTGCCTACGATCCTCGGGGATTCGAGAGTTTGGATACGTATGTGTTCCTTGGACGCGCCTCCTGAGTGAAGCTAACAATGTCGTCAGCCCCGGTACCTCGCATATTGCTACAATCGATCACGAAGGTCTTACTGTCTCTGCAATTACAACGATCAATCTGCTCTTTGGAAGTAAGGTCATGGTGCCTGAGACAGGTGTCATCATGAATAATGAGATGGACGGTAGGTTGGCCAAGCTGACTGTGCTTCTTGTTTACTGATGCATGTCTAGACTTCTCCATCCCCGGCTCGTCTAATTCGTTCGGATATATTCCTTCTGAGGCAAACTTCATCCGTCCTGGAAAGCGTCCGCTATCGTCTAGCACTCCGGCCATTGTAACTCACCCCAACGGCACAGTCTTCTTTGTGGCTGGTTCGGCGGGCGGCAGTCGAATCATCACCGCGACAATCCAGAACATCATCCACGCTGTCGATAAGGGTCTCTCGGCGGCTGAAGCTTTGGCTCAGCCTCGTCTGCATGACCAGCTGATCCCTAACCAGGTCACGTTTGAGTATAGCTATGATAACGAGACCGTGGCCTTCATGGAGGCGCGCGGGCATAACGTGACATGGGTGGCACCAGGTCAGAGCACAGCCCAGGCAATCCGTGTACTTCCGAATGGAACGTTTGATGCTGCTGGCGAACCTAGGCAGCTGGACTCGGGAGGATTTGCAGTGTGAACGGGTCACTCGTCGCCCATGCGGCCCGTAGCCCGGGACTGGCCGCCACATTGGCATATCGTCCTGCCTACGCGCCTTGACACTTTAGATGCCAGAAATGTCAAATAATTGTGAATATTTGTTATATGAGATTCTATAGAGGCATGAAGAATTTTGATGCTGTCTAGTGCAAGCAATTCGCACTCACAGGCCGAATCCTCGGGTCACGAGCTCATGGAGACTAACCAAGTAAGTCGGATTTACTCCGTACAGCCTGGCACGAGTAGTGATGCAGCCCAAAGTAGCCTGAGGCATCCAGCTACCCCCACCAGAACCGGTGATGCCTGAGGAATGGAAAATGTGGGTATTGTAGCTACCGAGCAACCGAGATCTTAGTCTTTAGTGATGATGTTGATGATTGATGCTGAAGCTTCTTTGATGGTCCAGACTTGGTTCTCTGAGGTGACCAATCATTCCAATTGACTCCTTTTAGGGTGCGATGCATGCATGGTAGAGAAGTAGGAGCTCCCAGGGCGAAACCCCTCCGCGCTGGTCGATTAACTAGTTAGCCTACTCCGTAGTTAGTGGCTCTTTTGGTTCATGTTGATGGGGATAGTCGGGACCCCTCCCCTCATCGGGTCGAAAGAAGAGTGAGTGAGTGTCTCCCTTCTTTTTAGTCTAGTCGCCTTGCTCTCACCGCAAAATCGATCTTTGCCGTCAAATCTCCTCTTCCCATGCACAGTCATTCTGCGTCCTCTCTTTCTTTGCATGTTCCTCATTAATTCGCTCTTGCTGCGTCACGCTCGCTGATTACTTGTTCCAAGCGTCTCGTCCATCCTCCTTCCCTCGCCCTCCCCTCCCTGATCGTTTCCCTCCGAGCCCCTCACGGGATGCTGCATGGGTTCCAGCAGCCCCCTCGGTGGATTGGCACAGGCGCCTAATTGGGCATTCGACCACTGAGAGTTGCATTGGTTCCAGATCTTTTTAAGCGCCAGACGACAGACGTCCGGCTCTCGGATCATCTGGACCTCCTTCTGGCATTGTGACACCACACAAACTCTTTATCTTGCTCGTCTGAGAGCTGTCTAGCTGGGCTCGCATTCCGCTTTGCGATCTATGACACGAGGTAACTACCACAACACAACACAACCCGATCGACGAAAGTGGGGACGATACGAAGAGCGAGCAAGGAGAACAAGGGGGTGTGTTGAGAGGGGAGATTGTCTTCCAACCTTCCATCCACCTCGAGTCGAAGCCCTCCGCCTGATTTCATCCACACCCACGTCATGTTCCATCTACCGTTGAGACCTAATGACCGAGATCGCGACAGGGACCGGACTCACAAAGCGTCTACTTCCTCAAACGTCTCCTCCAAATCCAAACAACGCAAGCATCGCTCGTCCCACGGACCATCCTCTACCCGCTCCCCAACCAAGGAACGACCTCCCGACCCTCCCACGGACCGCTCCTCGACCCCTTCGCTTTCCGCCTCTGATACCCCCCAGCAACGTCGTTCCTCAATGCCAGGCGTAGACAGCGCCAGCCGCTCCGGCGCGGCTTCCTTCCTCGAATCGAGAACCAGTCTCCCTTATCCGACCTTCTCCAAGGCACACAGCAGGGAAGCAGTCGGCAAACCGAACATCCCAACCCCTGACCCGACCGACTTGACCGAGCAGGTCAAAGAGGCGGCCGATGGAGGAAGCCATGATCGTCCCGACAGCAACAAGAATGCGCCTCCAAGTCCGCCGTTAACGAGCGTCGATCAACAATCCCGCCAGGGCAGTACGGTCTGTGATCTTAAGGACGCGAAACCTGCGGAGGAGAAGCCAAAGACTAAGATTCGGATCCGAACCGAGTCGACACGCTCTTCATCAAGCTTGCGATCGAAGAAAGAAGAAGGAGCCAAGACAAGCAAGACGGTGCGGTCGGATTCGACAAAGACAAAACGTTCCAGCCATGACAAGGAATCGCCATCTCGGACCGCCAGCCGCAAGTCATCCAAGAGCAAGATTGTGGAGGATGCAGCGCTGCCAAAACGCCCCTCTAGTCGCACGGCCACGACGCCGCCACGTTCCCCAGCAACAGTACGCGACTTTGGTCCGGAATCGACTAACGGATCGGAGGCCACAACTGTAGCCCCAGCTCACCAGTCCACCACTTCCCGCAAGATTAGGAGCCCAGAAAAGCCGCCCTCTCGTACCCAAACACGATCATCCACATCCCAACGTCCGGGATCCGCATTGCGCAGCCCAATGGAAGCTGCGTATGACTATGGACGTCCCCCGACCGCGAACTCAGCCTATGGGGCCCCTCCGCCTCCGCCCCCGCCTCCGGAGGTGCCTATATCCATCCCCAAGGTAGACTATCTATTGCAGAATGGTGGCTTAGATCATCGAGCACCGAAATCACTTCTCCAGAGTTTGACCGGCTCAGAGGTCACGCCGTATTCGCCCACGCAGCCGCAACTTGTGGCGGCCAAAGTATTCGAGCCTTTGAATCGGCTCCTGGAAGATTACCATCATGTCATGACGAAAAATGGCTCACTCGCCGTTGCAACCGGATATCGATCCGTAGCTCGGCGACTTCTAGACCGGCTGGAGGCCGTCTTTGCCCGTGACATCTCGTCTGAATCATGCAATTGCCTGATGTGTGAACATGAGGAACTGGAGGAACGTCCGACGGGCGTCAGTTGGGGCGAGGTTTTGGAATTGGTGTCCGGCCGTCGTGAGCTGCCCAACTGGCCACCCTTCAGATTGTCTCCCACAGTCGTTGACCCGGACTGGTCCGGTGACGAGCACATCCCCATGCAGAAGCTCGACATTGATGTACCGGAAGAGTATCGGGAACATTACATTCGACAGTCCCGCAAGACGAAGGTTGCCGTCGATAAATGGCTCAGCGAGCAGACTGGTGGAGGAACCAGTGCACCGGATGATGTTGATGATGAGACATTGACATTTGCTATCTTGACTCATTTAGAGCCCGAGGAACGGCAACTTTTCTCTGCTATTCTTGGAATTGGTTCTACAGTACCTACGCCGCGGCCCGAGGGACAACCGCGCCCACGACCCGCTCCCTTGGTCTCGTCAACGTTGGCGATTCAACGATTATATAGGCTGTCGGCTCCTCCGCGGGATCCCGAAACTGCGATTTACATGCTTAATAACCCCGGCATGCATCATGTCCTCGCCACCTTGGCGGCAATCAGCGACGACGAATGGGATATCCTCATATCCGGTCGCTTTGACGGATTCCTACGCAGTGGCGCCGAAGATGCTTTTCCTTCCGGATCAGTCCCTTCGCGTTATGGGAGCACCCGGTCAAATACCCCATACACAACGGGGGGCATTTCGCGTGGGCCAACCCCTAGCCAGCCGGATGGGCTTCCCAGACCTGCCAGTCAGCCATATGGCACGTCCTCCCCTGCCCCTGCATCCTTTGGGGGACCCATTGCCTTGGATGAAGAGATGGAGATTGCGGCTCTAGCCGAGATCGAGCGAGATATCTACCTGGGAATGGAGGCGCTGGAAGATGCCTTCGAGGCTTTGCATCTCAAGGCCGAGGCCGTGCGCCGGGCACTTCGCGAGCGGGGGGCTGGTTTGTCGATCGCGAATCAGAATCGCCGCGGGTCTTTTGTGGAAGCTCGACTAGGCACACCCGCCTCTCAGTTCGGTTGGGATAATGGGGTCGACGACGATTTCTTCCTCGATGACGGTGTCTCCTTGGCGCCGGATGACTCGGCGAGTAATATCAGCTCGAATCGTCGGCGTCGCCCGAAGCGGCGGACAGAACGACGAACCCCGGCGCCAGTCGAAGAGGAAGATGAGGAACAGGCATACGACAGCCGACGAGGCACTCGGAGAAGATAGTACCCTTATCTTTTAGTTGGGCTGCACATTGCCAGGACGGTGATCATCAGCGCTGCTATTTTCTTCTATTTGCTCTGCTTCCTTACCTTACCATATTTTGTTTCTTTGTGTTTCTTTCTGCCTCGAGTACAGCGGTAACGACATGTAATGACAGCTCGGAAATGATCTAACCATTTCTCCCTATGAATGCACGAAATGAATTGCTATGAGGTGTGATATGGGATGGTTGAAAGAAGGGGCGTTTACCTGATATTCCCATGGTGGGTTTGCAGGATGTGGAAAGAGAGAAATGGTCTCTTGACGACAGTCTAGGAGGAATTTGGGTTGTACATGAGAGCAATTGATTCGATAATGACCATTTTATTTAACTTTCTCGTCCTTATATCTACTTGCTGAGAGAATCGCCCTCCTTCCGGGACCATGATTTGCTCTGGGTATTTCGATGGGAAGGGGAAGGACGAGTCTAACTTTTAAAAACATGCCTTATACGTAATGAGCCGATTGTCTCTTACTCCGGTCGATGCACGTGGGCAGTCAGTCGTTTTCATCCTTTGCAAACCAGAAAACATGGGCACTGATTACGTGAATTGTGACGTCGAGTTAGAACGAGGTAGGTATAATGCAATAATCGAACCTCTGTAAGTTGATGGTAGCCAGGCTCCGGCGGTCCAGCAGTAACGCTGGCACATCCTATCGGGCAGGTGAGTCGGGGCACGCTCCGTCCGGAAAAAGCTGAACCTAACTTAACTTGATGATTTCCATCTAATCTTGCTCAAAATTTCCACATTCTAAGGGAGGCAGGCAGGCTCCGGGCTGAGGCTAAGTTACCCCAAGGGAAAGGAGAGATGAACAACAGGTAGGGCAACCGAACCGACCGCGCGCCGAGATCGAATCGCCTGCTCGATTTAGTTTTTCTATTCAGTACCGTGGTATATAGAATTTTCTTTTCTTTCCGTTAGGGAGGTGGATCGTGGGTTGGGTACCTGATGTGCAGTAGGTATGATGATCGTCAGGTCTGCACAATAAGAACTTACAAACTTAACATTAACAAAGAGTCTACGGTGGTTCGGAGGCTTTGTAGATCGTGTGGGTTGAGGCTGACTCGACTAGTTACATAGTTTGGTTGTTTGTGATTGGGTTGGACCCTGAGGCCGATGGGGCAGGTATATACTGCACTAACTACTCCGTACATAACGGATATAGTTCGAATGGATAGACTAAATGCCTAATCGGGCGTAGATGGGGAAGATGGCGTAAAAGGAGGTGAGTCGGAGTTTGGAAATACCATATTTGAGTCAAGGAAATGAAGGATTGTGATGGTGTGTTTACTACTAGTAGTTCCTCGTCTCTTGGGAATAGGAGTTAGGCGGCGGGGCTTGTTGGAAATAGGGGACGCAGGGGACGCAGGCAGTTGCGGCCGGCTACATCATCATTCGTTTCGCGGTGCTGGTGCGTGAGGCTTTCAAGTGGGAGGAGGATGAGCCTTTGGAAAGACAACTTGATCAGGGTAGCGGTAGCGAGGGATACTCCGTAGTCCGCCAGGGACTGCTGCAAAGGTGCAGGTTATACTACCGATGGACGATTTGTCGAGATACTCTCCGTACTCGTGCTCGAATCCGCAGTGCAAGCAGTGCAAGGAGCAACCTATCCGACTGTCGTCTCGACATGGTTTCCTTTGCCACGGCGATGTTATGATGTACCAAAGATCGTGGACCATCATTTTACCAAGGCCACATGGCCACATGGAAGCCCGGATCTCAATACGAGATCTCGGGCCAAATCTTCTTTGTAGTTTGGATCCCAGGGCAAGCAAGGCAGGCAGTCTGGTCGGATCCTGCCGTGCAAACAAACTTTCATCTCTCTCCAATCGTTGAATCGATCCCGATTTCACACTCACATCTCCTCCCCCACTCCGGTCGATAACACTAGTGAAGTCTGATAAAGGGCCTTGTCCTCAAGACCAAGGAGATTCAGGACTGGGGGAATGGTAGACAGAGTTTTCTGCCCCATCTTCTCGTCCTACAGGAATTTCAAAAGGATCCCTATGGACCGCGAAGGGAAAACGGACGCCATCAATTATTGTCTGGGGGTCTCGCCGACAAGGGGATACCTTAGTTATAAAACTTGACACTAGTAAATCTCAACCGAGGAACTGTTTTCGAATCGGACAGGCTTCTGCCGTCTTTTCGGTGGCGCTTTCAACACGTGGTACTGCTGTAAAACGACCAGGCGTTAGTGGCATCGTGGATTGAAGAAGGCGAGGAAGGAGATATTGAGAAAAGTTAGAGGCCCCGTATTCGATCGTGGGCTATACGCGATTTTTCGGTGGGGGTTGAGGCTGAGGAGCCCTGAGATCGGATATCAGGTGGGATCCGCTGCTACCACAGTTACTACCAGCAGCTCCTCCACGATGCGATACGATACGATGAGATCCAGACCCGCTCAGTGCGTGCAGAACCTCTGACTCGGAGAGCTCATGTCGATCAACGAGCTTGGACGGTCTCTGGATCACTGAAGATCAATAATCAATACACTGCGGATGCAATGCCGAGTGGGAGCTCCGGAAAGGGATTGAGATATCGAGTACGGAACAGCACGGTCGGAGTTGCTCGAAAGCAGGTTGGGTGGATTTTTTGCACCCACGGGACACACGTCAGGTTTACGAGGTTGCAAAGCTACCGGCAATAACTGCCGGAGACGCCAGTTAGGCTCTGATTGGATATATATTGACCGGTGCGGCTTGAGGCTGGATACCATAGGCTTAGTGAACTGTGAAAGGTCGGACTTGGCCGCTTGGTGTACCGCTGGTTGTCGGTCGGGATGCCCCCCTACCAAGAGATCGTTTGTTGATCCATACTAATTATATACTCCATAGTCCATACAGAGTTCGAATCGTTTTCACACATTCCTGAGCCGAAAGGGGCAAGTCAATAGAAGCATTGAGAACGCGAAAGGGGTTTAGGCTCCAGTCTGGTGTCTGCAGGAGTTTCTGCAGCGATAGTGTCATCCTACAGTATGCACATAAACATGGGGCTGCATGACTCTCCCGATCCCGACCAGTGTTCGGGAAAAGTGCCAACTCTAGAAATCGCTTGTCGCTCTCCGACAGAGTGGGACCGGGACTAAGTTGCACCCTAAATGCTGAAGAAGACGATGGAGATGAGGCACAGAAGGGATATATGTACTGATCTGTACTGCGGTTTGATCAAAGCACTTGTAGTTATCGTATGTGCATTATTTAGGAATGTGCCTGCGAAATCATCAACTTTGTAACTATCTATCATGTTGACAAGCGATAGGGACTGCTCGGGAGATGGATTAATAACGGCCCTCGTTCTCATCATAGGGCCAGAGATAAGAAGACCTCTGGCTCGAATGATAGAGCCCTCGCCATCCGCCCTGTGTTATTCTCAACGGAGGCAATTACTAAAATGATGATGACCTCTAATCGAACGGCGAGTTTCCTCCTACTCGGGGAAAATTGATCCGAGTGAATGCGGCAAGATCACGCAGGAACACCAACCACAAAGGACGAACAATTCTCTGCCCTACCACTCAGCTCTGCATTGTTCGCCGATTTCACCATCCGATGGACAACTTGACTGATAGCAGAGGTGGAGGGGGACTGTAGTGTCTGTGCCTCTGCAACAAAGTGGTCCAAATACTTCTTTGAGATCATCCTTGCCCCCCTTGCATGACTAGCAAAGTTTTTGGATTCTTCATGACTATGTGTAGACTGTATAGGGTAGAGGCTCAGAGGGTGCCCGGTCAACACCCAGCTCCATCATTGGCATCGGTGGACAAGTAAGGTCCAACAACCGAGATCGACGTACAAAAGCCACAAGGCACAACCCAGCCAAGAGACCAGGGGCAAGCTCCGATGTAGTAATATGATGTAGCTGTATTTCCGTTAGGCTTTTCGAAACGCAGACTGGCAGCTGGAGTTGTGCCCAGTCGGCTGTTTTAACCGGGGTCCAAACCCCCGTTGAGGTTAGCATGGTGGATTCCACTAAATCGGCTCCACGAGTCCAAGGCAAATCATATGCAACGTTAAGTGCAGTACGCTGTACACAGTAATGTGAGTCCGATGGCGAAAAATCAAAAAATCACGATAAAGTATCCCCTATAGGTACCTAGCAGATAGTAGGTTACTAGGTACAGTACTCGACAGTCTACAACTCAGTAGTCAAACAATACAGTCTGTACACAGTAGTAGTCAACAACAAAAAGGCACCTGCTCATTTGTTCCGGGGCCTGGAGAGGTGGAGTAATGCCAAGCCAGTGGCCGGGGATAACCGTCCTTAATGTCCGTCTCTTCCTCTCTCTCTCTTTCTCTCTCTCCCGCTCTCCCCTTTGTTCAGTCTACCCCCCTCCTCTTCCACTCCCACTCCCCGAAGCTGTCAATTAACAATCACTTTATCAAATCACCGCTAATCCGCTTTGCGAGAATGGCCGAGCCTCTTTTGTCTTCACTTTAACCCTCCTTGGTGGCGGACTAGCCACCTTACGCCACCACTGTTTGGCTAGTCCGCTAAACAACGCGTTCGCACAATTCTATTCTTACTCGTACCCTCGAAACACATGCATTCAGAAAGCCATATGCCATGCCTCTTTGTTGCTTCCTACGGTAATTCCAGGAACAGGTCACGTTTAATGGCTATAGTCAGTCCACGAACTACCAAGTAGTTGAACTTAAGCCGTGCACGCCCTTGTGGCTCGAAGCCCCTGGAGCCTGCTGAGAAGCAACTTCCCCCAAGTAGACCCCCATTATCATTCTTACACACCGCGGTCGATTATGCGAGAGTGGCTCCCACGGCACTCTAGCCTCGAGGTGACGACGGCCCTCGAGTCAGACCAACATGGTTTGGGAAGGCGATCGGCGTCTCACCTGGTGGGGCGCGGGCGAGTCTTTCTGGAAAGGCGACAGCTGGACCGACGCGCAGTGATTTTTATTTCCTTTTCAGGGCATCTCTGATCTCTGCCCTCACCGAGATGGGACAAGCGAAAGGCAAACAGACTTTTGTCTGGGGTTGTGGCTGCATCCTGCCACCTGCATCCACGCGACAGTCAGTCCACGGTAATTGATCCTGCCAATAAACACAGAGACGGCCTCCTCATCCCTGCTCATCCTTCAAATTGCCCGAAGCTCAGACGCAACTCCAATTTCCGCAGTTAGAAAGCCCACAATAGACAATGCGGATGGACGACGAGGTATGTGTAAATGATAGGCAAGATACTTCGGCCCCGTCTACGGAGTACCCGTCGTCCACTTTCCGGATGTCTTCCGTCCCTTCCTGTCCGGGCTATTCTCCCCACGGTCGTCCCTATGCTTGGCATTGGAGATGCTGCCAGGCCGCTGAAGGCGATGTTCCATGGCCAAGTTTCAGGAACCACTACCACCGGACTAACCGTCTTTCGCTCTCTCCCCGTCCCTTAGCTGCTAACGGCTTCGGGCGATAGCTTCTGGGCAGGAGAGGTTATGATGGGCAGCCGATTATCAACTAATACATAAAAAAGCTTTACTAGAGGCCCATCTTTCCATAATGGTCCACTCACCGTTGCTGGTAGTTTTGATCTAGTCCATACCGTTGGGGCTCGTCCCTCTTCGACCGCCACGGAGAAATGCTATCTTGCCCTCGTCCTCCATCTTTTCTCCCGTTTTTACCTCTGCGAAGCCGTGGAAATCTTCTGGATCCGGAAAGGGTACAACGATAACCCCCCCCCCCCTGAGATCTGAGATCTTGCCGATTGTTGCGCATTCTTGTCTGTTCGCAAAACTTTGGGTCGACCCCATCGAGCGTCGAGTGTCTATCATCCTTGCCCCTTCAAAAGCGTCGTCCTCCCTCGAGGCGCCACTGCAAGACTCGCTATCCACCTGAGGAGGGCGATGCGAGAGCAGTGCATTCAAACTCGCCACATCCCGACACATTGCAATCATGAGCCTTGTTCAGGTACTGAATGCTCTGGGAGCGTTCGAGGATGATAGTCACGGTCTCTCGCCTCGTACATACCTGAAGAATGGGGTGACGATGGATATCAATCCGCTCCCAAGCACTCAGCGCAAGGGTCTTATTGCCGTCGCAGTCATGGCCACTCTCTCATTCTTGGCGACACTCGCTTTGATCTCGTTCATTACCTACCGACTCGTTTTCTGGAGAGGATCTTATACGCGTTATATCGGTTACAACCAATACATCGTACTGATCTATAATCTTGTGTTGGCCGATCTGCAACAGTCACTCGCTTTCTTGATTTGCTTCAAATGGATCTCCGAGAATAAGATATCCGCAGATACTGCTGGTTGTTTCCTCCAGGGTCTCTGGCTACAGATCGGTGATCCATCTAGTGGTCTTTTTGTACTTGCCATTGCCATTCATACGTTCCTTCTAGTGGCTTTGGGATATAAGCTGAGTCACCGGGTCTTCGTCGCATCTGTGGTGGGAATTTGGATTTTTGTTGCCATTCTCGTCATCATTCCGCTTGCTTCGCACGGTCGTTACGTCTTCATTCCCTCGGGAGCTTGGGTAAGGAGCATTGATCAGAATGGAAGAAAGCGTTGAGCTAACATGTTTCCCTAGTGCTGGATCAGCGAAGACTACGAAGCGATGCGCTTATGGACACATTATATCTGGATTTTCTTGGCGGAGTTTGGCACCGTATGCCTTTATGCAATCATGTGGTTCCAGCTCCGTCGTCGCATCAAGCAGTCCGCCATTTTGGGCAGTAGCCACATCGAAAGTCTCAAGCGCCTCCGTCGTGTCATCGGGTACATGGTGATCTATCCGATCGCCTATATTGTACTCTCACTTCCTCTTGCCGCCGGACGAATGGCCACCGCACAGGGAGATGCCCCTAGCGTCGCCTATTTCTGTGTTGCTGGTGCTATGATTACTAGTTCCGGCTTGGTCGACGCCCTGCTATACACCCTGACCCGTCGCAACCTCATTTTGGAATCGGAACCCAGTCACGATCGCAGCTACAACAAATTCGCCAGCAGCAAGAACCGCAAGACGGATAACAATCATTTGACGACCATTACTGCAGATCCGAAATATACCCGTACCGACATCAGTGCCCTTCGCATGGGACGCCATGAAGAAGACGATGTGGAACGTACGGTACGGGACGGATCTACTGATAACATCGTACAGCCCCACGGGGTTGAGCTATCTACCCTCGGAAAGGTGTATCAGCATACCACGATCGAAATCACCAGTGAGCCCGCCTTCGCAGCAGAGGCTGAATCGAGCGATCACTCCAGCAAGGGGTCTTTTGATGGCTCCCCCGACGGAGGTCATGGACAAGCTGCCCGGATGTGGGGAAGATAGAATATCTTACCCAGGTCCATGCCGGAGTCTGATAGATCATGTCCGGACACTCTCCGATGCCTATTATTCTCAGGGTCCCTTTTCATGTCATACAACTAATTCATGCCCCTTTCCTATTTCCTCTCGTATTGTCGAAGGCCACAGCATCCATCGCTCGGTTCGACAGGACACTTATGCCCATGTACATATTTACCTTCTGAAATACCAACTACTTAAACATAGGGAGATATATCAAGTTTACACCTAAACATTTCCCATATTAATTCTACTCTTGACCAATGACTATAGAACCTGATGAGACTTCGTATATAATGCGAACAAATACAGATCGCTTTGTGCAATGCAAAGATCAGGAAAATCATTAGCCAGCCGTCAAATCACCACCCGATGAAAAGAAATAGTGAGCCCGCGGGATGAGCCAGGCGTGCCCAGTGACCTCGGACTAACATATTTCAGGGTTGTGAATATATACTATATCTAAAAGCTAAGGCGGCAAGCACAGCGAGCATGGTGGGAAAGCTGCATCACCTCCCGCGATATAACTCGACCATCTCCCCCCTCACTTGTTTCGCGAGCGGCCAGACGCGGCCAAGGACCTGCAGGGCGCCGACACCAAGCTCGATGCGCGCTTTCAGGGCGTCATCCTTGGCCGAGCTTCCTCCTACTACTCCTCCTTTGGTGGGTGACGATAATGCGGGCGGTGACGATGGCGAAGGCGATGACGCCAGCATCGTAAAGGTTGCGGTGTGCACGACAATGGCGAGCGCAAGGGCGCAGGTGTAAAACGGAGTGCGGGATTGGACGGAGCTGGGGAGGGTGGCGAGGTTGGAGATGAGATCAGCGGCTCGGAGCATTTTCTGGGCGTGGATGTTCAGAGAGTGATGCTGCGGGGCGGTGGTCGGAGTTGCTGCTGCTGCTGTTGTTGTTGTGGTTGTTGTTTTTGATGATGATGATGTTGGGGGGCTGAGGACGCGGAGTTTTGTGCAGGAGGATGTGGCGGTGGTCGAGTTAGAGGTGGCGGGACATTGATAGGAGGCGAAGCGGATGGTTGAATGGGGGTGGTGAAGGTGAATTAGGCTTCTAGAGGCTTGCTTAGTACCTGTATAATGGAAAGAAAATGGGGGGGGGGGGGGGGGGAAACACGAAGGAGCGGTGTAGAGCATACAAGTAAGTGATCATTAGGGCTTGAAAGTCCATTTCGTCGATTGTAGATGCGTCGTTTATGGACGAAGTTAGCGATAGCCGCATGAGCAGCGAGACAAGTCGCGCATCGAGCGTTTCAGTCTGCGTCTCGGTTGGAGGCTCGAGGGATTGGTTGAGCTCGAGCACAGCTCGAAGGTATTGTACAGCGTGGATGCGCGAAGCGGAAGAGGTTCGGCCAGACGGCCAGTCTGACAGAGAGGACAGGGTCAGAGGTTCAGGATTTGTCTGGAGCTCTGTTAGTGAAGCTTTCCATGGCAAGGTGTTGAAGTGAGGCCAACATCGCTGCTACTCCCTCCTGCTTCGTTGCATGTCGCTTCTGGTGATGCGAGCCACACATCGGAATCCTCCCACCCCGACGAGAGGACTTCACATTGCCCTGACCCCATTGCAGCCATGAGTCCTTCTGTGACGTAGAGTTCCCACCAGGTCCGTCGCCAGCTCTCCTCCAACACGGGGTAACCGCGGGAGTTCTCCCGGGCGAACCCCTGGGTGTGCATGCCGATGCTGTAAGCGACTTGAATGGCCTCCCGGAGAAGTCGTCTTGCGGCCTCTTCACGACCATGCGAATGCTCCAGGATGCTGAGGAGCAGTAGGCCTTGGACGTGAAAGCCATCTTTGGTGGCGGTCAGAGCGGTGTAGGCGGGTTGATAGTAGCCGTCTTTGAGGGTTGGGGTCGCAGTATAATGACTGCCAATGTAGCGCATGATGTGCGGAATAAAGTCGGGCACATGCTGTGCGACGGACGATGCCAGCGCCCGTCTTGGTAAAAGTACGGGATGTGATCTATGGAAGTGGTGGTAATAGAGTTGAATCATCGCATCATGCGTGATGTCCTCGCCATGAGGAACATGTGCCGGCGTCGGTGACGGCGGGGCTGGGTCTTGTTGATGAAAAATATCAAGACTGAGGTCTGGAATGTCGAGGAGCGAATCTGACTACTTCCGTTAGCGAGATGGTCATGGCAAGTCTCTGGTAAGGTAAGATGTGTACATCTAAAAATGAAGCATCGAGCCAGTTCATGATGTTCGACGAAAAGAGAGCATCGGCTTCCTCTTCCGCTGTCGGTTGATTGCCCGCCTTGTTACTCCGCAGGCCCCGGCGAGATCGAACATATCGACAGTCATGATGATTATTCTGGCACCGAGTACAGATTGGCATGCGTGCATCGCATTTCAGATGGCGGCGCCGACATGGTACACAGGCGAGTGCTGAGGGTTTGCCGGAATCCTGCATGATCTTGAAAGAGACTGAATCATTTTGCCGGATCCAGGGGCCACAGCTGACGACATTTCCATCAATTATATGAAGACGAGGCAAGAGCGAGGGGGCGTTCATGGAAAATGAAGACATCCACTACAGCCAGAGGGATCTGAACCCCGAGATTTGGATCCTCAGGATCCAATCCCGCGAGACCCCGACTCGGGGACCATCGCAGATTGGCCCATTGCACCAGATCGACGAGCCTTGCATCCAGAGGCTGTTCATGACTTCATGCGTCTAGATCTCCGGGGTCCATTTCCACCCAGCGCAATGAAACATGAAACGAAGCCTATTGTTTTCGATGACGCCTGTGGGGGGAGATTTGTACACCGTTATTCGCTGTGTCTCGCGACTCGCTGTACGTACGTGTAGGAAAGAGTACATGAAGTCGGGGACCAAAATGCAGGCATGAATGACGGGGACGAGGGGGAGGAATTGCTGGCTTGTTGTGCTACACAAACCAAAGTAAAGTCCAGGTCGGAGAATTTTCCCACCCTGGCAGCAATGAATAAAGGATACTTTAGTATAACATAAAGTCAATGATGGATAGTCGATAATTTAGTCGATAACTTACTTTAGTTTGATGGTCGATAGTCTCCCCCGACCGGGCGGTACCGACTGATCGGTTCAGGTCACGGGACCATCAGGGGGGGAAACATCCCTTCCCGGAGAATAGAAATTGCTCGCCGTCTTCTTCGCCTGAGGAAGTCGAACTATCGGGATCCATTCTCATTAAACCCCTCCCCCTCCCCCGAGCTACTTATTGACTGTGTATGGTTCTACCCATACTCATAATTATTCGTATGCTAAGAGCTCCACCTCTTTAGCAAAGCTAGAGTCTTGCTCATTCCATCCACCAATCCTCCCATAGAGGCGCAGTGGCCATAGTCGGCGATTCACCGGGTTCTAGAAGAAGGGAAGCCGACGCCTGTCAGACTGAGGTGGCATCCACTCTTCCACTCCACTCGGGGAGCGGCTCTGGAGGGTTGCAATTTGCCCGAGCCTATGATTGTCCAGTTCGACAATAATGCTTGCCTAAATTGCTAAGGGCTTTGATTATTTCTCAGACAAACTTACAGATTCCTAATAATATCAGCTCAACGCACTCGAGACTTGTAACTCGGGTTCAATTTGTGGATCGGGCTCGGAAAGCCCGAATGGTCCCCGACGCCGCGTGGCAGCCCCCCGGTTCCATTCGCAAAACTGCTTCTGAGCAGCCTTTGTATGACGAAGTCAAGAGTGGTCATAACCCCTCCTCACCGGTCATGGTTTCTAAATAAGTTTATATGGCTAAAGGGGTCGGCGAAGACGGAAGCATACTCCGGACTTCGTACTTGACGGCCCAGACGACGCCTATCACTCTGCCCGAACCATATATACCATATTATTACATGCATGGACCTCTGACCAGACTAGTCACAAGTAACAACTTACAGCAGCAGATGATCCGCCACATCAGCAATAATTGGTCACCGCAGTCCCACAGATCGTAATCAGCAGTCCGTCATTCTTCACTCTTGAAATGAAAGCCTCAGTGGAGCAAGAGCGAGCAAGTCGTACGTATCTTATGACTACTCTCCAAACTTGTCTGAAACCTTGGAAAGAATCCCCCTGACTAGCGGCACTCTCTCGAAGAAATAAACTCTATCAAGTGGTACTTGACAGGACCAAAGAGTGTATCACTCAAGCGTCGCTTTATATGGCACGGTAGAAGTGAACAATTCGATGATTGCCCTACTATTATGGTTCTACTGCAGACTGAGACGCACGCGATTAGAGGAGTTATAGCTAGAAAGCAATGATGTCCCTTGCCAGTTTGTAGGGAGATTGAATCAGTGTGCTCGAGACTAAGTACTCCTGGAATACCGAAAGAGCAATATAAGACAGTGAAGTCATCTTCCCCAGAAAGAAAAAGTTGCGGCATGATATCTTGTGACCTCCTCTCCCTCTCCTTCCTCTTCATTCCATATACTCAGCCATTTCATCACCTGACACCTTTACTTGGACTAACAACATCGTTTGTTATCAGAGCCTAATGATGGGCTATCTTATTGAATAGTAGGCCTTGTTTTTCTGATAGTGAACCGACTCTGTCTTTTCCTCCCTTGGACCATGAGTAAGTATTTCGTTGCTCGAGTTAGACTCTACCTGTCGCCTGTATCCTGAAACCATTAGAGGATAGGTGCAACACTGTTCCCAGTCTTAATATAGTGTCTGGACACAATCGAGGACGACTTGACGCTAGCATAGGGAGGGTGGCCGAATTTACTGACGCAGATGAAGCATATTGCTGGTTTCTCTTCACGGTTCTCAGTAATCTTCAATGGTTGTGAATTCACAATGAAGATTCAGAAGGACCTTTTATGCTTGATGTGATATAGCTGCAATGCACTTCTTTGACATACTATGCCAATGTTTCTCTTATCATCTTGACAGAGTGTGCACTTACTAAGCTATGAATTGCGGGTGTATATATTTCCGTGGGGAGGCCGCCGTCACCCGAAAGTCAAGATTGCGAATGGAGACCCTACAGCAATCAACTACTAGTAAGCCCTTATGCTCACCAGACCTACCTTCTCCAAAGCTATTTTCAGAGTCTCGCTACTGCTTATGCTGGATATCAGTTTATCTTGTCATCTCGATAAGGGAAGGACAAGTTAAGTTGTGAGGCCGGAATAGGTATCGCCGGGTGCTGACGGGATCCAAGGTAGTAGTCCGTTATATTGTTCCAAATATACTTCAAAACTCTGCAAAGACCACCTTTCGAGCATTAGATCGATGAATGGCATGATAATCATCCGTGCCCAAACCAAAGCCATTAAACTATGCCCGAAGTGCCCACCCGATATAGTGATCCCAACTTGTTGTTGCTAAACTGTACTGTATGTACCCCGCGGGTAGTCTGTTTACTCTGCTTTACGATTACAATTACATAGATGGTAGAATTGGAATATATTATTGTACCTAGCCAGTTACAGATACTCGATGGAAGGCCGAAGAATCGCTACTTATCAGCAATCAGGAACATGCTGACTGAGCAGGCACTTACCCCACATTGTCACTCGGGGCGTTATCATGGCATCGTCATCCTCCGAGCACCGCACCTGGCAGTTCTTGCCCGCCTCAACAACCAGCGCAGCCAGCCAACATGATCACCCATATCGTGCAATTGCAATTCAAGTCATCGGCCAGCCACGACCGGGTCGAAGAGGTGCGCCTTGCACTATTCAACTTCTCAGTTCAAGCATCAACACTTGCTAACTCTGAGTTTGAATTGATGCTCACTAGGTATGCAGTAGCCTAGTCGCGCTGAAGGACAAGTGTCTCCATCCCACCCGCCAAACGCCATACATCAAATCCTTCCGAGCTGGAAAAGAGAACTCGCCCGAGAAGATCAATGTATGTTCTACCTTGCTCTGTAAGGAAATGAAACATTGACTCGAGCTTACCTCCCCCTCTCGCAGAACGGTATCACCCATGTGTTCGTTATGGAACTTGAATCCGAGGAAGATCGCGAGTACTACCTGAACAAGGATCCCGACCATCTGGCCTTTGTGAAGAGCTTAGGCCCGGAAATCGAAAAGGTTCAGGTCGTTGACTTTACCAATGGGGTCTTTTAGATCCCCGGCCGGGCGGGCCGGGCGGGCCATGTACAGTAACTACCTGTCCCTGTTGTATCCCCGAGATTGCACAGAACAGGGATAGCTATCCTTACCTGCTGAGTTGTGTATCGTAGATGGTTGCTTCGCGCCGTGACTAGTACTAGGCGGAGTAGGATTTGAATACCAGGATGAACAGGTTGTTGTATTGCTTAACCCAATCATTGTGAACACTATTATTGTAGTCATCGCTAGGCTATTTAGTAGTATATGTTGTATACATTTCATCCCGTGCTGAGTACAAGGTATCCAAAGCACTCAGAGTATAGACTTCCAAGAGCAAGTTGATCACCAGAGCTCATACCTTTCTTGCATGTGACCTTTATTCTCACTTGTCTGGGCCTACTCTGTAGGTAATTCTGAATCACTACGATTCTGGTTTCTTCCACATGCATACATACCTCCTTTCAACCACTCCCCAAAGACTCGAGACTGACGAAGGAAAACGACTCAATCCTTGACGTCAACTACAAATGTCTGGCAACAGCGTCTTGCGAAACGCCATCTCCAGCAAGATCTTGGCCACTCAACTGGTCCTTCGCGCATGAACACCAGGATAGGCACATTAAACACAACAGCAATCGCTGAAAGTACTGCCGATCGGTGTTGTTGTAACTTAAGGTAATAGAGGTTAGTCACTTACCTGGAACGAATTGAAAACCGCAGCGCAGAGAGGAGCGAACTACGTTCTGGATATCTTCCGGTAGAGTATTGCCATACTTGGCATCACGAAGCACATTACGAGTGAGCTGAATTCTTCTCCACACAATAACCTTTAAATAAGACAACATGCGACCCTTTGATTACCTCAATCTCGATTGGCTTGTCCAGCCGCCCGCCAATGTCGTGCATGAATCCGGTCCTCACAATCAAGGGTTCAATAGCTCCGCCCATGATCGAACTCAACTGCTGACTGAGATAATATGCTCCAATGGAAGACGCGAGGTCCTCTGCGGGTGCTCGGCTAGACATGCTGATGAAGTCGCCAGAGATGGTAATCCAAATGGGTGTACTCACCGGACCACCAACAAGGATTCCAGCACCGGAAGGTCAAAGTGCCAAGAGAGAGAAAAGAGAACAGATGATATTATGCTTATCGCAGTTGAATCGACACTGCGCTTCTTGTACCGTTTTGTTCCATCTGAGTCAGGCACAGATGGCGCACATTGATGGCAAGGCCTCAGTACGTACCGCTTGATTGCGAGGCCGGATGCTATTGAACCTGTTGCCAGTCCCATGGTGCAGAACACAAGCTAGATCGAACCCGTTGTCTCCGGATACCGCTTCATCTGGGTCAAGTACTGGGTTATCGTAGCAACGAGCTGTGTAATGTTAGCATCGGGGTGTTTCAAAGACGCTTGTCGGGCACAGTACTCAGTCCAGTCCTCCCACTGAAGATGATTATTCCCAAACAGCCAATACTGTCCAATGCCTTGAGTCACTAGTCTCAAAGATACCAGCGGTCTAGTCGCCCACAGGCTTTGGTTGCAGACAAAAAAGATCGCGGCGAGTGCCGAAGATCACCAACCCAAAGTAAACATGGGACATCTCGCCGTGATTCTGCCTATTACCAGCCCAGTCATGGTAGGGCTGATTGAACTGCCTTACTAGTTAGAGCTTTGACATCACCTTTCAAGCGATATGCTACAAGGTAAAAATCTACCTAATAAGACAACCCAGTCCAAAGAATGAGTATCCCACCAGCATAGACAACTTGCGTCCCCATTTGTCTGCCAAAGTACCATACTTTTTTCACCGCACGGTTAGATGTCACTGAAGTTTTAGATTGCTCCATTGAGAGCAGACACTTACAATGATGAGCTTCGATGGGCAGAACTGTACAGACTCCAAGCGAGGGAAAGATATCGCCGTTATTCATGGATGGCATTGCTATTTCACAGCTCTTTTGATAATTGAGAATTGGGGGATATCCCGCTGATGCAGCACTAGTCGCTTACAGGTTGTCATTGTCAGCCAATCCCGACTCTATCATCGAGACACTTGCCATCTGCGACTCCGCTGAAGTGGAGTCATCCTTATCCAGAGTATGATGAGAGGAGAAGAACCTGATGCGGTACACTGTCCTGCCTGAGCGTCCAGGCATCGATCATGGCTGTCAAACATATTACCCAAACAAGATAGCTTGAATTATGGGAACAACAACATTGGGCTGGACATTCGAGAAAGACACATGGTTGCTCTCGCGATAGTCTCCAACTAGTTGCTATGCCCCAAACAAACAAAGAAAGCGAGCTGTAGATTGAAGCCAGGAATGTGAACATTTCCCGATAGAGCCTTCCCGCCCCTTGGGAACCCCGGTCCCGGCCGCCAAGCTTGGTGTGGTGTTGTTATCCGATTGCGTTCAAGGACTTGAAATATCTTGCTGTCTTCTATCAAGCGATTTCTGTCAACGGATTAAATGAATCAATAAGTAAGAGCTATCGCGAATCCTCAAAGTTTCTGACTTACGTGCTCACTTCGCATATGACAACCATTTCCCATGGCGCGAGTGCGGGTGCAACGACGGGCCGCTAGAATAGGACCAGGGAAACTAGTTGGCCAGCAAGCAGGATACTCGGCAGCCTCCAACCCTAAGTATCTCCATGCAACCTTAAAGTTGGCACTCTGGATTTAACCAAGCATCATTCCCTCGCAACCGGGCGATGACAGCATCTCTGGATCCTTTAGGATGTTTGTTTTCCTCCCCATTCCGCATGCGTGGGTCCGCTGCCCTGTCGATCCCTGCCAAGACAAGCCCTGAACACATGGATTCTCTGCATCCGACAGATCTATGCCCACATGAGAGCAGCATAAAGAGCATACTGCGGTCGATCATTCCCCGATTCATCGATCTAGGAGCTCGAACCCGGAAGATTACTTCTCTCGGCAATAGAAAACAGTTTCGTATACCCGGAGCAGTCATCATCATTGACCGAGTCCAGACATTAGAGGGCATACGAAGTATGCTCATGCATCTAACACTTCAGAGGTTCATTTTCCAGACCGGACAGAACAAAGAACAAAACTATGAGCCTGAAAGCAGTAAGGCTTTGTATTAATGTGTTCATCGATATTTCCGTTCCTATAATCCCGGACCTAATCTGATGCCATGGAGGGTCGAGCCAGATATTTTTGGGGATTCTGCACATTCCGATGCTCGGGTTCAGCTAGTACGACGTAAGTGAGCACATTTCTAGACTTGATCTTGGATAATATAAGTATACGCTGTCCTAGTCTAAGGTGGATTGAAAAAAAAAACAGTACAACCAACGACAACCTTTTCGACAAACCGGCCCCAGCTTACGGGCCCCCCGAATACCTCGACCCAGCATCTTGATTTGAGCACTTCCCATTGTGTCTAGATCTTTTGAATAGCTTTTGTCTTGCTTCAATCATGAAGTTCACACACTCTGGGCTTGCATTGGCAGCCATCATGGGCCTCCTTGAATTGGCTGCTTGCAAGACTGTGAAATTCAATGTCGATCTAACATGGGAGGATGGAAAAGTAGCTGGAAATACACGCAAAGCAATCTGGAGCAACGGCCAGATCCCTGGCCCCACATTGCGAGTCAAGCAGGGTGATGATGTTGAGTTTCTGGTGAACAACTCAATGCCATTTGAAACGGCCATCCACTTCCATGGTAGGTCTACCCAAGAACCCACCTGCCTGGGTATGTGCGATACTAACACTAGTATTCTAGGTATCGTGCAACAAGGTACTCCATGGTCGGACGGTGTCCCCGGAATCTCTCAAGCTCCCATCCAACCAGGTGATGCTTTTCTATACAAGTGGAAGGCAGATGCCTACGGAACTTACATATACCATTCGCATATGAGAGCTCAGCTTGATGATGGTCTCTATGGCGCAATCTATGTGGAGCCCGCAAATTCAGTGGAGAGGCCTTTCAGCTTGATGACCGATGATCAGACCGAGCTGCAGGCGCTGCTGAATGCTGAAAAGAAGACGCAGCCCCTAATCGTATCTGATTGGCGGTTGTTCACTTCGGAAGAGATCCTGCAGATTCAAGAAGAGTCCGGATTCTCAAGCTACTGCGCTAGTTCCATCTTGTTCAACGGCAAGGGCTCTGTCATTTGCCCCGGTCAAGACCATATCGATGATCTCACAAGATCAGGAGAAAGCCAAGCTCTAGGCGGTGTGAGTATGAGTGATATGGGGTGAGTGCTAAAAGAAGTTCTATGTATGTTGGATGGTGTTAATTCATGCCTGGAAACAGATGTATGCCGCCAACTGCCACACGTTACTCCCGATACGATTTTGACCTCAGCAAAATCCCCACGGGCTACTATGAGGGATGTGTGCCCGCTCAGGGCCCGGACGCAGTGTTCAATGTCGATCCTGCCAAGAAGTATGTCAGTTATGATGTACTGAGTATGGCTGGCAGTTCCTCGTTGGTCTTTTCCATCGACAGTCATCCGATGACCATTTATGCGGTCGATGGCCGCTACGTTGAACCCTCTACGGTCCAAGCTATCAACATCCCTGCTGGGTCGAGGTATTCGGTCATGTTAAAACTGGACCAACCCGCCGCCTCATACACTATTCGCGCGGCCAATAAATACGCCAACCAGATCATCAATGGTACAGCAACATTGAGCTACACTAACAAAGGGAACGGTAGTTCCAGTGGCACTAGTACTCCTCAAAGAGGTGTGCCCACCACGAGCAGCGGCAAGCCTGGCTCAAGCACCACCACCTCGGGGCAATACATCAATGAGCTCGGCACTGCTGCTACTCGAGGCGTGACCATTCTGGACGACAACACTCTGGTCCCCTTCCCTCGCGAGGCCCCCGCTTCTTATGCCAATAAGACGTTCGTTCTCAACATTGCTCAGACGTCGACCTCGTATGGCTGGAAGCTGGGCAATGATTCGTATCCGATGGAACTTGAGGAGGTCGAATTCCCTGCTTTGTTCGATCCTAGTTCGATCCCCACCAAGAACATGATTTCCACCTTGAACGATACCTGGGTGGACCTGATCATCAATGTCACCACTTCCGGTCAGCCTCAGCATCCCATTCACAAGCACTCGAACAAGTTCTATGTGATCGGACAGGGCAACTCGGCCTGGACCTACTCCTCGGTTGAGGAGGCAATGAAATATATTCCAAGCAGCTTCAACCTGGAAACGCCTCAGATGCGAGACACGTTCCAGACCCCACCGTCCCTGGGCGCTCCCAGCTGGATGGCGCTTCGATACCACGTCAACAACCCCGGCCCCTTCTTCATGCACTGCCATATTCAGATGCACCACAGTGGTGGGCTGGCAATGGCCATCATGGACGGTGTCGATGCGTGGCCAGAGGTGCCAGTGGAGTATGAATTGGCGGTAATGCCTACTAATCATTAGACTTTTCTTTCCGTTGTGAATCTTGAAAGCGCATCTCATCATACTAATATTGTGACACCACTTTCCTTTGTTTTCGTCCATGGTGCATACATTGGGTCTCGGGTCGTGCGGCGTTTAGACGGTTGCTTTTCACTTTGCTTCTGTTTTTGATTATTGTTTACAAGTACTGTTGACTTGAAGCCCGGTGTATATAGAGGACTGATTCTCTATTGTATAGTGCTCTGGAGTAAGGGTAATGTGACTGATTCTCGAGTTTCATACGACGTTCTTTGCTTCACGTAAGTTAAGAGCCTGTACAGCATTTGTGAATCTTTTTGTATATGTAGAGCTTGAGCGCGATGGGGAACCAGCCTTGTGCCTGAGCCGTGCGATCCATGTTTCCCGCATCCCATTTTCATCGTGGGCCATCGCTTTCGCGTGACAACCTCAATAATCGAATGTTGTTCTTCGTTCTGGAGCAGAGCCCCTATGGCAAGACCGGCACAGGACCCCAGAGCTACGACAGCATGGCTCCGTTCCGGGTCGGTCTAGAGAAAAACCGCACTTTGGGCTACGAAAACTTCGAGGCCCCCGATCCTGCAGAATGGACACTGCACGGCTATGCCATTGTCAACGTTGATGCTCGCGCTGGCGGCGACTCAGAGAGCAACATCTCCTTCTGGGGCCAGCACGAGGCAGAAGATATTTACGACATAATCGAGTTGGTTCACAAGGCAGCCGTGGTGTTCCGGCTCGGTCGGCATGGCAGGTAAACTCCTGGCTGTCCGTCGCTCAGGTCACCTTCGCCCTCACGCCCTCTCGCACCCTGCCCTCAAGGCTCTGGCGCCTTGGGAAGGCTTTACGGACCTCTACCGCGACCTGGTTCTGCGGAGTGGCCGACCACACAATGAGAATTCCACTCAATGAGATCACTGACGGGCTGTGCATGCCACGGGGCGGCGGAGAACATGCCCGTCATGCTCCGCAAACGCACATTCTACGACGATTACTGGCAAAACAAGCGCGTTCATCCGGAGCGGATCAAGGATGTGCCCCCCCCTGTATGTTGTGGCATCATACTCGTCCATGTTGCACACGCGGGACTCCTTCGAGACGTTCCGCAAAGCCCAGAGCACGGGGGTGGACTTTATGCGACCGACAGCGCCGGATGACGAGAACTAAGGAACACGTCTGGTCCATGGGGGAGGGAAGTATGATTCGGATCTGTTCTTGCGTTTTGTGTAAATGGCGTTCCTGGATTGACAGAGCACAGTATATGTTAGTCCAAAGGCCGTCACTTCGAGCCAGACAGGGGTCAATCCAATTGGATACAATTGATCAACAAGTACCATACATGAGCGAATCAGCCAGTAAATTAGGTCAACGCGCATTCGATAGTTAGCCGTATCCACTTCTCCCCGTTCCTGGTACCTGCCTCAAGCCGTGGCGTTCGATGCCCGATCTGGCCCGTTATATTGGTTGTTTTTTTGTGTGTATCCACTAAGTAGCGCCCCGAGTGAACATGACAGCAGAAGTCTGTGCGCGGGACCTGGGAACAACTAGACTCCTGCAACACCGGACGATCACAGTCGGCTATACTCCGTACATCCCAAGGTACTTTAGGAAGAAGCAAGGACTTAGTGTACCTGTAACCTTCGGTAAGAGGAATCACCACCAACTATCTATTCTGGTGCCTGCACTGCCAGGACTCCGATCAGGCAACCACCTATCAACCATAACATGCATTAGGAAGCTCGCACACGGTCGATCCAACCTCATATCTAGTGGTGCGAATCAGTCTAGCATTGAAGCGGCAAGTGTTCGTCCCGGAACGGACCGGGCTGTTTTTATTTGGGATTAGGTCGAAGACTTGTCACCAACCAGGGTACCAAATTGAAGGAGCATACAGCATTACAGTCCACATGTCAGTAAGCTTCTGGGTGGGCCCGGGGGCCTAAATTCGACCGAACGGATGGACTTCTGGAAGTCCTGGTGCATTGCGATCGACCATATTTCGATGAAGGTTGACAGGTGGTTGGAGAACCATTCTCTGTCAGGAGGTGTCGGAAGTCAACTTCCGTGGTCCCGAGCGCTTTCGGAGCCAAGAAGGCGAAAGGACTCCGTGTCTGGAAGACGGTCGACACAGGCATACCACTGAATGATAGACCATGAAAGTAACAGGGAGCCAGTCAGCTGCTGACTTCGCTGCTGCGATGTGTACGCTGATGGTGACAGAGATCGTGGCGTCAGCCGCGTTCTAACCAACTCTATAGTGAATGTGGCTTGCTCGGCCACTGCCGCCAGAACGAACCTGATAACGAGAGTAAAGCATGGGAAGTGCCAAGGTCTCAAGGACTTCCTCGGAGATAGTCAGTCCAGGTACCGTAGCGGACCCGCCCAACTTCTTGTGGTATCTGGCGCTGCCACCCTTTTCTGGTACGCTGCATGCTGCATCGATGCATGAAATACATTCAAGTGTATGACTGGTCACATCAGAGGCGCACTCTCCCAATGATAGTACTACCTCGCTTATGTACGCGTGCACCGCGGAATTCTCGAATCGAACTCTTCCAGCTTCAACTTGAGGTATGTGATCCGTCTCATTGCAAGATACACTTGCCCCCCCACCAGTCGATGTACCAGATCAAATCATCATACTCCGTACTTTGTGCTCGGACCGGTAGACAAGACATCCAACACCTCCAAATGACTAATCTTATCCTAAGCGAAGGCTAAGAAAGTAGTAGGGGAAAAAAACTATCGAGTAGACATATCAAATAATTGTCAATAGTCTTTCCCTTCCCCGGAAACTTATTTTTGGATTGACAGACGCACCTCTGCGAACCGCTTCTAATTGAGCCAGGGGGAAACGAGATGAGGGGCTATGTTAGTTTGCTTCAAAGGATATAATATCCGTAGCTACAGTCGTCTACTAACTATCTCCTCATCCAACTCGAAAACAAAATCCTTAGATCCCATCTACCTCTGCTCAGGGATATCAAAACACTATATAAACCTGTTCTTACCTGCCAATCCCAATCGACTTACTTCCGAGGTCCGCATACATCGTCAACATGAAGCCCGTCTATCTCTTGTCTGTCTTCCTCACCATGACGACGGCGGCTCCAGCCATGGAGGCAGGTGCGGCGGCTTTAGGCATGGAACAGGTACTATGTTTTTTTTTTCTTTTTGGCTTTCTTGAAAGTCACCCGTGGAGAGAACATTATGAGTACTAATAATGATCGATACACTTAGGCAACCGGAGGGATGGTACATGCTAGAAACGACGTCTCCACCACGGAGTTTGGAAGAAAAGTTGAGCAAGCCAGAGTGGAACAGCAGCAACAAGGACAACAAGGACAACGCCGGTATTAAATCGAGGCTGGTTGGTCGAGCGCGAGTGAGACTTTGGACAGAATGGGCGCCCTCAAATCGGGACTGTTGAAGTGTGCGATGTTGAATTGAAAAAGAAGGATCGGGCGTGCGGTAAGGCAGAGGCTGCCTAAATGGAGGAGGATCGAGAACCCAGCCTGGCCGGAATTCGCATTGGTGACCATTGGTTGTGGGCTTTTTCTGCATGACAAGGAGGTGCATCATGCACTTTATGATTGTTGTGGGGTTATAAGCGAGCTGAGGTGTTGCAATGAGCCAGTATTGCTTCGTTGCTTGTCCCGTTTCGGAGACATGCACAGGATGGCTGTGCGGGGATACCGGTTCCTGATTTTGCAAAGCTCGATTGTTGTCTTGTTGCATGCAATGACTTCTAGTTGCAGTCAATTGATCAGTTTTCTGGTTGCTTGAGCAGAATGAGTGATAGCAGAGAAGTAGGAGATGGCCATGCGGAAGTAGAATCCAAGGCAGGTTTTGTCTATCTATTCCCGAACTATAGACTTGGGCAATTTTGATAATGGCCACCTTCGACTAGAACTTTCGAGATGCAATCAGCGGCCTGATGCTGCGCGGCCTCGTTGGGAGCGAGCCCGATCTTGTTCAACCGAGATAGGTGCGACCCTTCTTGCAATAAGGAGATTCATGGACGCATACAACATGACCATTATCCATAAAGCTAGATCCATCCCCCTTCCTCGCTTGCATTTACCTGAGCAGCGGCTGTTTGTCTCCATCCACGACCCTTGCCACAGACCCCCCGGCTCACTGCCTCGAAACGGCTTTTCGGGATCGCCGAGTGTTCAATGGAATCGCAAGGAGTCATGATCCATGCTCCGCGACCTCCTGCTCAGAGCGGCAGTCGTGCCAAACGGCAATCTCGTACCATGGAAAACCGGGAGGGATCGGTCAAGCCACCTGATGCATGGGGCGCAAAGCAACCTGTCATATTGGTCTTGGGGACTGCCCCTCTGGGTAAATGACATAATATTAGACTTTACCCCAGATCCCAGCCGGCCGACATGATGAACGCGTAGACTGTCTCCGAGTCTGGGGTTGCAGCGGATTCAAAACTCAATCCACGGGATTGTTGCCCAACGGAGTTACATCCGGCCGCCAGAGCCACTCAGCGGCTGCGTTCTTCTTTCGCCGAGCCATGGATGACCCCGGCCGACACCCTTTCCCACACGTGAACAGCTGACATGGTCTCTCACTCCGGGGAAAGACCCCGGTCTCGATTAAGGACTCGAAACGAGCCAGCCTTGAGGGAAAGCAAATCGTCGTTGACAAGTACATTTGGTAGAAGAAGAAAAAAGAAAAGGAACACGGACATCCGTGACATCATGATTCATCATCATTATTATCATCACCATGTCCCATCTTGCAGGGCTTTCGTAAAGCTGAGATCTATATAACAGCATGGCTAGGCCGGTTACAGCTCGGCTGAAGGATGCCACCGATCTGTATCATCGAATTCTGATATAGTTCACAATAGCTACAGCACATAGCCAACAATGGTCTTCTCCAAGTTCAGGCGACCTGGAGCTAGGCCCGATACCTATCCTGCCGATGATCCCCAAGCCTCGGCGGATAGAACGCATTCCACTGCTCCTATCCAGGAAGCCAAGGAAGAGGACCTGGTTGACACGCCGATTCCGCTCCTCACATGGCGATCCTTCCTCATGGGCGTCTTCGTATCCATGGGAGGTTTTCTGTTCGGGTACGACACGGGTCAGATCTCAGGCTTCTTGGCAATGCCGAACTTCCTCCAACGATTTGGCGAACGGCATTCCAATGGTACATATTACTTCAGCAATGTCCGCTCGGGTCTTATTGTGGCATTGGTAAGAGCTCAGTCTCCTTGCCCCCCTGTCTTGCTCCCTAAGTCTGATGTGTTGGATTTCCATATAGCTGTCTATTGGCACTTTGATCGGCGCTCTCATTGCAGCTCCCATTGCGGATCGAATTGGTCGCAAATGGTCTATCAGCGCATGGTCTGCAATGGTGTGCGTAGGGGTCACGGTCCAGATCAGCTCCCCAACAGGGAAGTGGTACCAAGTGGCCATGGGTCGTTGGGTGGCGGGCCTTGGAGTTGGGGCTTTGTCATTGCTTGTACCGATGTACCAAGCTGAGACAGGACCCAGACACATTCGGGGCTCATTGGTCAGGTATATTTCGACCTTTGATACTAGTAAATCAGATTTTGAACTGATATCGCAAACAGCACCTACCAACTTTTCATCACCTTGGGAATCTTCGTCGCCAACTGCATCAACTTCGGTACTGAAGACCATCACAACACCAGCTCATGGCGTATCCCCATGGGAATCACTTACTTCTGGGCCATCGTCCTTGGCGTAGGAATAGCCATGTTCCCCGAGACCGTACGGTATGATTACCGACATGGGAAAGTTGAGCGGGCGACCGACACCATCTCTAAGATGTACGGCATCCCCCGCAACCACCGCCGACTGAAGGAAGAACTCGAAGAGATAAAGCAGAAGTACGACGAAGAGATGATGCGCGGGAAAGTGAGCTGGATCCAACTCTTCAGAGGCCCGCGCATGAAGTACCGGGTCGCGGTGGGGGTGGCTCTCCAGGCACTTCAACAGTTGACGGGCGCCAATTACTTCTTCTACTACGGAACCACTATTTTCCGTGGAGCTGGGATCAGTAACAGTTACGTCACTCAAATGATTCTGGGCGGGGTGAATTTCGGGACCACGTTTCTGGGTCTGTATCTGATCGAGAATTATGGCCGGCGGCGGTCGTTGATTGCGGGTGCACTCTGGATGTTTGTCTGCTTCATGGTGTTCGCTTCGGTGGGTCACTTCTCGCTGAATCAGCAGGATCCAGCAAGTACACACACCGCCGGGGTGGTCATGGTTGTGTTTGCCTGTCTGTTCATCTTGGGATTCGCTTCCACGTGGGGCCCCATGGTCTGGACGATTATCGCGGAATTATATCCGTCAGAGTACCGTGCGCGGGCCATGTCGCTAGCCACCGCCTCCAATTGGCTTTGGAACTTTTTGCTGGCCTTCTTCACGCCCTTCATCACCAGTGCGATCGACTTCCGCTTCGGGTACGTCTTTGCCGGCTGTCTGTTTTTGGCAGCGGGAATGGTCTACTTTACGGTGATTGAGGGTCGCGGACGGACCTTGGAGGAGATTGACACGATGTATGTGATGAAGGTGCCGCCGTGGAAGAGCTCCAAGTTCCAGTTTGAGGAGTTGACCCCCTACGATCGCCGCGGATCGACGGCAGAGAAAGCCGGTGTTGCGCATCTCCCCCATGTCGGGGATGGGCATGCGACTTCCTCCCACACGGCGGAAGTTTGATCGAATTGGATGCGTGAAGAGATCAGAGATTCGATAACAGGATGTATTGTTAATTCTTCTTGTTTCTTGATGAATTGTATGTATACTAGTACTTCGATGGTATGCAGTGTCTTTTTGGTGTGTCGCGCTTCGGTATTCCACTTACAACATAACTAGGCTTAGTAGTTAGCTTGCGACTACATTGACTACCTAGGTACATTGATACGTTATACTGTACAATTTTCGCAGATAGACCAATCCGGTGCTAGGAACTGGAAGTGTGACTTCCAACAGCAGCGCGCAATCAAGAACTCCCTGGCCATCTAAACACATCTATCCTTACAACTGGATGATAGTGGTGCTTGAAATCCCGAACCTAGACTCGGGGTGCTACGAACGTTACACAAGAGGACGCTATACCGCGATCCATGACCGGGACATCATCTGCATCGTTCCCTACTCCTCACCCTCATATCACAGGCCACAATGCCTCCCAGCGCATACCAGCAAAGGCAATGTGCGAGCATCTACATATCTCGATAAGTTTACACACCGAAGGGTGGGAGCCGCGGACATCGTCACGAATTCGCCGTCTCGCCGAGAAGATTCGCATTCGAGGGGGGGTTTATACTCTCAGCACGGTCACATGATGTTGCTCTGAAGAGGAAGCTGCAAGAGGCGGCCAAGGGGCGGGACGGTAAGAGTTCGCTCCTGGGCTCAGCTCAGCTCGGAGCTGCTCCTTCCGCATTGGGTAGGATGGGTGACGCCGGGACGGACAGAATAAGTACGCGGACTCATGAGCCTAGGCGCTATACAGTAGGCACGACTCTAGACCCTTTTACATTGGAGAGGGGATCAGGCGACAACTACATGTGTGTATTACTCAAAAGCCAATGGAAAAAGAAACACCGGTTCTATAAAAGTGATTGTTATGTATGAGAACCAGATGAAGGATAATGATCGCGATGCATTGAGATAAGAGGTACTGTATGAACAATGAAATGTTGAATGGGACGGATCATGTACGGCCTGCCAAGAAAAGAGAAAAGAGATAAAAAGCAGAAATTTGATCATCTAACCATCTCCTGGGAAAAGAAAAGGAGACAAAAAAGCGCAAAAGTGTAAGATCCTTCTTATGCCATCCCAGCATCTTACAACGCAGCCATCACACCCAGAACACCCGCGACCCCGGCAATGCCGTAACCCAAGACAGCAGCGGGGGTAGCCTGGACACCTGCGCCCGCGGAGCTGGAAGTCGACGCGGTGCTACTGCTGCTGCGGCTACCCGAGCTCGAGTGCTGGGTCGAATCGGCACTTTTGCCAGTCGAGGTGCCGGTGGTGGTGAAAGTGGTACCGGTAGTGGTGGCGGTCGCCGTAGACACGGTCACGGTGTTTCCCCCAGAGATAGTCGAAGTGGCCGTGGCCTCGCCGTTGGTGCCGGTGAGAGTGGTCAGATCATCCCAACGCGAGGAGGCTTTCGAGGCAACGTCCGAGGCCTGGGAACGAGCATCTGAGGCAACCGACTGGCCCCAGGACTCGGCGTTGGAAGCAACCGATTCTCCCCACGAGCGGGCGTCGGAGGCGACTGCCGCACCGCCCGTCTCGGCGGAGCTGGCGATGGAGGTGGCGGCGTTCTCGGCCCCGGAGACGGCGGTTTGCGCAATGCCCTCGGCGTCGGAGACAATGTTATCAATAGCGTCGGGCGCGGAGAGGGCGGAGGTGGTGAAGAGGGCAGTGGTCAGAAGGAGAGTCCGGAGTTGCATGATGACTTTTTCTTTTTTGGGAGAAGATGATATGTGTTGGTATGATTGAGAGCGAGAACGAGTAAAGGAGTTTCAAGTTATACTTAGTAGAATATTTAGGCAAGTCAATTGAAGATAAGAATCACTGATGCAGTAGCAGTGAATGAGCCCGGGGTATAAGTACTGTATGTATGTCTATGAGAGAGTAGAGCACAACAGCATAATGCCAAACGAGACGAAGGCCAGCAATTTATAACACCGGCAGATGCGGCATAAGATGGGTACACAAAACTCATGAACTGAAATTTGGGGATCGTCAGTCCCCTGAGGGTCCGTCCCAGTTTCGTCCCAGTTCCAACTGTTGCCCGACAGTTCCGATCAGTCAGATTCTTCAAGGGTTAAGAATAGCATCCATTCACAATGGCACTGCCGTCCCAAGCCACCGTGGCTTTCGATTTTACTTCTCGGACTCAAACGGAACGGCGAGTGGAAGTCTGGGGGCAGTTCAACGAATCCCCGTATATCGATGCCGATGGATGGACATGAGATGCGGCTCAGCGACCCACTACATCTGCCCTCCAGTGGCTGAGCGAGGTACGCGGTGCTGGAAATGTCGATGCCTAATTACTCAGCGTGCATGAGTCGAGCAATCACAACAGGTTACAGGGTCTGGCTGCCAGTGTCTGGTCAGACTCCGGTGGGCAACTGGTAGCGGATTAGGGACCCTTTTCCCCAACATTCTCCGCCTAGAGTCCGAGTGGATCACTCGCGGTGAATGCTGAAATGGCCGATGCAGTACCTGTTCCAGTTTGTGTACACGAAACTTTTCCACTGCAAGTACTGCCATGCTTCCAATGTACTCTGGAGTACGGAGTATGAAGAGTACTTCGAGATGCAGATCGACATCAGGTATTCGCCAGGCTTGACGTGCCCGGCTCCTGGTTTACGGCAGATAAGGCTAAGGCCCATGCGAGCCTACTGCAAGCGTCTGATCCCACTTTAAATTGAAATGATAGCGGGATCTTGGCAGTCTCAGCCACGATATCACGAACACTCCCTCACAGTTATAAACAAGTCCACATAGCGGTCAGACTATCCCCGGACGCAGCAGGCACCTGTCTGTGTCCATTGCTTCTGGCCGAGAGTGCGACCCATCTGTTACCTGGGAGGCTTCGAGCTGGAGAAAGGGAGACTAAGCAAGCAACATCTATGGGGAATTGTTGAGCAGATGTCGTGTACTCTCCCGCGTTGCCTACTCATTCCAGTGATGGTCACTAACAGTACTCCGACGAAGTACAGTGTGTAGTAGAGACTCCGTGGAACAGATTCACCGCCGAGTTGATGTGTACTGATGGGCGGAAGTGGCAGGTCACCTGAGGTTCTGACCTCCCTCTCTTTCTCTCTCACACGCACACACACACACACTTTTCCGTTTCCACAGCCGCTACACATCGTCATTTGCCACTCGCTTGGTTTTCTTTTGAATCTCACTCCTTCGACATCATTGATGATTGTTTGGTATCTGTATACCATCTATCTAGTACTTATACCGTTTTCGCATAACAATTGCTGCCATCCATCTTCAACTTTCTCTTCATCCATTTCTCTTCATCCATTTCTCATTTTTTTCCTTCTTGAATCACATGTGATTGTGGTTCCCCCAAGTGGAACCCGCATCGAGTTCATCCGCCGACCGTACTTTTCGAGCCAACTGCTGAAAGTGAACGGTATCTTTATCGCTCCACCCCCCACTTGGTCGCCCTCCCTTTTCTTTGCGATTCTGGTCAAATTCAACAGTTTTCCCGCCATTGTGTCAATTCCGTTTAGAACTTCTTCCCAAAGGTAATTCTCCGGGATACTCTCCCGTACTTCAAACTCCATTCTTGGCCCGTCCCAGAGCTCCAGTGTCCCTTGAGGGTCTACATGTTTTATAGTATGGATCTCCCCAGAATTTTGAGTTTTCAAACATGAACTGACAGCATCCCGCAGATTGACGCGTGGTTCGACCAGCTTTCATCCCTGTGATCGGACATCTTCTCTCACAGGCGGTGATTGATCCGCTCCTTTGGGGTCGTTCTTCTTGATAATGCCCTCTTTCACCGGCCAGACTTCTGAATCTGGTCCTGACTATGATGGTAGGTCTGAGTCTGAGTCCACTGTCTCATCTCTTTTTTGGATTGCGCCTTTTCTGTAGCTGTAGGTTTCTTGAAGCCTTGTTCCTGTATCGAATTTCTGTATAGCCCACTGCGACCTCCATCACACTCTCGACCATTCTCGGCAACATTCCCTTTGCGACTTTCACTGGCTTCGCTGTTCTGCCACTCGATGTTGATGGGTTCTGACCAATTGTCCAAGGGCCTCAACCGATTATGGGAACGGGTCTGAACGTGGCGTTTCAGAGACGTCGTCAGACACCCGGTCAATCGGATTCTGCAACTTCCTCGGAATCATGCCTTCTTCGACACCGGGCCCCGGTGGCTAAGAAAGCGACAGCTCGCCCTCCGATCAATCCAGCGACCTCTCTCAGTAGCCAGACTTCCAGCAACCTCACCGAATCTGCCATACGCGACGAAAAGGATCCCAGTATCAAGTACAGCGAAGAAGATTCGCAGAATAGCCTATACAGCCAGGTGTGCGAATGGCTTCAACATGAGAAATCCAAGCGCGGCTGTGATTACTCACTAGGGTCCGGCGTTCCGGATGAAGCAGCAAACGGGGGTCAGGTTGCAGGCAGCAAAAGCACCGGCAACTCAGTAGAGGAAGCGTCGTCTTTGGGCGCCCAAATCCCAATGGCTCTCGACAAGCTCGAAAAAATCTTACTCCAGTACGCTGCTTCGCGACAGGATAATGGTGCCGTACGCCGGCTTCGACGCCATCGATCTAGAGGATTACGGAGAGGCTCAGCTTCGGAGTCGGACTTTTCCGACCTGGATGTCGCTGCTCCAAGTGTTGATGTTGTGTTGGATAACTCCAAGACTCTAGCCTACAGCGGCGGTGGTGCAGAGGACGACGAAAGCGAAGATGGGACCAATAGCCGCTATGCCAATGACAGAGAAGCTTGGACGACTTTCAAGACTGAGATCCTCCGCCTTGCCCACACTTTGCAATTCAAGGGGTGGCGAAAACTGCCTATGGATTCTGCTGTTGACATTGAAGTTATTCGACTGAGCGGTGCTTTGACGAATGCGGTGTATGTGGTGAACCCGCCGCAGAACATTACAGTCCCGAAAGCCGAAGATGGCTCCTACTCCTTGGTCCCTAGAAAGCCCCCTCCGTAAGTACCTCATGTTCATAGACAGAGGACAAATTCTGACTTGGAACAGCAAGCTTCTGCTGCGCATCTATGGTCCACAGGTGGATCACCTGATTGACAGAGAAAATGAGCTCCAGATTCTGCGCCGCCTAGGCCGCAAGAACATTGGTCCTAAAGTGCTCGGCACATTTCAGAACGGTCGTTTCGAGGAATATTTCGAAGCGCGTCCTTTGACACCACAGGAGCTTCGGGATCCTCTTACGATGAAACAGATCGCCAAGCGGATGCGAGAACTTCATGACGGGGTGGAATTGTTAGCAGAAGAGCGTGAAGGGGGCCCAATGGTTTTTAAGAACTGGGATAAATGGGTTGATCGCTGTGAGCAGGTCACCAATTGGTTGGACAAAGAAATCCGCTCCGAGCATAACGCCAGCATATCTGCTTCAGAACCATGGCGTCGGCGTGGCTTCGTCTGCGGTGTTCCCTGGCCAGTTTTCAGAAAGGCGGTTGACAACTATCGAAAGTGGCTAATCTCCAGTTGCGGCGGAATAAAAGCTGTCAAGCAGCAATTGGTCTTTGCGCATAACGATGTAAGCCGACTGTTTGTCAAAATCTCAAATTTATGCTGACTCAGTGCAAGACACAATATGGCAACTTGCTTCGAATGGAACCAAGCCGAGAATCGCCCCTGCTTCGTCCTGAAAACAAGCACAAGCAACTCGTGGTTATTGATTTCGAGTACGCTTCAGCGAATACCCCAGGGTTCGAATTTGCTAACCATTTCGTGAGTACACTCAAGCGCCTTTGGTCATCTTCTTACTAACCAGCACCGTCAGTCCGAATGGTGCTACAATTATCACGATGCGGAAAGACCTTGGGCATGCAACAATATGGAATACCCAACCGTGGAACAGCAGCGTCAATTCATCAGTGCCTACCTTAGTCATCGACCAGGTTTGCGTGAGCAGGCCTCTCCATCAATCACCCCTTTGATGCGGGCAGGTACTTCTAACACAACCACCCTCGCGCCGTTGAGTCTCGATGCCGGTCCAGATATGGACATGGTTGCCCGCGTTGATATTGAAAAAGCGCATGCGGACGGTGTAGAGGCAAAGATCCAAGGCCTCATGACGCAGACGAAGCTCTGGCGTGTCATCACGTCCGCCCAATGGGTGGCATGGGGAATTGTACAAGCCAAGGTCCCTGGCATGGAGGAAGGTATCAAGACAGATGTCGCGGCGTCTAACGGTCAAAGTCATTCCGTTGATAGCAACGGCGCACACGCCCAGACAACGACTGATGCAGCCGTCCCGACTCCTCCTGTGGACGCGGATGTCGATGAGGCGGACGAATTTGATTATCTCGCGTATGCCCAAGACCGCGCCATGTTCTTCTGGTCCGACCTCTTATCAATGGGATTTGTACAGGAGGATGAACTACCGATGCCTATGGTTGAGAAAATCAAAGCACGGATCATAAAGTACTAGCTGGCTTTGCCTCAAGGGTTACGATCGAGACAGGCGCCGGGCTGACATGAATAACGAAGCGAAATTCTCTTCCGCCACATGTTATTTTTATTTGTACTGTACATATACACAATCATACCTACATAGCCAGGAGTATCATGACTGACTCTAAATCGACCTCAACACAAAGGAGGCGTACGTAGACGGGGAAATTCCATCTGCTCTAGATGACGCAAAGAGAAGTGGCCGTTTTACCTCCGCATCAACTTTCTCTGCGTCTCCTTCTTCGCCCCCTCGACCCACTCATCATACTTACCTTCTTGCTCCTTCATCGCCACCACCCCCTTCATGACCTCACCAATGAAGCCCACGAAGTTCGACTTCCGGAGCGTGTTCTCCCACGCCCAGGCTCTCCGCTTGCGCTCTTCGGTCTCCAGCGCCTCGGCGTCGCCGAACTCCCGGGCCCGGACCCGTAGATCCCGACACACGGCCATCAGATTGAACCGCGTCTCCCCTTCAGGATACCGGGCGATGCGCTGCTGGATCACGCCGATGACCTTCTCAGGGAAGTCCTCGGGGGTACAGTCCCCGTGGGAGATGGGGTGCGGCTGCAGCCCGTCCAGCTCATACAAGCGGCCGTTGACCGGGGTATAGGCGATGAAGTGGTAGACGTCCCCACCTTCCTCGTCCTGGTGCGGCCGGGCGGTCTCGTCGACGAAGGGCGAGGAGCGCGCGAAGGCGTTGTGGGCGGTGCGGATGGGCTCGCTGTTCGAGAGGGCCTCGCCCAGCAGGTCCGGCGGGAAGCCCGTGGTGAAGTCCTTGAAGGCGCGCAATTCGGGTCCGATGGCGATGGCGGGTGTCGTCGAGGACGAAGAAGGTGAATCGTGGTTGAGGATGACGGAAAGGATGGCCTGCGTGCCGCAGGCGTTCTGGATGGTCTGGTTGGCGAAGAAGAGGCTGGGTGGAGGTGAGGTGTCGTAGGTTCCGGAGGCCGGTTGGGAGGATGAGGATGTCGTTGTCGTTGCGGAGGGTTGTTCGCGGACCCATTTGAAGAGGAAGATGACGCCGTAGACGGGGCTGTGTTGGTGGATTTGAGAGTTAGTGGAAATGGATGTGTGGTGGTGATGACCTCTGCAGAGATTGGGTCTTCGATGTGGAGACGTCTGTACCTTAATGAGCGGATTGTGTCGGCATCTAACGAGATGAGTTCTTCGAATTGCACATCTTTGACACCCAGGTTCTCGATGAGGGATGTGAAGACGCCCTGTTGCGGATGGATTGGGTTAGCGCGCTGCCTTGTCGATTGTATCTTTTAGTGTCTGGGGTTGACATACCTCGTCGGATTCAATGGTGCTCCAGCCTCCGCCTTCGGACATGATGAATCTCCTGTAATTATTGAGGGGTTTGGAGAAGCGATAGTAAGCGGATTGAGTGTAAGTCTCGGGCAAGCTTGGATTGTGACGCCAACCCATCATCGGAGCTGTGTTTGCTTGGGGTGCAAACAGAAAACGACCCGCCGCCGGGTGATGATCGATTTACCTCATTAGGACTAGGCTTCTCCAAAGGTAAGCTTTTAGGCTGGACGTAGGACGTACTACTACGGAACACGGAGTACGGAGTATCTAGTAGTAATTAGTGTGACTGACTTGCTATCCTCTATCCAAGAGATTCCTAGGAACAGATTCCACTTTCTTCGGCCTATTGCCATCATCCCGCGCAATCCTTCTCGTCAAACCACACTGAACACTACTTATCGCCCGCCTTTAGCTTGTGTAACGCAAAATAATCCTTTAACGGGCTGAGTCAACGTTCATCAGTTGATTCAATCTTGACACCTGCTGGGTCAATCGAATTGTGGTTTGATAGAAGGAGAGCACAGTTTTTGAGGCATCACTACACCGAGCTTACTAAAATCAACTCTTAACGGCTTTACAACTGCTATGTCAGAATCTTTCTTCGAGGGGTGTCCCTTGCCCCTTTCTTATGCCTCTGCCCCCTTGTGAGACAACGAATACTTTTCGCCACAACGACTATAAACGATACACCGATCATGAGAAGAGCAGCATACCCAGCCGAAACATCTTGATCTCGGTCGAATAGCAGTAGTCTAACTTGAAACTCATGTTGTCACAAGCCATGGGCTTCGGACAGACGAATAATGTGCCGCAAGTTCATCTGCCAGTTTCTGAGACGCAACTGCAGGGGCCAGGGCGCGCGGACCGGAAAGGGCTGCCGATCCTCATGAAAGTCCCTGATTCTTTAAGTCTACAGCTACACCGAGTAAATTCATACTGGCTGAATCCTCGTCTGTCTATCCCTATGGAGTGGCGAACCTTTGGCGCTCGGGCAGATTCCCAGCCCCCTTTCTGCCCTGGGAACGTTTGGCATGTTGGACGGCACGAAGATTTCAACTCAATATTCGCTGGCTGGGCAGGGGCGCTTGCCAAAGTATTCAGTTCGGACCATTCAAACTCTGATCAGAGGACAGTGGCTAAATTACTCGGGAGGCGGAATTCAGATGCAGTGTCCGGTCCACCCTCGTGATACGAGACATCATTTTCCTCGCAATTGCGGCCGGCAAGAAGGAGCAAATACGTTTTAGAAAGGGCGCAAAGCTATGATGCAAGTGGAAAGTAAAAATAGGTTTGGATCGGGGTGGATGCCTGTCTAGATACTTGCTTCTCGAGGCAGTGGACTGTTCACGCCAGGGTGATCGACCGGGGGAGGACCATTGATGGATGATCTGTTTGTCAAAATAGTGGCTAAGATCATTGAAAATACTCATGTGCCTGGCGATCAGGGAAACAACTTAGGTACGACACAGCTACGATTGGTTGTTTACCTCCTGCTTCAAACTCTATGTCGCATGCGCATGGCCGACGCAGAAACCCGACTTTCATGTTCATGCGCGGACAATATGTACAAACACAACACCGACAGAGGCTTTCGATGACATTTCGAGATCTTAACAGACAATTCACACAAAGTGCAAGAAGGCGGATCGAGATGACCCGCCTAGAACAAATGGCAGCAACTCAGGGCAGCAGCTGGCCCGGAATGTCCATGGTTCTCTTGTTGTCAAGCCTACGCGGACCTGCATTCCGTTACAGCAGGCCTTCCACCATTCCTCCAAGGACCCAGTCAGAGTTATGGAATAAGCCTGTCAGGCATACCACTTCTTATATTATTTATAGGAACTGGCTTCCTTCATCTTCTCACGCTGGTGGGATCTCTGTGCCTTCTCCTTTGTGCGCAACTCAAGGCATCTCGTTGATAGTGCTTCAATAGCATACGAGCCGTTGCTCACCTTTGCCAAACGTTGGTGTTTTCTGGTATAGTTGTCAAACTGTGGACACAAGCAGGGTAAGTGTTACGCTTCTGGGTCTCTGCTGTGGAGGATTTACGACTGACCAGTTGGACCTTCGCAACTTCAGTCTCGTCCTTATCAAGCATTGAGACAGTTGTGCCCTCGCCTATACCTCAATATGAAGAGTGTTGCCCTTCTTTGCGGCCTTCTGGCCTCGTCGGTGTCCGCCCACGTCCAGATGTCCAACCCGTACCCCATCCGCAGTCCCCTCAATCCCAACGGCGGTGACAACAAGGACTACTCATACACCAACCCTCTATCCAGCGATGGCCACGACTTCCCATGTAAAGGATATGCAAACGATCCGTTCTCTTCTGTGGCCAACTACTCCCCAGGCGGCTCATACAGTCTGGAACTGCAGGGAAGCGCCACGCACGAGGGAGGATCGTGCCAAATCTCCCTCTCCTACGATCAGGGCAAGTCATTCAAGGTCATCCACTCGATGATCGGAGGATGCCCCCTTACCTCCAAGTACCAGTTCTCAGTTCCCTCCGACGCTCCCGGTGGGCAAGCTCTCCTGGCTTGGTCCTGGTTCAACAAGGTCGGCAACCGGGAGATGTACATGAATTGCGCTCAGGTCACCATCGGCGGTTCGAAGAAGCGGGAGGTCGCACAGCAGGAGATCGCTGGTGCCGTCGCCAGCTTCAGCAGTGCTCCGCCCATGTTCATTGCCAACATCAATGGACCTGGAGGATGCACAACCATTGAGGGCCAGGACGTTAACTTTCCCCTTCCCGGCTCGTCCGTCGAGGGCAGCGGTTCAGGCACCGGTTACACCTGCACGGGCTCGGCCGACTTCTTGGGAGGCTCCCACGGCACTAACTCCGCCGTCTCTTCTTCGTCTTCCTCTTCTTCCCATGCATTGACTTCCTCGGGCGCGGGGGCTTCTTCGCCCTCCTCTTCTTCTTCCTCTTCTGCTTCTTCCCACTCTGCTTCTAAGGTGGCATCCGCCTTTGGCTCCAACACGGAGCACACTGTGCTGCTACCGACTGTCCCTGCGCCTGCCCCCGCCGAGCCTGAGTCCGACCGGTTCGCTCACGGTGCCTCTCATGGAGGAAACACTCACGGCACTGCCCACGATAGCTCCCACGGCAGCTCCCACGGCAGTGGGTCTTGCGTGGATAACACGATTATCTGTGACGAGGATGGCAAGACCTGGGCCCTGTGCGCCCACGGCCGCCCAGTCCACATGGGCTCTGTCGCTGATGGCACCTACTGCAAGCACGGTGCCATGCACGCCGCTTAGACTGCCATGGCGGAAGTCCCAATTATCCCACGTCCCGATCTATCAAGACCTTACTTTCTGCATTTGGTGCCTACCTCTCCCGATGTCCATCGATGAGCAGGGTCACAAGTGCGTCTCTATGCGTCTATGTATCTTCAATAATGATGTATTTTAATGCTCTACCACATGTCAACTAGTAGATTTCGTTCCATTGGTAATTGCTGGTACTGATTTGTAAAGTCTCTGCATAAGTTGAATCTAATCGGCGATGCCAGGTGTTTTTAACAAGGTACACCTACCAATACAGTCGTAGGATGCTTCATCCAGTACCCTTGTGGCCGACTTGGTAGCACTACACTCCGAGTGGGCCACTCGGAAAGTTGAAAACGGGGGAAATGAGTCGCAACGGATTCAGGAAGTTCTATTTGATTTTATTTACCTTTCTCCTTTTTTTTTTTTTTTAAAGGGGAGTTTAAAGTAAAGAACATCTAGCCGAGGGTCTTTCCCAACTCCTCAGCCCGTGCCGTAGCGGACTGTACCGCCTTGTCCACAATCTCCTTGAAGTTCAGAGCCTCAAAGGTCTGCAAAGCCGCGTGCGTTGTGCCGTTGGGGCTGGTAACATTCTTGCGCAGCTGCGCGGGCTCCTCGTCCGATTCCACCAGCATCTTACCGGCACCCAGACACGTCTGCGCCGCGAGACGGGTCGCTTGCTCCTTGGACAGACCCAAAGCGGTGGCACTAGCCACAAGGTGCTCGACCATGGCGAAGAAATAGGCGGGGCCGGATCCTATAGAAAAGTGCAAATCGGTCAATCGTTTAGAGTCCCATCAACAAATACTGTTTATTCCCTCCAGTCATGTGGTCCTCCAGCGTTTCCGGGGGTGTGAAGGGAGACCCATACCAGACAATCCTGTCACGACATCCAGCAGCTCCTCGCGGTCCACCCACTCCGTCGCCTTGCTCACACTGCCCAACAACTCGCCGATAACCTCCTTCTCCTCCGCCGTGACATCCTCGCTAGCGACCAGGCCTGAAGCGCCCTCGTTCACCAGGGCGGGGGTGTTGGGCATGACCCGCACGATGTGCGCCGAGCGGCCGTCGCTCGTCTGGACCCACTCGCGCAGGCTCTTCATGGTGATGCCGGCTGCGATGCTCACGACAATGGGGAGGGTGGAGCGCTGGGCCCACGAGGCGGCGAGCTCCTGGCACACGGTCTTGGTGATCTGGGGTTTGACGGCGATGATCACGATGTCGGCGTCCCCGCCGGCGGCGACATTGTCGGTCGTGGTGCGCACGCCAATGGCGTCCATTTTGGAGCGGTTGACCTCCCAGGGCTCGGCGACGACGATCTTCTGCTTCTCGATGTTCTGTGCGACTAGACCCTTGATGATTGCCGAGGCCATGTTGCCGCCGCCAATGAAGGCGATGGTGCTTTCCTTGAGGGAGGGCATTGTGGTTTGACTGCCGGTGGGAATGGAGGGTATGTCTTCGGGTAGTTTATTGAATCGAGAGTAGAATTGAAGTGGATTATAACAGGAAAGAGGCAATAGAGAGAAAAGATGGAAATATAGATTGGGGTGGTGATAGTGAGGGGTAATGTGCTGTGCTGTTGCTCACCGGCGACGAGACCGGGCCGGCAAGCGGCGCGTGAATTTGGTGGGGGAAAGCTCTCGGTTGCTGCGGGGAGATGACGGGCTAACCCCTTTGGGCATTAGCCTTCAGTGTCAGTTTGATGAAGCATGTGATTGTCAGGAACGCTTCAACTTTTCCCTGATAAAACTACTGTGATGGTACAACAACCACATTTCTCCATCTGTGTCCATTTTCAGATGGGAGCTTATGGGGCGAAATACCTCCTGATCATTGTAGGTTACGTGAACTATTATCTCATAGACCTCCAATGATACCATTGTGCGAACCACCTTAAGCTATAAGGAGCTTCCATTGCATCAAGCTCGGACTGGTCGGGTGATCGTCCGTGAGCTGAGATGATAGCTTGGGTGACAGAGTGAGCTGGCTGCTATCTCGATTGTTGACCACGAAGCAGGCTCCGTGTCACTTCTTGTCGCCCTATTCTATGCGACTAGGGAGCCTCTTGGTCAGTGGAAGCTCGCTCACTACCTCGAATTCATGCATTGTGATCATCCAAAGTCACACATGAACGCACAAAGCCGGCTTGTTGGCGCGTTGAGGATCAACAACAATAAAGTGTGACCACATCTGAGATAGTCCGATTTATCAGTTGCAGGGCTCAGATCCTGGTGTTCAGGAACCTACTTAATCCCCCTTTGAGTATGTACTGGAGTACTGATGTAGACAGTTCTCTCTTCGTCTCTCCGCGGTCACTATCACTCAATCTCAACATGTCAGATTCTTCCAACCTCGTGTCGCTTCAAGTTCGTGTCTGGGTGGCGGAGGAAGACGTCGACAAATACTTCGCAGCTCTGGGGTCTGTCTTTTACAAAATTGCTCGCGAGTCCGCATGCACGCTCTTCGAAGTGTATCAGTCGCAGGAGAATCAGGGGGAGATTCTGATAATCAAGAACTGGTGAGCTTATCACGCCTTTCTATTGTATTTCATCACTAATCAACCTCTGTCGCAGGAATGCCTCGAAGGAATGGGTGTTGAACGTAAGTCTTCTGCTTCTCCGAAAGCAAAGTCTCTTCTAGCTGACGTAGAAGTAGGTTGCGATGAAGAGACCGTATCTCGCCGAATACCATGCGATCACCGAGCCCATGTTTCTCAAACCCAAGGAGGTGACAATTGTGGATCGTAAGGCTGGAAACTTCAGTGTAGTCAAGACCAACAACGGGCAGATTTGGCCTGCAGATGGGGAAGAATAGCTGGTTGGGTTGAGGCTGCGGCTTCTGTCTAGTGACGAGACGTCGGATATTGTCTGCTTGGATCTCATAATCTATGAGAAATTGACAGAAGCCTACTGAAAATGACTGTTACATCACTTGATATGTATAGACAGGTAACTGTAGATCTAGTGAAGTTGGTAAAATCGTATCATCTCCACATGTTTTGATCACCTGACGTAGGCTGTTCATCGCGTCGGTTACTGGATTGGGAAACAGGCGTCATCCCTCCATCCATCTTCACTGCATGCAAAACTCGCATTCCACTCCACAAAAACTTGAATATTCAAAGTCTTTCAGAGCCACAAACCCCAGTCATCTGAAGCCAACATTGTCTAGGCCAGCAAATTGCTTCCTTCTCTAAAACCAACACGATTTCTTTACTCGCCTTGATTTGAAGGCTACAGTACTACTCTCTTCTTCTCCACAAATCACCATCGAAACATCAATCATGGGGAAGGAAGACTCATCTGACAGCGCTCGTGAGAGCAATGAGACATCGAGGTCATTTCATTACAGCTCAAACTCTACTCCTGACAGCGGAGGCCGGTTTTCGCATATGGCCAACGAGAAAATAATAGTGGAGAACGGAGGCTCAGCCCAAACAACTCACGATAGTGATGCATCCTCAGAAACATCTGACAGCACCTTCAGCTATTCACCTGGTGACGGAATCTGTCCGGCAGATTCACAGTTCAATCTGTGTTATCAGTCCAAGTTTACAGAGTGGAAAAATGCGGCCGCTGCCCGTGTCCCAGGCTCTGACACGTTAGGCTTCTACATACGATCGCTTCTGGGTTTACTGAAAGATGTTCCTCCTTTCTTTCATGCTCCTCCTGAAGAAGTGGTAGCGAACTTGCATACCTGTTATCTCATGTCTACAATCTGCATTCAGTCCACAAAAGATCAAGCCTGCGACCAACCCCAGAACTCAATCGAATACTGTCAGTTCATTTCGAGTCGATCTTTTGACATATGTAAGACATCGGCCGAGACGCGACCAGAAATTGCCATTCCCATTTCTGCCAGCCCTCTTCGCCCAGGATATCTCACAAGCATCATCTTGGCGTGGTCTTATATCTTTTCTGCCCGCTGGGTCGAGATCCTACAACAGGCTGGCGTGGACTGCAAAATGTATCATCAAGGTAATATGCAGCTTGAAAAATCTTTTTGGGAGATTATCTTGCAAGGTAACTGGGAGGCTCTCTTCGAAATCGAATCCGAGGAAGATGAGGAACGAACTAAGAGGTATTCTCCATGGATGCTGAGACTAGTGAGCAATGCCGCACATGGGTAGGTCTGCATTCCAAATTCATTCTCGAGTTCACTCGCTAATATAGCCCTCAAAGAGGAGACTGGGGTGCAGTTGCTCCAACTTCATTTATGGCTTTCAATATCCTTCTCGAATTTTGCATCTCGGAAGGCCTAGAAGGAGAATTGCTCACTGCTCTTGTCGCTGTCATCAATACCAAAACCCCCGAAACACCTTGGCCAGAGTATCCTCCACCGATCATGATTTCGACCAAGTCCTCTTGCTTACCTACAACTCACAAAGACACAATCTTCCATGAGCTCTTTCAGGCAGTTGATAAACTCATGACTCTGGGCTCCACACGTTGCGCTCGGGACTCGTTGATATGTAGTGCGTTCTTCGATCCTAGCATTCCTTGCAATTTGATCGGGGGTGCATCTTTGGGAGTGGCAAAGGCTCTTTCGCCGGTCGATGAGAAATACGATCTGCAACCTCCTCCAGCTCAGTCGTCAATGTGGCGACGACCTAGACCACAAATCCCATGGGACAAGATTGACAAGAGACAGCTTCTTCAAGCAATCACATATCTAAAGCCGCATTTGAGTCTATTCTGGGCGGCAGCGGTACACAACAACCAGGCAACACGTTTCCTACAAGTTTCACTCGGCGAGCTACCAGTCATTTGTCTACCTGCTGCATGTTGGACAAATACCACGCAATCGTTTCTTCAAGTAGCTTACAGTTCATCTCATTGGAAAGAGCCGCTCTGCACTCGAGTGGCTGAGTTTCAAACCTCCCAGTTCTGTCGACCAGATTGCCAGATACAAATGCTGCCGTGGCCACGGTCCCCAGCACCGCCGTTTGGCTCAACTCCAATCACAAATCTCAGTCTCGAAGTTAGAGAGCATCTTGGACATATGCACAGACCACTCTCTTGGCAGATATACTGGAAGCTAAAAGCTGGGCAACGAGTTCCGGCGAGCGACGCGCACCACTGTCATTATCAGGAAGCTCACGAGGTTGATGACTGTCGTTCTGCGAAGAATGCTGATGAGTAAGTCTGAGACAATTCCAAACTCTTGAAATATGCTAACAGGCCAGGTCACCGCATCGAGAACGAATTCTGGTAGAGTGGCAATCTTACCGGGCAACATCCTGCCTTTTTGATTGGCATAGGTTTCATGAAGGCGGCATTTGGTTAGATGACGGTATCAATGATATTGACTCGGTGCGCCTGATGCAGGTGCATCCGTGGATAAAAGGTTGGGTTGAAGATGGCTCTGACACTGAAGACACGGAGCCCAAGGAGCTGGATTATGAAAGCATTCTGCGATGGGTGGACGACACAGTAGATGATAGCAGTGCCATGTAAGCATGAGATTGTCGATCTTATCAATAAGTGATTGGATTTATGGCCGTGGCAATTCGCAAACACCCTCATCGTGTACTCGATGGAACCTCAGATAACTACCACTGTAAGGATCATAAAGGAAATCCACACCCCTTCATCCGCCATACAAAAGAGAAACACAACGCAACAAATGCCAGCATTTGAGCTGCAAGATGAACACCATGAGGGAACCATGTTTTTCCTATCCTCCAGCCATTACACCCTTACCGCGGCCAGATGTTTTCCTATTCCCCGTCCTTTCTCGCCTTTTCCAGCTCGCGTCTCACTTCTTCCTCCTTGGTCTTGCCAGAGGGAGAGTCGCCGCCTGTTCTTCCGGTTCTTGCGACTTCTTCACGCTGTTTCTTGGACACGTCACGTTTGTTTGTCCAGTTGAACAACCCTGGGGACTCTTTGACCGCTGGATGGTCAACACAGCCATAACACATTCTGTTATACTGGCCAGACGGGAAGCACCCGACAGTGCATTCCTTCCAGTAGTTCTTGCACTTTTGTGCTGGGCAACGTGAAGTCTGGTGGTGGTCGTTCGCGTGACCGCATACGTCGCAAAAGCCTTCTAGGCCCGACCTGGTCGTCATCGCTCTAACCAACGAGGGAGTTTTGTGGCTAGGGATGTCGTTTCTAGTGTTAGTGCCACTGAGTGGGAGGATTTGATTCGGGGCAGGACTTACGGATTCAGTGATGGAGCGAAAGGTTTCGAAGAACTGATTATGACTGTCTCAATCCCAGAGGCTTGACGGAGACTTTGACTTGTGAGGACTATGTGTGATAGCGAAAAGCAAAGATGAAGCTTTGAATGAAGCTTTTGCTAGGAGTGAAAATTGAACCGGGATGGAAGGAACGAACTGGGTGGAGGGAAGGTCAGGGGGAAAGAAGTCTCGACATGGAGGATAGACACTTCTCGCGTGTTGTCAAGTGAATGTGTTACTTCTATTAGTGTCGTCAGTCACTGGTGCAATTATCCTCCATATTCACTTTCGGGGAGCAGGGCTTGTAACACGGTTCCTCTAATTCCGATTCTTCATTTCTCCTGATATTCCCAGAAGGCCATGTCTTTTACTTCTGCCTATTATCGTTTCCACCTTAGCTAGCATGTGAGATCTTCTAATATCACTGCCTCAGTTCTACAGATTAGGAAACTGCCATCGAGACCATGGTGGTGGCCTCGAAACCGGGTATATTATGGTCACGTGAGTGTATACTTGACTGAAAGCCAATCAGGCTAACAGAATGACGTTCCGGGTATCATGCTGTAGATCGTGGAACGGGTTATATCCTTATAGCGAGGGGTTTATAGGACACGATCTATGTTTATGTGGTTAACACCCCGTTGAAGATCATCCCGTATGGTGATTGCATCATGCCCATCCCTCCCCGCCAAGCACATCCCCCTGGAGCTGCAGCCACGGCTCCAGCTCAAGCCCTTGCAGACTCGGCATTTCCGCGACCAACCCCTCCAACCAAGACAGTTCTTCCACTCTCGGACTGAATGGTTCGACCACAGTCCTCGTGTCACCACCAGACTGCCCGCCAGGGGCTTGGTTAAGGACTTCAGCCAGCACCTTCGTGTCCTCTGAACGACGCTGCTGGTGAAGCGACACCAGCAAGCGTGCGGTGCTATACGCCTCCTTCATCGTGGCGGTATCGTATGTGTTGGCGACCAGCGTCACCGTCTGCATCGCCTCAGGCAGCATCGCCAGCGACGCTCGCGTGTCCATCTCCAGCAGAACATAGAGGATCTGCATTGGGACATTGGCCACCTGGTGCCAGGGACAGCAATCCGTGACCATACTCCGCGCGTGCGAGAGGGCTCGGCCGAAAAGAGCCAGGACCTCGTCGATGACCTGCGGAGTGATGGACAGATTTAAATTGCGAAGACGCCGAAGGATGCAGAGGACAAGGTTCGTTTGAGCCATGACGGATGGGGGCTGGGTGTGAGTGCCCCGCAAAACTTTGGTGAGGGTGGGTTCGAGGTCGCCATCTGTTTGGGGATTCTCGGGATCGAGGCATGCGGAGGCGGGGAGGAGGTTCAGGACCTCATATGTGTAGTCGCCTGGTTTGGGGGATGGGAGCAGGGGAAGACCCGTGCGGAAGGACACGCGCGACAGTCCGAGGTCGAAGGAAGTCCAGATGTTGAGGTGGTGAGCGACACCCACGAGCCGACGGCTGATTTCTCGGTCGTGTTGCGTGGCAGGACGTAATGGGAGAGTGTCGTGCGATGTGGTTGATTCGAGGTGAAGACCTGCCGCCTCGATGAGGTGCATCAGCGTGGAGCTGGCGATCCAGGTAGCGTGTGGTGCCGCCGTCATGCGCATGTACACCACCCGGAGAGCCCAGCCGGTCACGAGCTCAAGGACTGGAGGCCCAGAACCGTTGTGGCCGTCGAGGATCGAACGGGCCGCTTCGACAAGGTGAAGTTCGGTGATGGTCATACTTCGTCGGGAGAAAAGAGCGCCAAGCGCCGCGACCCCGGCCAGGACGCTATCATACACGGAGCTGCTGGAAAGCGGGGACTGCCATCGCGTCTCGAGGCGGTCCTCGAAGATGTGCCGGTCGATGAAGCCGTAGCAAGGATCGATCTTGGTAAAATAAACCTCGGCCAGCTGTCTCATATCGGACAATGAGATGATATCGACGACGGGCCCGGGGGGTATAGCTCCCATACCCGAGGGTGAGGGTAACTGCCGTGCACCGATGTTCCATCCAAACAAGGCCAACTTGGGCGCTTTAGCGGGATCGACCTTGAGGCCCATCTTGCGTACAAATGCGGCAGCGGAATTGGCTTCCAGACTGCGGGCTATGCCTTGGTGATCAGACTGATTGGCGACCTCCTCTGGCGAGCGGAGAGGCTCCCCTGTTGCAGCGGGAGATGGCTGTGATAGACGACGCTTTCGGGGCGTTTGATCTGTATAGTGGCAGTCATAACCCCAGTCAGTGCACGTCGCGCACGGTGTTGCCCCGTCGCATTTTCTTTTCCTCTGTCGACATGGCTCACAGGCTATCCGGGCACGTTTGCGCTTGAGTTGTTGATTCCCCGAGTCAGACATGGCGAGTGGAATAAGCGGGATTGGAGTGATTCCCGCGAGGGGCCATGGATCGAATACGCGCGGGTCTTGCGGATTGGCGGGCCGCCCGCGGGCACCATCTCAGGCTGCCACGGCGGTCATCTTCAGTGGGAAGTTCAAATATACGAGTTAGTAGTGTTCAAGCTAATATTTATATATATAGTTATATAGTATGCTACATCGATTCATGATGCTTCCAGCTCTGGCTGAATTGCCTCAATCAATCGATGAGCATCTGGTGCAACCCGACCAGATACTACTTATTACTCGTGGCCTAATTTGTGGACAAAATCTATATCTCTCATGGCATATTATGCGGGGAGAGTCTCCTGCGCTGAACTTCGTTCGAACCACTAGACTACATATCGATATATATACCCGTGTTACCTGCCGTAAATACGGACCACTGTACTGCCACCTAATCCGACAAATTGTGACGAACCTCGATACAGGGAAACAAGCTGCGTCGGTCAATGAGTTGAAACTCAGTGGTCAATGAAGTCAAAATGGCGTTATGCAAGATGCGGGGTCTCAACTAGTTCCGGTAGGTAAAATCCCCGTGGCCCCCCTCCCCCCTACTGCTAGCAGTCTTAAGCAGATATAGCCCCATAAGCTAATGTATCTTCATCGTCATCGATGGGATAATTCTGATAACGAGATATGATGTGAGACTTGTTGACCTACAAATTGGTCTCGTATACGTGATGTCTAGTAAAACATCATACCATGGCGGGGGTCTGTGTTGTGTTGATCACTGCGAGAACTAGATATACTTCCGAATTGGACTGATTGTCTTCTGGAGTACAGTACGTGCGTATACAATCAATAAGGGTTTGCCGCTAGACCAGGAACCCACCAGAGAAAGCTGAATGAGCAGATGAATGATGTACCGCTGATGCATGTCTGCATGAGCATTTGCGGCCTCCGTGGGGTGCAGTGGAGAGAGACCGAGGGATAGATCCATTCCCTCATTTGGACACATCCTCCAGGGGCGGGCATGCAATGTCGGGTGGCGGGAACCACCTTTTGCTTTGGAAATGGAGAGAGCAAGCAGGGTACATATACCTATGCATGATGCTATACACAAATTATGCATGTAAACCACGAGTCCTCCGTACACTGTACACCACCGCCACCCTCCAGGCAACGACTCCCCAGCCAGGGATGGATAAGTAGGTAACGAATGGGGCGATCGAAGGACGAACTATGAATGTACGGAGCCACAGTACGAGTGAGCTGGAATGTCTTCAACATCGCGGGGCCCGATCCACCCCAAGGTTGAATGAGTCCCTTGCTGAAATCTGATACATCAGCATCTCGCTTCGGGCGGACACCATCCATCATCCAGTGGCGTTCCAGTGCTTTGGTGAGGTCTAGCTTCGCCTCAATCCATCCGATTGGGCTTTCTGGCAGCCTCCCACTCCGGAGTAGACGGCTGAGCTCAGTTTCCACTCGCCACTATTTGAAGTGCGAATGACTCTAAACGGCGACGCTAGGAACGATTTTCTTTTGAGCTGGGTGGACTTGAGATCCATCTGGTGATTCGTTCAATCATTGTGCTTGTTTTCCATATCTTTGGTGGGTTGGTGCATAAGTCTCTTGAACTAGAACAGAATAGGGTAAGACTGACGCCGAAAATCGGCGCTAATTGCACCATGCACTAGTGTGTAAGGCTTTCTTTTTTTTTTTTTTGTGTGTGTGTGTGGATGTGTGTTTTCCTCATTCTCTGGGCACACACTGTTCTAGTCTCCCTTCCAGAGTCGACACTCGATAGGTAGTTTTTGTCTTTCCCTACCCTCTTATCTAAGTGGTCAATTGTGCCTGTTATGCTGGACATAAGGCTCTCATGTCCATTTGATCATAACTAATAATGAAGTGGTTCAATTTGGAGCTACGCCCGCAACTTCCATGGAAGCAGTCAGAGCTATGATGCATCTACCCGCAGACAATGCAGTCGGTTTTGGAGACTCGACCCGGAAGAGTCAAGAGTATCTTACCACCACTTATGATAATAGGATGCAAGATAGCTTAGATACTATAGAGAATAGTCAGAGTCAATTGAATGGTGGTTGCCTCGGTCACAAGAAATGGTCCGATATGATATCAAGTGCGATGATCATGTCGGTGAGCAAGAAAACTAAGGTGCCAGTCTAGTCCAAGCTAATTGATTCATAGATTAATCCCTTCTGCGCCCGGGTGTTTGTTTCTGTGTCTGTCACAATAACGGAACCAGCTCTCTGTACTCATATAAGCTGAGCAGCAACCCTCTCCTTCTTATGCTCTGTTTGTTTTCGCACACAGCACAGCTCTCCCAGTCGGTGGTGGGATCCATCCTACTAAATACCATGCCTGCAGAACCTCAGTTGATCATGGTGACTGTAGCCAATCATACAGGGAGTGATCCATTCTGGTCGTCATAGACACATGGTGGGGCCCACCGTAGGTACTTTTTCTTTGCCCCCTTCCGCGAAAATGGGAATTTCAGCCAGTCGGCCGCGATTAATCCGGGTCCTGCAGGCTTGCTTGCTTTCCCTCTTGTTTCTTTTGTAGTCTAGTCGGGTCTGGTCTGGTCCGGTCTTGCTTGGTCTTGGACCTGTTGCTGCTGGCACAACTTCGTTGTCCGGACACACAGACACACGGACTCACTCGCTCCCTCCTTCCCTCCACAGGATGATTGTGAGAAGAGAAAGCGGTGTAGAATCACTCTGCCTTTAAATTAAATAGTCTGACTTTGTAAGTTAAGTTCCTGTCGAATTTTCCCCGATGCGTTTCGAGGTGGAGGTGGGGGAATGGATGCTGTTGGCCGGGAAAAGATGGCTGTCAAGGAGGGAGAGTAAACAAAAACATTACTCAGTAGTAATAATCTGCCCAGCTTCTGCTCCAGCTAGAGAAGAAATATTGTTCTTTTTTTTTTTTGGGGGGGTTTCTTGTGTCTCGATCCGAAATCATTTGGCTGGCGGGGTCTTTTTTAGGGAGCAGGAGAAAGAAAGTTCCTTTCCGGCATTCCTTTAAAACGACCATCAAACGCTCCATCATCGAGTCGGACCAATAACCGCCACTCTAAAACATCCACCCGTGCTGATTTTCCCCCGGCTCGAGAGCAAAGTGCGAAGGTAAAAAAAAAAAACAAGAAAAAAAATAATACAAAACTGACAGAGGGGAGGAGAGAGCGAACAGACACACTGAATGGCTGTGCATTGCCAAGTGGGATTCCTCAGGCTCTCTATCGCCTTACTTGATTTTCTATTACTTTATTTTTTCCTCACTTTTTTTTTGGATTGGAAATTTTTTACCGTTACCGTACAGTTGACTGGGCCCTTTTCTACTTCTTCCGACGGTTCGGTGGTCCCTCACTGGCCAACGAAGTTTCCGGTGATTATTCCATTCCCATTCCCTCGACTTTCCATCTCGTCTTTCCCGGTGCCGCCATCTTCATCATACATCCGCCCTCCATCCATCCCTCCCTCTCCATCCACCCATCCATCCTTTCCCCTAGCCGGAAACTAATCGTCCTGCTCCCTCCCATCCCACCCTCCCCCCCATCCCATCTTTCTTTCTACTATTCTATCCTACAATCTATTTTCCCTTTTCCCATCATACATTCTTCTTCTTGTAACTTCCGGACTTTCCCCCCCTCCTTCACCTCCAATCTTCCATTTCCTCATTTTAAACTTGTCCTGTGTCTTTACTGTGTGTTATTAGACTCGTTTCCCCTATTCTTAGTCCCCGTGCTCTCCTGTCTTGCCTATACTGTATTGTTCCGTCGACCCGTGCTCGGATTTACTAGTATACTACTTGCGCTGCTTACTTCCTACCGCGTGTATCCTATTACTCCTTCGCCTCTTCTTCTCCCCTCGGATACCTACTATATTCACAAAAACATGCCTTATAATACCCGTCGCAAGTCACTGTCGCTCCCCTCTTTGGGAATTCAGCTTCCGAACTCGTCCCGCCGCTCTCCGTCCACTTCGAAATCGCCGCACGCGACTGACGACCAGCTGCCTCCGTCCAAAAAAGTAAAACGGTCGCACGATTCATCTTCATCGCCGGAACCTTCAAGTACCACTGCGCGCTCTACGGATAGCAAAGCTCACTCGACGCCTCTCCGTACCTCTGGCCGGCGCGGGACTTTGGAGCAAACGCCACCTCCCTCCCCTACTGATGGCGCGGTTGCCCCCAAGATCGACACAGAAGGCATAAACGATGATATCGTGGTTGGAGTCATTCAACAGCTGGAAAAGACTGGAAATCGTCCTCACCTGGTCAAGGAGCTGGCTGCCGTTCTTATTGCACTCAATGACAATGTCGCAAAGTAAGTCCCCAACACCGCCTCTACTGTTCTTTATTCTGTGCACATCTGACACGAACCTCTTCTGCAGCTCTGCCAATCCCGCAGCTCTTCTATCTTCACGGCTAAGCGCGTACATGAAGCGCCCTTGGACTGCACTAGCGCCCTGCCCTCTGGCCAAACAATTGATCCCTATTCACCCACGCAAGGTGTACTACTTCTTGACCACCATGACCCGTCAAGCCATTCCGGAGAACTCGGACGATGTCATCATTCCCGGTGTAGAAGGAAAGGACATGACGCCTAGCGTGACAAGCATTGATCTTGACGAGGAAGACGCGTTGGCCCGGGAGCGGTCGCGCCTCAGCCCTAGTCCTGAGGTCGACCTGTCCTCCCCTGACTTCGACGAGGAACACATTGATTTGGATGGACGCGCGGGTTCTGCCAGCACCTCCCGGTCGGGCACCGAGTTCGGAGATCATCATACTCGATTGATGCATTCGAACCGAGCTGCATCCCCACCATTGGAAGGTGATGAGAAGGAGTTCACACAAACAGCAAGTGCTGTTCGTGAGCGAGCTTCCGAACAGAAGGAAGCACAGCAACAGCCTTCTGTCACACACTTCTCAGCGCTATCGGAAGGTCTCAATGAGTTGCACGAGGATAACATGATTATTTGTGGCACCCCCGTGAACGACAGCCACCTTTCATTCAACAGCGACCGTATGGCCGACGAACCTACCCATGACTACTTCTCTCGTGGCGGTCTCTCCGAAGTCTCTCCTCTCCAAGGCCACCTCCAACAGCAGGATCTTGACGAGGCAGCCGTGGCAGCTCTGTTCGGTACTTCTCCGTCACCTTCTCTTACTTCCGTAGCCTCCTCTATCTCGTCTGGCACGAGTGTGGCTTCGGACGATGGATTGGATGGCGAGTCTCAGTCAGAAGCGATTGGACGTGCCCCCCAGATCAGTCTACCCGACGATCCGAACGTGCCCTCTGTCTCGGCACTGAAGCGACCTATCGACATGTTGAACAGTGAAATGCCTGACCTGGACATGAAAATGGCAGATTTGGCTGAGCACGAAGTCAAGGTGTCGCTGGGTGTTCGCGCGCTGCCTCACTCGGACGGGGCCATGGTCTTTGACTCGTGGCGAGAGCTTCAAAGTCCGGAAACGGTCGACGTCCACGAGCTCGACGAGATGTTTGACGATCTCTAAACTCCCCTTGCGACCGATGCTGTCCACGGGAATATATTCTCTCCACTCCCTTTTCGACTCTGGCTGGTCTTTATTGGCCGGTCCTCCTCGGATCCTTTGCGAACCCTATGATATAACCCTGTACATTTTTATCCCTTTAATGCGTGCTTGCGGCCCTTGCCTTATCTCCGTTCCCGAACCCCCCCCCCTCAGGCGACAGCCGAAGCGCCCACCCCTCCTGTACATATATACCTTCTCCACCTCTTTCCTGTCCCCTGTCTTTTCTCTTTCTCATTTTACTTCACACGATTGACTTGATTCCGAATTTCTTCGGGCCGATCGTGAGACCTCTCTTATGGTTGCTCAGTTGAATGGAGCTGAAACATTTCGTTTGATCGGATCGGTGCGATGGCGATTGTCGGCGCTCTGGAATGGCTACGGTTGGTAGACTGGAAGCACAAAAATAAAGGAAAACTGGAAGCAAAAAGAAAGAAAAAGGAAAGCCGGAAAACTGGGATTTATGTTGTGATGTCAGCAATCATGTATGTTTAGCGCCTGTGGCCTTTTGAAATGCAAAAAAAGCCTCCAGATCTCCTCTTAAGGGATTCTGATTTGACGAAGATTCTCGTATCCTCACGGATTGTAGGCCCTAACTTGATTGGAGCCCCGGAACAAACGCCATGATCCTGTTCCATGGGCTGTTCGAGGCTCCGAGCCAACTTTTCTGATGGCACAGGGAGACATGCAACGGCTCACTCTTGGTTGGTCTGGACAATCTCCCGGTCGTTTGGGAATGGAGATATGCAGATAGCGATCTTCCCGATTGCTGCCTAAGTTACTTCCCAAGAACCTGGCTGACCTGTACAGAAACAACCACGAAACTCAGAAGGTGGTAAAAAGAACAGAAGAAAACAATGGAGAGATCGAAGCAAAGTCAGGAACGAGGATTTGAGCCAGAACAGGGCGGGACACACACTGGTCATGACTTCATCTGGCGGGGCGAGGCGATCGAGTTGTGGAGCACGGACCAAAAGTCAACTTCCCGTCACTTGGTGCTGGCTGTAAGTTAACCCTGCACTTGGTATTAGTTAGCCCATACTATGTAGGTACTCGGTAGTGACTTATTTCTCTTATGGACTGTAACTACCGAACTTGCTGTACGTCCTGAGTACCTCGAGTCACCGCCCGCCTGCCCATCTGTCATGCAGCCTGCATACTGTGTGCCAGGAAAGTACGGACCCGCATTGATTCTTCTTCCTCACCCCTCAATGTTTCTTCCCCCTTCTCCGGCTTCTCAACGCATCAAAACTTATCGCTTCTGTTCCTCTCTTTCTTTTTTTTCTTCTTCTCTTCTCTCATTTCTCCTCCTTCTCCTTCCGCTCTCTTTCCCCAGCCTCCGACCACCCACTCTACTATTAAGCACTGCAGCTGGCTGTGGCTGCATATGCTTCGCGCTCCCAAATCGCCAAATCTCGTGTTCAATCTTCCCCGCCAGCCGGCCATCATGTTCCTGTTCGGCTGTGTATGCTTCAGGCTCGAAAATATCTGATCTCCGTTTTGGCGACCATTGAAGCGCAAGCTTTACCAGCAGACACGAACAGCATCCTGAGATAACTCGGTGATCGTCGTTGGAACGACCTTCGCTGCTCGCCACCCGTTTGTGGTCCCGGTCCTCCACCCTGTCGCAAGAACCAAAGCACCATGGAGAACCAATCTCGTCTACCGGACGGGGATGGGAGTCATTCGCAAGGTAGAATGCCACTTCGTCCTCACACGGAAGAGCCGTCTGTGGTGGTCTCGTCTACCGACTCCCAAACACTGACCAGCACATCAGCGTCACAACCCCCACAGCGGCCGGCCCTTACCACGAACAGCGGGGGCAATAACGCCGATAAGAGCAAAAAAGTGGCCATTCCCCGACAACGCTCCGGTGCTGCACCACGCTATAGTCGGCGCGTCCCTTTGGCTTGCGAATCTTGTCGGCATCGAAAGACCAAATGTAGCGGTGATACCCCGGTGTGCAGACAGTGTAAGGAGTTACGGGTCAGCTGCCGTTATCCAGTCTCCTGGCGCGAAAAAACGAAGACGTTTGTGGACCCTAGTGCCCGATTTCTCTTGTGCTTGCCATTGACTTGAAGGTCTAGGCAATTGTCCAAGCTCTCTACCAAGACGTCCGATTATGAAAATCTTCTGCGAGAGCTGGGTTCTGTGGTGGATGGCCGCGCTGCCGAGAGGATAAAGCTTGTTCTAGACAAGGTGAGTATTGTCTCTACTACCCGCAGCGTCTTTGGGCTAAGGGCTATATCCTAAGAATCATTGAATTATACTAACATCGACCAGCATGCGGGTAGTGAAAGTACAGCGACGTCCACCGAAGCACAGTCGAGTTCCGTAACGCCACAGGATGAATACGCCGAGGATGACGTATCTTCAACTTCATCAATCGGGTCGCTAGATGCCATAGATCGTGTGGAAGAGGACGTGAACCGAACGCCTAGTTCTCGTGCGACTGGCTATATGGGCAAGAACTCAGAGGTTATTTGGATGCAGCGAGTACGCAAGGAGGCCGAACAACGTTCACGCAGATTACCAGGCTACTACGAAGCGGGTCAGGAAAGTGATTTCACCATCCATTCGGTCAATTATCATCTGGACGATATGGATATCTCTGTCCCTGGTCCCGTCCATGTGTACTGGATGCCACCACGGAAGGTGGCCGACCAACTCTTTCAAGACTATTTGGAGACCGTGCACCCGTTCTTTCCCATCATCAACCGCACTCTTTTCTCTGCCCAATACAAAACGTTCTTCGATAGTGCAGCCCGACCTGGCGACAAGTGGTTAGCTATCCTAAATATGATCTTTGCTATCGCAGCCAAGCATGCTTATCTTACGCAAGCACCATGGCGAGGAGACGATAATGACCACTTGGTCTATCTCACTCGGGCCCGGATACTCAGCATGAACGGTGATGTGCTATTTAGTCATCCCGATCTTCAGCAGGTTCAAGTGGAAGGTTTGATTGCGTACTATTTACTCTCCACAGACCAGATAAATAGGTGAGGCAGCCATGTACCTTGCTCACCTACGTCCCGCATCTAACGCAGTGTTGCGATTAGGGCTTGGAGAATCGCTGCTCTAGCCGTACGTTCTGCTATCACGCTAGGGCTCAATATGAAGAATACCAGCGATACCACGGCGAAGGTCTCTAAAGAAGCCCGGTATCGGGTTTGGTGGTGTTTGTACACATTTGAGCACATTTTGGGTATTATGACAGGACGTGCCTCGTGCATCACCGACGGCATCTGCACAACGCCACTTCCACTTCCTTTCGAGGAGGAACAGCTCTCGGAGCCCGCTGCGACACGACTTCTCAATAATCCGAATCTTCGCCAAGACTACATTGAAACTGCCCTTGCCTCTTCGTCCGTTCGGCAGATGCCCTCTAATCCCCGTGGGGGCAGAGAAGCTGACGCGGCAGACCAAGCGCGCGACCCCTCATGGTTACGGAATCTACCTCCGAGTAGCGCTCTAGGCTTTCTCTACTATGTTGACCTTGCAGTCATATCACAGGAAATTGTCAACCGGGTATACTCACTCGATTGCATTTCCATCCCATGGAGTCACATTGAGAACAGAATTGGCGAATTGCGGTCTCGGATTGATCTTTGGTATCAAAATCTGCACGAAGCGTACGACTTCTCTCGGAGAGAAGATCAGAGCACTGATATCGTGCGTGTCAAGCTTTTCCTCGCATTTCATTACTATAGTGCGCGAATAACTCTGGGACGGCCATGCCTCTGTCGTCGTGACGCACGGCAAACCGCTGCTAGCAAGAGGCCGACCTTCAGCCATGAAATGGCAGTCGTAACCTTGGATTCCGCTCGACGGATGCTCGACTTGATGCCGGATGTGCCAGACGCAGCCCGTCTTTACCAAGTGTGCCCTTGGTGGTGTATTCTGCATTACCTCATGCAAGCCACATCGGTCTTGCTATTAGAGTTATCATTCGGCTGTATCCACAAGCCAGAAGACGAAACAAACTTCTTAGATTCCACAAAGAAGGCCATTCGTTGGCTATTTGCGATGGCACAAATTAGTCTAGCGTCTCGACGTGCGTGGGAATTATGTTTTGGGAGTCTCCGGCAGATTGCCCGTGGAATGGACTACGACATTAGCGATATGCCCGTGTTTGGTAACGATCCTCGAGCACACAGTTTGATTCAATCTGGCCAACCACAATCTGGAGAGGCCACTAACTCAGGTCCTATGATTTATCAATCGACACCTGCTGATATGAGTCAATCTCTTGGTGCGCCGCAATTATCCAATATGCACCATGATTCTGGAATGTCATTCACCATGAACCATCAGAACCAGCAGCAGCATTATCAGCAACAGCCACATCAACATCATCAACACTCAGGCATGCCGATGAACTTCATGCCTTCCGATCCCAGTCCCGGAGGCGATGCATATTTCCCATATGACCCAATCAGCGGCGAATTCATTCGCTCTTTCTTTCCAGCCACGGGAGATGAGGATCAACCATGGGGGTGATATCTTAGTCTGGATTGACCTGAAATTTGGTAAAAGCCCACCGGGATATCCTATTTTTCATGTCTATCTTCTGCAATCTCTGCTGCCACGACCCGCACGACTTTCAGATCTATGAATGGTCTTACCCAGTCTTCTCTGCAACATGGATGAGTTTAGCTGCGTCTCTTGGATCGTAGGCGGGCCTATTCTGTTGTTCGCGATCATACCTCTGATATCTACTGGGCGTTCAAAGCGCTCTGATCATTTTCCTGTTTTTTTTCGCCTACTCGGCCTTTCGTCTTTTTCTTTGTTGTTCTTTGCGAGAGATATCTTGGACCGGTTAGGTGGCACTTGTCGGGACATGGAGTCTGGAGAGACGGACGGGAGTGAAGTATGCTCGGGGCTTTCTCTCTACTTACTGGCGCTGGTGAAATGTATTACGAAGGATTGGATGGATGAGTCAATGGCGGTGTATGATTTCGGTCGATTGTAGTTTTTTTCCCATTTCGTTCTCGTTGCAGTCAAGAATACCACTTCTTTTTAGTTGCCCCTCTTCACTCTGACCCCGATCCCTAGTCATGAGTAGTCTGTATGATTCCCGGGATCTTGTCTCCTGCTTGATTCAATCCATCGATTGTTCTCCGCGGTGGACATACATAGGTTCCTGGTACCTAACCCTTAGAGCTAGCGTCAGAGTGGTGGCGGCTCTTCGGGACGGTGGAACAATCTCCTGAGTTCTCAGGAGAGGGGTTGATGGGCTGCTGGCTGGTGATTATTGACTTCACTTCTCTGGCTCACGAATCGCGTGAGCCGGGACTAATGATCAAGAATGACGGCAACACCTCTTACTCTGGCACAGACCGTTACATAGATACTCTGGTTAAGATACGACGCGGTGGTCCCCTTCTTAACCCCCCCCACCCTCCCACCTCCGGTGGAACACGCAACGAGACACTTGTCTGCAGACAAAACTCAAGTCCTCCTTGAAAATAGTACGACGAATAATCGAGAGCGGACGGCACAAAGGACATTGACTCCTGGGTATCAACAAGATTTTATGGTTATTGGTATACATGTATATCTATGTCTAATGTTACAGGAGAAAGAAAAAAAAGAAAACAAAACAGAACAAAACGCTAAAGTCGAACTCGCAAAGCAATATATATATATATATATATATGCACATCGACCGCGACACATGCACACGGCAGTTCGTGCCCCCGTGCCCCTGTAGAAAAGGAGAGAGGGAAGCGAGACTGGGCGAGTGATTACTCGCCTACCACCAGTGATGGGTAGTGTGGAAGGAAACTGATTAGAACCACACTCTCCCTACTTACTTAGGAACTTTCAGGAACGTCTTCTCTGACGCAACCCCCCCAATTTCTGCCTTGGCTCATCAATCACCAGGCTTTCCACCTGCGTATCCTGGTCTATTACTCGGCGAAGCTTGATCGGGGGGCGCAAAGCTTTCAGATCGCGCTGTATTGTGTCCCAGTGTCGCTGCAGATACCCCCCGGTTTCGTGATTGATCATATCGGGATCCCCTCCGAGGCGCAAGTATCGAACAATGCAGAAATTAAGAACAATGTCTTTTGGGGCAAACTTGCAGGAGAATCTCGGCATGATGTTTGGAGGCAGCTGCGGGTGAAGGGTATACCCGCTTCTGGACTCCTGCGGAGGCGGCGTCGAGTTCCATTCGCGGCGGCGGAGAGTGGTGCGCACGGGGCCATCAAATGCATGACCTATTGTGCCATTCTCTTGCATCCCGATGAGGAGCTTTTCGAGATATGAAGGAGGGCGAAATACGCCGGTGCCTGTCCGGTCATTGTCGGCATTCGTGGATATACCCAGCATGGCAAGGTATTCCTTCATTGCGCTCAGTAGAATGATCCGAATGGTGTTCAAGCTCGGTACCACGCACTTGGCCTGCTTTTCCCGGAAGGACGCCGGTTTTGAAAACGGGTCACCCCGCTCGTAGACGAGTTCCGAGTGGAGGTACATGAGCGGAACACCGCCCGCCTGCATCCGCTCTACATTCGACGGAACCGAGTCCAAGCATAGCTTTTGATATAGTTTCACGCCTGCAGTGCTATCTTTTGTGTCGACGACGGCGGCAAGGACCTTTTGAAACGCAGTAGATGGGATGTAGGGAATCAAGCTGCGTGGAGTGGCCTTGAATTGGAGATGTGGCTCGGTGAGCTTGGCGATGGTCTGAAGGGCGGGAGATATATCGAGGGAGAGGACGAGACGGTGGAGACTGTAGAGGACGCGTGCCTGATACTCCGGTTGTCCAAGGCGGAACACATTCTCTGATGCGACGCTGCGCTCGCTTATGTTAAATTCCCCAGTGAATAGACGTTGGAGTATTGATATTGCTTCTTTGAGAGAATCAGAGAGGCGGGCAATCTCGTCATCGACATGCGGGTCCTGCTTCTCGCGTAGAGTTGCAACTTCGTGTTCTATGCGAATAATTTGGGCAACCAATGTGGTGACGTTGCTGTAGCCCCAAGACTTAAGACGATGGTCACGAAGGTACTCGAGCATCAAAACCACCGACTTCCATTGGCCTAGAACAATGCGGTAGTTGATGAGGGCACGGATGGTGCCGATAGAGAGTGGATGCTGGAGAGATCCAACGACCAAATCAGCCAGAGCCTCATTTTTGGTGTCTGCAGCAAAACGAAGGATTGTGGTTGCTATGCTCGGATCACCGTACAGGCTCTTTGGGATGATAGGTCTGTCGATGTCCGCGGCGGAAACCAGTAAAGCACCGGACTTGTAAGCCTGTGTATCCGTGAGTAACTCAAGTAGTCCGGTTAGCGTCAAGTTCGATAAGTGTGGCAAAGATGGCAGAGAAGGCTGAAGCGAGTCTCCAGCGCTTTCGGCTGCCGGAGTGTGGGAGGCAGTTGATGGAGAGGCAGCGAATTCGTCCATCAGCTGTCGCCTGCTTGTGTCAATGAAGTTCTGTAACCAGGTATATAGGCTCCACGCCTCTCGGGACAGATGAAGAGACGAAAAGTATCTAATGAGGTACTCAAACAAGCCAAACGCCGCCAAACTTTGATCGTAAAACGTCCGCTGAGAAAGTTGGTTGAGACGCTCCGTATCCAAGTACTGTGTGTAGGATAAGTCCCATAGCGATCCTAAGCGCGATGCGGTTCGCAGGATGTCGGCAAGAGTACGAGGGTCCAATCGGGGATTGTATCCTCCAGATTCTAGTAGCCGCACAAGAAAAGAATTGCTCCTCGAATTTGTCAAATGCAAAGGCCCTTCGCTCTGTCTTCTGAGTACGAACTTTAATGTGTTGAGGCAGGACATCAAGTTGCTGGGCATCAAGCCATGTAAACCTGTGCCTGTATATGTGGGGTTTGGGAGATTGTCCAACAGTGCCCAAGCAACTTCCTCACTGATGATCCGGGGCCCCAGACCATCAAATGTGTTTTTGCCAACATCGTTGTGATCTCGTAGCGTATGATGTGGTCGATGCCATATGCTATCCACGTCAATATCAGTCTTCCGCGTCGGCTTGTCGAGCAAGTGCTCCTCCTTCCAGTTGTTGACACTCCAGGGTAAACCAGCTTTCTGAGCCTGCATGCGCTGGATCAGCCCAACTCCCTCTTCAATGAAGCCATGCTCAACGCAACACCAAAGAATTAGCTCTATCCAGATTGATGGCCCCAGTTCACGGATATTTGGCTTGACTGAAATGAAAGGTGACTCCTGACCTGCGGCAGCAGCCTTGTTGGCCATGTCAGCCTCGTACTTTGCCCACGCGGCATCGGTCAGGGCTTCCATAATGGCGGACCTGAGCAAGGACATCCCTGGAGGACGATACGTGGTTTGGAATTCGCTGGGTGGGATGAATTCGTAAACCTTGTCGGATATGGCGCCAGATGTGTGTAGGCGTGCCAGAGTACATTGAACAATCGACATAGCCAGCTTGGCATCATTGGGGGCAGCATCCGCCGCCTCAAGCACAAGAGATCCCAATGTCTGCCATACCTGCGCCATCAATTCACCTCTTAGTTGGGCGATAAGGGGCCGAGAAGTAGACTGATCCAGACTGATCGGTATCGATTTTTTCGACACGTTAGGACCGAGAGCCGGAGTGGCCGTGGGAGCAAAGTTTACGGTTCGGCTGGAGAGTTCATCTAGGGTCACATCGGGATCCAGCGCCCAATGTACACCAGTAATAGGCCGCGAGTGCTTTTCATACTCTTCGATGACCTCGGAGGCGTCAAGCAGACGACCTAGGATGAAATCCACGGCCGCCCAGTTGTTCAGTCGGAAGCCAAGATGAGTTAGCAGATCCAGATGCCCATGCTTTCTGGCTCGATATAGCGTGTTGGACGCATCGACCGCCGCTGCGAAAGTGATTCGATTTAATGATGGCGTATCATCCCATGAATCTTGCTCCTCGTTCTCCTCCTCATTGTAGGCCCTGCGCAATCGGGGTGGCAAATGCTTCTCGAGCATCGAAACCCAGAATTCGCTTTCTTTAAGCTCTTCATCGGTCCCACGAGGTAATTGCTTTTGCCTCAATGCTTGAAATCTCAAAAAACCGTATGAAATATCTAGTTTTATGGATGAGAAGCCACCATCACGCTTCTGGCGCCGCTTGTCGACAGCTGCGAACGTAGCCCAGCGCAAACCATAAGGAAGATAGCCATGATTTCCGCCAGGAAAACCGATCAAAGGAGAACAGTCGATGCGGGGAAACCCGTGACGCAGACGTAGCGGACGAGCTGAGGAAAGGCACCTTTTCATGACACGATAGTAGTGCTAGCGGCGGTGGCCTGCGGGCGGAGGAAGTCCAGAACTCGAAGTGTCCGTATAGCGAATGTTCTGTGACGCATGTCTAGTCACAAGCACGAAGTCACATGCATACCTTGAAAATAATGCACACGACGGGACTTCTCAGGTTTATTGTTCGTAAGACGAGAAGAAAGAAGAAAGGAGAGCGAAGAGACAAGAGATGCGATGTGATGATGAAAGATTCTTAGAATGTAGGTTGTTGCCGCCGGGAGAAATTCTGGGCGGGAGATCGATAGCTGGGGGCTGACTCAGCAACCACAGCTCAAGACTGAATGAATCCCCGCCAATCAGGGCACTGCTATTTAGATACTCGCTCCCTTTAATCAGGAGAGTAATTATTGTAGGGGTAGAAAGACAGGATAATGGGATGTGACTATCTGAAGTGTGGACAAGCACATCAAGAGATACTACTGCCTTGTGAAACAGACAGACATCCCCGAAGTTCATGAACAGTTCATTACATACAATGTCCTAGAAGTCGAGCAGTGACTGGAACAGCTACCAGCAACCAAAGGTATCACTCAAACAAGCAGAAAAGAGAAAAACAGCATCATATGAGCCCATCCGAACAAAAAGAACCCCCACAAAACTCTACCATTGGCGCCTGAGAGATAGACTCCATGCGATCAATTCCAAACCACATATGACAGAAAGTTCAAAGCTCTTCTGTGGACATTTCAACATCCTCTTCCTCAGCGAACTGCATGTCGCCTCCCAACTCTTGTTCTACTTCGTCAACAACAAAACTCTCGTAGTCCTCCAGTCCTTTTTGTATGTGAACCTTGAAGCGAATCACATCGTTCAGCATGCTTTCCACATTCGTGTGCAGTTCTTCCCGCAGAGAATTCGCACGAAGCGTCAATTGTTCGTATTCGATATTGGTATTCATCTCGCGTTGTTCCATCAGCTGGACGCTTTCGCTAAGCGTGGCGCGCATCTTCGCCAGCTCCTTTTCCATCTTCTCAATCTGTGCATCCGAAGCGAGCTTCTGAGTAGTTGTGATCTCCTTAAGCCTTTCAAATTCTTCTTCGGCTGCGCGCCGCTTGTGTTCCAAGGCCTCGACTTCACTTCGTTTCTCGTCCATGGCTTCCTTGATATTGTCCAACAGATTGCGACGCTCCATGTCGTCGTCAATTGCGCGTTTCCGACGTTCATTGATATCCTTGCGAAGGGACTGAAGATTACTACGAACGGCACCTCGCAGGTCAAGATTCAACAAATGAGCCGGATGGTATCCTGTAAACGGCTCCGCAAGCAGTCGATCACCATCTGGAGAAATTGTTTTCGGGAGACCACCAATTTGCGACGATGAGAAATTACTCTCGTTGACATTAAGGCTGAGCTCGTACTCATCTCCCTTGGCGTTCACGGCGGATGATGGGATCAAACTGTTCTGATAGCCGAGAGTATTGTAAGCTTTAATGACCTCCTCCAAGTCCTCTAGCTTCTTGCTAGCTTCGGCCTCCTTAGCCATGACTCGTGCATGCGTTTCTTCCAAGCGATTGACAGTGTCTTCGAGGTTTTTCTGTAACCGCTCACGTTCGGTATTCATGCGATCAATGTCTTGAATAGTCAGACCTTGCTGGTCGACACTGGCCTGAAGACCCGACCGCTCATCCTCTGCAGCTTGCAGGTCTGCTTCGGTCTTCCTTAGTTCGTCCTCCAAGAATTTGATTCGATTCTCGTATTTCTCGATCTTGCCCTGCACGTTCTGGTTGTAGTCCTCGAATTTCCTTTTGTCATCTTCTAGGATACGAAAATGTTTGTCTAGCTTGGCCATATCCGGGGCATTTTTCTCCAGCTCCTCGATCTGATCGCGTAGCGCTCTGTTTTCGGCCTCGAGGACCTGCATCTCTTGCACGTATTTCTCATTGCCTTTTTCGAACTCCTGGGCCATCATTTCGACATGAGGAACAAGTCTCTTCTCTGCCGTTTCATCATCTTCTTCCTCCCCTCCCTGCAGCCAGTCATGGTACGCACTTGTGAGGAATCGAAAAATAATGCGGTCGCCCGAGACGTCCACGCCCATTTCTGCGCATGCTTCATCATATTCGCCAAGAAGAAACCGATCCATCATTTGTGCCAGTTGCATGAGCCAATGCAACATACCAAGAAAGGTGGGCCAATTCTGGCCTCCAACTGCTGCGATTTGAGACTTCGTGATACCTTTCTCGTAGGGATAACGTAACTGCTTCAAGATGGGCGGCACTTCCGCATCCATACTCTTCTGAAACTTATGGCCTGGATCGATGCGGTGATATAGCCACTGGAAGATGTAGTTGAAGTCTTTCTGGGTAGGCGAGCGTAGTGTATTCTGACCTAATGAGTGCTTCATTTCGAGCTCAAAATTGTTATGTGTTAGGTACTCCAAGAGTTCCTGGCCAATCCGCGCCTGGAAAGACCTGTCTCTGAGAGGCCTTGGGTCTCTTGGAACGCCGGCTACGGTGGGAACCTGAGTGAAGAACGACTGATGCGCCATGGCGCCACCCATGGATGGACGTGAAAACACACTGCTCCTTCGCTGTAGCGCCTGCGCGGCTGCTGTGTTCGATGCCATCCCTCCAGGAGCAAAGCTGGGGCGTCCCACGCTAGGTCCATGGAACATATTACTCGATACCGAGCGTCGGACTGACGAGAGACCAGCATCTGCACCAAGGCCGCCGCCGGATGAAGATCGCTGGAAATTTGGCTGTTGTGGGCGACTAGCAGAGTTCATAAGCGACATGGAGCGTGTGTGCTGCGAGGTAAAGGGAGGGTTCTGATATCCGACGGAACTGGTACGTTTGAGGGCAGATGAGGGCTGGGGAAGGGCGGAATAGTTCTGAACGCTCCCGAGAGCCATGGACTGGATATAACAAGTCAGCATTCCCCTCAATATAGAGCCATGTGCAGCCCTGCAGATACGTGGAAGGTGCGATAAGAAGGGGCGCATACCTCTCGTGGGCGCCTGATGCTGAACAATCCGGTGTCTTGCGACATGATGAGGAAGCTGCCGCGACTGCGGCTTTCGGGCTGGCTAAAACCACCGAATTCTCCCAAAGTACAGACCAAGCTGGTCCAAGAAAGAACACTACCAAGATGTGGATTGATTCAATAACCAGTACAGTAGCTGTACTGGAAGAGGCGGGGAAGGGAGATTTTGGATGTGCAGAGCGGGCGGATGTAAACAAGACATGCCGCTTTGGCTCCGAAGAAGCAGGCGGTGTGTTGCTTGGGAACAACAAAACCGATCACGAGATCATTTATCTTGTTCTTTCTCTTGGGCGGGGAGGGGAGAATCCGCCTCCGCCGAGGCTTACTGTATCCGTTCTAGGCCCCCTCCACCCCCAAACTTCCCGAGGTCCAACTCACTTCTCCTCATCCTCTTCACTAACTTATCCTCCATTTTCGAGCCCATTCTGTTGTTCCCTTTTAGATCTTACCTCCTACACATCTTACACTCGATAGGCTCCTCCTGGTTTTCGTGACTAGGAATAGAGTCCCTGCGGGACCCGTTCAAAATGGTGCGCGAGGAGCTTATCTCGTCTGCTGTAAGTCTAGTAGTCTTTCAATGTGATTGCTGGAGATAAAGCTGACTTCTCAATTTGAATTGTGTAGATAACTTGTGAGTACTCACCGGCGCGCCACATATAAATCGATTCTGTTGCATGCCCTAATCCTAAATAGTCCTCCAAGATCCGTCTGTCGCTTCTTCGCCAATCGAAAAGCGAGTCGCATTCCTGCAGTCGAAGAATCTCACGAGAGAGGAGATCGATGTCGCTCTTTCGCGAGTAGGAGAAGATCCGGCCGCCGCGGCCGCGGCAACATCAACCTCGAATTATCAGCCCCCTCCGCAACAAGCAGTATACCGACCACCTCCTCCCCAATCACCCGCTCCAGGGTATGGCTATCCACCATATGGTCAATGGCAGGCTCCTCCAGAGTAAGTGATCCCTCAACAAGGTGGACAGCCCCAGTGGTACTTATACAGTTGTCAATTCAGACCCCCGAAGCGGGACTGGCGAGATTGGTTCATTATGGCTACCGTCGTGGGTGGTGTGGGATATGGGCTTTACACTATCACCAAGGTTGGAACCCCCATTCCTTGACTGACGCGCGTTGCGAAGTAATCTGACGTCGATCCAGCGTTACATCTCACCCTTGATCGCGCCTCCCACACCACCGCAACTAGAGCAGGACAAGCAGGATATCGATGAGCAGTTCGCTCGTGCATTTACCCTTATCGATCAACTTTCTACCGACACAGCCGCCCTAAAGTCTGCTGAAGAAGAGCGATCAGAGCGGCTTGACGCTGCTCTTAAAGAGGTGGAAAATCTGGTTTCCGATATGAAGAACGCATCTCGTCGGAGGGACGATGAGACCCGCCGGATTAGCGACGAAGTCAAATCGTTGAAAGACGCCATCCCCAAGGCCATGGAGAATGCCCGCGAGGGCAACGAGAATCGCTTAAAGGAATTAAGCACTGAGCTGAAAAGCCTGAAGGTTCTCTTGGGCAATCGACTTGGTGGCGGTGGTAGCGGTACCAATTCGCCTGTTGCTGGACGAACTGTGGGCGGGATCCCTCTTCCAACTGCTTCGCGCGCAGAGGAGTCGGCCCCTGCGTCTAACGCGACAACTAATGCGACAACAGGATCTGTTGAGCAGCCATCTCAATCTGCGCAGCCCAGTCCAAGTGCGAGCACTGCAACTCTGGGCAACAACCCTCTTTCACAGCTTGGCCGATCTGCCTCTATTCCCGCGTGGCAGATGGCGGCCGCAAACCGCTCCAAGACTGCCTCCCCGGCGTCCTCCAATGCGGCCGACAACTCCACCTCGACCACCACGGCCAGTGAGCAACAAAGCGCACCAGCTAGTTAACATTGATGCTGTACATCGATCATGTGTAGCTCTTTGCCATTTCACCTCTTCCAGAGTCCCGGGTTGACGGCCACAGATGCCATGGAGATGAATTTGATGCAGCGGATGTATGTCTGGGCCTAGCAATATTGTAGCTGTAAAGTAGACGTTTGAATAAAGAGAGAATATAGCACGAATTAATCCATGCCATCTTGAATGACTGATAGGTAGCTAATTACATTTTACCAGTAGTGTATTGTGACCGTTCAGTCTCCGGACTTCCCCACCCTATCACCCTCGCCGCCGCCGCTTCGGCCGCCGAAGCTTGGCATCTCCAACTCCGCCATCGAACTCTCTTCAACGACCCGATTGTTTGTAGCAACTCGTCCACCTCTCCTCCAAACATCTGCAGCTTCAATTCCTCATCATAATGTCCTCCCGAGATCATCCTCGCGACCGCACTGGCCAGTCTTCGCGACACCACACCCACAGCAGATCCCGCTCCCGTTCTCCGAATAGAACCGACAGAACCGACAGGCACCGAAGCCGACGCCATCACCATCATCACCACCACCACGACGCCGATATTGACCATGAGAGACACAGACGAGACGGAGAGCGCGAGCGTCATCGTCATCATCGCCACCACCGCGATCGCAATACCCCCTCCCACCGCACTTCCAACACAGCGCAAGCCCCCATAATCCTCCCATACCAATCGCGCGAACTCACCAAACACGATTTAACCGCCTACACCCCGCTCTTCGCCATGTACCTCGACATTCAGAAGGGCTTGTACCTAGAGGAACTTCCAGAGGACGAGGTCAAGGGTCGCTGGAAGAGTTTCATCCGCAAATGGTACCTAGCACCTTTCCCCTCTCTTTCCACCCTTCCGTCATTGCGCAACAGGTAGAAGAGCAACAACAAGCAAACAAAGAACAACCCTCTCCACATGTCAACCCTTCTCTCCCAACCAAAAGACCCACCATGCACACCCAAATCAAGTCCAATGCGAAGTTAAAAACACTAGACTGACATCTCAGGAACCACGGAGAACTAGCCGAGGGATGGTACGATCCCGCGATGCTGGAGCGCGCGCGGGCCAACGTCGATGCCCTTCCTTCTCCAGCTCCTCGTGCAGCCAGCAACGCGCAAGCAGCAGCCTCCGCTCGACGGAATCAATCTGATACCCACCCACGACACGATCGCGATATCACCGCGCAAGAGGAACAAGACGACGACGATGACGATAATGAAGACGACGACTACGGACCCACCCTTCCCCAACCCGACAAGTCACTATCTGGGCCGACAATTCCCACGATACAGGATCTGGAACTGAAGAGAGGTAAGAGAAAGAGAGACTCACTCCATGCGCTCTGCACATCCCTGCCCCCCTCTCTCGCACGGAACTCAAAGTCAAAGCCTTCCCTTGTACTTGATGTTTGTGCGGAAGAAGGCAATCCATGACAACAGAACAACTGATTCATCTTATCCCGGGTCAAAACAGAACAAGCACGTGAAGACGCCCTCGCCGCACGCCACGACTCTAACTCGCTCTATCGAACCGAGCTGCGCTCCCACCGCGCGGAGCTCCGGCATATGCACGACGAGGTGGCTCCGCGCGCGGAGCCGGGGACGCACGAGCGTCGCATGGAGAAGCGACAGGAGGCTGCACAGGCAAATCGCGCGTTCGCGGAGGCGCGACGCGGCGGGTCGCCGGGGGCGGCGGTGCCGGACGAGGATCTGATGGGATCCGGCGAGAATGACCTCGACGCGATTAAAAAGTCCCGGGAAAGGGAGCAGCGGAAGAAGAACGAGCGGGAAATCCGGCGTGAGGAGATCATGCGCGCAAAGGCGGCGGAGAGGGAGGAGAGGCTGCAGAAGTACCGGGAGAAGGAGGAGGAGACGATTGGATGGCTGAAGACATTGGCGAAGCAACGGTTTGGTTGATCTTCTCTGTCTGTGCCTTCGCCACAACACGATACAGTCACTTGCATACCATAAGTGTTTCGGATACATACTTTTCTGCCTGAATCCACAAGGCATGAATGGTGCTGTCTTTCGTTTCTCTGCAGCAGGATAGAACTTGCTCGCCATCATGCCGTTTCAGGTATGCATTCATATCTGGCTCTGTCCTAGATAGATATAGGAGAGTGAGGACGAAATTATGCGAAAATGAAAGTTAATTCTACTCCACAAATTTCAACATTTGACGTACATGATAGACGATTGTGAGGGAAGTGGAAGGAAGATTATACGCATCCTAATGATACCTTTTATCCTTTACTCTACACATCTATCTACTGGCCAAAACAAAGAACCGTCCACTTCTACAAACCCACTAACTTTTGACTGTCCATATATATCCAAGGAACCACACAACGCCTCTAACCCAGCACACACACACACATTTCCTTTTAGTACCTCAAGCCTTTCGCCCCAATTCCAGATCAGCAACCAAGCGCATCGACTCAGTCCCCTTGACTGCCGCGTCTCCGAGACCAAAGAATGGCTTGACAGCCACGTCCACCGTCTCCTCAAATAGACGACCGACCACCAAATCCTTCAACTCCTCGCCGGTCTGCGCGAAATCCGGGTAGGCGTTCAACTCCAACAGCCACGCGTTACCGCTTTGATCCACCAGGAAGTCGACGCCGAATAGCTCAAACGCATTGGGTAGGGTCTGGAAATGCACCATCATGCCGCGCGCCGCCGCCTCGAAGATCTCCCCAGTCACAGCACAGATCTGGTCGAAGAGGTTCTCCTTCCACTCAGGCGCGAGGCCCGGCACGGACTCGTCCAGTTGCCAGTAGCGGCGGACACTCCCCTCGTTGGAGCTGCCGCCCTCCTGGAAGCAGGTGTTGGTCAGGTGGCGGGCCAGATCCTTGACCTCGTCATCTTCCTCGCCGGGAGGGCAGTAGGGTTTTGCGGCGAACAAGGCCAGCATCTCCCTGAAGACATAGACCTTCAGCGATCCGACGGCGAGCACGTAAGTGCGGATGTGAAACTTGCGGTTCGACGCCGAGGGTAGCAGGAGCGGAGGGTCGATGTACGGCTGGGCGATGAAATGCCGAAGCTGCGAGGTGACGACACCGTGATCGTCGTCCTCCTCCTCCTCGTCCTTGACTTCGACGGCTCGCTCCGAGTCACTCTCCTCCGCCTCCTCGTCGTCGGAGTCGGGATCCCACTCCTCAAAAATTTCCCGCAGTCCGTCTTCGCTGTTGAACAGCCGGATGCCCTGGCCGCGGTCGCTCATGCCGGCTTTAAGAATCCACCATTCCTTCTCGGACTCGGGCAGGGTCTCGTTCCGCTCGAGGCTCTCGCGGAGCTCATACGCCTCCAGCAGGGCGTCGTCGAGGAATTCCGCGTAATCGAGCTCGAAATCGCAGGCGAACTTGAAGTGCTTGGCCAGCACGCTATCCGGGTGCTTGGTCACCCAATTCGCGACGGTATTGGAAAGATAGTGTTTGCGGATCAGCGCCTTTCGAATGATGTAGGCATTGGCAAGGGAGGACGACGAGTGCATCATGGCATGCTCAAAGTCCAGTCGTTCGTACTCACGATACTGGAACACTGGGGCCGATCGCGATGGAAGGTCTGTCAGGGAGGATATGGCGCGACTCTGGCCGGCGCCGAGACGGCGCTGCAGCGCCTGCTCAATAAGACTCTGCACGTATGAATTGTCGCAGTCCACGATGGTATATAAGGTAGGCTCATTATTGTCCGGTCTACATGACATGATCTATCAGAATCCCGACCGTCCCATGTGTGAAGCCCTGCAGGTAGAATTCAAAGGGAAGAACAGGAGAAGCAAAACGAAAGAAAGAAGGCGCAGAAAAGCATAACTGGCTAAGATAATTGACAAGCGCGCGAGCTCTATCATATGTGCAGTTGGGTCGCAGACTCAGCGTTCGTTCGCTGCGTGGTCACTCACAGCTTGATCTCCCCTTCGATGCCGGGCGTGTGCATGAAGTTGGCCTTTAATGGCGTCACACTGCGGCGGAATTAGTACTGCATAGCTAGAACTGATCAAGGTCATCACAAACCTAGTCATTCCTTCCTTGACGACCCAACCGTCGTTTCCAGGAGTCCCCTCGTCGACGCTTTTGTAGACGTCCGTGAAATTGGGCGCCCATTCGAAGTGCTTGTGCTGAATTCGAGATCGCCTGCTAGGAGATTTGCTCCCTTTTTCATTGAGGGTCTGTCCAGCACTTTCACTCTCTTCTCGCAGCTTGTGCTCATGCGCACTTGGGCCATCCGTCGACGCAGAAGCTTCAACAGCCTTGAAACAGCTGCCAGACGACCAACGGTTGTCAAGCATATGTGTATAGAGGACCTTGGCCTCACTCACCCCAGGCTCCAGAGGTACATTGATACTGTATAAATCGACACCCTCCGCCCAGTTGTTGTGAAGATATTCGATTAACCGGACCGAATGCCGCGAAGCCTCCGCAATGACAACGGGGTCATGCTGGCGAGAGCTGAAGGCATATGACAGGGCAATCGCACGCTTTCCACACACAGCTGCCTCCATCGCGCCACCAATCGTTCCGCTGGACATGGCGAAGAGAGCTGTCGAGTTTCGGCCATAGTTCGGTCCAGACACGACAAGGTCGATCGGACCACGGTCTTCAAAGTAGTGATACAGGCCGATCTGTACACAGCTAGCCGGGGTCGAGTCGACAAGGATCCACTCGTCTCCATCATAGCTCTCATCGTCCCCTTCGTTCATACCGTGGGGCAGCTCGTGAGTGGTCCCATCGTCCTTGTGCAAGGTGCCGGGCCGGAAGTAAGTAGGCTTCACAGCAGCCCCAATCAGGTGTGCTTTACCAATCCATGATCGCTGTTGATGCGGTAACACCACTGAAACAGTGTGTCCGGCCGATTGTAGCGAAACGACGAGCGAATGGATGTAGGGCGAGGACTGATTTGACGGCGGTCCGTCGTCGTTGACAACCTATTGCACATGGTTTCATAAGCTAGGGTCACTAGTGTGGTAGTTTCATGGCGAGCTTGAGCAAATCTTGCCAGTGTACTTACCAAGATATGCATTGGAATAGAGCCGAAAGGGCAGCAAGAGAAGGGTTGGAGAGAAGAAGATGAGGAGGGGCAGCGATCGAGATCACGGCAGATTTCCCCGCCTTTGCGTCGTTTCTTGCGAGGAGAGGCTCCACCCGCGCCGCTCCGATTTGACTCGTTATCGATAGCAACTACTCTGACAGTACGTAGGTACTAGATAACAAGGACATTCTTCATTGCAGTCGATTTAGATTAAAGAAGAGTCACCTCTACAATTGTAGTAATGTGAACCGTATTCAACTGCTAGGTATGCGCCTGAAAACGGCGACTGCGTCGTCGCTGGACCCCGCGTGAATGAGCACTTTCAAGCCCAGTTCCGCTCCCTGAAACATCCGATGATTCTGCGCCACGATCCTCCTCAATATCCCCAATCGAGCCCTCTTCCTCCAACTCTCCTTCTTTCTTGATGTAAGAAACCTCGGAAGGTATATCGAATGGAGATATGTCGTCAGTGTCTTCTGACTTGACAAGTGTTTCACTGCCACTCTCTGTCTTGATAACAGCCTTCTCTGCTTCCTTAGGATGATTGAAGGCAATGGCCAACATAGCCCACACCATTCCCGCAGTGACCATTGAGACGCTCCAGAACATGAACCCGAAGACGACAGAGGAGGTGACTTTCCAGTTGTACATTACCCACCTATGCTTCCGTTAGCCTTAGAGATTCCCGACTGCACCAGTGTGGATGTACCTTAGTCCAGTGAATGTTGCCTTGAACATCACCTTGGCTGTGTATACTTGCATTTTCTCCGCACTGTGGATCTCCAGTCGCAAGCTTGACGGCACGTCACGGCGCCTACGAGGGAATTGAATCTTCTCAAACATGTTGACCTGCAACTTTTCTGCTTCTCGGTTCCAACCAAACACATAGAATGGCATAAACACCAATTTACTCGCAGTATCGACCAGGGGCGACGCGTAAGTAAGAATAGCCGAGCGGCGAGATTGGGAGAGAACCGAAGTGGACGTATTGAGCCCAGTCTCGGCAGATGTGTAGGAGTAGAGCGCTAAGTCAAGCATGAAGTTACCTGTAGCAAGATTTGAAGGCGTCCGCGGTAGCTCAAGCTCTACCTGCACATCGTACTTCTGCAGAGGTACCAAGTCCGAACCAAGGAAGACGGTTCCCCAGGGATGGCCATCACTATGAGTTAGCAACCAAACAGTTAGTGCAGGAACATGTCTAATAGCGAATCCGTTTCCGCTCAACATCGAGAAACAAATTGCATGCAGGATTCTCGACGCACTCAAATTGCAAATGTACAATGCGCTCTATTCCAACCTGGGGAATGAATTTATAGTAGAAGATCGCATAAGCAATCGACGAAATGAACACCATGCATATGGCTGTCAAGATGAAGAGCAGAGTGCCCAAATACGCTTTTTGAGCTTGCTTGGTTAATAATGGACGCAAGCTTCCCGCCATCGAGTTCTGGACGAATTGTCGCGTTAGCTCTGTGACCGTGTCAGCGGGTGTCGAGGGGGCCTCATTACCATGGCTCTCGAGATAACACCTGTGGCATGCTCCGGCTCCTCTGATGTGCGTTTCGCATTCATGGCTCGAGGTCTAGAAAACTTGGCCCTTTGATGGAGTGTGGGTGATGAGGGGAAAGCATGGGGAGAACGCGTCGACGTCACCGGGTGACAGCCAAGGGCGGTGGATGCCGCCTTGTTTACTGCGGCTCCAATCACTAGTAGGTATGCAATGAGAATCCACAAACATCCTCCCTTCCACGGTCTCACTTTGTAACTATACAAGGCCACTGGCTGAGAGCTACAGAAACACAACTACAGAAACAGGATACACACAATAACCCGTATGATCATGATTTATAGCTCTGCGTATCGTTACAGACCACCATAATAGGTAGTTATAAAAGAGAAGAACAACACCAAAATAGAATAGGCAACACAGAGAAGAAAGGGATAGAGGCAAGAAAAGCGAATAATGTAAATAGAATAGAGCGTCAGACATGTTTACAAGTCCTAGAAATGCAACCTCTCCCAGAACCCAACCGAAAAAGCAAATGAATTAGAGCAAGCAAGCCAGCCACCAGATGAAGCAACCCTTTTCAAATCATACACCCCAGGAAAGATCCGTATTTTGGCGCTACATGTCATGAGCGGCATAGACAAAACACCATGACAGAAAGTCGTTTCGGCAAATGCAAGACATCGAGGCATGATAGAATACGTCATATTAATATAATATGAGAAAGTAGTTGAGTTGGAATCTCGGTAAATGTTTTAGGCCATCGCCCGTGGGCTTTGCTGTTGAATATGCTGCAGCAAAGCATCGAAAAGACGACCAATCTAGAGATAATCATTAGCCACAATGTCAATGGTTCTACTGTATATGAACAAGCTTACCTCAGGCGCAGCCTGAATGAAAGGGAGGCGGAAAAAGGTGTAGCTCCGGTTCTGAAGGAGCTCCTGAAGGGTGATGATCAAGCCCCAAGGATGAGGACGGTGGACGATAAGTCTCTCAAGAAGAACGCGGATGATTTGCTGACGGATATCGGATTCATCCTGCTCGGAGTTATCGGTGCCGAAGAGACGGAGTATAGCGAAGCTGAAGAAATAGGTGTGGCTGTTGGGGTACCTCAGCTGATTCGCCATCGCGCTAAGCAGGTAATACCGTGCTTCCGGACGCAAGGCTTTCGCAAGGCTCTCCAATAGTGAAGCGTGGAGAGAATTCTCAAATGCCGCCCGTGTGTTGCCCTGGGAGTTGCTGGCAGAAACAGCGCTCTGTCCGATGTAGAGAACAAGCGCGTTCAGAAGCACCACGTTGACATTGATTGGGTCATAAAAGAGACCAGTCTCTTTAGTCGGAGGACTATAAATTGCATCGCAGATTTGTTGAACAGATGATGCTTCGGATGCACTGCTGCTCTGAAGGGAGCTATCGACAACGCTCTTGACATTCGCATGGTGCAATGGAGCCGCAACATCGCCTGCGATTCTTGGAGCCTCCCTCATTTCCTCCAAACGTTCCACCTTGAGGCCTTCACGGAAAGGATCCGGAAGCTTGTGGAAAGAGGACGGATAGGCGCTAAGAACAAGATTGCGAAGCTGAGCACAATGAGAAGGAATGACATTGCAGAATTGGAAGTGATTCTCCGCCACAAACTCGGGGAAATCATGGTGCAAGATGAGCAGGATTCGGAGAACACCCTTGTACAAATCCTTAGCCACGTAGGATATGGTCGCGGGCTTCAGTTGTTCACCAATATAGGAAAGGAGAGCCTGCATGATCTCGCAATATGGTCCCCAGCCTGCCCGTTCCGGCATATTAAGCATGCCAGACATGAAGAATCTATGAGAGACGAGAGAAAGCCACCCGTAGACGAAAGCAGGGCAGTACTTTGGCTGAAGAGAAAGGAACTTGTTTGCCAATGCAAACATCATATCCTGATGCTGATCACTGTGCTGAAGTCCATTCATGGAATATTCGCAAAGAATGCTGGAGAAAAGCCTGAAGAAAACGCGTTGATTGAACGCCTCACCACGCATGACATAGTGGTGATTCAACACTAACACGAGGAGCGATAGGATAGAGTTGAAATAAGCAGATTTGCTTGTCTTTGCGGCACCTGCAGATTCTCCTTGGAACTTGACAAGCAAGACCACAAGCTTGCCTAGAGCATCGATGTAAAGGAATGCTTCGTCGAGACTACCGCTAGGGTTTTGTGATTCATGGTCAAACATTGCTACCGAGATATCAATGCTCAGACGGAAGAAAAGAGCAGAATCTTCTTGGTTGTCCATGACTTGTCTCTGATGCAAGTCTTTCAGAAAGGAGTAGTAGGTGCGGTCGATTGCGCCGGGAGCCTTGTAGATGCCAATCCACTCACTGAAAATGTATTCCATTTGGTCTCGTTTGGCTCTAGCTTTGTCACTCAAGAGAGGGTTGATGACTTCAGGAATTCCGGACTCGCGTAGCTTACGAATGATCTCGGTGGCTGCTGAGAGACTGGAGTCGTCTGCAAGCCACTGACTCATAGCTTCCAAGCTGCCGGAGAAATCAGATCTCAATGCAGAAGGCTCTTCGCTGAAAAGGACGCGATCCATCAGGTTAGATAGCACTTCCAAAGCAGCTTTGTTCTTTTGGAGGATAAGCCGCGTCAGGATCATATCGACACGGCGAATGTCCAGAAGACCGGCATCAATGAGTGCAACCGTGACGGGAACGTTGAACATATGTTCGTCATCCACCTCCGAGAGAACTGCCCAAGTGTAACGTGCAACAAGAGTCGACATGTCACACAGCTTGGCAAGTAGATGGACAAGAACCTCAATTTCTAATGTACTCGGGGTCTGCGCATAGAGACTCGTGCAGATTCGCAGGCATGTCAGTCTGGCCAGCTCTTCTCCATTAGGCGACGCGAGGATAGTACGCAGTGCTTGGTTGTATTCCTGCAAAACAGCGCTATCTCTGTCAAGGTCTCTAACATGCTCTTCCGGAGCATTTCGTGCGGCCTGCTGTAGTTCAGACACGATGGCGTCCACTTTTTCACGAGGACTTTGAGCCTCAAGGAAGCCATTCAACTGAGACGGCGCGACAACCAAGCCAGACTGCTGCAAGCGAGCGTCTTGTTGTGCTTGAGGGGTCCTGTGCGGGACAGCAGGCTGCTCAGCAGGGGTAGATAGGTTGGGAATGGGGGAATATGGTTCTTGAAGGACGTCTGGAAGCTGTCGGCCAGAGTCAGTAGACACATTCTGCACATGAGCTGCACCAGGCCCACGTGCTTGCCGAGCGAACTCCTCATAGATGGCCAGTTGCTCTTTGTTAAGACCACCAGCGGCCTGCCGGTAAGGTTCAGGAATGAAGAGACCCCAGCGGTTCATAGAAGGATCAATGAACGGTTCATTTGGGCGGGCTGCCCTGTGTCGGCGGCGAGCTTCCAGTTGAGGTTCGATGACCTTTTCGATTTCTGGAAGAGATTTCTCCTCGGCAGCCTTCTCGACAATACCGCACGCAGCGTCGAGATTATCGTTGACACACATCAGAATCAGACCCTCAGGCATTGGCTGCTCAGAGTATTCTTGCTGTATCATGCGGATATAATTTGTCATGCTGACTTTAAGAGGCTCCTTGCAAGTCACCAGAGCCAAGCTGCCGGCAAGTTGTCGAACCATAATGCCTGCTGCATGTCGCACTCTTTCCTCATCGGGCTCCATAGCGAAGTCCTTGGAGACTAGTTGGACAGTGGAAATGGAAGCAATGGTGACGGAGCGTTCCACAACAGGCGTAATGATTTCTGCAATAGCACGTTCGACAGCGCTATGGACAATCTGTCGAAGAACGTTCGCATCAACCATGCTGCTAGCGGTTGACGGAAGAACAAGGATCTTGTCCAAGCTGGGCAGTGTGGACATAATGGCAGCAGGAGAAAGTCTCTCGTGGCGTATGCCTTGATTGATGGTACTGAGGGCCATGTCTTCGAACGCTTCCAGGCCATCGGGAATGTTAGCTGTAGACAGCGCATCCTCGATATGAGCGGAACGGTCGCGGATAATGACAGAGGGTTCAATGTTCTTATGATCAAGATCAAGGTCCTTGCATAAGACTTCAATCTCGAACTTCAGATTCAATTTTAGCTCGGCGAAATGATACAGCTCCATTAGCAAAGCAAGGATGTCCATTAGCCAAGGATTCGGCGGTCTAAAGACCGTAGACTTGGTGGCTTGAACAAGCACTTTGCAAGTAAAAGGGATCGCAATGGTTAGACGTTGACTGTCGTATCCCTCTAGAAGAAGTCCCTTGAAGTAGACATTCTTGTGCTTGATGGGCTTGTCTTTCGCTATCGTCAAGGAGCCCAGCCATGCACCAAGATTTTTGAGGTGCCCCCGGTCAGTGGATGAAGTCATTGTGGCCTCGGAGTTCAACAACCTGGAAACGCTGACATAGGTCTCACGCAGAACCTCAGCCCACAGCATCCTGTCGTTGATGCGGTCAAGAAGATCGAGATATAGCTGCTGGAAATTCGGCTGTAGCTTAGCCCGTTCCTCCACGAGGTAAGAAGCGAACCACTGGTGATGCTGGTCACGGAGAACTTCTGTGAGATCACGGAGCTTCTCGTCTATGTTCTGCTCGGAAACATTGTTCAGGACAAAAAGAATCTTATCCTGTATATCTTCGTCGGGATCCGAGTAAACTTCGGGTCGGAGAGGGGCATCGACGTGCACGGAAACGAACTTGCGGGCAGTTCCGTCGGGAGCTACGGTTTCCTCGAGGTTCCCGTTCATTGAGGGACCGGTAGCAGACTCGGCTCTGCCAGTTTCGTCTCGAGCTTGACTACCTTGTTCCCGCAGAACCTCCTCGGCCTTTTGGAAAATCGTGGTGCCTTGCAAACTAGGTATTTGCAGCAGCAGGTGGCAGAACCCAGCCCATTCGGAAAGACGGTTGATCAATTGCTCAATCGCTTCGACGCCAAACTTATACATGGGATCGTGAACCTCATGCTCTCGTACCGCCTCCAAGATCATGCCCAGTCCAACCTTCAGTGTGATACCATCAACAAGTCGGAAATTGATGATGCCGCCAAACATGACCGCCGTTTTGGTCAACGCCTCCAAGGGATACTCATGATAGCAGTGGTACTCGTCAATCAATCCGTGAACCATGCATGCAAAAAGGTCCTGCTCGGCTGGCTCACGAGACGACTTGTACCGTCTCATCAATTCAAGGATCTCCCTCAAAGATAACTCCTCATGGTACATCTTACCGAATAGCTCTTGCATTTGTTTGTCAACAGCTTCCGGCAAAGAATTCCCGTTTTCGCCGTTGGCATCGATGATGTCATCGAATCCCTCACCATAATTGATGAGTCTGGGATAAGTCTGGATACAGATCCGTTGCACTGGGGTAAGATTCTCACGATCACCCACGTATTCTTCGAGAACAGATAGTAAAGTGTAGACAGTCTTGACCGAGAGGCTGACCATCTGTGGCGCAGCTTGCTCTTTTCTTTGCACATGAAGCTCATCCTCCGCCTTGATCCGCAGGAACTTGGACAAAAGACTACCCATATCCATGGGACCTTTCTGCGCAGCATTACGAACCCACTGCTCCAAGTCAAACGGGCCCTTGCGATGAGCATAACAAGCGAGGTCCATGGCGAGGCCGTTCGTATATCCAAGAAGATAATCCAGCCAGTTGAACTCCATAGCTTGTTCGTAGATCGCGGCAGTAGAGGTCGGATCTTGAGTGAAGGTGGTGAAAAGCTGCTCCGCAACCCATTGGCGATCTTGGTGCCAGGCTCCGTGGAGTGCAAGGTGATAGCCTTCCTCTTGCTTCAAGACGAATACAATCAGGGTGCGGAGGACGAAGTTCTGCTGAACACTGGTCCAGGGTTGGGGGAGAGAAAGTGCCGAGCATAGGAACACGGGCAAGTCATACTGAACAACGGCTTTGATGAGCACCTGACTTTCAGCGGCAGACCATGCAGCAGTGGAGAACAGTGCCAGATCAAAGATGGCTTTCATCGCGTCAAGAGACCGGAGGGGCGACTTAGTAGCACGTTCTCCCTGCAAACGCACAAGCTCGGATCCATTGGCAAAGAAATCGGCAGGGAAAGTGGCGCGTAGGTTTGGTATCTGAGACACATCAACCCGAGAAGTTACCAACGCTGTCAGGAATGACATCTGGGTGTCGCGATGTTCCCAGTCTCCGCCCCACAGCTTTTGCACGTCCAAAGATGAGTCCTCTCGAGCCACATTCAGAAGTGCAGCGAATAACTTTGAAAACTGTTGAGCATCAAGTCTTAGGCCTTCACGGTCAAAATTGCGAAAGACGAGGGGCCAATTGATCTGCTTCTCGCCATAGTGCGATCGAACCGCGTTCAGAAATGTTTCCAAGGAGAACTCGTGCGAGTGTTGTGAGAGCACCAGGAAAAGGAGGGCGCTAGATATGTGGTCTTCATTCCAACAATCTGGGCCCGCTGCGTTGACTGTCTCAATCACAGCTTCAGGACTAGAGGTTGCCCGTGGTCCCTTGACATGAAGCTGGCGGACAAGTGTGAATTTCGGACTGAGAAAATTGAACATTTGAAGTGAGGATGCGACCTCGGAAGACACGTCTTTGTTCATCGTTCTGTATCGTATATTGGCTGCATATACCAATTTGGCTTTCACATCATCGGTGAAGTTCCTGGGAGGGTACAAGATAAAGCGCTCGATGGTCATTCCAATGAAAGAGTTCTTGTAATCCTTGGTCAAATTGGACGTGTTTGCGAGACTCTGTAGAAAGGGATTCACGGAGTTCGAAAGGATGGCATCGGCTGCAGAGAGCAGTGAGTCAGCGTGCGGAATTGGGTGCAGTTCCATATTTACTTACCCTTCGCGCGCAGATCTGACTTGTTTGCAGTCTTGAAAGCCAGAGCTAGCGATACCTTCACAAGAGGATCGAGTTTGAAGTGATCCAAGAAAGTTGAGAGGTCAAAATCTCGAAAGATATCGCCTTCCGAGGTGTCCACTGTCTCTGCGATTTTCTGAGCTTGCTCGATGTCCTGAGAAACCTTTTCCATCTCCTGTACCAGGAGAGGGTAATTGCCAGCATTTTCCACAGACTTGTTTACCCCGGGAAATATTTGCGGGGCGTTGCCTGTGAGCAAGCGTCGAAAGTATTTTGAAAAGACCTCCATGCCGTTGGACTCTACGAGCTAAATAGGACAGTCAGTATCACCAGACACTGCAATCGATCGGAAGCATTTTCGTAAGAAGAGTGTTACCTTATGAATCTGTGCAGCTTTTGTTTCCCACTTCTCTCTACCCTCCTTCTCTGTTATGGAATCCAGAAGGAGGAAAACTTGGGCGATAGATATCTTAGTAAGCGATGATTGACTTGCGTGAGCTGCAGCGCCCGAAGCTGCGGAACCCGGTTTATCGGAAGGAAAACCTGTAGGCGAATTCACGGTTGTACCGGCCAACAACGGAGAAAAGGTGGCGCCTCTTGAAGATCCCGTCCCACCTCCGCCTCCCCCGGAGCCTCCTCCACCCGCAACAGAACCCGCTGCGGAAGCCAGATGTGACCCTGAAGACGGGGTGTGAGCTCTGAATTTGGGTGAGGTGAGAGATTGTCCGGATTGCTGGTGCTGTTGTGAGCCAGATTGGAAGGAGGTGAAGGGTGCCGGCGTGGAGGCTGGCGAGGGCGCGTTCCGGCCGACTGGAAGACCCCTGGCGGAACTCAAGACGGCGGAGAAAGAGGTAGTGAGAGGAGATGAGGTTGAACCACCGGGACCAGGGCTACTGGACTGTGGTGGCCCGCGAGAGGCTGAGGGGGAGATCGAGGATGATGCGAGGTTGTTGGTCGCAAGCGGAGTCAACCCACGCCGAACACTAGACTGGGACACAGTTGGACCCCAAGCAGATTGCTGTTGTGACCTTGCCGGTCTGGTCGAAGATGACTTATCGGTGCCAGAAGCAATCGACGATTGGGAGGAAGGAGGAGGGGGAGGGAAGGTCATCTAGGAGACGCGATCATTTGATCTGAGGGCGAGCGACAAATTTTTATTATTCGTGATCACAAATAGACAATAAGATTGACTGAAGTGAAAAGAAAACTCGTGAGATGTGCGACAAGTCGACGAATTCTGGCAGCGGCAAAGCAAAAACCGATGACAATGAAGAGGACGTTGCTTCGTGGCACAAGTGGATGGGAAGTTCGGATGGGTGTGAATGACGGGCAGCAGAAAGCGAGGTCGAGTGGACGGGGCAGGTTGAGCGGCCTGAGGAGTCGACACTAGTCTGCCTTAGGCGGAAACTGGGGCGGCTCTGCTTCCTCGAGTAGGTACCGATACAGTGGAAGAATTTCGAGATTGCAGGGACCAAAAGAAAGTTATCGAATGACTTTGGGGAGCTACGCAAGTCTAGTAAATAGATAACTTGTAGGTAGAGCAGCTACACCTACTTAGCACCTCGCACATTGAGGTCTTCTAAAGACTTCTGGTCTGCGCCATGCAGGGAGGTACCTACAACTCCATGTGTAATGAGGGGAAAGGGAAAGTAACTCCGGCACGTGAGCACCCGTCGGCTCGGTGCGCTTATGAATGTAATGAGTCAGCTTGCAGTTTGTGAAGTGATGGATGCATGCGGCAAACCATCCAGGTTCGAAAGATAGGGCCTGATTAACATCATGGATGCGGTTTATTACTCCGGATGTTCGTAGTTCGAAGTTGCCATGGATCTCTATCGCATGCCAGGTAACATCTGGGTCTGCTATAGAAGCATCTATTGCAAGTTGCTCCAGGCTCCAGCAAGAACCAATGGGTTACTCCTACTACTCGTCTCATCGAGATTGCGCAGAATGCGATATCTCAGGCACAAGCTATCCAATTTACACAAGTGAAAAGAAAGCTGGCAAGCAACAGCAAGGAAAGGTGGAGGCTTCTGATCTCCTTGATGAACTTGGCACATTCTTCCCATCAGCGGGACCAAGTAGTCCCCACAAATCAGGGCAGTGATGAAACACCTGAAGGAACAAGCAGATGACGAACCACAATACAATCCTGGGAACAAGTGGTCCAGGTTCAAGAACGTGATGACACTTTCAAGCCCACGAGGAATGCCCTCGATTAACGATAGACAGTGAGGAGCATGACCTGGTTTGAGGGGGGGAAGCTGCACGACTTTGCCCCGTGATACCGCGCCGGTTGCCCCGAGAGACACGGAACTGTAAACATGACGGCGTCAACCATCTTTCATTCCAGGGCCAAGCTTGTGGTCTGCTCCACCAGAACCAGCCTGATTGTGCTGCCTTGCTCATTCTTCCCGCAGCGGTTGGCCCTCCTTCTCCGTTTCCAAGGATCGTCTTGCTGTTTGTCGTTCTCGTTTGATTTCCACTTACCTCACTTTCCCATTCGCAGTTTGCGATAAGCACTCTGACTTTGCCCATTAATTGATTTTTGACATCCTTTGTACGATTGCCCGATGAGCACAGGCAGGCCGAAGCTCAACAGTCGTACCGGACTATAATTTGTCACCATGCCAGGGACAGTCGCAGATGGGCCGACGGTGGCCATGTCGTGTACGGGACTTGAATAGTATCGAATGTTTGATGGATGGCACGGCTAACGCCAATATCTCCCTATAGTTGCCAATAATTTTTGGGGGAAAGATGACGCCGGCGTCGGGCCTATGATGGATCGAATGCACAACGCCAAAACGTCCTGCGACGAATTGAAGACTTTCTATAACAGTGCGTCATTCGAAACTTCACCCCATTATCCACAATAGCGTACATGACCTAATTGAGATGGCAGTTCGAGCCGCCATCGAAGATGAATACGCACGGAAACTTCTAGCGCTATGCCGCAAACCGCTGGGGTCCACTGAGATAGGCTCACTACGCGCGTCCTTCGATACTGTCCGTGGTGAAACCGAAGCTATTGCGAAAGCCCATGCAGCAATTTCAACACAAATGAAAAGAGAATTGGAGGAGCCACTGGTTGCCTTCGCGGGTGGATCAAAAGAGCGTAGGAAGATCATACAGAATGGAATTGAACGCCTTCTTAAGACTAAGATACAGCAGACTCATGTCGTCAATAAGGTAGGCCGGGATACCCATTATCAAGCTGAGACATACCGGGCGCTAAGTTGTTGCAGACAAGAGATCGTTACGAGCAGGACTGCTTGAGGATCAAGGGCTATCTCGCACAGGGCCATATGGTGATGGGTCAGGAAGAGCGCAAGAACAAAGCCAAACTGGAGAAAACGCAAATACAATTAGCATCCAGCAGCAGCGAGTACGAAGCAGCCATCAAAATCCTAGAAGAGACAACTGGACGTTGGAACAAGGAGTGGAAGTCCGCCTGCGATGTGAGTCTAAACGGCCTGCTCGGGTTTCTTCGGATGGCATCTGACAATCCTCCCAGAAATTCCAAGACCTAGAGGAGGAAAGGCTCGATTTCACCAAAAGTAGTCTCTGGACGTACGCAAACATCGCGTCGACTGTTTGTGTTAGTGATGACGCTGTAAGTTGCCCTCGATCCGCCAGCGTCTTTCAGTAGCTAAGGCATGAACAGTCATGCGAAAAGATCCGTCTCTCTCTGGAAGACTGTGAGGTGGAGAAAGATATTATCAACTTCATCAAAGAAAGGGGAACTGGGCAGGACATCCCAGACCCACCAAAATTCATCAACTTCTGTCGTGGTGGAATCGACGACACTAGCTCCGAGGCATCAGAGGAAGAAGGCTACTCTGTGGCCCAGTTTCAGCGCACAATTAATCCAGCTTATCGCAGTTCATCCCCGCAGCCTTCAGCTTACGACTCCAGTATGGATCCGGACGCTGAGATCGCGGCCAAGATCAACAGGCCTGCTACTCCCTCAAGCAGGGAAACTACAGCTACTCCACAGAAGCCGCCGCCGGAACCGAGACAGCAACCATATCCTCAGCCAATGCCACAGTCAATGCCGCCAGTTGTCCAGCAGCCCGTCCAGCAGCAGCAGCCGCCGCCGGCACAGCCTGTGCAGCCAATGCAGCCTCCACCCATGCAACAGCCCGCTCCGCTGGATCTTCGCCGTGGTGGATATCTACCGCCGAATTATGATCCCAACGAGCACGGTGAAATCGGTACTGTGCCTCACAACGCGTACCCCACGGATGGTATGACCATGTTCTGCCGGACAGGGCCCCCATCGGAGCGAAGCTCAGGAACGAATAGCGCATATAGACCGTCCAGTCGCGACTCTCAGAGTGAGGTATCCAACCCAACTTCCATGTCGAGCCAGGAACCTACAAGCGCCAGACAGTCTCCGACCAAGCCCACAAATGGCGTCCCACTCCCCGGAATGGATAAGCAGGTTCAAAAGAAACGAAGCGCATTCTTCAGTAATAGTCCTTTCCGGCGCAAGAGCCGCCACGATAAGGACCGTCAGTCCGGCCCATCTCAAGCACCCTCTCGCAGTACATACGCTCCAGCGAAACAAGCAAGCCCGATCAAGGCCCCTCAACCTCAGCAGCCTGTTTCGATCCCAGATCCGGGCAGGGTATCTGGTAGCCCAGAGCCTGTCGATCCAAGAGCTAATTTCCAACTTAATGTAGGAAATAATGTGTTTGATGTGGAGTCCCCAGACAAGGTTACCAAGAAGGGAGCTCAGGCGAGCAAAAAAGCAGAGGAGCAAGATCCTATCGCCCGGGCCCTAGCAGATCTGAAAGGCGCAGGAAAGCAGTCGGCAAGCCGAGTCTCAGCCGACAGATATCATGGCATCACCACACCGGTCCCACCGGCAGCAAATAATCCAACCGTCACCCCTGGCTCTGTCGCAACACCGCCTCCAGCTTATAATGATGCATCAATGAAGCGCCTTGATGCGCCGCAGCCTGCTTTCACCGCTGCTCAGATGCAGAAAACAACTCAGAGGTTCACCGGACAGACTCAGAATATGCTCAGGGGAACTAGCCAGGCTCCAAGGCGTAACAGTGGTCAAACACAGGAAGCTCCTCGTGCCAAGTCACCAGCTCGCAGCGCCAGCCCTCAGGTCAATCCCCCTCGCGTGGATACCCGCATGGGTCAGTATAGCCGGGCTGCCAGTCCAAGCCCGAGCACGTATCAGTCAAACAGCATGAAGAACAGATATGCCCAGTCTCCAACAGTTTCTACCCCTCCTCAGCGTCCTGTTGATGCCACCCCGCGCTCCAGACGGGGATCTGTAGCCACGACTATGCCGCGGGCGGTGTCGCCACAGCCCCAGTATCGTCAATCCCCAACGACGGCTGCTTCGCGAGCTGTTTCGCCTCAGCCACAGTTTCGACAGCCCCCACGAGCTGTCTCGCCTCAACCTCAATTCAGACAGCAGGCTCGTCCTTCCAGCGCTGGAGGCATGGAGCTGCAACTGTCCAGCCCGTCTGACATGTACAGCGGCGGACATGACGGGTCCCGGCGCGACAGCGGTAGACCCATGTCATATTATGGTGACAGCGCCAGCGTGCGCAGCCGGTCGAGAAGCAGGTCAATGGCTGTTGCCGATCCTGGCAGACAATTCAGTCGCGATGGCCGACCCATTTTGCACTTCGGTAAGTTCTTACTATCTCCTCGATTAATAAGGTAACCTCGCTCTAACACTCTATCATTCGGATGTACAGCCCGAGCAATGTACAGTTACACGGCCGCCATTCCCGAGGAATTGGGCTTCAGCAAAGGCGACGTGCTATCCGTCATCCGGCTTCAAGACGATGGCTGGTGGGAAGCTGAGATCACAACCACTCGAAGCCGGACAGGATTGGTGCCGAGCAACTACCTACAGATCATCTAAAATCAACATCATCAGAAGTATTTGTTCTCAAAACTTCATGCCCCTGCTATCCCATGAACAGTTCAATACATCTAAGGTCCCGAGAATGACCTTATTCCTAATTCACGCCTCCATGATTCAGACGCCAGATTGTCTCCATGTTTTCTGAATTTCTCGTTGCCAGTTTCTATTTCACTTTTTATACGCGTCCATCTCACAAGCCATGTAATCACTCTTTTTCCCACGTTGATGTCTCTTCCCTGCTGTTCTTGGCAAGCCCGTCGTTTGGAAATCGGTCCTTTTATGACTTTGCGATACCTACTTGTCAGATTAATATGACGATTGTCCTTCTTTTTTTCCCTCCCAGGTTTGGAGTTCGGGCAAACAATGTCATTACTCGAATAATGAAATTTGTCGTTACCAAGGACACCTTTACTTTCTCCGTAAGATACGAGTTATGAAATCTTCTATGAGTCCCCAATGTCTGGGATGTCGCAAGTGGCATTTCCTTTCAACCTCATACTTTGCAGGGGGTTTTTGCTTGCTGACTGGCACTACACTGGCGCCCTGCCGAGAACGAGTACGTTCGGCAATCGGCCAGCCGGGCATCGCGACACGGAAGGAGGTGACTAGTTATCGGAATACTCGAGATGAACTTGATGGTACGGAGCCACCACCAAGGATCGAATGCCACTGTGTCAATTTGAGACAAGAAATCACGCGAGCCAAGATTATAGTCAAATGTGTATTTTACGCCGGCCAGAGCACTGGATAGACACACTTGCTCGTACTTGCTCGGCGAACTAGAAAGCCACAGCTATGCACACATAGAATTCATACGAGGATTGACATATATTCTCAAGCCGACACTGTACAAAGGAAACTACCTCTACTCAGTCCGTGAACATCTTCCGGGGCATAGCACGACACGAAAACCGCCCCATGCCCGATGCAGGGTAAAATATTAAACTAGCTGCCTGCTAAGCCCTGCAGAGTTTTACACATTAAGGTTATTCGTCATCAACAAAGGAGTTAGCCAGACGACCAAAGATGGGGACCTCGAAGTGATCGAGCGTATCGACTGGGAACGAAACGATGAAGAGTGTCAGTTGCACGTCAATGGTCAAATCCCGCTTGGTCAGAAAAAAAAGAGCCCTCACCGTCACGATAAGCACGCATGCTCAAGAACCCGATCATTGCGAGATCGCCGATGAATAAGAGCCAGGACAGAAAGCTCGACCAGGAGAAAAGAAGGTGGATGATCTGGACAATGGGTTAGTCATGAATGAGGCGGGCCCATATGGCCTGCCGAGTGGGCTGATGGCCGATTGATTGCAACAATGACAACAGCAAGACTCACAAACATGGCGGTGAAGAGCATGCTCGATTGCCATGCATGGAACCTGAAAATTCCCCCGTTAGCAACAACATTTTCTCCAGCATAAAGACTTTTGGCTTGGCCCTTAAGGGTGGGGTTTGGCGGGGGTGTTTTCCGACATACCGGACGTAGTCGCTCTTGTGCTCGACCAAAAGGAGAAACACACCCCCGGCGGGAGGCAGAAGCAGATATGCCAGCATTGCTTCTACATCCATGCGGATGGGGAGACTGGTATCGAAGGCACCCAGACTCAAGCGGCCACCCTCCAGGTCGTTACCGAAGCCAGTGTTTCCATGGCCGCTGGTGTGGACGTTGCCTGCACCGCCGGCAAAGTGACTCGGGGACGGGAGACCGGGGGAGGCAAGAGCAGGGGCTGGAGAGCCTCGCGGCGACTGGAGATTAGGGGGTCTCGTACGGTGCGCCTCGCCTAGCGAAGGGGAGAATGCGCGTTCCACCTCAGGCGATTCGTCCTGGTAGGGGGCAAAATTCATGATGTTGTGATGGGGAGGATGAGTCCATGGTAAAGATGGCAACCAGGCAACGTCGCGCAAGCTTATCGGGACGATGGAAGCTTTATCGCCAGTGGACCCGCGGCTTGGTGCCTCAGGCATTCTTATCCGTCCCCGAGGCCGCATAACAACCTTTTGTTTACTACCTTATCTACTAGTAGACTAAGACTAGGTACGGAGGAATTGCACGTGCTGATTGGGTTCTCAAGGTTTGGCATGCCTTTAGGGGGTATCATATTGCCAACTGGTAGTACCTGGGTGTCTCCTTCATTTGTCACATACTATACATCAATGCATATATAGGCTTCCTAAGGCCGGCCGCGACCCCGCGCAATGCCCGAGCCCCTCGCGATCCCACTGGCTGGTCTACGCGTCGTACTGGTCGTAGGTGGTCTTCCTGTCGTAGTTGATGAGGCGGTGGTCCTCGTGGCGCCAGGCCTTGTTCCCGAGTATGGGATGCCGGGAGTTCTTCCCAAGCCAGTGCGCACTCTTCCGTAACTCGATCCGCGTGTGCCTCTGGCGCTTGCAGCAGCGGCCCGTTTTCTCTCATCCTCCGCGGCCTTGCGAGAAGCAGCCTCTCTCTGTTGTTGAAGCTCTCGTTCGCGTCTCTCAGCAGCCTGCTGCCGGAGGAGTTCCTCGTGTTCTGAGTCGGCCACATCCTGAACAGCACCTTGCCAGTTGGGGTTGAGGATCAGCCGTTGATTGTGCTCGGTTTGGGAGAGAATTCGAGTCCAGGTATTCAAGAGGGTGGAGGCAGAGTCAAGCGTTCGCGATACAGTCTATATTGGGGTGAAGATTAATGGCTTGAGATCTAGCAATGGTACAGGAAGTGTGCCGCTAGACTTACATCCATGTTCCCTTTCGCGCGGTCGAGGCTTCCGAGGAGACTTTCAATGACCTGGTTGATCTTGCGAACGCTCTCCAGTTCGCTGCGCAACGCGGCTTCACGCGCCTCCTGACGGTCAAACATGGTCTCTCCATCATGCGCGGGGACTGTCGATGGCTCAGGCGACAAGCTCTCTTCCTTCAATACTTTTGGGGCATAACGGTTATTTCCCCGTTTGGATGGAGAGTTCCAAAGATCGTCAGATTCATCTTCCGATACTTGTAGTCTGTCCATTTCGTCTGCTGTGCTGCGGAATGCGATAATTCTATGGAGGGGTGGTGGGCGGTGGGGGAGGGGGAAGCGGGAGATGCAGAGAGGGGCGGATCGATAAAGAATAAACTCGAGTGAATACGGAGCCAGTAGCTTAGAGTCCTGTGGAGAGTTAGAGTGAGTGACTGCCAGTGCCCAATGGAATAAAAATGAGGGAATCGTGGGGCGGGTTCAGCCACTGATCTCAAAGACAAGCCAGTTGTGCTGGCTGGGTGTGGCTGGGAAGGAACTTCACAAGAGCATTCCACAACCCACGGGCGTTGCTCCGCCCTTCCAAGTTGTTTGCGCCCAAATCTGCCTGTGCCCACCGGCATTTCCCTCCCACCAGCCAACCAACTTCCAACTTCTCTTCCCCTTCCATCCCATCAACTTTCACCACCTGCATCACTCATCGATTTATCCCCCCCCTTACAAACTCTCACCACTCTCCATTCCATTATCACCCTCCGAAGTCACCACTCACCTCTATTCACTCCCATTCTTTTGCTACCATCCAACTTCTATCTGTCCAGTTTTGAAACCGGCTTGGATAATCGCGTTGGAGAAGCAGTCGGCTTTCCGGTCGTCGCGCGTTTCCCTCCCTTTGTCTCCCTTTGATTGCTTGCACCACGACTTGGAATCGGAACCTTACACAACGCTTATCCTTTCGACACTATTGGAATCCAGTACATCACGATTCAGCGATCGTTCTTCGTTGGTTTGGTGCTGGGATTGTTTGAGGAGATATATCGTCACCTAGGATACACGTATCGCACCCAAAATGGCGACAACACCACCACCGCCTTCCAGGCTAAGGGTTCCTCCTACACCCCGACATGGTGCCAAGTATGATCACTATGAGCCTTATTCGACGCGTTTTTCGTCCAGACTAGCAAGTCAACGTGCCTCCAGAGAGTCTCAGACTACGCCTCCGCCTAGTTTTCCGCCCGCGCGCCAGAGTTCCAAGCTCCCAAAGAAGCAGAATGTTTCGGAGTCGGCAACCTTGTCACCACCAGGCTCTATCCAAAGCTCACCCCGGAAGCAAAAGTCGGGCCGACTTTTTGGAACACATTCACTAGCACACCCCGCTCTTGACGAGTCTGACCCTTTCAACACCGAACCTTCTCACTCTCGCCCCCCGCAATCTTTTCGACCAACACTCACCGAAGGGATGTTGCCCACGCCAGCCAAAACCCCGCGCAAGAAGGCAGTCGCCGATGTTGGAAATACCGCCAGGGTTCTGTTTCCTCCGCCGTCCGGCTCCAATTCGCGGCGGAAGCCTAAGAAACATACTGGATTCTCGCTAGACAGTTTCACTGAGGACTACGGCCAGAGTTCGACGGAGATCAAGATCTACACTGACTCTCGTGATCGGATTCCAGAGGTAGACAAGAGTGAAGGCAACCCATTCAACAAGAAGCCCGGTAGTAACACAGGCACACGCACATCCCGACGCAAAGAGATGATCCGTGAAAAGGAGGTTGATGAGTCGGTCAAGCGTGAAGATGGCATGGTCTACGTATTGTAAGTCTCACTTGCTCCATATGTAATTCAGAGTGCGTGTTCTAATCCAAATCAACAGCCGCGGCAAGAAAGTGTTCCGCAAGTTCACCGATGACGTCGACAGCTGCGCCGAGGACGATGATGACGACGATCTAGGCTTGCTGGCGGCCCGTCCAGATCTCATTGATGAGGATTTGGTTGCAAAGCTTCGACCCCTTACCCGTTCGTCGATCAAACCTCGCGTGCTCTTCCGTGCCGCGGCTTCTGATGCACAATTGGGTAGCACAGGCAATGCGGACGAAGAGGCCGCGACAGATATTGAGGATCAGGTGCTCGATGTCGAGGCTGAAGAGATAGACAACGTGGAACCCGATCTCGATGTACTGCAGCGGCCAGTCACGCCTCCTCTCCGAACTGCCACCGCAACACCTCCGTCTCTTGGCGGCACCGTACGCTCTCTGCGCTCTCGGACTAAACCAGACGACACCGAGCAAAGTGACAACCCGTCCACCTCGGGCTCGGAAACCAAGAGGAAGCGTGTTAGTCCCTTTGATGGATGGCTTCGAAGGAAGCAAACTCCCGCCTTGGTCGGTAATAAAGCCAAGAAGCGCGACGCGGACGCTGCTGCCAGTCCTGGTGGTCCTGTTCCAAAGAAGACCCGCAGCAATCGCGCAACTGCCTCAACATCTTGATGACGAGCCTCAGGCTGACCAGCACAAATCTCTGAGAAATCACGCTCGACGTCTATCGATCTTCTTACTTACCCCGGAGTCTCATGCGGTGTTTTGCGAATCTTTGTGTTCTTTCTCTCGTCTGACATTTACCTCACTCCGTGTTTCAGCGTGTTAAGCTCTTTTCTTCCATTCGATTGACGCATTCAACTCTCCTGTCGGTGTCTTGCTCACAGCAACACGTTGCCAGAAACACTCGACTGTGAAATGGACAGTTTGTGATCAAGGATAATTGTCTTTGTGGGATGCTGGATAAGCGGGATGGATCAGGCTGGTTTGGCGAAGCACATATGGATGGCGTTTTTTTTTTTTTTCCTTCTTTGTTTTTCCATTCTTCTCAACCAATGCTTGCGACAACGATGGCCACGAGCCTGCTCAACTTTGCCTTCTACTTTTCGGGCTCCGCTGCTCACCTTACTTACCCTAGGTAGATTCTTAGCTTAGCTTCTGGGAGGTCTTAGGTAGCGTCTTGGGTCTCCCTTAGATATCCAATCAAATTGAATAACAGATCATGAAATCGTGCTTCTTTCCTCTGAGCGATTGTTTAGCTTAGTACTGTATATTGTCGGCGTAGCGATGATCTTATCCCATGTTATCATGTCCGTTAGTTTCTCATCATAGTAACACACTGAGGAGATGATCGTGAGTGATGTCGGTGGCTCCGGATTTACCAGGGGGTGCGTGTGGGTCAGAGTGTCGCATTCAGCAGATTTCAATCCTGAATTGACCGGATATGCTACCCATAAACTTGAATTAGCTGAGGCTTGATGAGGAGATATAAACTCTTGATTACTTCTCTCTAACTTACTACTACTGTATGCGGGAGTACATACTTTCTGTAGGTAGGTCGTGCTTCTGAGATGAAAGACACAAGCATCAGCATCAACCATAACTGAAATGGAAGGAAGCAGCACCTTACGAATGCTAGTAGCTTTGCCGTCGGCAAGATCTGATGATGCTTGGCCGGTAAGTCCTGTGAAGTCTCTATACTTCTTCTCTATCAAGTCAAGTATTGAATTGCCCCTGTCTAAGTATTGAGCTAGGCGACTAAGCACGTTCCGTCATGTAGTATAGTACAGTTACTGAGTCGGTTTATTAAAAGATTGTTATTTATCGCGGTACCTACAGAGGCGTCTCTCTTTGAAAACACTTTTTGTTGTTAGATCACCGCACATAGCTACAATTGAAACGCGAGTGGGCTGGAGAGCGTAGATGCCCGCAAGGTGCTTACTCTCTGCCGGCATGCAGACTAGTGTGAGACCGACTGTGAGTCTGATTTGTGATGAATACATTCCAGCTTAGTAGATTTCTTCAATGCTTGGGGGATCAAGAACGCTGCGTTTGGTTTGGATTGCATCATAAGTATATATAGACCTGGATAAGTACATAGATGATTGTTTTCTCTCGATTCAATTCTCAACTGATCTACGATACTTAGAATATATTAAATGCATGCTTTGGTACTTATTCTATACTACGGGCTACTCTGAGAGCAAAAAGCAGTACTAAGTTAGGTCTAAAATGGGTGTAGAAAGTGACTTGATTTCTGCAGGAATGCAATTCAATAGTATATACTGTATGCATGGTACTATATATACTTTGAGAGTATAGCACCAACAGTAGACCGATAGATATATTCTATTTGTATATTCACAAGTGAATCAAGTACTCACCCAGTTACTGTTCAGTCGACCAACTCCGAGGATATACATCTGTGAAAGCATAGATAGTCTTTTATCTAGTTTTCCTGGTCCCCCATGGTTGCGAAGTGGATTGTGTGACCTCGTGCAGAGAGGACCTTGCCCAGTTCGAGGACTGGGGCTGGAAAGAGTCAGTCGTTGTGCTCAAATTGAAGGATGCGAACCTACCGGCATGGTGTGAACCGGTAGTCAAAGCGATATAAGTAACGGGACGAGTCACCACCCCGAAAGCAGGAGACGCACCGATGATCCCGGAGACTTTAGTCAGATCGGGGATATGGCTCGATTGTCAGGCCATGGAAGTGGATCGAGTTTTAGTTCTGCGGGGTAGGTATGTAGATGAAGCTTAGCTTAAATCCAAGGCCTTACTTAGTCTTGATCGCTACTCAAAAATGCCCAGGCAGCAATAGCACGGCTGTCTGCAGGGTTTCCAGCCTTCTTTCCGGGATGTGTTGAAAGAAGAGACTTATTGTGCAATCAGCCTCAGAGCAGACTAACATAAATTGAAACCCGAGAAGATTTGGCGCTCCGGCAGGCTGTGGTCGTGTAATCCGTGTATTCCTTCCTCCCGCCCAAGATGCGAGTCTATTCCACATCGGGAAGCTGACCGCATAACCAAAGGACCATCTTATCTGACTACTATATCTACCGTGCTTCCTATAGGATCCCCTTGAATTTAGCCCTCTGGTAGCTTAGCGCGGTATCGACGGAGAACATCATGATAGAACAAGCACTTCATACGAAACCTCACCGTCAACATCATGGATTGGGGTCAAGTACCACCTCCGGTTCACTATCATTCTCTATGTTTGTACGAGGTTCTATCATGTGTGCTAAGCCAGTACCAGTTTGTTTAGTAGCGCGCGGGGCCTCACTCCCATAACAGTAACCTATCAAAGGCGAATTTGGGAGAAGTGTCGTAAAGTAGGAGTTTAGTCGAGATTCTGTCAGATAGCACAACTGGGTGACACGTCCGGGATTTGAGGTTAAAAGCGAGGATAAGTTGAAAGCTATTTGTCACAGTACAAGCTCAGATAGAGATATAGAGTCTGGAATTTTAAGACCTTAAATCTGTTATGCTTTTTTATATTATATTACGCTTAAAATTCTAATATGTAACTAGCAGTTCAACCTCGAAAGTTTCAAGGCCCCTTCAGTAGGCAGCTACAATGTTATTCGAACAGCATGACCAGACATAAAGTGATTATCTAGATGGATCTTGGATCAGTCAAGAGGGTATCTGATATTATAGAATTTCTCCTTTCTTTTGCCTTCTTCTCTCGTGCTAATTATTCATAGCGTTTCTTCTCCTCCTAAGTTTTTTCTCATTTCTGCTTGGTTATTAGGTTCGATGTGCTTAGATGATATCTAACCCATCGTCATCGTCGTCGTCATCATCATCATGATTGTTCGTGGCTACCATCTCGAATTTCCCACCCAGACTGTCCCGCCCGGCTTCCTTGATGCCATGCGAGGTGATGAAGCGAGTTTTCTTGACGGCACTGCTGCCACCGTGCGAGGATCTGTCGCTGCCGCCGTCGTGGGCGCGCTTCAGGGGGCTGAGGTTCACGGCCGCGGCTTTGCGCAGACTGGCCAGGCCGAGGGTGGCGGCGGCAGAGTCCCTGTCGCCGGGCTTTTTTGCCTGGCCCTTGGCGGCTACGTCGCTTGGACGCGAAGCAGGCACGACGTGGTCGTTCCCCCGCGCGCGGAGGTACTCGGCCCCGACGCCGCTGGTTCGGCTGGTGATGAGCTTCTCGGTGATGTCTTTCTCGCGCTGCTTGTCCGCGAGGCGCTTGCGGAACCGCTCCTCTTTGCTGTCGCGTCCGCGACCCATTCGGCCGGCGGCTATGAACGGGTCGTCTGTGTCGGCGTCGATGAGGCTGGCTGCGGACTGGCCCAGGGGATGTTGGGTCCGGTGGATGTTTGCCCCACCTACGCCGCCTCTGCTGAAGGTCTTTGGTGCGGGCGCGACATAGAACACAGACTGCGAGCCTTGGTCGTATTGAGCGCCAGTCGGTTTGAGTCCGGTCCGTGACCCGGGGCGGTTCCCTCCAGCAGCACCTCCTCCTCCCGTGAAGTACCCCGTACGAGGAGCAGAGCGTCCGCCGGGTCCGTACATCCCGGGTCCACCGTTCACGCCCATGCGGCCCGCTTGAGTTTTGCGCACTTGAAGATCCACGTGAAAGTCACAGAACTCGGTCTTCCGCCCATCGACCCACGCATGACACGTCTTGCCGTCCTTCCGGATGGCTTTGCAGAACCCCAAGTCCTGTGCGTACCCGACTTCGAGCACGGTATCGTCGGAGGAAGAGATAGCGAGGCTGAATTTGTTGGTATCCGTCTTGTGCTTGGGGGGCGGCATGATCGTGGGGTTTAGGATGGCAACCAAAATTCCCTCGGAGAGTCGGTAGTAGCGAGGAAAGGCGGTTTCGAAGAGAAAAAGATCTATGGTCCATTTGAGGTCGGTCAGAGTGATGACCATGTATGAATTGGTATTGTTTAAACCGTCATCAAAGGGGTCAGCCTCCTTCCGAGAAACGTTCTTTTGTGATTTGACCTGTCTGGGTTCGGACTTGGATGCTACAATGCCGAATACCACATAGTCGGTGTCAATGTCTTCCGGTAGTTCAAAGCTGGGCCCGCGGATAGTTCGAAGAAGGTCTGGGATGCGAAGGACTTTTTTGTCTTCAAGCGTCCGTGTCAAGAAAGAATGGGGAAGGATCCGATTCGACAAGTGCAGGCCAGAGAAGGCTTCATATTTCGAGGAATCACCGCCGTTCTCGCCCTGAGACTCATCCGTCACGCTGGGCTGAGAGCTTTCCGGCAGAGGAAGATGTGCTTGAGATTCTGACTTGAGGTTTCGCCTATGTAAGTATGATCTCGGCTCCTTGTGGTTTGCATCAAGGTCTTGATTCCGTACACTGGGGAGGGTCTGGCTCCGTTTCAAGGATGGTTTGAGCTTGCCATATGACCGCAGGACGTCTTCTCGACTGAAGCTTTCGGTCTGTCTGCTTCGTACCGGTGACCGTGGTGACTCGTCTTTCCTCGCTTCCGCAGCCGCTTTTAATACTTCAACTTCATTCTTGTCGATGTGGAATGCCGTACTCCGGTTGGCTTGGATGCGCTCCGCCCGTTCAATTCGATCCTGCCGGGCCTTCTCCTCGGATCGACTCTCGGCCATGCGCTCGCTGAAGCTCTTTGGGCGGCTGTATTCGTTGTCCCCTGTGACTGTCTGTAGAAGTTTGTTTGATTGCGAGACCCAGCCGTCCCGACTCGCCGGTGTCCTAGAGCTATATGTTGCACTCGCTGGACCGGTCCCTCTTGAGCTCGGAGGTCGCTTTAAGGAGACGTCTCTTGACTTAAGACCTTTGTCGATACCTAAAATGTACCTCCGCGGGGACACTGGATCTACTGGGGCCGTCGGCCGTCGCGTCGGGGACAGCGGAACCTGCACATTCTCCAGGGAAGTGTCGTGCTGGGATCTTCGTTCGACTCTATTCCTAGGGAAATATGTCTGTGACTGTGACGAATTGCTCACTGCTGACGTGGGGCGCACAAGAGCACTGTCCCCGTCATGTGCGGTGCGCGCTGGAGTTCCAGACTTCGCGCGACTCTTCTGGAGCTGTTTCAGCTTGAGCCGGGCCTCAATGGCAGCCAGTTTCAGTTTCAGTGTCTCCTCATCCTCGTCCTCATCCTCATCCTCGTCTAACCCGTCATTCAGGAGCTGTGCCGCTCTGGATCGTAAATCGGGGGTCGTGACGGAGCGTTTTAACGGCGAGCCCGGGTTGCCCTGAAGACGCTGCAGTTCCTCGAGTCGTTTGCGCCCACTGGGGCTACTCAGAAGTGCTTCCCGCGGAGATTTCGGCGGCCATGGAATTTCAACCACTAGCGCGAGTGGATCTTAGCACCAATAGGTCGAGATTGACGAAGAAGAACGGTACTCACTCGTGGTCATAGCACGCGCCAGCTAGATGTATCCGGTATGAATGTGGAAGAGGCGAGATGCAGTAGGCGCCGCGAGGAGATGTTCGTCGATTGTTATCCTCGTCGACGATAGCTGGCCATGTTCAGATGAATGAAGGGATGCGGGGAAAAGACGATCTGAGCAATTGTGATTGTCTCGTCGTCAAGGTAGAGACAGAACTCACTCAGCCACGGTCCATCTCCAGTAACAATAACAAAGAGACGGGACTAAGTCAGGACGTGCATAAGATGAAACGCAAGGGAGGGAAGCGTAAGTCATGGGAGTTTGTACAAACGCATCGAAGGCAATGACATTCAATAACTTTAACCGCCGCCGGCCACCGGAAGTGCTTTTTGATTGGTTCGCGCGTGGGCGCGTGGCACGGCGGGAAACACGCGTTGAGTACTTGATTCATTCAACTTCGAGCCATCATTGAGCCTCCATTGAGGTCAATTCCAGGTTTTTGGGGACATTGATGTTGCCTGTCGCACCTTTGGAAGATTCCGTCCATCTAGTCCCCTATCTCTCTCGACAGACGGCCCATCGCCATCGCCCGCAATGCCGCGCACTCGATCCTCCGCTCCTTCGGAGCCTCCGCCGCAATCAGCTTCAACTTCTCCATCAGAATCCGACCGACAAACCAAACAGCCATTGATGCCTATCAAACCCAGCAAGACATTTATCTTGCCCTCCACAGTTAGCCCCGAAGCCCGCTTTCTCACCCTTCCCAATCCGCAAACCTGTGAACCCACCCGCTACTTCTTCTGCCCGAAACAAGGTGTCTACGAGTTCACCTCCATCACCTCCACCTCGTCTTCCCCGCGAAGTATTCTGTTTGCGCACAACTCCCCCGCCAGTAATCCTACGAAGACACCGGACGACATCAGTGACACCACATCCACCCAACCCGAAGAGCCCGCGCATCCCCCATCGTCGATCTCGCAAAATGCAGCGATCCACATCGCCACTCCTCTTGACTTCATTTTCTTCCTCATACCCCTCCTAACCACCGCCAAAGCCACCCTCTACCAACCCCTCGACGATGTCATCGACTCCATTCAAGACGAACTCGCCCCTCATCTTCGTTACGTTCTCTACAACGAGACCTTCCGCGACACTCTCCACGCCCGAGCAGCTGCAATCTGTGATGCTGTTGAAGCAGGCGACGAGAGACTGTTTCGGTTCAGTGAGAAGAAGCTACTCTTGGAGCTAGTGACAAAGGCAGAGAGGGTTCTTGCGGTCAATGGGGACAAACTGCCTCCCAGTCTGGAAGAGAAGTTCGTGAGGAGTGCGCTGGCGATGCCATTAATGGGCGTAAAGAGAGATACTTCTTCTACTGTGAAGGTGGAGGTAGTCGTCCCAAGCGGTGGTGGGGAGAACAAAGAGAATGAACTCGAAAGCAAGAAGAATGCCTTAAATGCTGAGGAGGCGCAAGATGACACTGCTTGCGCTGTAACCTCAAGCGTCACCGTAGATACAGAAGAAACACTCCACGAAGAATCATCTACCCCGGATGGCGTGGCGGAGCTACTGCGCTTGTCGACCGCGTTGACCTTTATCAAGGAGTCGTACCTGTCCAAAGAGCTGGCCGCGAGGGTCGATGAGATGTTGGCTGCTCCTGACACACCGAAAAACTTCCAGCCCATGCGGGAGCATCTTGAGCTTATTGCGCAACTGAGAAAGGAGGCACTGGCCGCACGGTCGCTGGGAGATTTTAGCCGGAAACGCAGTGCGGAGGACGAAGAGGCGGCCGAGACTCGAGCAGAGAAGAAGAAGCGGCAGGAAGAAGAGGAGAAGAAGAAGAAAGCTGGTGAGTCGAGAGGCGTAAGGGACTTGAAAAAGGTCAATACCACGGGAATGAAGAAGATGAGTGATTTCTTCGGCAAGGCAGCAGCGAAGAAGAAGAAGACCTAGTCGGATTGCCTGATCATGTTTGGCATAGTTGAGGCGTTATCTGGATCCTGGATAGGGTTTTATGTATGTGGTTTTGGGATATCTATAGATCGATGTGCAAGCGGTGGATCCACCCCAAGGGCACAATGAGGATTGCGTGTTAAGTACTTGACCACGTATAGGTCCTTCTTGGTCCATCAGCAGACTGGGAAGATACAAAAATTCGATAATTGATGAGAGTAACTTCGTACTTCTAGGCCATCAAAGTTCTAAGTTCCAGTTTAATATATGTTCATTCTGGAAATAGGGCCATACCGGACTTCTGCGTCGACCGCACTTGTGTCCTTCTTGGAGATCAGCAGGATATACTCGGAATACGACCTTGTTTCTCCGCTTGCAGTTCAAACCTTCAGAACCACTAAATGTCTTTTATCATGAAGCTTTGATCTTCTTATCGTTGTATTTGCTCACGTTGCTTGTTCGCCATAGATTCTGGCTCCTTTGCACAGTCATTCGCAGAATCCCAGGATTGCAGTAGACAAGTTCGCCTAAGTTGAATTTCCATCGTCTAGACTGCACGATCACTTCACCTTGTCTAAATCAATACATTGTCTATCCGTAACATGAATTTGCTCTCATTGACCTGAACCTTGCACGAGCAAGTCCCTGGCCGTGTCGTCCGAATTGGTCAAGTTTGGTCCGTAATGTCATATCCGACTAGTAGGTTGTCGAGATCAATCCACAATGCCAGGCCCGCGGCCTTCAAAAGAGTGCCTCTAAGGCAACTTGCCTAACCGAGGTTGCCATCAATCACCGCTCGCACATTGTACGAATCGAACCCTAGCTTTTATGCCAAGTCAACCATTCCATAGAGTTCAATTTGTGTCTCCTTATAGGTTCTTATAGGGCTAATCATGAGCTACATGTGTTCAGTTCAGAGATCTGTAGCCAAAGGTTGGATCGCCGACCTCATCGTATTTCAGGGCTAATACTGTACCTATCCGCCGATTCTCAGACAGTGATGAAGCAGGGCATCCAGCGAAGAGCAGATGTCGTCACATTTATTGTTCCAGTGGTTCTCGCTTGTGTCTGACGATGAAGACTTTTACCATTTTCAGAGCGAAATTCTGTGCCCATGCTAGTAATGCCGGAGTTCCGCGGTAGTCTCACCACCATAGGGCTGCTTTTCATGACTATATCCTGACAAGAGTACTCTGTGCACAATAAATGATATCTGAATGGCGCACCAGATCAGCAGCAGACGACTATAGGCTAGAAACATGGAACAGCCAACCGTCAAGGTCAAGGACGACAATCGACCGAGAATCGCTGGGTGCGTGGTCCTAAATTGTCGCAGCCCACAATCGCCGACCAGCATGAGTTATTCAAGATATGGAGCATATTTACATGGGTCAAAACGACCACGGATTGGTAGGAACTAGACCTCCGCATCCAATATCAATGGGACCGATCCACATGGTGTATGTCGTTTCTGTCTATTGGAGCACAATATGAGCATTGGGCTCGACGTCTACATTGCGAACGAATTATTTGTGATGGATGCAGCGCCAGTTGTCAGCCAAAAATACCTCAATGGGCACTAAGTTAGTGGCAAGGGCTTTAACTACTATAAGGCAGTAGAACCATGCAATAAGGTCGCCCGAACCATAAATCGGAAAGTAGATTGGACGAATGTGCGAGGTCAGAGGACAGCGAGCATTGGTCTATTTGTCAACGTAGCTAGAGTGCTGCAAGAAGCCATGGTGGCATGATACATACCTGAATCTGCGGATGTAGATGTCTCCGGAGTTGCATGCTGCGGGCGACGATGGTCGAAGAGTTCCTGTCCGTTGCATGCTCCTGAACGGAAAAGAATTCCAGAGCAGAGCCAATAGACTTCCTACAGCAAGCAGGTTCCAGATGGGGTTATGCCTGAGTTGTGTGTCGTCACTATCGTGAAAGCCATCTCGATCTTGTATTTTCTACCATGGTCAAAGCGGACAAGTACTGTACATACAGTACATGTGTTTTCATGTGACATTGCCAATTCGCCCGCTGACGGGTTTGCCACTTCCTTCAAAGTGGGCAGATTTGAGTCATTGATTGCTCTGCAAAGATGCTGAGTAGGGAGTCGAGGGAAGAGCAGGTCAGCGTAAGCCCTGCATCACAGTAGTAAACATGCATACTCCGTACACTTACAGTTCCTGAGCTGATGGAGGTTCAAGGTTCCAACACTCCAATAACTGCCTCTTTGGTCTGAAGAAAGCAGGCCGATGATCGGAGTCCCGGGCCGGTTCGGAACCAATGAGGAGCCTCAGATTATGGGCTGGGGCCGGCACTAGACCCCGAACAGGCTAGATGGCAAAGAGGGACGATCCCCGACTTAGGCAAGTCTGAGTCTTTCTCTCGCTCTCCTGCCCTTGCCTTAAGCTCACGCTTACGCTTCCTCTTCCTCTCTCTGTTTCCCCGTTTTCCCCCAAATTCTTCGTTGTGAGCTTTGTCTCTCAATTCTTAATTCCCTTCGGTTTGGCAGTCATCCGCCGTCAAGATGATGCCCCTGAGACCGTCAAAAAGCGCTTTGCGCACTCTGCATTATCAGAGATACCTTACCTCTGGCAGAAGGACTTTTACCACGGCCGCTGCCTCGCCCCACCGCTTCGCTGCGACGCAGAAAAGAGCCCAGAGCACTGCTGCCGCCACGGCCTCGTATGTGTCTCTTTCCTACTTCCCCTCGCATTCGCGATACCTCTACCAAATTATACGTACGCAATATTAATTCACCTCTCAATGGCGCAGGAATTCGAGACCGATCCCCAGCCCTGCATTCAACCAAGAACCTCACCGCAATGAGGTCTCGCCACTTCAGAACCGTCAGGTCCCCGAACTGGACGACTCGTATGTTATCCTTCAATTGTGTTTGTTTACTGTGTTCATGGCGCTGACCGGACCTCTCGTGCCTACACAGTTTCGTCGGACTCAGTGGTGGTGAGATTTTCCACGAGATGATGCTGCGTCTTGGCGTCAAACACATCTGTGAGTCACGGCCTCCCTAAAATCCGCGGTGGAGTTTTTCAGGATTAACTCACTGTCGATAGTCGGCTACCCTGGAGGTGCCATTCTCCCCGTTTTCGACGCCATCTACAACTCTAAGCACTTCGACTTCATTCTTCCCAAGCATGAGCAGGGTGCTGGGCACATGGCTGAGGGTTATGCCCGTGCCTCTGGCAAGCCCGGTGTCGTCCTTGTGACTTCTGGTCCCGGTGCCACCAACGTGATCACCCCGATGCAGGATGCGCTCTCCGACGGAACTCCCATGGTCGTCTTCTGCGGTCAGGTCCCGACCAGTCTGATCGGCACCGACTCTTTCCAGGAAGCCGATGTGATCGGAATTTCTCGCGCCTGCACCAAGTGGAACGTAATGGTCAAGTCTGTGGCCGAGCTCCCCCGCCGTATCCAGGAAGCTTTCGAGATTGCTACCAGTGGCCGCCCCGGACCCGTCCTTGTCGATCTGCCCAAGGATATCACCGCCGGCATTCTTCGCAAGTCTATTCCCATGAACAGTACCCTTCCGGCTCTGCCCAGCGCTGCCAGCGTGGCTGCCCGCGAAGTGAGCATGCAGCAGCTTAAGAGCACCATCGGTCGCGTCGCTCGCCTGGTCAATATGGCCCAGAAGCCTGTCCTGTACGTCGGTCAGGGCCTTCTCGCTCGCCCTGACGGTCCTGAGGTTCTTAAGGAGCTGGCCGATAAGGCCTGCATTCCTGTAACCACTACTCTCCAGGGTCTGGGTGGTTTCGACGAGTTGGATCCCAAGGCGTTGCACATGCTGGGCATGCACGGTTCGGCTTATGCCAACATGGCCATGCAGGAGGCAGATCTGATCATTGCCATTGGTGCTCGTTTCGATGACCGTGTCACTGGTAACATTTCCAAGTTCGCTCCTCAGGCTAAGCTGGCCGCCGCCGAGAACCGCGGTGGTATCGTACACTTCGAAATCATGCCCAAGAACATCAACAAGGTGGTTCAGGCCAACGAGGCTGTTGAGGGTGACTGTGCGGAGAACATCCGCCTCCTCCTCCCTCAGATCGAAGCCGTGCCCGAGCGTAAGGAGTGGTTCGAACAGATCAACGACTGGAAGGCTCGGTTCCCCTTCTCCCTGTACGAGAAGCAGACCGAGGAGGGTCCTATCAAGCCCCAGGCTGTGATTGAGAAGCTCAGTGATCTCACTGCGCACATGAAGGATCGGACCGTCATCACTACCGGTGTCGGTCAGCACCAGATGTGGGCTGCCCAACACTTCCGCTGGCGCCAACCTCGTACCATGATCACCTCCGGTGGTCTCGGTACTATGGGTTACGGTCTTCCCGCTGCTATCGGTGCTAAGGTTGCTCGCCCTGATGCTCTCGTTGTGGACATTGACGGCGATGCTTCCTTCAACATGACCCTCACTGAGCTGTCTACTGCCAACCAGTTCAACATTGGTGTCAAGGTCCTTCTCTTGAACAACGACGAACAGGGTATGGTTACCCAGTGGCAGAACCTGTTCTACGAGGACCGTTACTCCCACACCCACCAGAAGAACCCTAACTTCGTCCCCTTGGCCGAGGCCATGGGTGTTGCCGCTCAACAGTGCACGAAGCCCTCCGAGGTTGAAGCCAAGCTCAAGTGGCTGATTGAGCAGGATGGTCCCGCTCTTCTGGAGGTGATCACCGACCGCAAGGTGCCTGTCCTGCCTATGGTGCCGGCCGGATGCGCTCTGCACGAGTTCCTTGTTTACGACGAAGGTATGTCTTAATGAATGTTTTATCTGCAGACAAATGCTGATTTTTATGTTTCTTTTATAGCCAAGGAGAAGGATAGAAAGGCTCTTATGCGCAAGCGTGGTGCTCCCATGTAAGCGGCGGAGCTGATGCCAGCGAAGCGTTACGACGGTTTCAAATTTTTTCTTTCAAAAGTGCCCTCGATCCACGATCTGTTGATATCCACGGCGTTTCTGGCGGGTTCTAAAAACGCTCGCGGGTGCCACTCTGCGCCCACCCGATACCGAAAACCCGACTCGCTTTGAGCCGGGTACAGTGGACGACAAGAAAGCAGCAACGTTCACTGGGCATTGTTGAGTCTCTCACAGAGGGTGCATCATGTTCCTCTGGTTGGCTTGTCGACTGCCGGATTTTCATATATTTTTCTTTTTCTTTTTCTTTTTTCTTTTTTTCTGGGCCTGTTCTCAATTGCATTATGGTTTGCCAGAAAAAGTTGCCTCGTCAGTTCTTGTGGGACCTCTTGTATATAACTCCTTTTGTTGCTGTAATATTGATGACTTGGAAATACCATGGAGGCATTGAAAAAAATTTGCATCAGAAGCGAAAGTTAAGACCTGTGTAGTAGTGACTGAGTAAAGTAAATGAGTACCAACGACTCGAGGAAGGTCACGTGAGCAGCTTGATTTTCTTCACAGCCGCCATTCACATCCGACGAGCAACGGCTCCCTTGTAGCTCTTCCTAATTGGGCAGGCTGCTGGTTGTCCGCCTCTCGCCTTAAACATTCTTCTTTTACCCCCTCTTCTTGCTTGCCCCCACCCTTGATGTCCTGTTGATTGTTCATGCACTACACTATGTTACGCCCGTTTACCTAGCTCAATACTCACATCTTTACATTATCTTCCAATTCACTCATCTGCGAATCTCCACCATGGCCTCTGCCCCGGGTTATTCCGCCTCTGGCAGGGCCCGGTTATCCGACGCGGGTATGACATCAATTCACCAGGCCGAAAACACGAATGAGTCGACAACTACAACAAACATCACGAGTCAGTCCGCCGGAAATAGCGAACTCGCCGACGAACCGGTGCTGCTCAACCGACCATCTTCCGCCGAGACCGCCACCCACGAACCTACGATGACGGACAAGTCCAATCTAGTCAACCCATCATCATCACCGTCACCACCGCCCAACAACGATGACGAGCCGCGCAAATGTTGGATCTGCTACGCGGACGAAACAGAAGACACGCCGCTGACTTCCGAGTGGCGGTCGCCGTGCCCTTGCGCGCTGACCGCGCACGAAGCCTGCCTCCTCGACTGGCTGGCCGATTTGGAAAACCCGCGGTCCCGCAAGCGCAACGGCGCCAGCGCGAAAATGGTCTGCCCGCAGTGCAAGTCGGAGATCGTCGTCTCGCGGCCGCGGAGCTACATTGTGGAAATCGTGCGGCTGTTTGAGCGGGTGGCCGGCCGGCTCGTGCTGCCGGGGATGGTGTTCACCCTGGCGGGAACGGTGTGGGCGGGCTGCTGTGTGCACGGGGTCTACTCGATGTATTTTGTTTTCGGTACTGAAGAGGCGCGGCATATCCTGGAGGAGTCGATCGACGGGTCGTGGAACTCCGGGTTGAATCTGGGGTTGCCGCTCATCCCCATGTGCTTGATCCTGACCCGCACGCGGTACTCAGAGAGCCTCCTCGCCGCAATTCCGTTCTTGTTGTTGGTGACACGCCAGCCGGTGATTGAACCGGCCGCTACGGATCTTTGGCCACCGACGCCGGCAGCGACATTCGCCGCTCTGCCGTACGTGAAACGGCTGTATTCGCTGCTGTATGATCGGTTGTTTGGTAAGCTGGAGAAGAAGTGGATTCGAGAGGTGCAGCCGAGACAGTCGGATATCAACGAGTTCGACGATAATGCACCGCCGAATCATCCGGAGCCGATCGCTGATGAAGGTGAGGCGGACGATGAGAACGGGCGGGTCCTGATGGAGATCGATTTCGAGCTGCAGGTGGGAGTGAGAGGGGACGACGGGGCTCAGGGGTTGTTTGAGTTCAACAACGGAGGGCAAGGTGGGGACAGACAGCAGCAACAAGCTGGGCCGAATGGCGGGGGCGCAGAAGGGCAGGGGCTAGGGTTGGGCCGGCGAGATGACCTGGTCCACGAGACGACGAACCTTGCGGATTTGATTCTCGGGGCTCTCGCTTTCCCGGCCATTTCTGCGTCGATGGGTGGCTTGCTTAGGCATGTGTTGCCGCGCTCGTGGACTGCGGCTTCGACAGCCGGTCGACCGGGCCTGTTGCAGACGCGCTGGGGTCGCAGCGTCGTGGGAGGTTGTGTGTTTGTCTTGTTGAAGGATGCCCTGGTGCTTTACTGTCGGTGGAAGTTGGCGCAGACCCATCGTCGCCGTAAGGTGCTCAACTACGATCGGGCCAAGAAGCACATACGGGCGAGTAGCAGGGCGACCGCCCACCCTTAAACACTGGGCACGACCACTTGCATTCACGAGGCGTTTGTTCTGGCGGATGGGATGGACATTTTCATGATACACTTTTCGTTTTGCAAGCTCTCCTATTTTTTTTTCTTTTTTTTCTTTTTTCTTTTTTTTTTTTTTTGGTGGACAAAGTCCTAGTGCATACTCCATACTCTTAAAAATGAAATGAAATCAGATTCTCCTTTTACATATTATAGCTAGAATGGAGAGCATCAACCAAGCTGCATACAGAGAGTGCCGTAGTATACATCATGAAGAGGACGGCGCTTAATCATCCACTTCTGTTTTTTTTTTAGCGCGCGGCTGCTGGCCGACCGGCCAAGCCACTCCGGAGTCCGAACTGTAACCCCCAAACTTTCCGCCGGGCGAGATCTTGACTCGCTCCAAACACTCATCTGCCTTCCACCACCACCACCACCACCACCACCTCTTCTCCTCCTCCACTGGAGAGACGAAATCAAAATGCGAACAACATTCTCCCCCATCCTCGCCTCTCTGGCGAACGTCTTCCGCATCCCTCTTTCCCAGACTGTCACCCGTCCGGCCGCCACCGCCGCTCTCGGCCGCTTCAATGGCAACAGCAACAGCAACAGCACCACAAATGCCGCCGCCGGCAGCAGCAGCAGCACGCGACAATTTTCGACGACGAGCGCAATGCTCAAGCGGCACCGGGGGCCTACTATTGATAGAAGAATCAGTACGTTGTTCTCCGCCGTTGCACAACAAACACACACACACACACACACACACAAACTTGATGATTCGGCTGGGAAGGTTGTCTGTGGGAACGGGGGGGGGTTGATTCTCAATTGCTCTCCTATCCTATCTTATCCTATAAGCAATATCCTGCTTCTTTGGCATAGGATAGGATAAAAGAATAGAATTGATCTCCCAAACCCTTCATTCCCCCAAAAACCCAACACAGTGCTTTGCTCCCCCAAACCCTTTTTTTTTCTTTTTTTGGGCCTCTCTTCCCCTCCACACCCACAACGCAATGCCAATTGAACCAAATTCATAACCAAACTCAAACTAACTTGACCTCTCAACAGCAATGATCCGCTACTTCCTTCACCATCCACTCACCCCGCGGCCCCTCCGCTTCAGCCGCACCCGCTTCCTCCGGCACTGGACCATCCACCGTGCGTGGCACCTGTACCGGGCGCAGCAGCGGCGCGCGCACCAGGTGGAGCTGGAGCGGCAGTGGCATGCGATGCGCGCGGCGTGCGAGGAGCTGCGCACGGGCGCCGGCGACGGCGGCAAGCTGTTCCGCAAGAGCATGATCAAGACCGGGGTGTTCCGGGATTTGTTCCCGATTGAGTACGCGCGGCTGCAGACGGAGGGGCCTCCTGCTGAGGGGTGGAATCATGAATGGAGGCGGAGATAGATTCTTTGACTCATGTGAGATTTCTTTGGGGGCGGGCAAGGGAAAAGTGGTTATGCGGGTGGGTGGTTAAATTTCCTTGGTGTAGGTTTTATGTATATTAGAGTACAGTTTACAGTTAGTTATCATTACACTTATATAACTACTATGTCTCTCATCATGGTAACTCTGCAACACAAGGAAAACACATGCACTACTATATTTACTGCCTCAAGGATCAAATAGCTGAACGCTCGGCAAAGCAATCAAAGGAATGGACTCGGAGTACACCCATCAAGGAAAGTAATGTCAGTCGACTCCACGGGTATGAAACAGAGATCAGCACTGCAACAGACAAGACAAAATCACCCAGACGCCGAAAATGCAAAAGTTGTCCACACACACACACACACACCTCCTCACAAAAGACCATCTCACAAACTGTCCACGCATTTTTCGACCCTCCCCGACTAATCGCGGCAGATATGCACATGCCATGCTCATGGCTCTTCGAACGTGGAAAATGGCTCAACAAATATGCAAGAACACAAACGCGAAGAATCAATCTCGGCCGTGCGGACAGCGCTGGGCATGCATGCAATATGTTCGCTGAAACAAGAGTCTGCCTCCACCGTCACATCACAGAATTCGAAACGTACGGTATTTTTTTTCACGCGCAGGAACGAGAAAGTAGAAGAAACTCGTCATTCTTCCCCGAAGAAATCAAGTCGACCCGTTTCATAGCACAATACAGCATGAGCTCTTCCGCTTATCGAATGTCAGCAGGGCGGCCCGCGTCGCGGCTTCGAACACGTCGTCAACGCCCTCCCCCGTCAATGAGGAACATTCCAAGTACTTGCGGGCGCCAATCTGCGTGCCGATATCACTTCCTTCCTTGGATGTGACGAACTTGAGCGACTTTTTCCGCATCTCCTCGACCGCTAAAGGATCCTCCCGGAGATCTTTCTTCAACCCGACCAGGATGATGGGGACGCCGGGACATCGCTCATTCGCTTCTTCAATCCACTGCGTCGAACCCATTGTGTCAGCGCTAACTCACTTGGGCCACTAAGCACAACAGGGCAACAAACCTTGTGTTTGACGTTCTCCAACGAATCAGGTGTATCCACCGAGAAGCCGATCAGGATCACATGCGCTTTCGAGTAGGCCAGCGGACGCAGCCGTTCGTAGTCTTCCTGACCAGCAGTATCCCATAGAGCCAACTGAACCGACCGACCGTCCACGCGGCAATCTGTTACGTAGTTTTCGAAGACCGTTGGCACCTAGTCAATCATGCGCCAGTTAGATGATGGACGAGAGCAGCGCAGGGCGAGGATACATACATAATGCTGCATGAGACAAGTCAGTCAGTGACATCATCCTTGGACAGGTTCTCAGTCGAGAGGGGGAGTGTTAAGGTAAAACAACTTACCGTTGGAAAGTAGCCCAGAGTGAAGACACTGAGCAGACTGGTTTTCCCACAGGCACCATCTCCAATGATGACCAACTTCCTACCCTATCCGTTAGAACCCAAGCGAACAGCAATGTCATGAGAATACGTTTGTGATATCATTGTGGCCGACAACAGAGAATGGGGAGATGGGCGGATCCCGGGGGATCTCCAGGCACCACTCGGTTCGGGCGGAGGAGAGAGGGGAGAGAGGAGTCCGCTTTGGGGTGGAAGGGAGAGGGAGGTCAAAAGCAGCAGCAAGATTGATCAAAATAGATTAAAGGCGCTTTTTGCCGCACGTACCTTCGCATCACATTGTCATTTTGTTGTTGTTGGGCCATGGTTTCTAGAGAAAAAAAAAGTGGGAATCTTTAAAGACGATCCCCTGGACGAGTTGCAGGCGGAGGAATGGGACGGGATGAACAGAGGGCGCTGACGAGCCCAGGCGGGAACCCGGAACGGAACAAAAACCCCCAGGCAACAAGCAGGACGAGTTCTTGGGCCGATGAACTAAATCTCTGGTAGTTCAGATGAGTGAGATGACGAGAAGACAAGGTCAGAGAGATTGGTGAGGGGAACGGAAATGCGATGGGAGGGGAGTAGAAGTTCGATCAGATTGGTCAATGTCCCCTCCCACTAAGTATGAGATAGATAGGTGGAGGAAGAGGAAAAGGTCATTCTCTTGGCAAAAGGGAAGATGTAAGAGAGAACAGGAAGAGATTGAAGGGTAGAGGAAAAGAGAGAGAAAGAGAGAGGAAGAGACAGAGAGAGAAGAAAAGAGAGAAAGAGGAGCAAGAGAAGAGAGCTACGGAGTAGGTACAGTAGTAGTAGTAGTAAATGTAGACAACAATAAGTCAGACAACAGAGTGAGAAACAGAGAGAGGATAACATAACATGGGATTGGTTCTGGAAGGCGGTCGCCCATACAGTACAAAATGAGGCTGACAGCTAAAGAAATGGTGGGTATGTGTCATGGTATGTAATTTCCACCGGTGAACTCACCTGCTCTGGCCCGAATACGGTCACGAAAGGAAGCTGGAGAGAGTAAAGATGCAGTAATGAAGTGAAATGAATGCCACGGGTGAGAAAAACGAGGCAGTACTCCGTATATATGAATTGGATGGACTGATTGATTACCACGATCCGATCAGCGACTAGTAGTCATGGTTTATTCAAGTGGAAAGTAATCGAAACAGTTCAGAAAAAATTCCAGCCCCGGCCGAAGCAACTACAACCACCACCACCTCCTCCCTCTCCTCCCCCCTCTCTTCCCTCTCATACTCCGTGGTAATCAAAAAGAAGGGGAGGAAACACCTGGTGGGATGGCACAGCTGAAAAATCGTCACCGCACGGCCGTTTGTTACTAAGGTTAGAGATTTGTCTCAGACAGCGCAGGCTAGAATGGAGGATAATCTTGGCTACTATAACCAGAGCCGCCCGCATGCAAAAAAAAGGAGCCCAGCGCAGGGGCATCCGGAACTAACCATTGGATGATCGTGCAGCTCAATATTTATAGGCAACTCCTGAGGCTGACAGGGAGATGAGCAGATGAACTCAAGAAAGAGGGGATAAAAATAAACACATCTGATTCCGTGGTTCGGTTTCCTGGGAGCAGCAACATGTTCACAAGCACAAACCACTGAACCTCTCGGGAGAGCTTCAGACATGATTCGTGATCAGAGAGACATGTGGACTCCACTGTTCCCTATCGGATTGTCCTCCTCACCCCGAATCCTGTAGTTACGGGAGATGTACAGTGTCATCATCCTTATCGTTCTCCTCTCGCCATCTCTGAGTGGACATCCATCCTCTTCGATTCCCGCGCATATCTTCTGTCCTCGTTCTCGAAGGTTGTCTGCGGACCGTGTTCTTGACTTGACATCCTGCGGCCCACCGACCCCAAATATTTACGCCTGTCAATCCTTGCTCTCATAACGTAAGTGATTCACCTTATGAACAACGTATAAAGCGGTGGGCTGTATGTTTCCAAGGACAATGCAGCACCATCGCATATTTTTGGCCATTTACGCGAAAGCAAGAACTACACAGTTACCAGGGCTCTCCGGTCCGATATGCTTCAAATTACTGGCAAATTACGAGCCAACTAACAAGCAATGCTACTATAAACTCCAATGAAAAGAAAGACATGGGAATTCTAACCCCGCTAATTCCACTACCCATGGGATACGACGACACTCACAGCTCCCTCACAGCTCCACCTCATCGATGTCGTACACGAGGTGCGTCTGGCCTAGGCCCCACGACTCTAACCCCAGAATACGATACAGACCCAAACGAGCCCACATAACGTTCTCTCCCACCCACAGTGCCCAGGAGCCTGTGGCTTTGCGGCGCCGTCCATTCTTGGCCGCCAGTTGGTAGAGCTCGTTGATGCGCGGTCGCCGGATCGCTTCGTATCGGGCAAACGCATGTTCCAAGCTCCAATCTTTCTCTTTCAGGACTCGCGACAGCAAGAAGGCATCCTCCAAAGCCATGGAGGTTCCTTGGCCTGCGTGAGGCTGCATGGCATGGCCTGCATCTCCAAGCAAGATGGTCCGAGACGTATACCATTTCCCACCAAGCGGGAGTCGAAAGACCGGATAGAAACCAATAACATCCGTGCGATCCACCAATGCAGCTAGAACCCCCCGCCATTCGCCTTGAGCTGGCTTCGTCATTTCTCGGATCGTGGACTTGAACACTTCCATCTCTTGCTGGCGTCGGACTTCCCACCCGTCCCGCTCGTTGCCTGACTCAGAGTATGGGATGGGCGTCTCCCGAGAAAGGAACCAGTAAAGCTGATCCCCGGCGGCGCTACATGGAAACATCGCAATAACACCTGCAGTCGTGGGGATTATGTTGGCTTCCTTTCGAAGCATCTCCGGTAGGCCCACCGTCGAGACGATGGCACCGCTTCCCGCAATGCCCGAGTATTCGGGCTTGGTGGCAGGGTCGACATGCAGTCGTCTCACGCTGGAATGGATCCCATCGCATCCGATCAGAATGTCGGCTGTGTCGTTCGAACCATCCGAGAAGGTCACTGTTACGCTTGATGCACCCTCTTCAATGGAGACTAGTCTTTTGTCGAAATGAACAGGAATCTCTTCCCCATGGATGGCGTCGAACAGCACTTCCAGCAGATCTCGGCGGATAATGCGCATGAATCCAAAGCCCGACTTCTTCTTGGCCCAAGCTGAAATGTCCATGCTGCCAATATTGCCCTGGTGTAATGAGTGGATATGGAACGTGTCGACGATTGCGCCGCGAGCAAGAAGGGCGTCGTATAGTCCCAGGCGATGAAGCAGACGCAGGCCGTTGGGAAATATGCCTATAGATCCACCGATGTTAGATGGTCTGGGTCTAAGCTCGTACACAGTAACGTCAATGTTGTTCTTTCGATGTAATTGAAGTGCAGCAGCAAGGCCAGCTGGGCCCGCGCCGATGATGATTGCCTAGGCAGAGCTTCGTCAGTAGATTTCACTAGGGATCTGTGAAGTGACACTGACTTTATTGACAGTAGACATGATTATATGATGAGTGGGATTGCATGTAGAGGTGGATATCCAGGACAGATGGTCGCCTGTTCTTTTATAGATCGCAGAGCGGGCTGCTCCGCGGAGGGTCCGCGGAGGGCGTTACCCGAAAAGGATTAAATTAGCTTGTATCAGTCCGGGGTACGGAGATCTTACCCGGCGCCGCTGTTCAATGCAGTGCATTATTGCTCCCTTGAACCCGTGCAGCGTCGGGAGAGAGTTACTAACCATGACTCGAGAGCCAAGCTCTTGCTTTGCTCGCTGAGATTCAACGGCACTGTGATCGTCCATTCAACGATCTATGTCTACACAGCCTAGACGCTAGTGGAAGAAACGCTTAACCTGGTGGACTAGCATGCTGATATGATCAAAGCGTTTAGTACCTTCGTACACACACCAATTGATCCAAGTAAAACCTGCGCGCTACAAACACAGACAGTTCAAGAATAATGAGACACTACAACCACCGCAAGATGGTAAATTCATGCAGATTCTGTCCATAGTAGCCGGACCTGATGCTTGAACAGGCAATTTTGGAGCTGCTGTGGCGCTCTGTTAAAAAGCATTCATTGGCAGGAGTAGATAAGAACTTGCCGAAACATGCAAGTGATACGCTGCGGCTATCCTTCCGTACGGAGTATCAAATCATTGTGCTGCAATGATCTTATCAGCCATCTCCGGTAGCGTCTCGGCCATGACATCCATCTCTCCGAACAATTCAGGGATGGGCTCCTTTTCCCAAATTGAACAATACGCGGATTTGTATCTACATAGGAAAACGTGTCAGCAGCATTGAGACGCGGATTGTGACGCTGCAGGACTCACCCCGCACAGCGAGCCGCCGAAACGTCCCACATGTGCCCGGCAGCGAACCATGGCCGTCCATGCTGGGATAATTGCTCGAGCAGTGGCTGATACGCCCGCAGATCGGGCTTTCCTATGCCCTGAGTATCGCAGGACAACAGGTTCTCTGCTGGCCATTCGAGACCAGCATTGGCAAAATAGCCCCCCACTCTTGCCAGGTCCCCAGCCGTGAAAGCCCAAACCGTGTACCCGGCCTCGCGCAGCTTGGTGACGCACTCTGCTGCCCCTGGCCGTAACCCCATGTTGCCATATCTTTTCATGATGAACTCGAGGTCCTTCTCCGTCGCGAAACGTCGGGGCTCGGAGATGCCTGCCATATGCAGCATGCGCCAGAAGAGCAGCTCGAAACAGGTCACGAATGATCTGTACTGACCGCTGATGCTAAGATAGGTGTATTCACGCTCGGCAACTTCGATCCAAGTGTATCCCAGCAGCGTTGGCTTGATGCCTTCTGCTCGGAGTCGATCGCCCATCTGCTCATCGATCGCATCGAATAGAACGTCGTACGACACCAGAGTGCCAACGATGTCGAAAACCACGTTCTTACTGCTAGGCATGATGATCGGTAGGCTCGTTGTTGGTCAACTATACTTTGTTTGTTGGGAGGTTACAACAACCCCCACTGTGGCCAGGGGAGTATTGCCTCTTATATTTCTGGCTGCGACCGTGACTGACCTAGGATGGTTCCCGCACCCCACTCTTGCTCTGTCTTAGCACTCACACGACCAGGTGAGGAGAAGCCAGGACGTGGGACTAGACTCTATGACTGGCTATCTGCCCCCGTGCATTGTAACTCAAACTATCACCTAGTCTTATCTTGCTGAACATGGCTGCACGCCAAGTCTGATTAGATATGGGTGTATTCGCGGCCAATAATGTCTCTAGAGTGCTATCTACAGTAAGAGAAATGTCAGGAATATAAGATGTCATGGTCAAACGAGATATCTCCTCTCCATCACGCCGGCGAGTATGACAACTATGACTACGAAGAAAGCGGAGATCGTGGACACACACAACGTGGATATCATTGCCGATCTCGAACGCAATGACGACTTTGCCAAAGGTGCTACAGAGCTTTTGGGGGCTACGGAAGATGTCGGCTATCATCGATCACTGGGTCGTCGTCAGATTATGATGATGACCTTCGGAGCAGGCATTGGAACTGGTCTGTAAGTTTACACCTCTGCCTCTTGTGCCAAAGCGCCATCTCTCACAGTGCATCAGATGGGTTGGCACAGGCACAGCCCTCAAATATGGTGAGACGACTTCTAGCCCTGCTGAATCTTCTATGAGTTTGACCATATCATAGCTGGCCCGGGTGGCATTGCCATTGCATATACTGTTACTGCGTAAGTGAGAACTAAGGAAAGGCTGCTACAAGTAGATTGCCCCCATTGACCCAGCGACAGGATGGTCGTTTATCTACAGTATGTCTCGGTTGGAGAAATGACCGCGTACAAGCCTGTTCATGGAGGATTCATCCGGCAGTGCATTGAGTACGTGGAACCTGCCTTCGGCTTCGCAGTGGGAATCAACTTCTGGTTTTCTGTAAGCCATCATCCACAATCATACATGTCACGACACCTAACTATGGTTAGTGGGTTATCTGTATCCCCGCCGAGATCACAGCGGCAGTGTCCGTGCTCCAGTTTTGGCCGCAGACCGATCTCGTGCCTCTTGCAGCTTACATCAGTATTTTCTTGGTCATTATTGCCTTGGCTAATTCATTCGGTGTGCGGATATACGGTCACGTCGAGTATCTCATGTCGTTTGTCAAATGCCTAGCCATCGTTGTCATGATTTTTTTCATGATTATCATGACTTCTGGTGGGATTCCAGCCACACATGGAGCGATTGAATTCCGCTATTGGCGAACTCCCGGCGCTCTCAACAACGGCATCAAGGGGATTTCTAAGGCCTTCGTGCAAGCCCTGTTTAGCTTTGGCGGTGGAGAACACATTGCGGTCATTGCCGGTGAAGCCCGAGACCCTCGCCGGACCATCCAAAGAACAGTGTATCCTGTCTTCTGGCGCATGTTTGCCTTCTTTGTCGTCAACATCTGGCTGATGGGGATGTGTGTGCCATATGATGATGGTAATCTGATCAACGGAAGTGGCACGCTCGGTAGTCCCTTTGTTATTGCCATTGAGCGCGCAGGTGTGATGTGGCTGGCGCACGTCATCAATGGCTTTATTTTCCTGACCGTGATCAGCTGCGGCATCACCAGTGCCTACATTGCTAGCCGTAGCCTGACAGCATTGTCGGACCTGAAGGTCATCCATCCCGTGTTTGGACGGAAAGACGCTGTTGGGCGACCATATGTATCATTGGCCATCAGTACTGCCCTTGGAGGAGGCCTGGCCTACTTGAACTGTAATGACACGGGTGCCGTGGTATACAGCTGGTTCTCATCTCTGGTAGGGAGCTGCGAACCCTCATGATCTTCGCTTTCGGGACTAATGTCGTCCAGGTGTCCGTTTCCACCCTCTTCCAATGGTCCAGCATCTTCATTTCGCACATTCAATTCCGACGAGGCCTCGCCGCCCAGGGCATCAGCCTTCAGTCATTGCCCTTCCGCGCCCGTGCAGCGCCCTACGCGCAGTACTTTGCATTGGTCATAGTTCTCTTTATCGCAGGCTGTGAGTTCTACCTGGCCTGCTTTCCCTTTGGCGAGAAGGGATCAGCCAAGTCGTGGTTCTCTGCTTACATCGCTGCACCATTGTTCTTCATGGATTATCTTGGGTACAAGGTGAGTTGGCCTTCGGTAGGTGCTGTCCGTCCGCAGCTAATCCTTTCTCTTCAGATTTACTATCGTTCGAGGCTGGTTCAACCTGCTGAGATGGACTTCACGGCTGCCCAGGCTTTTGATGAAGAAGACCGAGCTAGGGCTGCGGTGGGGTACGAGCGGAGAGATGGTGAAGACGCAAGAATCATACAGCGTGTTAAGGACTTGATCTTGGGTTGACCTGTTTCAGCTGCAGACACTCAGTGTCGATGACCAGGTGGTTTTGTCCGAGTTCAATGGAGTAAAGTAAACCACTTATTATTACAAAGACATGGAAGTAGCCGCAAAACCGGTTAAGCAGCACCAACCCCTCTCTTTTCTCGGCATGCTGCCCGCAAGTACACGCCGAGCTAGTAGTCGCTTAAGCAAGGTGCGTGAGATTGTAGCGGTCTGTGTGGTCGACAGGAGAAGGGGGGTTGAAGGTGAGACCGGATGCAGTTCCGAATGTTGTATTGTGGACTCGTCGTTGGGAAGCAAGTATAGAGTGTAGGGGTGAGTTGGTGACTCTAATTATTGACTGTTGTTGTACTTTTAAGTGTTAATAAGAGAGAAAATCAGGCAGCGAGGCAGCGAGGCTCGCTTGCGGCGGCTAATCCAGTTGCGGCCAGGCGATTGAGCGGCAGGGCATCCATCCATCAATCAATCTCATCTTCCCGCCCGCTGACTTCTTGCGCGTATCGCCGATGCGCCCTCATCTCCTTCTCTCGCTACTCTCTCCTCACCCACTCCCCAGTCACGAGTGCGAGTCCTCTATACTCGCCCAACCACCGGAACGCCCTTTCTTGAACCCTACCTCTTAGTCTACTGATCCCATCTAGTCCTGTCTCGATCGCCTACACCCTCTCCGAATCGCCTAGTCTCTCCGACCCCTCCGTGTCTCCCTCGCTGTCGTCCCTCGTGCGGCCCGGGTCCTTTCCACCCCTCTCCGCCCTGGCTCCCCCCCCCCGTGTTTGTCGTTGTCCGACCCTACCCAATTTCTCCAATTTCACCTTGCGCGCCTCTTTCGCCTGCATCAACACACCTCCCATCCACCCCCCGGGCTCAACCTTTTGCTTGGCCTTAGTATAAGTCTTTCTTAATAAGTCTACCTTGGTCCGACAACTTTCCGGTGAGCTTCGCCTGCTCCCTTCCTCTTTCTCCGTTTCCTGCCTTCCTGCGCTTGCGGACCCTCTCACTGACTTTTACTCCCCCTCCGGGAATCGCCCAACAGCATGGTGACTAGCTAAGGAGCCTATTCACAACGCAAATTCACGCCTCCTCTCCCCCTTCCCGGTGCTCGTCGGCGTCAGCGCATTCTAAGAACTCCACCTCTTCATGGCACCGCCGCAACCGCTCAGATCGGCTTCCGGCTCCGCAATGTCCGAGTCTGCATCCACAACCATCCCTGTACATGCCGTAAATGGCGACACCCATGCGCCTTATGATCCTCGTCAACCCTCGCTCTCAGACCCTAACAAGCCGGTGTCGGTGAACCGCAAGAAGCAGAAGCGCAGGCAGAAGCAGGCAGCCCGGTTGGCAGCGGAGCGTCAGCTCGGAAGTGAACCCGGTGCTGAGCAGAACGGACCCAGGCCCGTCGACCCAGAGGGACATCTGTCGGATGAGCATGAGATTGACGAGCCTGCTTCGAACGGCGACGCCTACCATGAAGCCGACGAGCATTATCAACACGATCTGACGCAGTCGCATCTTCCCGCCAATCCTGTCAATGGACAAAGCGATGATCAACAATCTGCAGCAGCGGCTACCCGAAAGTCAAAAAAGAAGAAGGGCAAGAAGGGCCGGGCGGGTTCGCAGGCGCATGGCGACGACAGTTCCACCCCGCTATCGACTCCCTCAATCTCCATCTCGCATTCTCTTCCCCCGCCGTTACCCCCGCACCTCGGATCGCATACCATCCTCAAGTCGACCAAAGACCGCAGCATATGGAACACCTCCACGCAGGAAGAACGAGAGAACATCAAGACTTTCTGGCTGGAGTTGGGCGAGGAGGAGCGGCGGCAGCTGGTCAAGGTAGAGAAGGACGCCGTCTTGAAGAAGATGAAGGAGCAGCAAAAACATTCGTGCAGCTGCACCGTCTGCGGCCGGAAACGCACAGCCATCGAAGAGGAACTGGAGGTGCTCTACGACGCCTACTATGAGGAGCTGGAACAGTACGCCAATAACAACCAAGGGTCGTTCGAAAAAGGCCCACCGATGATGCCGCCTCCTCGACTATACCATCCTCCTTTACGGTCCCCTGGTCAACATACGCGGACACAAGGCCAATACCACCCTTCTCGAGGCCGGATCCATGAGCTACCAGAGGATGACGACGAATTGGAGGAGGAATACGAGGAAGACGAGGAGGACGAGGAACCGTACAGTGACGACGAGTACGAAGATGAAGAAACCCGTGCAGCTCGCGCAGATTTCTTTGCCTTTGGGAATAGTCTCACTGTTAAAGGTAGGACAATCCACCGGCTTTTTTTGCTTTGATCATGTGGTGTGACCTGATGCTAATTGATTGCCGTGCTCTAGACGGAATTCTTACGGTCGCAGATGATCTGCTCAAAAATGATGGGAAGCATTTCATTGACATGATGGAACAATTAGCCGAGCGTCGCATGCAGCGAGAAGAGGACACACAGTATGGAATCGCGGCAGCGCATCAAACCCTCCATAGCGGTCACAATCACGGGCCCCTGGATGACGAAGACTATGACGACGAAGAGGATGAAGATTATGATAGTCAAGAAGAAGAAGATTACGAGGAAGATGAAATGGTCAGCTCCGGGCATTGGCTGGGTATTGATGCCGTGAAAGCTGACAGTTGTCTGCAGGATGCGATGACGGAAGAGCAACGCATGGAGGAAGGCCGGCGGATGTTCCAAATATTTGCCGCTCGCATGTTTGAACAGCGCGTGCTGACGGCATACCGAGAAAAGGTTGCGGAACAGCGGCAGCAGAAACTGATTGAAGAGCTTATGGAGGAGGAAACGCGGAATGAGCAACGAAACGCCAAGAAGGCCCGCGAGGCGGAGAAGCGAAAGGAGAGGAAGAGGCTTCAGAAGCAGGCTAAGGAGGAGGAAAAGGCCCGTCGAGAGGCCGAGAAGGCGGCGGAGGAGGCGGCTGCCAAGGCCGAGCAGGAGAAGAAGCTCGAGGAGCAACGGAAGAAACGCGAGGAACAGCGGAAGAAACGCGAGGCGGAGCGGAAGGCCCAGGAAGCGGAACGTGCCCGCAAAGAGGCAGAGAAGCAACGACGGCAACGTGAGGAGCGAGAACGGCAGGCCGAGGCAGAGCGAAAGCAGCGGGAGCAGAAGGAGCAAGAGAAGAAGCGGCGCGAGGAAGCACGGCAAAAGGAACGCGAGGAGCGCGAGCTGCGGGAGAAGCTGGCCAAGGAAGAGCGAGAGCGCAAGGCCCGGGATGAGCATACGCGGAATCTTACAGCCAACGAGGCTCAGCACGGCAAACGCATCTCGCATTCCGGGCTGATGCCTCTCTCCGCGAATGTGAATCACTCGCAAGCTCCGGGTCCCGGGCAATCTCAGTCGCCACACTTCTCTACGACTCATCCGGTGGTACCTCAGGCGCCCACTCCTTCGAGGCCCCGGCAAACGTCCCAGCAGGGCTCCCACAGCTCCTCACCACGGTCCCAGCCCGCCAGCACCGAACCATCGCAGGTCTCAATCTCCCCTCGTTCGATGGCGCCGTCCCAGTCGTCTGGAGCCTCCAGTGTTACGTCGAAACAGAGCCACGGGCAGCAGCCAATGCTTCATCATCCCCAACCATCAACACCCTTGTCTCCTCTCGGATTAGGTCGGGCCCCTCCGCCTGGGTTCTCGCCGTCCCATCCGCCTGGTTTGGGTCTGGTTTCCAGACCGCCGATCGGCCATGAGCTGCCTGGCTATCCGCCACACTCTGGACCGCTCCTCAATCAGCTGCGAGGATTCCCTGCCCCTAATGGAATTCCGATTCCTCTTGGCATGAATGGCACCCGCCCGATACCCCCTGGACGAGGCTTTCCCCTCGATCCCGGACACGGATTGCCATTTCATAGTCAACAGCCCATGGCCAGCGCATTCTCCGCGCAGGCAAGTGGACTGTCGCATGCCCATTCCCGGCAGCCTTCCAGCTCGTTTGAGCGGTCGCCGCTTGAAGCACAGGCGCAACCGTCTCCTATCACCCGCCCCAGCCCTATCAAACGCCCGTCCAGCACGCAGCAAGACCTCAACGACCCCCGTCGCAGTCAGAACGAGGTGGACCACCTGAGTGCCCAGCTAGGCAGCAGTGCGCTTCTGGATGACACGGACATCCCCTTCGCATCACACCTGTCCCAGTCTCTTCCGGGCGCTACACTTCCAGGTTCCCTGCCTGGGCCCACTCGAGCCAGCTTTGCGGCCCCGTCGTTGTTCCCTGACCCGCTTAGTAAGTTCAGCAGTGGGAGCGCGTTTCTACACACACATGCTAATGATTGCCGCAGCCGCCAAGCACGGTGCCTTCCCTGTCAGCCCTAGCCTCGGGAGCACATGGGGTACGCAAATACCCTTTGGCACCTCGCCGTTCCCTGGAGGGCCGACTTGGGGAACTGGACCTGGTCAGTCAAAGATCCAGCAATTCTACATTGGCATCTGCTAACATACTAAATAGGGAGCGGTTGGTCGAACAATGCGTTCGGGCCCGGAGTACATCATCGCGCTCACACGTCTCGTCCCGTCACGATCCGATTGTTGGTGATCCAAGCCTGTAAGCAGCTCAACATGATGAGTCCCTCCAAGGGCGCGACTGGATACCACGACGTGAAGGTCGTCCTGCGCCAAGTGGAGCAGCTTCGGTCCCCAAGCGAGCCCTCCATCTCCCTGAAGGAGATGCTCGACATCTGCGACACGGAAGGTAATACGCAAAACGGCGGCGGGTCGTTCTCGATCCGGAATGACGAGACGGGGGAATACGTCAAATTCGAGCCGGACACCAACAGTGCATCCTCAGGTCACAGGGGCAGCATTGTCCCCGGCGAGATCGGCAGTCCCATCCCCAGTAGCAGTTCTCTGGCATTTGGCGGACCCACCCCCTCAGTACTACGACAGTACTCTTCCCCACCGACCGGGTTCTAGGCGTTTTCCTAAACGTGTTTCTTCTTTCTTGTATTGTCCCCCCTGATATGGGAAGACAAACTGGCGTTTTCGACATGTCCGATACCGTACCTCATTTGCATCCTCATCCTCATCATCCTCATGATTCTTCATCATCACGTAAAGCGTGTTCCTTACTGTCATGGCTGCTTTGTGTATCTGTCTGATTCTGTCTTGACTCCCCTGCGCTCCAGCCGTTTTTAGTTGCTGAGACAAACCTACCTACCTACCTACCTACCTACCTACCTACCTATCCATTTAACCTACCTTTGTTATGAAGGAACTGATTATCCCTTTCTCCTCTGGCATGTCCGATGTCTTACCGAATTATATTATAACTTTCTCAACCTCATCCTTTCTCTCTTCGCAGCAGCATCATCATCATCATCCTATCCGGGACTTGATAATATAGCCCTTTCCCGCTGCCCTCTATGCAATGCAATCGAGAAACTCCACCGTTTCAGCGTACATGTCTATCCTCTGGATGGAAGGAGAGATGAACTCCTCTATATCTTGTCTCCATGTATGATTGATTGTATGTATGGATCCCTTGTAACCTTGCCCATGACGGGCTGAGATGGGAATACGAATGGGATGATCCTGTGTGATGTTATGTTATGTGATGTTATGCTATGCTATGCTAAACCAGGCCAGCTGACCTAGCTGCTTGAAACCGGGTGAATACATGTGAGAAGTACCCAGAGTTCTTGGGGTTTACTTTCCTCTTCCGGTCACGCACATTGCACATTGCACGTTGCGCAACAACAAACAAAACAATAGGCGAGTTTGTTTCCTAGCGTTGTCCTTGTATAATTCCAGGAAGAATATGTGACTAGTAGGGTAGGGTAGACACAATGAGGACGACGACGACGATGATGATGATACACGCTAGTCGAGACAAAAGTCCTCCCCGGCAGCCCCGCCCCCCCGGCCCCCCCCCCCGCCCAACCTATATCATAAGTGATCAAGACCCGTCCACCACAACCACCACCACTACCACCGCCAACCAGACATTAATACAAAAATAGGGGAATCTTACAAAGGTCAAGATTGCAGTCATAGACAATGGGTGCCTAAAAGTGAAAGAGAAACGAGTAGGATTTGTAGTGAAGGTAGAAAAGAATCGTAGGGTGGGGTGGGTGTAGAGCAATAAGCGAGAGACAACAAGAGTAAGGGCTTCAAAAGCTTCAGAAAGGTTTGTGTGGGTGTGTGTGTGTGTGTGTGTATGTAAACGGTAAAATAATGCGCATCTCGAATTCGTACAGGTCATTCATAAACCACCCCTCCCCCCCCCCTAATCCCCCTTGCCTACTATATGTCCAGTCCAACAACTCACTCACTGCCTTGGCTCCGTGACTACGCCTTCGTAATCCCGGGACCGGATGTACTCCAATGTGCGCTGGAAGTGGCGTTTGGGCCCTTCGAGGCTGGGGTTGGGCTCCTCCTTGTCGGTCTGGAGGTTGGAGTGGATGAGCTCGATCAGACCATTCAGATACTTGGTGGTCACGGTTTCGTTCTGTTGGTCGAAGTAGTAGACGTAGCGGTTGAGGATCTCGACGAAGAGTTCTACAGACACGGCCGTGTCCATGCAGGCGTCGGCGACGCGGAGGGCGCGTTGGAGGCATTCGAGGACGCGCTTGCCGTCCCGGTAGAGCTGTGATAATCAGTTTGGTTTAGCTTCTTGGAAACTTTGAGAATCGGCGGTTTTGACCCGG